AACACTGAGGAGTCAAGGACGGCACACTGCAAGTTTCAGCTCTTTTTCATCTGGGGCCCTGTGTGGACAGCAGCCAAAGTGAGGGGAGAAGACAATGACGACACTGTGAGTGATTGCATTTGTGTGTGTGCGAGTTATGATTTGCACCTTTCCACAAGTTGTCAGACATGGCATCGGCGAAAGGGACCAAAATGAAAGAGAACTTTGTGATCACACGTTGATGAGAATGAGGCGACTGGCCAAGCACCACAAAGCTTCAAGGGATTGATTGATTTTTTTTTGTTTTCGCGTACAGACTGGATAAACAGTTCTAAAAAGTTACTTGTTACTAACTCTATCTCAGGTAAAAAGCTGTGATCGTACCTCAATCCTCTCCTCCTCTGTACTCTCTTTTCTCTCTTGTAAGGTTTTGTTGCTCCACTGAATGGTATTTGGAGCACAGTGTGTCTTAACAAAGGTGCCTTTATGTGGACCCACTCACTGTGGTTTTGACCCGTAACTACCTTCTGTCGAACCAAAATGGAGAGTGTGTGTGTGTATTTGGCATGGAGTGTGGTCTATCTGATTTAATCTGTCTTTGTTCACTAGCCTCAAACGTCCACTCCAATCCCCGGTGTCCACCCAACATCCACAACGTGACAGTTATTGTTCTGCGGGGATACAAGTCCCACCAGGTGTGTATGATGTGTGTGACAGCCGGATGATTTAACACCACAGGTCTGGGCTTTTTAACGAGTTAGAGGAGCCAGTGCAGACGGATGGATAAGTTGGGCCCATGGGAGCCATACAGGCCCCTATAGAACGGTCTCAGGACTGGCTGACCCCACCCCAGAGACAGTACCACGGCCAGGGTGTCGGTCTGGGCCGGTGTGACGAATGGGACACCTGAGCCGCACTGTAACACCGCCAGCACGGTGGGTGCCCCTAATCACTCTGGCTGCCCAACTTCCAGCATCAGGTTTCAAATTCCAGGGGGTACGATTGTGGAGCTGTGGCCCATGGGAGCGGAGGTGTCTGGTGTACTCGATCGACAAACATTTACAGACTCTTCTTTTCATATCACTCAGTAGCCCACAATACTCATAAACAAACCCAAAACGAGCCAATCAGCTGATTCACACGCGTTTAAGCACATGCAAACATGGCAACAACACGCACCTCTCACACAAGATTCCAAGGCCCTGTAACCGATTAAGTTACAGGGCTATCGCAGCAGTCCCGAGTCTGAGACTGGACCAGGATCACAGTTTACAGGACCAGAATCCACCCAGCAGATGGTAGACAACTGGAATTTTGTGAAATATGAAACTTACATGCTGATGATGCCCCCCTAATAAAAAAATACAAGAAGGATAAAATGGCAGCTGTTCCTTTCCATTCAAATATCTTTCCAGGCCACTTTAAAGCCCCAATGCAACAGCAAGTTTTAAGAAGTCGTATTATTAGTCCCTTACGTACACAGTACTCTCATGATCAAATAGACTTTGGCAGAAAATGAAATGGTGGGTGAATAAACACTTCTCTAAATTTGTCATTGACAGTTACAGTTGGCCTACTTTGCGGTTTGAAAAGGGGGGCTTTGGATAACTTGATGCGTGGTAATACGGCGCTCTGTTGACATGGCAAACTATCAGTTTACACTGTTAATTGAACATTTAATAGCTTGTGTAGAGCAGATGGTCTAAGGTGAAACATTTCCTCCTGCCCCCCCTCCTCTTTCTTTGGGTTTTATTTCTGGATCAGCTGTAGGAGGTGGGGTGAGAAGAGGGCAGAGGACGGTCTTTCTACCCAGGACATAAGCCTCCCTGTTTGGGCACACGCGACCCACTCCTCCCCTCATCACTGCCGACATCCACCTTGTCCAAATTTAGGTGAGGGGGGCGAACTATGCAGGAAGATATTTCAGTAAACTGTGTGTCAATAAAGATGCGTGCCAAAACAAACTCCAGTTGCACTTGTTTCTCGCTTAATCGTTCATCTAAACAAGCTTGAGGGTTGGTGGGAAAGAAGGAAGAAGGGCAGGGGAGTGGGAGGTGGAAAGGTGAGGAGGCAAGAAAGGGGGGAGGGGGGAAAGGGGTTTGCCAAAATAAATGCATGAATGCCGTCTTTGACTGACTGGCATCTTTGAAGTGAGCTATAATTGCAGGTCTCTTGTCCAGCAGTGGAGCCTGTGGCAAGCCAGACCCTGGCCGAGTCGAGATGCTTGGCTGCAGCACTGAGGAAACGTCATGGCTTTACAATAAAACAAATTCAAGTGGCTTCGGCTCAGAGCGATACAGTGTCACGCTTTGTTGTCAGCGGAGTGGAACCACACAAATCAAATCAGTTATTACTTCATTCGTTTGTTAGAGTTCTGACATTTGGTTGTTTATAACCAGCCCTTTCAAAATCATTGCCCTGATTGGAAACCAGCGTGGTTATACACGGCTAAGAAATCCCCTCGACTCAAGGATGACGGCATGCGTAACATGTCTACTACCGAAGTACTAGAAGGGCTGAAGAGGATCTTCACAAAGCTCCTTTCACAGCAGCACGTATCCAGCCATTAGGTAACACTTCGAGTCGTCGGCACTCAAAATAACAGCACTACCTGTGTCTGCTGTACTCTGCTGCTCTCTGAGAATACACCAAACGTACAAGCATGTGTTTATGTGAGCATGGATGGATGTGTGCATAGGTACACATGCATAAAGGGGGGGCAAGAGAAATGAGAGCCGGACATAGCGGGGTAAAATTCTATCTGACCACAGGGATGTTTTTCCACTACGTGTCTGTGATTAATATGTGACTCCTTGATGTCTTATTTACAAAATAAACCAAGCCAAAGCCGTGATTATTGGACTGGAATCCCTGAAGAATACCCTACACAATGCACCTTTCAGCTACTTCTTTTTTTGTAAAGGGTGTGCTGTCAGTTTTTTTCAAATGTTCCACTGCAGCACTTGTGAAAAGGGGAAAACCCGGCTTGGTATTGCCTTACAAAACCCCTCGGTGTACCGTGCAACTTTGAACTACTTTTTTAAAACTGGAAAAAGTAAACGCAGGAGGGATCACTTAGGTGTTGCTGGGAGCAGAGCTGTACTTGCCGGGGCAGGGTTTCGAGATGGCTGCGAGGCATTTCTTGTCCATTTCTTATTGAAGATCCGAGACAGCTCGGCGAGTGTGATGAGATGATGGAGAGGGTGAGCACCCTGAAACAGCTATTTGATGTTTTTCCTAAATTCAGGCACCGTGCCAGATACACATTCCAGGTCCTGCAGATGGAGTGTCCCTTTTTAACCAACGGGGCCTTTTCACAGCCCGAAGGGGCCCTAATCAGCTCCTATCAAACTTTGTGCACACTACAGAGACTTTGTGCAATAAGCAACTCAAGTCAATTTGACCCACCAGCATGAATGTCCTTGCAAAGACCACTAAAGTAGATCTGGTATATTCTGCAACTTGCACCCTCTCTTCTATCTACGGCAGGGAGAGTCACCCCTTGCACGAAACCTTGCTGCCTGCTGGAGGAATCCAGGGGGTTGGGAGGGTAGACCTGGCAACCATCCAAAGTCTAACCCACCCCTTCTTCTTTCCTCGGAGTACACACACCTGTGCCTGAGTTTGAGCTTCTCTCTGCTGCCTGTCTAAACCCCAGGAACACCAGATTTGTTCTGCTGTTTGATCCAACAAGTGACATTTTCCCTCACACAAAGCACACACCTGCACACATGTATACAATCGGTATCGATCTGCATTTGATCTGGGTTTAAATCCACAATGTGTTGGTTTATTAGGTGCTGGGTTTGGTTGTTCACAGGACACCAGTCCACTACAGGCGTAGTGGATTTATTTACAGCTGGCCCTCCAAGGTGCAATGCAATAATATTTGCAAAAGTGCAAAAAAATTGTCAAATACCATTTTCAAAATGTACAAGGCAAAAAATAAAATGCCATCAATGCAATAGTTCCGCTATAATACAAGATTCTCACTCAAGAGATAAAAAACAGAAACACAGCAGCGATACAAAAGTCAGTTTGGCTGTTATCTTCCATATAAAAAAAAACTCTAAGTCTAAAAAAATAAGGCCCAGGAAGCCTTTTTTTAGCCCCCCAAGCCCTTCCCAGTGGGCGTTACTAGTTACATAAGTTTAGAAAAAAAACGTATTTATTCACATTTAAATTATCTTTACCATTTTTAACCTTCAGACCTTTCTCTATAAGATTTTGCACAAATCAGTAGAGCATTAGTTTTTAGGGATTCATGGCAAGCAACAAGGGAATCAATTTTTCTTGTATCATGTGACCACTTTGACCCTCCATACCCATCTATTTTACACACGGAAGTCCCGCGCTCTGTTTCCACAATTGGAAACATGAGCCAGCATGACGGCGTGAATTGACAGGTAAGTGAAGGGATGAATATCTGTGTGAATGTTTGTTAACTGACAGAGCTCCAAGTGTGCACCCTGGGTTGCCCTATCCAACTGGGAGAAGCAAAAGTAGCGCCGTTTCGTGCTTAATTAGCGACGATGGCGGGGAGGGAAATGTTCGGCATGTGTGTGTTTGTGTGGCTCCACGCGCAGCCCGCCGTTAATAAGGACGCCGCGCCGTCACATCCGCTAAACGTTAAAATTGCGGTAATATTTCTAATGCTAAAATAGCGGTAATATTGACACACACACACACACACACACACACACACACACACACACACACACACACACACACACACACACACACACACACACTCTCTCTCTCTTACCTGCCGCCATCTTCCAAGCCAAACCGGGTCACTTCCTGGTCCCTCAGCGTAAGGTAGCGCGCTTCTTTTTGGGGGGTCATGTGACCGCCGGACCCCACCATTGTTGTTGATCTGATTTCATGTGTTTTCAATGATTAGGGTCAAAGCTGTATGGAGGGTTATTAGTGCCATTTTTTCCATGTTAAAATGACTGATTTACTGACGAATTTTGTGTTCTATTTTGCTTTTGTATCTTAAACGCCTATAATTTGTTTGTAGATGTGCCCGGGGAAGGGGCTAAGTGGTATTTAAACAACGCTTTGCTCACTCTGAGGGGAGCTGTTGGCCTGGTGGCGTCGCGGGTTACAAGTGTCCAAGAGTAAGTTCTATTGAGATTCTGTTGCACTTTATTTATACTTTATTCATTTGCCTACTTTTTTGGTTTTGTTTCCTGCACTACAAATATTTTTGCCACTGTTCGCTGTTCTTGGGGAGTTGGTAGCGATGGCGAGATGAAGATTCTTGAAGCATTGAAGCTTTCCATCCAATTACAGAACGAACCCGTGACATTCTGCTGCATGTTTGTAGGCCAAGAAATGTTGTCCACTGGTGTCCTTTTGGTATTAGTTGGAAGCATGAGAATGTTCTAGTCATTGGACAGCAAATTGCAACCTATTGTAAAGCAATGTAACATGTGCGGTCCTCTTACGGTTAAGCTTTAATTAAGCTCTGTAACCAAACATGCATGAAAGGGAAGCCCACTATTTGCTCGAGGACTTTGTTGCTCCATTCAAACAGTTATAAAGTCGCCAGTTGGATGGTAAACACAGTTAAGGTTTCGAAGGTAGACTTCCTTTGTATCTGTGAAGAGTAGGCTTAAAACTTCCTTTCTGATCAAGCTTATATACAGGGCTGGCTCAGGCTTGCCTCAATCAGCTCCTCGTAATGCTGCAACAGGTCTGGACTGCTGGAGGACTTTACAAACCAAACTCCTGTCTCAAGTCCTCTTATCTGAAAGCGTTCACGCCCAGTTAAATCTGGATTATCTGTTAGTGGCGGTGATAATGTTTTTGCTGTATGTTTTCTCTTACCATCTGTCTTTCTTTTACTTTCTCAGACCAGAACGGCAGATGGATGTCCACCAATGACTCTGACTCTGTTCAAGGTTTCCACCTGTGAGAAGTAAGTTTGCTCATCTTTACTAATATTTTGTACTAATCTCTATAATGAGTGTGTAATTTATACAGTATTTATATGAGCATGTCGCTGATGGCTATATTTTAGGTAGTAAAAATGAATCACCTCTCAGCTGTGTGTGTGAGTGAGTGTGTGTGTTTGTTCCTGCATGTATTGGAGAGAGTGCGCATGATGGAGAGCTTGGCAAGATCTCTGCTTTAGATTTTAGCTAACGCTGGGTCAAGGTGAAGCAGGCATGTGAAGAGATAGTGGTGACAGCTTCTTCTTTTGACAACCATGGACCAGCTTGGTACTTAAGGCAGTATTTGATTTAAGGAGAGGAGGAGGAAACTCATGTCTCTGAGCACTCTGTCCTGTTAAATACTTAACCCATTAAGACCTGAACCCTGTCTTAGACACGCCTCTGAAATCCTGAGGGCAATTTTGAGAAGGGCCCCCAGATCCTGAAGTTTTCTTTAGTGTTGAGGTTGAGCTTACAGGTGTGGCTTTCAAGATGACTATCTTTAATTTTTCCGAACCTTCATCATATTATTAAAAACTTTGAACAAACAGACTTAAATGAAAAAAGGGGCTGTATAAATAAAAGTAAAGGCTCTACACTGTAAAATAACAAAAAATTTGCTTTCTATAAAACAAGTGGCAGTCATGATAAAGTGTCCATTCAATACAAATATCAATATAAAAAAATAAGGTGTTGAAAGGGTATACATTGTCGCCCTAGTAGTGCCAGTACTAAAAACTAAAATGAATAAACAAGTGGATGACAGCGTGTTCATCTCTGTGCTCACCCAAAGTCATGCAACACTCACAGGAAACACGGATAGTGTGAGCCAAAGCACTCAGTATGAAGAGGTTGTTTATACTGCTGGATGCTTCATCTCCGAAGCTGCTCTCTGCCTCCGTCATTGTTTACTTTCCTCACGTAGCAAGATCCGAGCATGAATCTGCTTTATTAAGCTTTATTAGCCTATCAGAGGCAGACGAATGAAATGCGTACATGCTGTTCCGGTTTAAATGGGTTAGATTCAGCATATAAGAAAGAGTAGGAGTAAGTTTGTAAGAGGAGCACCGCTGTGCATCAAAGATAAACCCTTACGTCCATCCGATAGCCTCTATAATATGAAGTAAGCACTGCTTAATAGACAGCAAGCTTTGGACTACTTGGTCTGCTAGACAGTCGCTTGATTTATTCTGCACACTCAGCAAACATATTTGGCAAGCATAAAGTTCAAGAATATACAAAAAAGGTTGTGAAACTCCCATCACACAACCAGCCTCAACCTCCCTCCTCCAATTCAGATGGATGGGCTGAAATTACAGCATTGCAGGCTCAAATCTGTCCTCCATTCTCCACATATGCCAGACAGAAAGGGAGGAGGTTTTACTGCCTCTGCACAGGTCTGAAACTGGACCACACCAACAGATAACCATTGCAGCACTTGAGGTGAAGAAAATGAGAAAGGTTAGGGCGAGGAAGTCAATAACAGGAGGAGTAACAGGAGGCTTGCTGCTGGAGAGAAATAGATTTAGGACAGAAGTAGGACTGAAAAACAAGTTAAAAAAAGACCACAGGAATGTTTGAAAATTCTATTCCTGCAAAAGTCATGTCAGCTTTAATATTTACAAACTTATAGTCAGAATTTACCTCAACGAGCTTTTAGCTCTGAAGCTGAGGAAAGAGAGGAATAAAACCAGCAACTCACGTGACAGAAAAAGAGATGGCTCAGGTGAAGAAAGATGCTATCAAAGATGAGGAAGAAAAAGGAACAACAAAGTAAGATATGACAGGCGGCAGAGGTGATATGGCAAAGAAATACAGGCTGATACATATCAAACTCAGAGAGAAAAAAAAAGGAAGAGATGATGACAGAAAACCGACCTGGATCCAAGTCAAATGAAAAACACTCACTTATGCTGCATGCTGATCCCACACACCTCGTGCGTCTCTCTACATCTCTTTCATCTGCAGCTCAGAGGCAGCCAGAACACATGCAAACTGTCCAGGTAATAGAAGTCTGCAGGGGTAGCTCCCCGGGTGGGTCATCCTCAGCCTGCAGACAGCGTGCAAACAGATACAGGGCCTGTATTTGCAAGGCATGGATGTCATATCTGGATGGAGAGCGAGTAGAGACAGGATGAGAAGAATACAGGCAAAAAAGTGAAGCAAAATGAGCCATACAATGAGAATATAAAGGGTTTGACCTCAGGGTTTACGCTAGATTAATGTGCAAATGAATCCGTCAAGAGATAACGAAATGATTGGCTATTATGAAGAACAAAAGCTTTATTTTCCAAGCTGGACTTAAACTTGATTTAAGTCCTACTTACCCTGAAAAATATCTCCTTGAGTGTCTCATTACAGGAAGCTTATTCGATAGTTTAGAACAAGCACCTGAAAAATTTCACTTCTGCTTTAATGAAGGTGTTAAGAATCCTTAAAAACTTTGTTTAAATTTCTCTGAGTCCACACACAATGACACTGGATGAGGCTCTTTTGGTCTTTGTGAACATCAAACATGATCAATCTCATTTTTCAAGTATGAGGCACTACCTGCAGTCGTCTAATGCAGGCTTATGTAATGTCTACAGCAGCACTTTTTGTCCTCATGTGATGACACACACACACACACACAGAGAGAGAGAGAGAGAGAGAAGTACTGTAACTCTGAGTGGAAAGGTGGCTCAAGGCTGTAGCGTGAGTCCAAAGATGTGTTTTGCTGATGTTATCTGGACGGCTGTAAACAACTCTTACTCAGAACAGACTGGCTGAGACATCGGGACACTCTGATAATCAACTGCAACAAACTACAACCCTGTAAAAAGAGAAAAAAAATCCAACAAAGGCATACTTCTTTATTTATTTGATGATTTTGTCTTTATTTCTCTTCATTTTACTAAAATTCGGTCACTGTCTCATTTTCTCCGTTATTATCACCCTCCTCTCTCCATCTCATGCTGTCACACAATTATGGATCTTGTCTCTGCTGCGGATGTTATCGCACCTATCACATTCTGCCTTCATCTTCCTCCTTTTTTCAGCCGGTCTTTCTGTGTTTGTCACAGCTCACTGCCGCTCCGTCACACGCACTCCCGTCAAACCGCTGTCCTTTGCCATATCTGCAAGAAAAAAAAACAGCTCTGGTCACATTTCATCCATTCCATCTATTGAAAAAACAGATATCACAGTGTAGCACTGGTCTTGTTGCTCTCAGTAAAGGACTTCTATCATTTACAATAACTGTGAGCTGTAATCCAATAATACCCCACCTAATAATTGAATTGAAATAAGTAACGTCAATATAAGTTACTTTGTAATATGCTGTTATGTTACATTACAAAATATTACGTTACAATATGTTGCATTTAATAACTTACTTTACAGTATGTTATGTTACAACAATTAACTTCACAAGAAGCAATAAGTTACTTAACAACATATTACGTTATGATAAGTTACTTTGCAATATGCTATGTTAGGATAAGTTACTTTACAATATATTAGGTTACAATATGTTACATTACAAAATGTTATATTACAATAAGTTACTTTACAATATGTTATGCTAAAATAACTTACTTCACGAGAGGCTATGTTACAATAAGTTACTCTGCAGTAAGTTACATTACAAAAAGTTACTTTACAATATTCAACGCTATGATAAATTACTTTACAATAAGTTACTGTACAATTTCCTACGTTACAATAAATTACTTTACAATAAGTTACTTTACAACTGTTATATTACAGTCACGTTTGTTATGTTACGTTTTGTTATGTTATGCTACATTACAATGGCTTACAGTCATGTCTCCGAAAAAAGAGAGTTAGTTAAAAGGCCTTTGTGTTTGTTGTTCAGCGTTTGAAAAAATGTGTCCGTGTTTTTATTTTTGTAACTATTCCTGTTTGCAACTGCAGTGGCTGTGTAGCTACAATTCAAATTTGGGATAGTGTCTGGCATTATCATATTTCATCACATTACTCAATATCTTATATCGTTATTGATCAGTGTGCGCTAACTTATTGGGTTTTCAGTGCCAGATTTTTGACCATCTGCAGACGTTATACCACACACACACAACAGTCTTTGTTACTTTTGTTAGCTAAACTGTTTTCCCAGGAGACCAGACAAAGGACAAAAATTTTCTCCTACTGGCTCAGCCTTTGCTTGGATTGCACAATGTTTGTCTGTTAGCAGACGGCTTAACCAACAACATGCCTGCACATGCCTGCCATCTGAACTCAATCAGTAATTCCGACACAATTAATATTTCCTCCCCGGATCTTTCTAATGAGTAATTTATGGAAATGTCCTCCTCAACCCTGTGTTTTCTGTCTGTGTTTGCAGACCCATCTGCACACTACTGGCAGTTGATCTGCCTCGACTGATTTCTTGGAGCAGAGTCGGATACATTTGCAGGTTTCTGCACCGTAATGACATTCCTCTGTACGTCTGTTTTCCTCCTGTGTCTCAGGGTATTGTTCAGAGCAGGTCGGCATGTTTGTTTCACTGCAAGGCTTTAGCTTTTATCATATCTTGGCAATCTTGAGGAATGAGTAACAAAAATGAAAGATGACCACAGTCAGAGATAAGACGGGAAAAGAGTGACTCCTTTATTTTGCTTCTTTGGAGTAACTGTATGTAAGTTTGATACTGAGTCATTTTGGGCAATCCCTGTTGACAAAGTGGTGTTGTCTCTTTTTTATCCTGTCCTGGACATGCAGACTGAGTGTTATCAGACAAAAAAATTCCTATCCTGTGTCTTACTCCAGCTGAAAATGTCCGGGCAGGAAAACTGTATCTTCACACTGGCGGTTATATTTGCATTTGTGCATCAGAGAGAGAATAAATGTCAGTACATCTCTTAAAACTCAGACATCTTTTTTTGCAAAGATGTGCGTTAGATTCAGAACCAGAATTCATTGATTTACAAAAACCCCAGTTCCTGTCTGGGACTGTTTTTCCATGACTTTGACGGGTGGACATGGATGGAGAACAGTTTTATGAAACAAGCATGAGGCCAAGTAATAAAGAACAAGTAAGAGAGGGAAGTAATATCATCTAATGTGACTGTTAAAGTGATAAAAGTACAGGCTGCCAGAGGACGCAGGGGCATGAGAAGAGAAGAAAGGTGGTGTAGAGGAGGCTGTGTGTAAAGCAGTACTGTTTGCGGATGTTGTAGACGGTAACATAATACCTCCTCTGTGTTTTGACATTTGAAGACTTCTGGAAAAGTGTCATACCAACAAAAGACCAGACGTTTATTAAGCCCCTTTTCAAGACATAAATAAAAGGCGTCACTTTCCCATAGTGAAACTGTTGTTTTTGCACCTGATATCCTAACTTTTCATTCAGCTATTACCGCAAAAACTTTTAAAATATGTTGATTTATTCACCGTCCCTTTGTTGCGTACTACAGCAACATGAGAACATGAAATCAAAACTCACAGCTTGAGAGAAATACTTTCAGTGTTTGGGCCGAACAGGACGCAGACATAAAGTTATTCCTCAGAGGAAATGCTGTCTGCATTATTTGGATGAGTAAACTGCAGGCGGGTGGAGTCAGAGGGCTGGAATGAGAAAAACATATTCAACCATCCACATCATCAACAGTGTGTGCTGCGGCAAGCGTGACCTCGAGGAACCTTACAAAGAGTAAGGTAATACCTTTTTAAATGACCCTGTGTTCGGGGTCAGCTCACTGTTACACCAAATTTCCTCTGAATACGAACGGCTCCACTGTGGAACGGTGGTGATTTTTGCTGTCCGCCAATTCCTACCGGAAGCGTTTGTAAGGCGGGAGTTGTGAGAACTCACAAGTACCCGCGGGTTTACATGCAATCACGTGATAACAAGTTGTCTCTATAAAGACAGCCACATAACCATATCAGCAGTAGATTGTGTCCTTCCAGAGGACGAAATCCACCTCTAGACTTCTAGAGTCAGCATCTCCTCATCCATGGTGTCAACGGGGTGTAATGAAGTCTGAAAACCTTTGACTCGTTCGTCCCTGCCTGTTTGCATGGTGTGAAATATGATCCGCCTGAAACGCGTAGTGTTTTATTTAATGTTTGTGCCCGACTTCCTTTCCAGCTGATCTGTGCTAAATTTATGCAGCATGCTGCGGCATCCGGAAAAACAGAAACCTGGTGATCGGCTACGAAGCCCGCTGACTAGCAGGGGGCCAGAAAGAAGCCGGTGGAAATTGACGCTTTAGCTTGAATGGAAATGATCAGCGGCGATTGGCGCTGACAGACTTTTCACCGCCGTTCCGCATGAGGTGGAAATTGGGGCTCATACCGATTCTGTTTGGCAGGTTTGTCTACCGCTACGTTCAGACTGAAGTGCAGCACGTATAGGCCTTGCATTTTGATCGTGTGGTTATCTGTATCAGTTAAACCCGACCCAAAAAGTCCCTGAGGAAACTCTGTAAGTCTGGCTTTAGAGCGTGGGCTGCAGTTGCAAAGAGCTTGTTCAGGTTCATGAGAAACTCTGCATGGATTAACTTAAATTTAATGAAATCTGTTCTATTATGACTTTATCCTAACATCCATGCTCTACTGGCATACACCAAAAGAGTTCTGCGATCTTACACATCACAGACTCCACACAAGACGATAAACGATTTAACTGTTTTGTTCCTTTTTTTCTCACCAGGCTGTAAACAAATTACAAAAAATGCAGAGAAAACTGTCTTTTTAACATGGGACCTAATGGGGCTTCCATTGCTTTTGGCACCAGTCTCAAGTCGACACCCAAGAAACTGCCTTTTTGTAATTATAACAAACGTGGTTTTATTATGAGACCTTGGCTGGTGAGATTTCTAATGAAAAAAGTCCCGTCCCTTTAACACCCTGAGTTTTGCTTGTTTACGCTGCTTTTATTCGCGCTCTTATCAGACAGGACAGGACATGGCCGGTAGAAATGTAAAAAATAGGTTATGTTGTGTTCTGGTATTTTTTTTTTATCCATTCCTGAGTCATAGTAAAATTCTCAGAAGAATTTGCATCATATCCTTTTTCGCCCTCGGTGTCCATCTTTTATTATATCTTTGAAAAGTTCACAGAGGTTGTGAAATTGTCTCTTGACCTTACAGCTGTTGGTTATCCATCATCATGTTTTCAATCTCTCCCACTTTGCACCACACAAGGATGCTTTTGTGCTCCTCTCTGAACGAGCTACAACAACTTAACACCATCCGAAAGCAAGGCGGCTCCAATCTCTCTGTCAAGTGCGATATCGCTCATCTGAAGCTGATAATGTCTGCGCGTCCAGTGCCCTCTCCCAGATATGTTTGCTGTGGGTGTTGCCCGACGACGTCTCTGTTGTGGTCATGTTCAGGAGATAAACCAGGTACTATCTTGTTTGTGTAGTCTTTGGGATAGGTGATGGAGTGTGACTTCATGGCTGAGCTGGCCTGCTATTTTGGGTTCACGTTACAGCACACCCAGACATTACACCCGCTACTTTCTCAACTGAGTCACTTCTGTGAAATGTCAAAAAGTTTTGCTCCATGAATTCGTTTGTTACTATTTTAGATGCCTGTCGAATCGTAGCGGTCCACTTTTAAGTTTTAACACTGGAAACAAAGGTCTGTCCTCAGATTTACATCTCAATTAACCTCCACACTTTCCGACCTCCTGTTTCTCTTTTTTTTCCGTCTGACCTTCTCACCCCTTTTCTGTGTTTTTATATCCCTGCCCCCCTCTTTCAAACACAGGAAACGTGTGCTGGAAAACCCAGCTTGTGTGTCACTCCACTTTAAAGTGAGGGTATCAAGCAGGAAAATAAATACGAGGGAGAGAAAGTAGCAGCAGAACAAAGTAAAACAAAATTAGCGTGGCTGCATAGCCGGGTTCTGGCTGATGTCCATGTTGATAGAGGAGCTTAGGCCTGAGCTGGGAGGATGGTAACATTTCAAATAAGCCGCTCTGATGTTATCTCTGAGCTATTAGGCAGCCCGGGTTTTGCTGCACGGGGTATGATGCTGCACTCCTAAACTTCATAACTCCCTGCTGAATTATAGTTTAGAAGCCAAAAATACTTTAAAGTGCAAAAACAAAGTGAGGATTGAAAATAAAGCCCATGACAAAGAGCTACGACTCATCCTACATGCACAAATGTCAAGGTGAAACCACGATAAATTTACTCTTTTTAGGTGCCTATGTGTGTAGGGTGACCATATGTCCTCTTTTACCTGGACATGTCCTCTTTTTTGGGGGCTGTCCGTCTTTATCGTGGGAAGTTTATAAAATCCTTCAAATGTCCACGGTTTTGTTTCGGGTTAAAGACACTCGATCCGACCTGAAAAACTCTCAAAATTAACTTCATGAGACTCCCTGACTCCACCCCCGCGTATTCGTGTCCTCTTTTTGGGAAGTCAGAATATGGTCACCATATATATGTGGCTTATTACCATCACAATCACACGACAAATGAACTGTTTCCTCCAGTTTGTTTCTTGCTAGAATATGTCCCAAATCAGTAGATACCACCCTGATTTCTGATTGGAGGGTTATGATAATCGTTATTCCACACATTCAGGTTAGTTTTAACAACATCCTGTAGCGTCTTTTGTCCTTAAAGCTCCTGAAAACCAACACGGTGGTAGCCAAATGCCAAATTTATGACTTCACATGTCAAGTCAGGAAACGACTAGTTGACTCGAGCAGTTATTTGCTTTTTTGAGCATCCTGTTGTAACTCTCTTTCTCCTTTTCCATTCTGCTTTTTGATTCGTCGCTCATGTCTCACCTGTTCAGTCCCGTCATTGTCATTTCACAGTCGTTCTCAGAGATTGTGCATCATCATTGCGAAAGTACATATAGATTATGAACTCCTCTCTCATAGAAGTGGTGCATTGTGGGATACGGGTTGACAAATGTTGGAGCTGTACATCACTCCTTTAATCGCACATCAAAGCCTCGTCATTGTCACGGAGACAGGTTTGCTCGCCCCGTCTTGTACACTTCAAAGAGGAGGGAAATCTCACACACAGACACACACTGTCACACAAGTACCTCTCAATTTGTCTCCACGCATAAGCTGACACTCACACACGGTTTAAGTGGCTCATATCAACAGCCCAAATATCCTTCAGTGGGTAAACTGATATCAGTAGGAACAACTTAAAACGATGCGCGAGTAAGGAGATCAAAGTCGGAGATTTCCCAACAAGTCTTAACGGCTTTGTTCTAGAAAGATCCTGAGAGGAGATTTATCTGCAGGAATGTGGGGGAAATCACAGCCTGCATATTAAGCAGCCTGGCGAGGGGAAAATACGATACAGAGGACAGATATGTTTAGGTGCAGGGGGGGTGTAAAACATTCCTATAAAGTTGCTGTGGGGACAGGCGAAGCTGTGTTCCACGACCGTGTCCACATGTTGACAGCTTTACGCCTGTGGTCCTGTACTTTTACTGCCACCTCACATAAACCCAAAAGCCATCGACTCTCCCGGTGTGCCGTACGATCGTAGAGAAATTCCATTTTAGATTTTAACCCGGAGCGCGGATGGAGGAAGGGTGAAAAACGTAAAGGAGAACTGGAAGTAGAAGTGGACACGACCAACGTCTCCACGTCTTCACTCAAAACAGGTGCTCTGTATAATCCAAACAACAACCTCAGGGAACAGACTTCAGACGGTCATGCTGGCTGAGTCTGTCGACCTATGAACTTCCCTCTTAACCCCTGTTAAAAGGCAACCAGCTTGTTTCTCCGCAGCCAGACTCTCGTGTCTTTGCCACACAAACGCTTTGCTTTTGGTTGACAGAAAAATGTATCATACTGTCAAGACTTTTGGCTCAACCATAGCTTTTTCTGATTATTTTGGCGTTACTGCTCGATACTCTGTCTAAATTTGTGTTTTACAGGACAAACTAGATTTTCTCATGAGTGTACCTCAGTGCAGGGATGAAGAATGAAGTCAAGTGCAATAGTTTTCAATTTACCGCTGTGCAAATGGTTTAAAACCATTATTTACAGTTGCTGGAGGAGCTCAAAACTACTACCTATGCATGCACAGGTAAGCCCAGCAATGGTGATTTGGTCATGGCTGGCTTGGACTGCTGTCCTTGTCCCAGTTTTCGAGCACTGCACAAGAATCAAATACTTGATAGGAGCGTGTTTTCTATCAGGTCACCTGGTCTCCTGACCTGTGACGCATCAAATCAATCAACAAAATATGTAAGCAAGAGGCTAACAGGAAGCACATCGAATGACGAACACCGTCAGCTTGTACAGCACCTGTTTACAACCTCCTTTTGCTTGTCAAGGTTTTGGTTTACTACTAAGCTTCCTAGCAACGCTTCATGCTTTTCGGCTTCCTGCTCAAAGCTCGGTGCGAACACTCAAGCATGAGCAGAGGGTTAAGACCAGGTTCAGTCTTCAGGAAGGGAAAAACAATCCCCAAACGCATGATCTAGAAGGTCGATTTAGTAGTTTGGTAGTTTCAGTAGATTTCAGACGGACTTGCATGTTTTCTTAAAATCTAGTTGCCACGTCAGCAGTGATGCGGTTGCTGCACAGATCTGTCATGGTTAAGAGGGTACTGAGCCGAAAGGCAAAGCTCGTGATACACTGGTCGATCTACATTCCCACCCTCACCTGTGGTCACGAGCTGAGGGTAGTGACCAAAAGAACAAGATCGCGAGAGGAGTCCGATGAGGTGGCTTGGGCATCTAATCAGGATGCCTCCTGGACGCCTTACCGGTGAGGCGTTCAGGGCGCTTACCACCAGTAGGAAACCGCGGGGAAGACCCAGGACACGCTGGATGGACTTCGTCTCTCAGCTGGCCTGGGAATGCCTTGGGGTCCACCGGGAAGAGCTTAATGAACTGGCTGGGGAGTGGGCTGTCTGGGCTTTTCTGCTCAGGCTGCTAGCCCCACTACCTGTCCCCTGATTAGGCAGATTAGGCATTTGAAGATTTTGCCATCATTTTAACCTATCTGCTCTGTCATAAGGTCTTATTCGGGAAGCGCTCATGGTATTCAACCTCAGAAACACTGCATAAATTTAAAAAACTATTTAAAACTATATACCACTATTATTAGGGCCCAGCCTGTACAAGCTCGGGGTCGATCCAAAGCCTGATTTGACCCCCTGATGTTGTCGAAATAGTGGTAGTAAAAATAATATTTACAGACTGAATTCACAGATTTTAGGTGAAATTTCTTGCTTCAATCACTCAAGAGTTTGAGATCATCGTGTGAAATATTTAAAAAGGTCTCTCAGAGAGGAATTGACCATCATATCACACATTTGCTATAAGGATCACTCTGTGGATACTGTTTCCCATCACGTGCAGAGCCTTCTGGTCCACATTCAGTCCTCCCCCTGTACATTACCACCTCTCATCCTCCTCACACAACCTCAGCACCTGCTTTGATGACAGTATTAAGTGCGTCTAAGTGCAGCTCTGGTAAGTGGAGCTCCCTGTTTGCCTTGTGAAGCAATAGTGGAGGCATTCTGCACCCCGCAGGTGTTAATTTTACACATGTGAAGTAAAACCTGATCAAGGATTGAGAGCAAGCATGCACCAACCAAAGACAAATATACAAGTGCACCGAGTCTAAAAGAGCCAGCTGATAAACTAATATACATTTGGTGTGCTTTGGGGAGCTACTTTTAGTCCTCGTAATGATATTTAGTGGAGCATTCACACTGTAGTTTTTTGATGAGTGCACACTTCATGTGGGATCTTCCTGAATTAGCTAACACCAGGGGAACAAATTGTCTTTCACTAAGATTTGACACTGTGTCTCCTCTTCCTCCCTCACCTCAGTCTTTTCTTTTCACTGGAGCTTCTTGAAGCAGGAGAGCGGCACAGTGAGCGCTTTTCAAAAGCAGCAGTGGGATGGGGCCCTTCATATGAAAGAAATAACTCCAGTGTCCCCTTAATAGATGCTTTTTTTTAATGAGCACTTCTCAGAAAACCCTCCCTTGACTTTCCTCTCTACATTTTTTTCACAGTGGTTCATTCAGTCTTTATTTCACAGAAGTGGATAAGACTGATCATCTCTCCATCTCAAAATCAAGCGGTGACTTACGTTGATTATACAAGTTCACTGATAGCTGGGAGAATTGCAAGTGTCGTTGCTTTTATCTGAATACACTCATGTTGATTCTGACCTAAAGGTGGGGTAGGCAAGAATCCGTTAAAAAAGCATCTTTTTTTTTTCGTGGTGTCAAATGGAAACTCCTGAAGGTCCTCACACAACAGGAGCGAATTCGTGAGGCGATAAAGCAACTGTTATTTCTTCGCTCTTGTGTCAAATTTTGTGAAGGCAAAAAGGCAAAAGGCCAAACCTTTGACCAATCAAAATGATGTTGGTATGTCTGTGACGTCAGCCCTAGTCTGCATTCATTCGTCATAACTGAGCGCTTTATCATTAGTGTGCAGGAGCGCCCTGCTTTAAGTGACAAGGTCCTTAAAATATTCCATGACACTGTCCTCAAAGAAAATATACGGCAGGAATTATAAGAAGACCTCGACTTACCTGATGAGCAAATTGACGTTATATCAATCCCCAAACATAGATGTGTAATGTAGTTAGCATAATATGAAGCTAAGCTAGCTAACTGACAAGCTTGAGGCAACTTTTTCAAAGTCCAGTAAACGTTTTTATATGGTTTTATAGTTTTATTTAATAGAAGCGCCAAACTTTATTCGCTTAGCAAGCCGGCAAGATATTCGCCTTTTCGTGAAATCCATTTTGCAAAACTGAAGCATGTTTAGCAATACGAGCATCACAGAAAAATACTTAAAATTTCAGATAAAACAGCTCTGTGGGTTCTTGGTGTACTCGTATCAGTTCAGGACACAGATATTTGAGTATAAATAGCGTGAAAAGAGGAGTTGTGCCAGACTGGAATGTCCTCCTCAAGGGCATCTGTTGGACTGTGCCCAGCACGCCATGATGGGTGTTAAAATTTGCTGGAGAGCGGCCAAAAGCAGGAGGATAAAAGAGGGACTGAGAGAAAGAGAGAGAGAAAGAGTGAGGGAAATTCCTTCAAGGAGCCTCTTGTCAAGTGCAGTTCATTTCTCCTCCCTGCTCTATTTAAGAGGGAAAGCAAAGACGACAAAAGACGAGGGGAAGGATTGACAGATATATGAGACTACAGGTTGATGCAGAATTAATGGAAAGAGTGAGACGAAGCAAGAGGAGAGAAAAATTGACCATGCCTCTGCTTGAATCTGCACCCACTTCCCCTTTTCTCAGTCATTACCTCATCTCAAATATTCCTATCTCTCTGTTTTTGCCTCCCTCTCTCCTCTTCCTCTAGACTGTAAATGCTGAAGTTTGTTTTTTTTTACGTCGTGAAAACACCCAAGCAACTGGCGGCTATTCTGAGCGGCCGTCACCTGGATTTCAGAGACGTAAAAACGCGGCGCTCAGGAATGGAATTTGATCAAATGACCTTATGAAATAACATGCCAGAGGAGCTTTCAACAGCTCCTTCCCACTTCTCAAAGAGTCACTCTGCAGCGCCACAGCAGCGCATACAGCGATTACGCAGGTATGACAGGTATCGTGGAGTGATTTTGTCTATGCGTGTGTCAGACCTGTGGCTGCACAGCTGTGTGTCTATATTAATGTCAGCGAGCTGTGTGCAGCCCTTATCGCCTCGCTGTCAGTCGCACAGTGACCCCGCTATTTTGCAGGGGTCAGAGGTGAGAGGTCAATGAGGTGACACTAGGATTGAGCCCGGCCTCGTCACAGCCCCGACATGAAAACAAAAAGGCTGTGACCTCGTATCCCTGGGAAGTTTCCAGATGCGAGTAAAAGTTGCTGATTCGAGCTTTACATCAATGGTATGAAAACACTCGAGCTATAACTCATTAAGCTCCTGGAGAGCTGAGGGAGATACTGAAGACATTCGATCATTTTGCTACCTCGGAGAAAAGCCGGGTGAGAGATGACCACAGAGCAGAGTCATCGGTGCATTCCAGTGTGACGGGATATGAATCACAGTGCTAACACAGCAGAGACACCCTGAAACTCCTGGAAATGGTAACACAGTCGAGAACAAGGAAGTTGATGCTCTCAGTTTGGTGATGTGAGATGTTGTGATTGTGACAGACACCAGAGGGGTCGGCGGCTCAGCGATTGTTGATGGTGGTTTGAGATTTCACAGCAGCAGTGACTTCCTCGGCTCCGGCTTGATTTGCTTCATTTGGTCGCACAAAAGCAGCAGTGGCTGCGTGCCGGCCCCCCGAGACCAAACAGCCTTTTTTACTGGAAGGGCCACACACTCACACAATGGCACCTCTGTGAGTCCAGTGAGCCTGCGGTGAAGTTTAGCTTTTGATCTCTCATCACATGAAGTCACACTCCAGAATAAAAATAAGACAAATGATTCAGTCTTGATCGGACTATCTGGGCTCTGCTACAGCTAGGGTGACCATACGCCCTCTTTTACCTGAACATGTCCTCTTTTTGGGGGGCTGTCCAGGCTTGTCCGGCTTTGTCCGGGGAAGTTACAAAATCCCTCAAATGTCCACGGTTTTGTATGGAAGTTTTGAGTTTGTGTCACATGGACTTTATGAGTTAGAAGCGCGCAAAAGACACTCGATCCGACCCGAAAAACTCTTATAATTAACTTTGTGCAACTCTGTGACTTCGCTACCGTGTAGTCGTGTCTTCTTTTTGGGGATTCAGAATATGGTTACCCTAGCTACAGCTGTACCCTTGTGCTTTTGCACTGAACTCCACAATACTACAATATCAGCATCAGCTTCCATCCTTCTATAAAACTTACCTACGGATATGTTTGCTTTTTAACCTTGTGATCGCGCTCCTCAGCTCAGCTTGTCACAAAACTATTCTTTCTTTTTCTACATCAGTTGCTTCCGTTATCGTGTTGTGTCGTTCATAAACGATTCGTTCAAAAGAACGGAATGAATGGAATCACTCCAAGACCTGATTCGTTCCTTTCTCAGTTCAGTTGAGCTCCGCATGCCTGTTGGGAGTGAAACTGCCGCCTTTGACTCTTTGGCGAATAACACTCAGCCAGCCAGCGAGCAAACGAGCAGGTGGAGGCTCACAGCGAATGAAAAATAAGTATCAGTCAGACTGAACGAAACGAACGACTCCCAAACAATTTGAGGCAGGCAGAGGAGGAGGGGTGTAGCGTCGTTCACGAACTGCCGAGTACCTGTTTGTTGACTGAGGCTAAGATAAAACAGCGCATTATAGCGCCTTTACACGTCTATAAACTCCCCTGTAAGAAGGATTTAATTTCAGCCGATTTAAAGCGATACGCTGTTTGATATCTTTAAAAGTATCAGAATCCCTTCTACAGCTGCAATGTTTATTTATTTTTTTATTTTATTTTGATACGGTGAACGATTCTTTTGAACGAATCATTTTAATGAACGGATCCTGAAGATTCAGTACGGTGAAAAGAACTGTTCTTCCCATCACTACTCCGTAATCCTTCAGGCTCTTTTCACCGTGGTGGTTACCCATCTTTGGATGCGCATGAATCTTTAAGGAGACGATTAACCAGATGAATTATGTCAAACAAGACGCAGGCGTGAACTTAATAGGCAACAGCTTGAACTTGTCTTTTTATGGTTTTATTGTCTTTAGGTGACACAGATCTGCAGAAGCCGTTGTGTGGAAACTGTGAGGTTAACTTTCGTAACTTCTCCCTACAGAAGACCACCCAATGCCAACTTATAGTAGCGCAAACCGCAGTGTCACACAGCTGTTCATAAAGAGCATGCCACCCATACTTAAGCCTGGCACCCACGACTAGGCGCTTGTGTCCCACCGCAGCCTGATGAGACCATTTGTTCTCCGCCTGGGAAACGAGAGATGAAGAAGAAAGAGCCGAATGTTACGACCGCTGCCAGTAATTCAGGGATTTGATTTCACATCTTTGTGCGTTATCTCAAGGCGTAGAACGACACAGAAGGAAAGCGAGGGAAGAAAAAGAAATGAGGGAGATAGAGAGAGCAGTGTGGACATGCCTGCTGTTTGCTCGGCTATCTGTCCTCTCCATCAGCTCTGCAGCAGCTCACCCAGGCAGCAGCAGACGGACAGCTCTGCGCTGAACCGGGACTGCTGCTGCAGAATCTTCAATGCAAACTCTGCTTTTACAGACCGCCTGCACCCTGATTGGTCTAAATTCAATTTACTGAATCACCTCATTGTCTCACCCGCTGCCCTCTTTTTTTTAAGGAGACTCAACTAAACCTTCTTCTCTCCTTCTCCTGTCCTCTAGCTCATCCTGCTCTCCTCTCTCCTTACACATTCAAAAAAAAAAAAAAGAGGCTTTGTTCAATATTTGCTCTTAAATGACCGTCTCAAAGCTGCATTATCCTCAAATTGTCCAACATAGAGACATTTTCCTGCTGCAGGATTGATTTCCACTGTGCAAACATACTATCATTGTCATTTTAGGACCCTTACACACACAGGCCCTTCAGCGCTCAATGTCTCGGATGAACTGCGAGCTGAAATGCACACTTGCGCCACTGGCATAAGAGCAACAAAGGTCCACACAGGCCCTGTTGTCCTGGGACAGTAATGTAGTTATCTGTGCCACAGTGGGAACATAAAGCAGTGGATAGATGAATGCTATCTTTATATCTACAGCACCAGAGGTGATTTGAAACACTGCCACTGGACGTCATCGAGCCCCGCTCTGAAACACGGCCTTTGAAGCTCTGACAGCGCCGACAGAATCAGGCCAGCGCTTTGATACGGGTGGTGGGGAAAGGAAAACTTGAGCGTTCAAAGGGAGCATTATTTGGTTACAGCTCCATTAAAAATGTTGAACTTTGAGGATGATAGAGGGAATAAAAAAAAAATACGAGGAAGAAAGCAGCTTTTCATAGGTGTCATGTTTGTTGGCGTTTCTTTTTATACCTGTATTTATTTTCAGGAAAGTAAAGTATTGGAGCCAAAGATGCAAAAGAAATAATCAGGGGAGGATAATTTTTTAACATAATGCACTATGAGAATAAAGTAAAAAAAACGTTAAAGTATATTTACATGACACTCAAGACTTGCTCCGATTAAGACACCTTACCCCCAATTTCCACCGCATCCAGAACGGCTACAAAAAGGTCGTATCCACCGATCATAGCTGATCGTAACCATTCCATTTAATGTGTCAATTTCCACCGGCTTCTTTCCGTTCCGCTGCGGATCGCAGGACTCGGCAGCTGACGGCAAGAGTTCTATTTGTTCCAGACGCCGCAGCATTCCGGATAAATTCAGCAGAGATTAACCCATGCTGGAAAGGAAGTCGGGCACAGACAAAAAATAAAACATCCGGCTTCTTTTCAAAATAAAACGCTCCGTATTTCAGGCGGATCGTACTTCACACCATGCAAACGGCCAGGGGCAAACAAGTGAAAGGTTTATAGACAGCATTTCATCCTGATGACACCATGAAGGCGGAGATGCTGATTTTAAGAGTCTAGAAGTAGATTTCCTCCTCTGGAAGGACACAATCTACTGCTTCGATGGTTAGCTTATGTGGCTAAAGACACTTGTTATCGCGTGATTGCACTTGAATCCGTGGGTTCTTGTGAGTTCTCGCGATTCCTGTAGTCTGTAATCCGCCACGAAATTCGCCTCACAAATGGATCCGGTAGGAATTGGCTTATGGTGAAAATCGCCACTGTTCCGGGTCAGAGCCAATCCGGATGCGGTGGAAATCCCGGGTTAGTTGGACTATAATCAGAGTTTGAGAACTCCAACTACGACACCCGGATAATACGATTGGAATTCAATTTTCTCTACCATGTAACCAGTGTAGTCGGCGTATGATTGGACAATGCATATGCGCGTGCGTCTCATCTGTAGAAAAAGTAGCGCTACATCATGTACGACAAAAAAAACGCAGTACGATGCTCCATCTTCTTGCTCCAAAATGCTCAGCAGCAGTTGTAGACACTTCTGACGTCTGTCCCGGACCTGCTGCTGTTCTTGTTGTTGACAGTTGTATGGGGTCAGAAACAGCGCCACTTTTTGGGGGGAAGGACACTTTCACGTCAATAATTTGATTCTCCTGTATATGCAGACAAGGCAAGAAGTCTGATTCGGCGAAACAAACGAATCATGAGCTTTGTCCGATTAAACTGTGCATGTAAAGTTCTGAGTTTGTCTCCTTTCCTGTGCAGCAGCATATTATGGAAAAGTGCAGAAAAGGTTTTGTTTACTATCTGACTTCTACTTGTGGACATGCTGCTGCACATAAGTCACACTCGGAGGAGAAACACTGCAACTCATTTCAGCTTTTAAACTTTTACCTTTGGATTAACTTTGAGCTAATGGGGCACACTTTTTTAAATAAACACAGTTATCATGTACCACACAAGCGCAGTAATCACTAAAGTAATCCTAAACTCAGGAACTTGTGATGTTATTCTTTGTTTAATCAAAAGGCCCGAGCTATAATGGAGTCCCTTGTTGGTCCTGCATGGGCTTCAGGGAGTTCAGCGATCTGCCTGTTTATTTTACTCCAGTTTCCTGTTTTCCTATCACACATCATCTAAATACTCTTTCTCACTTCCTGCCCGCGGGTCTGCAGGTAAACCAAAACATTACGTCAGTGAGGAACTCAAGTCTCGCCGCTTTGAACCCCAGAGGGCTTTTCAGTGAAAACGATAAACACAAAGGCAGTCAGTGGGAGAGAGAGAGAGAGAGTTAATTACTAAAGCTGATTCACAGCTTAATGACTGCTTCACGTCTGTGGGGTGTTTTTAATAAGCTTCAGGAGTCGGGCTGAGCGGCAGCACAATCTGTTTTTAATGGGACTCTGAATGGTTGAGAGTTGACGCTGTTACGCACAGAGACAAAGCCGCTGCTTTTACATGTGGTGCGGAGTGATCTCATTAGACGCTCGGTAATAAAAGAAAAATGAAGCGATTAGATCTGGAGGAGCAGACTACATTATCAAGAGAGTTTCACACCACTCTGAACACGCCCTGAGGCACTCCTTTTTTTCCTCAGCACTTGTCCCCTGTTGTTATGTTGTGTTTATTCTAAACAGCCATGTCAAGAGGAGGTAACTTTACACAACTGAAGCAGTAAAATAAAGTAAATGTTGAAAATAAAACAGAGGAGAAGGAGTAAAACAGAAATTCAGACCACACATCAGTATGTTTACATGACACTTAAGAAAAACAAATTATTGCCTTACTGGCTAAACCCAAAGGATTCAGCCAGTAAGACTGGCAGGTGGATCAGATCTGCAAGCCTACAGCGCTCACCGGATCCGATCCACCGCCATCATCGGAGGAGAAGCGCTCGCGACATTACCAGTATTTCCTGCGAGACTGGACGAGATCTCACGAGCTCTTGCGTGTTTCCCCGGGAGTCATAGAATGAGATCCGCCGATCGCTGTATGTAAACAGTGTATATAAACACAGTTGTATATAACAACAGTTTAGTGAATTGACTTTGTTTTATTTTGAAAATTTACAGAGTATTTTACTCTGTAACTGTGGAATGACTCACATTGATTATAATGTTTGCGGATTTGATCCGCCAGGCGTGCCAGAGCGGAGCGGAGCCGTTCCGGAGCGTGTGGGTTTTGTCCGTTACTCTGATTAAGACCGGACAACTGAAGTGCATGTAAACACCTTAGTCCAGCTATAATCAGAGTCTGAGAACTCCGACTGGAGTCTGAGAACTCTGATTAAGACACCCAGATAATGCATTTGGAATTCGATTTTCTCCACCATGTAACCAGCGTAGTTGGAGTATGATTGGACAATGCATATACGCGAACAAAAACACCAAAGAAGAGGAACAGCGTGCACCTCATCTGCAGAAAAAGTAGCGCGTACATCATGTTTGACAAAAACAACGCTGTACGATGCTCTATCTTTTTGCGCTTGCTTCTTTTAGCCACTTGCATGGACTTGTTGAAATGTAAAAAAGCTGAATGTAACATAAACAAGGAGAGAAGTCTGATTCGGTGAAAAACCACATTGTGAGCTTAGTCCGATTAAGCTGTGCATGTAAACACACTGAGTGAGAACTCAGCTAAAAACTCCTCACAGGAGCTTTAAAGCTGCTGTTATGCCTGTTGTCAGATAAAATCTTCTCCTTTTGTTTCTTGACAGTGATATCGATCACTAACCGTGAACATTTGTTGAGGGAAAATGTGTAAAAAAGCTTCTTCTTCAGCCTGAAGTCAATTGTCTGGACTAACACCTGCCCTCTCACAGTGGTTTCATTATCAGCCTTAACTTTAGTGGTCTCATTTGCTTCTGAAGATCTTTTAGAAGCTTCAGAAATGCATCATTCAAAGACCCCTAAACAAACTCTCAATTTAAAAGAAGGTGCATCAAACTGCAGTTTAATCTCTTAAGTCCATCAGATCTTACAGAAGAGGATCAGCTGAGAAAGACTGGAGAGGTGATTAGCGGTGTGACAAAAGACAATGATGACAAAGCATTTTGTGTTTCACTGTGCCCCCCCCTCCGTGAGTGAGTGTCCACGGTTACAGTGAGAGAATGACACAGAAGTGGAGGGTCGAGTCTCTGGGCCCCCCTCCCGGAGTCATCCCTCAGGGATTACTGAGGTTTCCATGACTGTTGATGCACTGCGTTGCCATCTTGAATTATGACGTTTTCATCAGGTCGGGGTTGGCAAGGATCATCCGACTTTCCAAGACGGAAATCTGACTTCAGGGGGCCGTTCCAGATAAATTTCGGAAATCCTCACTTCCGGGTACAATTGGAACGCAGCATAAGTATCAGGCTCAGAGAATGTGGGCATGTTGGCTCTGAACTCTGTTAGCAGTTAGCTTCAGACAGCCTTGCTCAGGGGAAAGATTTATTTGTTAAATCCCAGAGAGAAAAAAAGACAAAAAAAAGTTTTTAACATTGTTAAAATTAGCATTCAGAAAAACATTTAGCAGGTCACATCACAAAAGACAAAAACCAGAGCAGCTGTTTTGCAATCTGCAGCTTGATAGTCCCGAGTCTCTGCTGCAGAGCTGAGTTAAACCAAGAGAGGGGGAGTGAAAGATGAATTCCTGGATACTGAGCACATGTTGTGTTTCGCACTCCTGTCTGTGTTCGCCGTCAGAGCTGCCAGTCATTTATATTCCAGGGTTGCTCGCAATGATTTACACCGCCAGCCCTGCACGACAATAAGCATGTCATTTTAAATAGCAGGTGTTCACCCGCTGCCTTAGCTCATGGAAAGCAAGTTCAAAAGAAAGAGTGTGAACCTGAATTAAACCCATAAACGGAGCAGTCAAACTGGCATGCAGGTCAGAGACTTTCCCGACCGCTGCTGGGCCTGTTTCTCATCCTGAGACAATAACTTTGCCAGGCGACTTCCAGCGGCACTGGTAGCAGTTATCCTGTTGCTGTTATTAGCTTTGGTAAAAGTCATGTCAGAGATATTCAGGTCAGGCTGAAACCGCTGAATTTAAAGCACTGGGGTTGGTGGGGAACTGTGCAAACTCTGCAATGACTTCATCCTTCTGTGCAAAAGGAAACGTGAACAAATGTGAGCAGATGGAGGCACAAAAATACTTATAATCAGGTGGTTGAAACAGAGAGTGTGCAGCAGCCAGTCACTCTGAAGTCCAGATGCTGCAGTTGTCAAGGGTTAGACTCTCCAGTACAGAAGCTTCATAGCCTTCCTGAACCATAAAGATTGTTTGGACTGACAATAAAATGTGAGTTTTATGTGTTCTTCTTGGAGGATGGAAGGATTGACTGGATTGCTCATTGACTCTGCTCTCACCATGCTGCCAAACGCAGACCAACTAACCACACTGGGGATTCATACGGCTTTTCCTTTGAACGGGCTCCAGAAACAACTTTCTTTCGACCTCTTTTGAATTCAAGTTTACATTTAACAACATGAGCTCTGATAAAATGCCAGTAAACCTTTTATTTGTTCTCAGATGATCATATTTTATTCATTTAGGTAAGCCAAAGCAGGGTAACAGAGGTATATCAGCCTGTCTCTTTAAGGGTGTTTAATGCAAACTGCAGCGTTCTAAGAAAAACGTCTTTATAACTTTTCCTATGCAAATATTAACAGTGAGTGATGTGTTTATGAGGAGGAAACAAAAGTAGATAATTTTAAAGAAAGGGGAAAAAAAACTTCTACAGATGTACATGACGAGAGTAAAGAGGTTTCACTTTGGCCACAGGGGGCGCCAAATCAACACGAATACAAAACTCCTCACTGGAGCTATAATTAAAGATTCAACAACATCAACTTTCAGATCAGAAATTCACATTTTTTAAGTCATATTTTCAGGGTTATATGAGTTCATTCAGATGTAAAAGGAAACCAGGCGAGAAAGGTTGGAAATGATGATACAGCCTCTGTATATAGGGGTTCGAAAACCAGCACCAGCGTTCACAAGTATCGCCTTTAAAGACCCTCTCCGATGAAAATCACGCTTTTCTTGTCTGCATGTTCATATGGCATTTTTCCGATTCTACAGGACATATCATGAGAAGAATAAGTGCAAAATTGCATTTCTAAGTATTTCTGCATTTAAATCGGTGTGACTTACTGCAGACTGAAATAGTAGGTTCAGATACAATGAGATTTCCTACATCACAACTCCAAGCTCCGCCCCCAGAGCCCCGCTATGCAAGCCAGTCTTGCAGAAATAGATAGGACAATTGCTGAACAAGCGTGTGCATTAGCAGATTGCAATACTCGTAAGAAAACAAATTTTAATATTAACTTTCATCATGTCCCTAAAGACATTAGTGTCGAAGAGCTGAGTAGCTCCTATGTTACCTGCTTCTTCTACTACAATGTTAGGCTGCAAGCTAGCAAGATGAGGAGTGCACTGAGCAGTGTTGTCTCCGCCCACGACCCAGAGGCAAATTGCTAATGAGCTACTGGAGCTCTTCATAATCACAATTTAGAGACCACTGATAACACTTACAGTAGTAAAACAATCGTAGTGGGACTTTAAGATTATATAAAAATGACCCCTCCCCCCAAAAAAAACACGTTTAAAAAAGATTTAGACCTCAGAGTCAAAGTGTGCACTCTTTACATTAATAGACGAATCATTTTTATGAATTTGACCATGACGCCTGATGTCACAACGACCCTGTTTGACCCAGATTTACCCGTCTTTATGTTTAACTTGTATCGCATATCTTTCCTCGTGATAAATGTGTGTGTTTGTGTGTGTGTGTGTGTGTGTTTGCATGTGTGTTACCAGGTGCGTCAGCCACCTGCCGCCTGGTGTGAACAGTGTGAGGTCTGTTCTGTGATGCTCTCATCGTACCCTCATCAGACAGATAGGTGTGCGGCTGCTTCTCACACTCTGGACACACACACAAACACACACACACACACATGCCTACACACACACGCCTACACACACGGGGTCCAGGGTCCTACTTTAATGTAACTCATGCTGCTGCTTTTTTCTTTCTGTCCGCACAAGACCGTCTTTGTGTGAGACTGACCTGTCTGTTGACAATAGTGTTGCTTTAAAGATAAGGTGTGTGTGTCTGTGTACGCGCACGTGTGTGTGTGTGTGTGTGTGTGTGTGTGTTTCCCTCCCTGCAAGGTTGTAAATCTAGGTGGTCTTATCGCACTGTTGAATAATGAGACGTAGGAGAGTGTTAAACTTTGAGAGCTTTCATGCAAAGACCTGGATGAACACACTTATCACTTAGTCAGCATCTTATTGAAAATAATGAACATCATCATCATCATCATCATCGCCGCTTGATAAAGTCCGTCCAAGAGGAGGAGAAGAGGCAGGGTTCATCTGAGTCCATTACTCCTCTGATGGTGGTTGGATCAAAGTAAACACTGATAATGCTTCAACCACAGTTAATAATACCGCTGCTCAAGAATGTTGGCCGGGCCGGCTACTCCCGACCTCACACGTATAATTGCACATGCACACACACACTCTCTCTCACACACACATACACACACTCCTCATTCCTCAATAGCAGTGACACATTCTTCCTCTCTTCCCACAAACCAAACACCGCTCACTCCTTCTTTCTAATTGTAGACCTTTGATTTATTTGATGTGCAAAGGGAAACCGGCTTTCCTAGCTGCGCTCCCATCGGAAAAATATCCACACTCACACGCTTACACGCACAAATACAGTAGAGGCAATGACTCCGTGCATCTCCCTTTTGTAATTATAACACATACAAACATCAGCCCCCATTAGAAACCTGACTTATCTCCCTCCAGAGACCTCTGCACTTTCAGTAGTTCCTCTGACACGCCCTCCTTCACTCCCTGATTCTTCGCTTCTTTTCTCCCTCCGTGTAACAGGACCTGACGGATGCCCTGCCGGGTTGGCGTAAGTGGCATGATGCAAATAGAAAGAGCAAGTGGACGACCTATGAATCAGTCACAAAGCGGATTCTGTATGCATAGGATAGGATGGAAACTAGAAGTGTGCATCATTCCCTAACAGGCTGATACACACCGATGTTGTTGGTTTGTACTTCCAAGTCTTAGGCCAGCGATCCACCAGAGGACTTTGAGAAGATTTGGAAAAGATTCCTGGAAAACTATCAGCTCACATCTAAAGACAAGTGTGTAGAGTTTAAAGTCACAGCTTAGTTTCAGACTGAGAATTTACACTGCGAATTCTTACTGAGACAAAAAAAAACCTTAGATTTAGAAGCGTTCGATAATTTCTCTTATTTTAAGTGTTTAACTTTACATTTTTATCTTATATCAAGCACAACCTTATCTTTTTTTGTCTCAAATAGGCAGGAAGTCTTAAAATCAGAAAAATAACTGTTAAAATAAGTTAAAGTCTCATCGAAAGGAATCTTGTTTTAAGATTAAGTAAGCTTTATTTCAAGATAAACTTGCTTGGATTGAGACAGAGTGTAGTCATTCTTCACTAAAACTGGGTATTTTTTCTCTAAATTTTCTATATTTTTTTTATAAGTTAAAATTCAAGTAATCTGATCTTAAAACCATACTTATTTTATGCTTATTTTAAGTATATTTAACTTATTTTGGGGGCTGTAAAAGTTTAACTTTAAGTAAGCAGCCTGTGCTCGTACTACTCTAACGGCGCTAATGACGCGATTGGGCGAATCTCAACCTGAGTGGATATTTGCGTCGTGATACTAATCAGCATGAAGGTTGCCTGGTGATGTATGAAAATGGACGGTTGTTCACTGGTATCCAAAATGGAGGACGAGCTGATCGTGTCGGCATGTGGGTACCTTGTCTATCACTTGATCCCACCGGTTGAATTGGCAGAGATTACCGTTGAAATTACTGTTGACGTGCGAATAAAGCAAGTAAATACTATTCATTCACGTGTCTGGATTTGCTCAAATGAAGCGTGTAGATGATTTTACTCTCACTTGGTGTGAGCACCCTATTAAACTTAACGATGGAGATGATGGGAGCGCGGTTTGACTCCACTGTGACTCCAGTAAAACTCCAAGATTTACTTAAGACTCTCAGTTCTCATTTGTCACAAGCCTGAAGGTTGGTAGCCACGCCAAAAAAAGAGTTTGATTAAAGCAGCGTTGTGCTTGAGAAATGTACCTTGCAGCATGGATGTACAGTGATCCCAGAAAGGCTGGAAATAGGCCTTCATAATGAGGATCCATTTCAAACCACAGAAAGGATCGTTTTTAGCGCTTCTCTGGTAGCGACGGCCAATTTTTAGAGGCTTCCTGTTTACCCGGGGCTGAGCAACAAAGAACTTCCACTTGTCAAGTCAGCTCATATGGGATCCAGGATTCAGTTTAGGTGGATTGCATTTCATCTCTTTTGTTGTATCCCGATACAGAATCCATTTGTCTCGACAAAAGGAGAGAGAATCAGTCTTTATGTGCCGTAGGTTCGCTCTTGTTTTGGTTTCAACCATTACCTGTGTGAGGTAGACTGTGTGTGTGTGTGTGCAGGAGAGAGACGTTTCTGAGGGACTACCACCCAGGGATGAAACCAGAGACCAAACTCAGGAGCAACCCGCTTACCTTTCCTTGTTCCAAACCCCACCTCCTCCACCTCCCCTCTCCTCAATCAACCCGAGCTGCCCTAATCCTGTGTTTACATAAAATGCTGGACAATAATGATAGCCATGAGAGCATGGACCACCCCATGCCCTGACCACCCCCTTTACTTTCTACCGCTAACCCAAAGCTGTTTTCACAGGAGCCAAATACCTTAAATACATAATTAGCGGGGTCATTTGTGCATTGGGGGCCCCGGAGAGGGCATGAGCATGTCCGTGTGAGTTCGTGGGGGGGGCAGACGGAGGATGAGGAGTGTAGCTGGATGGCGGGGGAGGATATGAAGACGCGAGAGAGGCGGACAAAGACGTGCATTCATGGCTGTGGCCCCGGACAAACTTGGCTGTCGCCATCTTCAAAGGCCACCTCTGCCTTTCCTCAAAACACAGAGGCCACAGGTTGGGGCAGAGCGGAGAAGCATAACAGGGCGACAAGGAGAGGAAAAGAGGAGGTCGGGGGAGGGAGGAAAGGGGGTGTAAGTAATGAAGCAGAGGTTACAAGTTCTGGAAGGAAATGGTCAAGACTAATTTCTAGGTGGTTGAATCTCAGCTCTCGTGTCAATTCTTTTCAGGTTTTACACCCACAACTTGAAAAAAGTTTCAAATGTTCATAAAATTGATTTTGATGATTTGAAAACAGAGTCGAACCTTTTCAAAAAAGGACCGGGGAGACCAGATTCTGAATGTTTTCTCATACTTGGCTGAGAGGACAAGATTTCACCTTGAATTTGGTGTCATGATGCACCGAACATTTTTAATAGGTGACGAATGAGGACTGTAGGCAGGCCAGTACGGCGCCTGGACTCTTCTACGATGGCGCCATAGTCTGGATGGCAGCGTATATTTCTCCTAAACCTATAGTTATTGTTCAGTATTGATCGTGTCTACCTGTTTCCTGCTTTTTAACCCTTAGAACTTCCAGCTATATTTTGCTATTTTTGGTTCGCTTGTTTTTTTTTTTTTCTGTAAAACTCTATGTCACAACTCTATCCTTTCAAGCACAGCAAATATATACATCTTTTTTTACAGGACAACCTCAGCTGTCAGTTTATGGAGCAAAAATTATGTAAAATGAATGTGACAGTAGATTCAGAACCATCAAACTCAACCAAAAAACAAAAACAGAAATTGATACCGAGAGCACTTTGCTCAAAAAACCCATAAAACTACAGCGACCAAGACTTTTCTCACCTGAACATCATTCTCTCAAGTCTTGGCTATCAGGAGAAGAAATATTGGGATTGGAACAAACACACAACAGAAACTATTTACATATTTACATGAATTCTTCCAGGCGTTTTTAACTATTTACAGTTGTTTATGCCACTCCTTGAAGCACTTCCTGTCTGGGATGAGACAGAGGACCACATCATACTTCTCAGAATGTCTTCTTTGCTTGTTTCCAAGCGTTGAGAAACATTATTTCTTATTTTGCAGACAAGCAGGGAACTTTCTTGTCTCTTGTTGATCTTTGGTTGCCTCTTGTTGGACACAAGAAGAATATGAGACCATGTAATTGGTCGAAAGTTTGACAGAAAAAGACGTCATCAAAATAGCTTGTCAAACCCGGAAGACATTAGCGGAATTTAGCGATAGCGATCTTTTTTAATCACAATAACATGATAAATAATCATGTTTTCACCAATATATTACCATCAAACGTCTTTGATCAAACACTTATTTTTGTGACTGGATTGTAAACCTTATGGGGGGTGTAGATATGTCTGGAAACCCTCGATCGATCGCCAAAGGGGTAAGCTTTTAAATACTTTTCTTCCCATAGAGATACACGGTACAGTTCCCAAGAAACTGTAAACAATATTAATGGTGTCACGTGGGATCGCCGGTGATCCAGCAGAGTTAACCTAAAGATAAAAATTTGTTTCCTCGGGTTCATGCAGTGACTTCCACTAAAGAGTCAGGTCTGTTTTTTTCTTCAAACTCAAAATGGAGACACATAATAGAAGCTTCCTCGGTGCAATCATCACTTCGCAACCCCCAAACTCTGAACTTTGACCCTTTGCATTGTGGGTAGCCAAATCACAGTTTGCCCCCTGTACGAGGAGCCCGAAATTCCCGTGCTCCATGTCTCACACTGGGAGACCTGCTTCGTATTGTTCAACCTCAAACTCTCACACACAGAGTCATTCAGCAGCCCACTTCACACCTTGTCAGCCTCTCGTCCCCCTCTGGCATTGTTTATGAAAGCATGTCCACTTAGTGCTGCCCTGTCTGCCCTCTCTTGCTGTGGTGCCGATTACCCACATCCTGAGTCCACTTCACTCCCTCTTCTCCTCTCTTCTTTACTTCGCCTTGCACTCTCACTCCTCGAGGGAATTCTCCCCCTCTCCTGTGCTCCATCCTCCATGACATGCTGCTCTCTTTTCCCTTCCCCTCATCCTCATGAATGAAGTTAGATAGAAACAATAAAATCAATCAAACCCCTGCTCTTCCTTTTATCTGCACCTTATTCACTTTATCCTCTGTTCCACTGGCTTGCAGAGCCGCTGTCTCTCTGATCCTCTCCTTCTTTCATGTTTCGCCTTTCTTTATCTCGCTCCCTCCTGAGGTAATAAACCCGGTGTATGGCCGGGAAGTGCTGAGAGGAGAGACTTTCATGTCCCTTAGCTCTGGGATTAGAGGGAGCTGCTCCGGGAAAAGCATTGAAGCCCCCCCAGCACCTACCGTCTGCTGTTGTTGGATCCTGGAATAAAGCCCGAACTCCTGCTCAGCCTGCAAGCCTGGAAAAGCTCACATTTCCTGGATACACCACCACCCTCATATCCAGCTTCTGTCTTGCCTCCTGCAGTTTCAGCGACACATGTGGACTGCTCTATTTTTGAGCTCACATGTTATATTTGTGTGTATCATACAATCATTTCAACATGTCATCGGTTAAAGCAGAATAATTTTCAATCAACACGTTAAAACTAGAAAAGAGAAAATTTTAGACCTCGGGATTACTTAGGAGAATAAAGTCGTTGTTACCTGTTGTTAGTTGTTTAAATGAGCGCTGCTGAGCATTGAGATAAATTGAACTTCAGTTTCACAAACAAGGAGATACTAAATTCTTTGGGGTTTCAGCATCACATTGTCAGGAGTATAAGGACAAATGCAAGAAATGCATCTTTTCCGCAGAAAGAACCAGGTGGACTTGTTGGGAATCGCTGTTTTTGAGGAGGGGGGAATGGCTGGAAATGACTGTGCAGGAGCTAAATCCTTCAATGCTTCCATTTATGGAAATAGTTTCATATGGCTTTAGTTTATCGTATGAATCTATTTACCATAAGATGTTGAAGCCTCTGCAGGTGTTGGTTGCTGCCGGTATTGTGCCGGCATCAGAGACAGACGCGGTGTTCGTCGGAGCTCGACTCCCCTTCAGTCGCTCCATTGTTTGGATTGTTTCTTGAGAAACAACAAAAGCTCTCTCTGAATGACCCACTGATGCACCCACAGAAGCTCCACAAAAACAGCTTTAAGACTTCATTTACTTATTATTCCCGTAAGTAATGATTTTATTACAGCTTTATTAAGTAATTCCGAGTTCTAAAATTAAAATTTTTCCTTTTCTGAATGTGGCCTTAATACTCCGTCGTGCAGCAGGAACAAGAAAATACTTAAAAAGTTGTGTAATGTTAAAAAACAAACAAACAAAAAAAAACACTTGGAGGAAATAGGTCAGCACTTCCAAAATAAAGCTCCATTGATGACGTCATCACCTACAGTAAATCATATCATAAATATTCAGGGAATAAGGATTGATGGCTAATACCAAATGGATGTGATCTCCAGGCCCTTAGACAGCTTTACAGAAATGACTCTGTAGTGGAACTCACCACATGAACACTAAATCATTGGCCGTTAATTGACCATTCTCAATTAAATGCGTCATATTTGATTTATCCACATTGAATCGAGGTCATATATTGCATCAGTTTTATGAAGATGACTCTAACATAAACGTAAGGATTTTCTTGCATTCAAACTTATTATTCACTCATTATTCTCTCCTCCTTTTTAATTTATTTCCATCAGATTCGCTCTGCATGCCGTCTTGTCCAGACCTGCACAATACTACGTCCTTTACATCTGACTCAAAACAAGGTACAGGACTCAGCATTCTGTGGACAATGTCATGAGCAGAAGTATATTTATTGTTGAAAACATAAATATATAAATTAGGGTTATTGCTGTTTTGAAAAGTAATAGCGGTTAAGTGAAAGTCTGAAAGCATTTTGAGTATTAAAGTGTGGTCCCAACACAATCAAACACCGGATTTGATGTGAACGCCGACTGTGAATGACACTTTCGATTTATAAAAATAGCACCAGAAAACCCTTGGCTAGTTTATTCAGGCGTGTGTGTAATCCAGCAGCCAATCAAACGTTCTCCTCATTGACTCGCTCTTTCGCCTTTGTTGCAAAATCCTCTGGCAAACTTCCTCGTTTCACGGGGTGGAGGATGTTTTTCTTCGTTGCACATTCATCACTGTTACAGGAACTGGTGAGGAAGTTATTGTTTGTTCCATCGATACACGGGGTTTGACCCGTGCTGTCGTGTTTTCAGGCCACCTCAGGGCACCCGTCATCATCTGTCCTGATGGTATGTAGCTGCAGAAGGTGTGAGTGTGAGTGAACAAGGAGCCCATTGATGCTTTTGTCGATTCACTTTGCTCGCTCATTCACTCTGTGAGGTGGACTTTACTCTTTGCAGGACAAACATGTGTACTTGTGAAGCAGGGCGGCGGGCGGGCATCTTGCCTTATCAGTGTTAAAGTGATATCGGCACATAGTGTTTTTTTGCACTAGATATAAGTGTGTTTGTTTTATTTCTACTCAAGATGTCTCGTTACCTTCGATATCACTTTGATATGACTCGTATCAAATGTACGTGGATATTTTGAGGGGAAACGACACAGTTACACTCACTGAGACATGAGTTTCTGCAGGATATAACAGGTATGAATGTGACCTACACTGCAAAGATTTAAAACTGAGCCTTTTTATCTTCTTTTACTTTGTCTTAACTGAATACCATGTAACTTAATATTATCTGCATTCACCAGGTAAGTCCAGATAAACATCTAGTTTTAGATATAAAATATGAGTGTGGAGTAATTGCTGTAATTAGCAGAGCAGATTTAGTAGAAATAGAATGAATATTTTAAAAGTGTGTTTAATTGATTGTACTGTGTTTAATCACTTTAAATATACATCCATCCATTTTCTGCCACTTATTTCCATTCCGGGGTCGCAGGGGGGTTGGACCTATCCCAGCATCTTCGGGCGAAAGCAGGGGACACCCTGGACAAGTCGCCAGTTCACCACAGGGCTGACATATAGAGACGAACAACCATCCACGCTCACATTCACACCTACGGGCAATTTGAAAGTGGCCAGTTAACCTAACTCCACTTCTGCATGTTTTTGGGATGTGGGAGGAAACCAGAGTACCCGGAGTAAACCCACACAGACACAGAGAGAACATGCTAACGTCACACAGAAACACCCTGACCCGGATTTGAACCCAAGACCTTCTTGCTTTGAGGCGACAGTGCTAACCACTACACCACTGTGCCGCCTGTTTAAATATACATAAAAAAAATTTGATTCGTCCACACTTTTTATTGTTCTTTTTAATCGGAAGTTTTTAAAAATATTAAAATAATTACCAGTAAAACTATCATTTAGAAGAAGTTTGGTTTAACTAACTTTGAATGAGTCTTTTATATCTGCATATTTTGCGTTTGTAGAGAATCTTGTGGGACAAATCTGACAAATGGAAGATTGTAATTATCATGCATCATAAACTCTTCTTGTCCCCAAAGGCCAACGTCACTTTATGGGATGGGTCGGGTAAATTTAGCAGATTTTTCTGACATTACAGGAATTTTAGGTCCTACTTTTGGTTTAAAATAAGACGTTTATCTGGACTTTCAGGTGTTTTTTGCTTATGTTGAATCTAATAAGATATGTTTACTTCACACTTGCCTTTTGAAGTGTAATGCGCTGTCTGAATGTTTGTTTGCAAGTGAAATTAAGATCAGGTTGGAGATATTTTGGCGATGAGGCTGACATTCTTAAACTCCCGCTCACTCCTCTGGTTTACTAGCGGCCCCTCTTTAAATATCTACTCCACCCCTGACCCACATTTGCGCATCTTCTCCACCAGGTTAAATACAAACACACAACCACAACATAAGAAATGAAGATAATTCCTGCTTGGATATAAGTAAGCTTGATATATTTCATAACAAAAATAAAGCATCTTCCTGTACTGACTCTCACATCTTGTCCTTGCACACATATCCAAACCATATACAAGACTTGACATCATTCAAATATACTGTAATATAATAAGAAACATGGATGACAAGAATAACATAGACTAAAAAAAATGACTTTGAGATCGTGAGGGTTACAAAGAGCTGAACCTGACCACACAGAAATCTTTCATGTCTCCAAAATCATTAAAACATCTTTTTCATCTTCTTCCTTTCTTTTTCGTACAGGAAGCAAAACGTCCACACATATAAATAGTTTGTAAGTAGCGGCGTGTCCTCCTTCTCAAATTGAACTGTACATAACAAATAGGGCAGAGTCACATGATCGCGGAGGATTTCCTCTTGACTGAGAGCGCAAATCCCCAAAACTCAAAACCGGTTCATACTCCATCCAGTCATTTATGGAAAACACCTCAAATTGTCACTCGCAGTCTTTCTTTTTCTGCCGTCTGTGGATGAAAGAGTCATCTAAGCAGGGCAGGGCTGCTTCGTGTCCTCGTGTCGCGGCTCATCCTCTGCCGGGACCAGATTCCTGTGAAAACCCGTTCCTCTCTGTTTTGCCGCCATTTCTGTCATCTTCAAATAAAGTCCATCAAAATGTTCATCGCGTTTCCCTTTCACCGTCGCCCTCCAGCCTCTTTCTGCCCTGCCGAGCTCTACGCCACTTTTCTTCTTCTCCCTCAAAGGCAGGAGTCACTTGTCCAGAGAGGTGGCGTCCATCAGAGGAGGTCATCATCACTGATTACCGTTTTTTAGAAAAAGCACCTTTGGCATCTTATTTATTCGTATTTTTTTTTGTCTCTTTTGTGTCTGTCATCTCTCAGAAAAGTTCGTGTTTGTTAAAAACGAAGGTTGCATGGCAGTGGGGGAGAGGACAGAGCAGGTCTCCTGTTGGCGGCGTCCCTCCCACGCTGGAGTTCTGATTGGTCTCACCTCACGTCCACTGCGGGAGAGAGAGAGACGAAACAGATTAGTCTAAAAGTTTGACGAATTTCATCACGAAAAGAAAAATCCTCATGCACCACACACAAGACCCACAATGTTTCGATTACGTTCCTCTGAAGACGGTCAAATTTGTGTCTCATTTTTGTTTGGGTGAAAGGTCAAGGAGAGGTGCACCAATTTCATTATTTTGTTCAGAAACCTCTCTCTCTTTTACTCTCACGCAAACATAAAGAGGATAAATGTTGGTGGTGACGAAACGATGCAGTGAAACAAGCAGAAACAAGTCGTGGACCCTGTCTTTCTGGAGGACACAACAAACACAACACGGTGACACAAAGCAGACGTATGAAGTGAGCATGCTTAGCAGGCTACAAAATCAGCATGCAGCATTGACTGAAGGCGTAGTACTCCTTGGCCCTCCCTCCTCGCACTCTGATTGGCTGTGAGGTGATTGGTGACAGTGATTGACAGGCCCTGTTTGTGCCCTGATTGGGCGGACGGTGCAGTGCCAAAAGGTGAGAGGACGCTGCGGTGGTGCTAAAGTCCTACCTGTTCCCTTCACAGCTCTCCAGTGGACTTTGGGTACTGAGCGCAACTTTATTATGTTGCCAATAAATCCTTGCTGGGTCTTAGCTTTTTAGGTTTCCTTTTTTTACCTTTAGCCCTACGGTGGCCTGAAAACACAAAGTCAGGGAGGGTGGATAGGAAGGAGGGTTAAAAAGCAAGAAACAGGGATTTTTTTTTATGGCACAGAAAGAAGCACAACAGCCCTGGGACAGAAGCAGAGTGCAAAGATACGACACACTATAAATACTTCAGATGCCTTATCAGCACACATCACGGCGCTTATCTGCTCGCAGAGAGAGAGAGAGAGAGAGAAAAGCTCCGGATCAAGGCGCTGGAAGTTTTACCTGCTGTCATGCCAAGCAGCCTTTGGACACCCTCCCTTAACACACAGACTTGTACACGTACACTTTCACACACACACACACACAAGCTTTACAGTTTTGCAATAGCAGGCCACCTCACAGGTGTGTCTGTCTGTTTGGGAGCAATCATGGAAAAAAAGGTCATTCAGTGCAGAGCCAAAGGGACACACAGACAGACGGACAGACAGAGAGACAGAGAGGGTGACAAGCTCAAATGCTGATAGCCGACTTCTGTACTGCTAAAAAAAATGTATGCTAACGAGTTATTAGGTTTATTTTAACAGCATTTGAGCTTCCCAGGTAGATGACCCACATATGAATGCTGTTCCTTTAACGGGCACGAGGAAGTTAGGAAGCAACAGGAAAGATCTGGGGCGTGATGTGAGGATTGAAGGCCACCAGGCATTGCCAGGATTCTGGTTGATGATTTATTATACCTGTGCGGTAACATTTACCTGGTTCTGCGTCTGAATGCTCCACCACGTGATGTTGTGACGTACACACGCACTCCAGGTGGTCTTCTAATCGCACAAAGACCTCTTTCAGCTTGGGTCTTCTCCTTACGTACTCCACCTTCGCTACCTGCAGAGAGGAAAGGAGAAAAGGTCATCCGCAGAGCCAACTCCGACAACGCCATTACTCTTCCATGTGTGCGCCCGACGCTAACATCAAGAGGCGTAGCGCTGTGACTGATGACTCTTTCATATACTGATTCATAAAAAAAGAGCTTCGCCTCGCTGTGTTTGAAGTGTGACGGCAGCATTCCTCGCAAGCTGCTGCATTGAGACCCACGCGCTGGGTGCGTTATGTGTTGTCGATCGGGTGTGTAAATACTGAATGGAGTGTACGACCCTCTCCAAGCGAGCTCGAACAATAAGAGTCGGGAAAGATGAAGGGTAAGGGGTGCGGACATGCCTTTACGCCCAGGGAAGGTTTACCCTGGCAGGGGAAAAGAGGCTGGGAGATCCCTCCTCTTTGCTCCAGGCCTGGAGCACCCACATCCAGACAGACACACACCTAAACTCCTCCGCCTTGTTCTGACTTGTAGGCTGCTTTTAAACCGCGTTGATTCTTCTTCTTCACGGTTAGGGAAAGTGCATGCTCAGAAACACAGTTTACATGGTCTAATATAAGCAGTAAAACCCCAGAAAGCGGCCATTACAGTCGAGAAAGCACAAAAGCAACGCAGGAATTCCTCTCCTTGAGTCCGGCTAACACCCTCTCCGTTTAACACAACAGGGCTGACCTCCACTTCCCACTCAAACGCTCATAATGAAAAGGACCGATCCTTGGAGGGTTATGAATAGGCTATGTTGATTAAAGCTTAGATGAAAGCTGAATAGAGAAGGTTGCGTGGAGGTTATGATGATCTTGTTGTGTAACTCAGGGGAGGTGGCTTCATCCCTCTCTGATCTGAGTGCCAAGGGCAGGTAACCTCCATGCTCACCACTGAGGGCCTGGGGCCCGCATGGAAACAATATCCCTCAGCTTCACCTATCCTCTTGGTCACCGCACGAGAGAGGATATTGGCTGACAATCTCCCCGTGTTATGAACAACACACTTTTGCAGTCGGCACGCCGCTCACACATGCACAGACAGACGGCCCGAACTCCTGATGGGTTTTCTCTCTCTATCCTGCGATGGCGCGCCGCCAAGGCTGGCTCTTGGCGGTGAATTAGTCATGCAGACAAACGAACATACCAATCCCTGTCTGATAAAACAAAGTGTTATGTTGACATTCACACAGCCAGAGCTGCCTCATGTCAGAGCTGTAACAATAGCTGGAGGGTCGTCTGGGGAGGCTAACACCGAGATCGGGGACCGGCGGTTTCACCAGTCGCTCCTTTGAAACTGTTCCTTTCCATGAAGGGAAAGAAGAGAGGGACTGAAAAGAGGGTAAGCAAGCAGAGGAGGTATGCAGTGAGCAAACACGGGACAATGGTGTCTGGGTTAGCAGTGGTGCATTTGGTGTTATCAGCCCGAACAGAAAGAGAGAGAGGGTGAAAGGGACTGAAACAAGACCACGGACCATTGCGGTCAGTAGGGTGTGTGTGCAAACAGACAGAGGAGGTAAGACTGACCATGATCATGACTTGAATAAGATGACATTCATGTGTTACCTATTAATGTCAGTTTCTGGGTGACCAACACTAACAGAGAAGTGAGTAAACCACGGCTAATGTTTGATCAAATCATCAGGCGTGAGGAAGGAAGGAAGCAGCTGTCTGTGTGGACGACTCCACTGCCAACTGTAATGGGGACTCACTGAGCGTGTGGGGGGGTCCTGCTGGGAGTTTAAAGACATACACAGAAACCCCAAACAAACAGCTATTGACAGAGGGAGAAAGTGACGGCCCCACGGATGAGAGGCCCAGTGGCGAGCTTGTCTCCTTGGCCCCTCACTCATCGGGGTTAGAAACGCTCCTTCCTCAGTGGCGTTACCTCAACACACTTCCACTTTCGAATGCGTGTGTCAGTGTGTTGTATGTTGTAAGCGCTCTCCTGTTTCCTGTTTCTTTTGTTATGGGAAAAGCTCGACACCAAAGCTATTTTTACATTTTTACTCCCCCCTCCTGGTCTTCCATTTTTAGCCACTTTTTCACTTCTGTCCTCCCGATCCTTGGTGGAGTCAGTGACTTCCCACATAAAACATACATCAGAAAGAGACCCCCATGCTACGACAAGGGGCCCCACACTCTCTTTGTATAAATCAAACCACTCTAAACTCAATAGAGAGCAGGGACCCTGAGAACGAATCCCGTGAGGGGCTTTGGAATGATATCCGATCCAGAGGGCTGGGGTGAGACAGGGGGTTCTGGGAAGTGTGCCCCCCCTCAGGGTTAGTCCTTGGTGTCTACGCTGCCCTCCGTGTGAAGCTGATTGTCCCGCGTGGACTAATTGGAAATTCCCCGAGCATAAAGCGCCGTTGAGCGCATGATGGAGGGGAAAGTTTTTCCACAGCCGTCCAAAGAAAACAGAAGTGAGGGTTCAGCCAGGACTACGCTCATCAAAAAGAAATGATTTATAAGTTATTAACACGTGCGCACGTGGAACGCCAAGGCCTGAGGCGGGGAGAGCATCAGCAAGGACTCCCAGGTTCACCGTAACAAAAGTGAGCTGGGGTGGAGGCAGGTTGGACGCTGATGTGTGCTAGAGGTCAGATCAGCTCTGCCTGAACTTATGCTGCATTCCAGTTGTACTTGGACGTCGGAAATTCATCTGGAACGCACCTTTGAGGTCGGATTTTTGACTGGCCACTGCCATCGGAGGAGAAGCGCTCACGAGATCACGATCATTCTCACGAGACTGGACGAGATCGCACAAGCTCTCACGTGTGTTTCCCAGGGAGTCATAGAATGAGATCCGCCGATCGGTGTATATAAACACCCACATCCCACAACCCTGGCCTCTCCTCTTATTAAGTTAGGAACAGTTCAATGTATTGACTTTATTTCATTTCAAAAATTAAACAGATATTTTACTCTGTAACCGCATACAACTTCTGCTGCTGCTAGTTCTCTGGCATCCGGCAAAAATAGAAGCTTTGCCTATCTGATTTGACCGCATCCGGATGCCAGCCGGATTCTGTGGAATGACACATATTGATTATAATGCTTGCGGGTTTTGCCCGTAACTGTATACATGGTGCTATTGTGTTTGTAAGAGTAAAATACTGCGTTATGCGTTGTTTACAACTGGTATAGCTAACAACCGCTAACAACAACTGACAACGGCTAACTGTAGGCATCCATCTTGGTTTTCCGACTTATTTACTGGAGCGCCGTCAACATGGGTGCAACGTCATTCCCAGCTCTGACATCCAACTTTCGAGGTAACTGGAACGCAGTATAACACAACCTGCTGCTTCACACACACACATGCATGCGTGCATTTATCACGCCGCTCACAACTCTGTAACGCCAAAAAGTCTTTTCATGGCACCCCAATCTCTCCTCATCTCTCCCACTCACTGATATATCTCCAGATGGACGTGTGCGCCTCCCCGTGACCCCATCATGTGCCGCACCACCCCGCTCCTGCTGAAACATCAAATATCAGAGAGTCTTTAGACGTGTGCGATTCTTGCATTTATTTCATTCCCAACTCCCCGGTCTTCACAGACATAGCGCAGAAGTGCAGATGAGAAAGACATTACTGAGCACTTAAAAAGAGAGGAGAGTAAATAAGACTTTAATGAGAGAGTAAAAAAAGACTGACAGAGGAGCAAAATTAAAGAGTGGGAGATAGCTCCGCTGCAGGAGAGAGACAGAAAGGGTGAGGAGGGAGTGAACAACTATTTCACATAACAGACAATCAGACTCCAAAGACCGCGCAGCGGAGAGAAGTGGAGGTGGAGGGGGAGGATGAAGTCAGAGGGGAAGACCGTAAGGGAGGACAGGAGAGGAGGAGTGAAGGAAAATACAGAAATGAAGTAAAATATGATTAAAATACGCCTCCTGCTACTCTTCCTGTTCAGACTGATGCATTCCAGCCGGCGTGGCGGTAGCCAAACTCTCCGACTTCTGGCTTGGTTGGGACGCTCCCATGGTCTCTGACCCGCCCCTCAACCCCCGCCGCGCACACCGCACACACATTTATACACACACACAAACTCCTTCACCCTTCTTCATCGAGTGGAAGAGCTGCGTGAATCAAAGGGAAAATAATTCACAGCTGCAGAGGGACTTCAAACAGGGAGGCCCCTCATTCCCATCTACCCCCCCTCTTCACGTAATCCACGGGACCCCTCAGACGATCATAAATCACGCTCACTGTATCACCGTCACACTGTCTTTTATTTATGAAACACCCCGTAAGTCAGGGTCCCACACAACCGCAGGGCTACAGCTACCGCTTCCCCCAACACCCGGATCTGACCCCACGTCGCCAAGGTAACTGTCAGTCCGCTTGCATGTGTGTGTGTGTTTGTGATGGGGTCGGGGCCAGTGCAGGGAGATGTGTGGACCCCCACACTCAGCACCGTGGCTATATCCGCCTGGCCTCTGTCAGCCTCCACTTTGATCCAGCAGCCATCAACACTTCATTACTCTGCGGCCCGTCTTCCTCTTGCTGCCGCTTCACACAAACGGCCTTGTCCCTGCGCTGTGCTGCGGTGGGGGAGTTTACGTAGCCTAGCATAAAGCGCGCACACACGCACGCGAAAACAATCTCTTTCTTTGGTTTACACAGATGTGCGCCGCCGACCCTCCCTGACCTCTGAGAAATGCTTGATCATTTCTTCAAGGACCATCAAAAAGTTTCCAGCTACTAACTCAAAACATGAGAGAAACTGAACTTTATTGTTGGAAACTTGTGCTGTAGTCATTTGACTAAACCCACGCGGCACATGATGAGAATTAAATCACTTTTTGCTTCTATTTACAGTTAATTTGACTGAATTAAAAAGTGAACCACACAAATACGGCAATTTAACCATTTTTGCCTACTTTGTGGGACTCCAGGGTATAATTAGCAGCTCATTTGTGCTTTCTTCATATTTTTCTTTTCACTTTCCAAGCTGCAAAGTACTTTTTGAGCCTGTCTTAAACACAACTAAAGAGCCAGTCGTAGTTATCTGCTGCAGGAAAAGCATGCACCTCAAATCCGTGCACAAATATGACCCGTCTTTATCTGTTTATTTGGGTCAGAAAATGAGAACTCACAGATAAAATGTGCTTTCAGAGTTAATGAGTGAGAGGATGAGTGACGGCTCTATTATTTCTGTGTGTTATGAGCTGTTTTATCGGCCTCATAGGGAGAGCAAACAGAGATTCAAATGCAGTGACTCCAACTCAAATATGAACAAAGAATCGTGCGCACAAAAGATCGCGGATCCATATCCCACACACACCTTGCATAAGTCTCCCCCAGTCCTGCAGTCAAAAAACAGCGCTTGTTTTATGGGTGAATTTTTCTAGCGGGCCTCGGAGCCAAAACGCTGAGAAAACCATCAGAAATGCTGGACGCGGCTGCAGCCAACAGCAGACAGAGAGAGGGAGTAAGAAAGACGGAAGGAGGAGGACCAGAGGAGATACGAGAGAGAGAGAGAAGAGGACAAGGGTGAGGAAACAGACAGGAGAGGATAAGAGAGGAGAGTCAACGAGGGGTTCGAAGAATTTATCCTGACAGCGCCATACCAGCTCTAACATTTCAATCCCATCATGTTAAAGTTGAAATCAACCCGCTTTTCAATCTTTTGTTTGGCAGCAGTTTGGGTACTCTGGGACAACAAGAGCGGCTTCATTTACATGCGGTCGATATTCAGGTTAAGGTCAATATTCCGGTTTCTGAAACATTCAGAATAACCCGTTTATATGCGTGGGAAAACAGGGTGATTCCTGTTTACATGGTATCCCAATCAAAATGGCCATGCACGGTAGGGCTGCACAATTAAAAGATTTTAAACCATAATCGGATCATTCGATTATGTCATAATCGAATAATCCGAAATTAAAATAGTCAAATTGATTTTCCTCTCTATCATGTCTAGCGCCTCCAGGCCACCGTAGGCTCCCCCTTCCTGCAGGAGCACTTCCCAGTTCCCGCACACACCGGTGTAAACAAACATGGCGTTTGCAAAAGAAGGCGATAATCTCATGGCTGAATAGGGCGAGAGCAAGTCAGTCGTGTGGAATTGGTACGACTTCGCAGTTTTGGATGAAGCGCAAACCACTCCCCGCTGCAAAGTCTGTCAGAAGGCGGTATCAACCCGTCCACACAGAAACTGATTCAGGAGTCAACGCAATAGTTTGTTGTCGTATCGGCGTTTAGAGTGACTGTAAATGTTACTTTTTGAAAACGGGTCAGAGAGTGCATAAATCCGTAAACCGATGCCTATCTGCATCTCTCGAAATGATCGTGACCCACTGCGTAACTCTTTTATGGCCTAAACTATTAAACTATTCCGGTTATGAAAGGGTTAATGACCACATGTAAACGTAGCCGGTGACACAGCGACCAGACATACACACGAGTGCCAAGCACAGGTACTGTGACTGAATTATACTGAAGCTGCTGCAAGTTGTGCAGAGTTTAAGTCGAATATTGCCTTGTCTTGTTCTCATGACCTCAGCGTTGGTTACTGTCTCATCTCATGAGCTGAATGAGTGTAAAAATATGAAGGAATCACTTTTTTTTTGGAAAAGGAAACGTAAAAGCAAAGAGTTGGATTTAGGGAGTGAATACGGAGTCATTTAAAGGAGTAGGATTGAAGTGATGGAGGAGGAATGTTGGCATGATACAGTCTGAAAACAAAAAATTATGAGGAATCTTTTTTCACTCCCTCGTAAATTTGTTTTCCTAACTTTCTGTCTTTCTGTTTCTCTTTCTTGCTCTGCCAATCTCTGAACCTGAAAGACTCTTATCTTCACACCTGTCCCATTCACAGCGTCAACACACAACAAGCATCAACCGACATTTGCATGAGTAAAGTTGTGATATAACACGCCTATGATGGTGGGATATCAAAGCAAAAGAAAGAGGAAGGCTGAATCAAGAAGGACTTTGAGATCTGCCCCTTCTCCTCCCTCAGGCTGGTCCTATTTAAAGTTGCTTTTTTTATTAAGACTGAACAGCACAGGCTTGTACAGTACGGGGCCTGTGCGGACCCGTTCCCTCTTTTTTTGGGATCGTAGCATGAAAAAGGAAAGAGGGAGTGAAACAGAAGAGGGGGAATAAATAAATAAAGGTGCATTTGGAGAAATGCATAATGGCATGAGATGGAAAGGAACACATTGGATGTGTTCTTTTCCCATCCTTGGCCAGCAGAAGGAAAACAAGTCAGGCCCAGGGTAGACAGGCAACATTTTTAGCTTTCTAATAAACGGAGGGAGAAGCACAAACTGAACCCCTATTCACATACACTGCTGAGAGGACAGAGAAGGGGGGAAAAAAAAGAAAAACTTGGCATCAGACAATGTTTCTCATACACAAAGTGGTGAATGTGTCCTGACCGGAGCGAGTCCTGGTGGATGACCTTTTTAGGGATACGACGCCTCTCATCCCCCCCCTCGCCTGAGGCTAGTACCACATGGAAAACAGCCCCTTAAGAAACCCTGCCCACCCTCTCAACTTTGTTGGCTCATTTTGTCCTCAGTGTCACGAAGGGGACATGGACACAGCCGCCCAGACTCCGACATTGCGGCTGAATCGAGCTTTATAGAGTGTTTTCCGCCGCCGTCAGTGTCTCTCCGTCGCTCTCCATCACCGCGATCACAGACAGAGCTCCTATTGAGGGTGATGTCCACTGACTGTCTGGCCAACCAACCGGGAGACAGACAAGCTCGCACGCAGACAGAGAAAGAGTCACGAGTTGTGTTTTATATCAGAACTCGTCTCTCTCACAGAACCATGAGTCAGCATCTCTGACTACAAACCCTGTGCCCTGGATGCAGAACCCTTTGGCCCACAATGACGGTCTTGCAGGAGTTTAAAATCCTGACTGATTTGTAGAAAAATAGGCAAACACTACAAGGAACAAAACACGAGTGTTGTTTGTGTCAGGGACAGAGTGTAACTCCTCACATGATCTCGTATGATCTCATGTGATATCACGAGGAGGCAGATGTAAACAGAAAAGAGGCCGATCGCAGCTGGTCGTAATGGGGCAGTAAGTCCAGAGGAGGAAGGGTTTTGCACTCTCCAGGAGGTGATGCTGCACCTGTCCTGTGACATTTGGATGTACAGGAGTTGTATTGTTAAGGTATGGTTTGTATTTTGTTGATGAAATGTCAGTTTGTCATTGCTGTTGAAAGTACGGATGCACAATATTTTCAGTATGTGATCAAATGGTGCATTTATCATGTGCAAAAATGGCACAAAATTAGCCCCTTTATATTATCTTAAAGATGTTTAATTCTAAAACAAAAACACAGAAGAAAAGAGTCAAAGATAAAATGATTGGTGACACTGATCAACCAAAGGAAGTCAACCGAGGAGCAACTGGGGAAGATCACAGGTTCTCCCAATAGCTCCTGATTGACCAGTAAACCTTGGCCTAGATCTGGATCTACATTCTGGTATCGATATCAAACTTGCCCAAATGAGCCTGAAAACACTGGCCTATTGGATATCAGTAAAAAGTCAATACCCTGTATCCTCAGTTGGAACATTTAAGAAACTCTGTTGGTTCCTCAGACCGACTGTCACCAGAAATCGAGTAAGAATCAACCCAGTTCTTCTGCAAACTCGAAAAAGAGGTCAGAAATCCTGAAACGTTCCTGCCCTGTGCCAGTGTGCCAAGAGAACGGAAGCAGCAACAGGTGGGGTTGGTATTTGTTTTATTACTTTTCTGCTCTATTGAGGAGGCATAACTAAAACCCTGCGTGAGGACGAGTCGAGACAGCAATCTCACAGCGCCCATGGCCGGACAAGATCACAATGATTAAAGAGACGACAGAGCGTATAGACGAGCCCAAAGAGAAACACAAACACAGTCAGAGTGTTCCAGGCTTTCCTGTTTATCCCCAGCTTGTCTCACATAACTCCCATACCTCCAAACAGAGTCGTGCACCGGCTAACAGTCGGTAGTGTAAATAGAGCAGAAATACGACTCGGCTCCAGCCACGGCGTCTCCTCTGATCCTGAACAGAAGGACATGTTTTTAAGCTACCGATGCCAACGAAACTCCAAGAACAGTGCAACCCCCTTCATCCTTCTCTCTCGCTCTTTGTCGCCTTGTCTTCTCCGGGCTCGCTGCTTCCAGAAAAAGACTAAGAGCCAAACAAACGCAGAGCAGAGGGATCGCAGTGCAGTAGCAGATGACACTCAGATATTCTCAAGGTACAGATTCTTCCCCATCTCTCTCTCTCTTTCTGTCTGTCTGGATTATGTCTAACAGGAGCATCCCTCCCCGGACGTCCTGGCAGTAAGTGCCAACAGCCCTCCTTGTTTGTCCCCTCTTTAGTCTCCTCTTTTTGCACCCTCTACCCTGGCGAAGTCCCTCTGGCCCCTCGCCTGACATGGGATAGAGTGATTAAGAGCGAGGGTGGCGATCGGGTGTAATCGCAGGAGGGAGGGAAGGGGGCTCGCAGAGATGAGGTGGACACTGTTTGGGTGCTGGCCAAGAAAACTGAAAGGGAATGAGGCTACAGAGGAAAGAGGGAGTACTGAAGGCAAGGCGCACGAAAGAAGGCACGTTAACCCACCCTTGCATGTGATTTACTTACCTGGTGGAGCGGAAATCGGTGGAGTGGGTGTGTTTGCGGAATAAATGGGGTGAATATGAGATATGCCTGGCGTGTTTCACCTTGCAATGAAGTAATAACTCGGATTGATTGTCTGCAGGCAGGCCTTGTTAGGACTTTGTGTTCCTTACCTTAACGGTGCGGTGGTGCTTGCGGGAAGGGTGACAGCGCATGTTGCTTGTGTTGCAGCAGCCCGTGCAGCGCTTCACCTCCACACAGGGCGGCCATATCAGGAAGTTGGCGGACGTGGGATCCACCTGGCTCCTGGGGATCTCGTAGATCACCGTCCGCGTCTTACACACCGCCGGGACCGCCTCCTCTACTGGAAAAGGGGGGGAAAGGAGGAGCCAAATTCAGTGACACATTTACCGAACGCGCACAGGTCCTGATGCATTGTTGTAATCCGTCCTTTCTGCTCCCAGCTGGTTCACGCATTCCTTAACTGCTCATTATATGATGACTCACTTGGTTTGGGAGCTGCTGGTCTTACCTCAGATCACACCCAGCCTCTTTTAAGGCCGTTAAGAAGACAAGTTATCCCGTAAGCTTGATCTCATATCAGCTAAGGAGCTTTGGGATCAAGTCTGTTAGACATAAAGGGGGCTGCTCTTTTGTTCTGAGCCCTCACTGGGGTTAATGCAGCGTGACTAGGCCAGAAAACCTCTATGTGTGCCGGTGGGGAAATCTAACAATGGCCTCTGACCCTGTCTAGTGAAGTTAAAAGAGGAAGGCAGTAAGCATTCATTTGAGATTTTACTGACAGGTACTCAAACCTAAAGACGTGTCGGAGAGCGTACAGTGGGATACCGTTATGTTGTAAAGATGATATGTGCAGAACGAGACGGCTATGGTGGACAGCTGCCAAAATAGTATAATGTATCATACACGTTCTGATACGGAGTGCACACTTGAAATACGACCAGTGTGCGCTTTAAGTGCTGTGAGGCAGGGAGGGATGTAAAGAACACATATCCAGTCTTAACACACACATCATACACTACATGGTATCCTTCATGCCTCGATCAGATATCGTACCGCGTGGCATTTTATGAAGAAATCTGGCTGAGAGCTCAGGCGAGCTACAACTTGAGCCTTGAATGCCTGGAATTTCCACGCTCGAGGATAAATTTCTCTCCTGACGCGTGTCTCTCAGATCTGCACGCCTCTGGCCAATTAAAAGGCTTCATGTCAGACGTCCTCAGCAACCTCACCAGTCTCGTTCCTCATGAGTCCTTGATTGTCGTAAATACTGGGTAGACGTCTTCATTAGGGGTTCCTTTTATCCACAAAAAAGCAGTATAAAAGCCACTAAGTGTTATCTCTGCTTGAAATTAGTGCAAAGTGATCCGTTTCATCTCCTGGGAACTCATATTTCAGGGCTGATATTTAAGTGGAGGTTATTTTAAGGGCAATATGCCTCTAAAAATACGAGCCATGCCAAGTCGTGATGTAGGTAGTGTAGTCATGATGCAACCTTAAGGCTGCAAAGTGAAACATATAGTATTTTAGTCATTCAGGCTTACCGATGCTCCTCTTGCGACGGCTGTGGAGCTGAGAGCTCTTCAGGTCGTTGTAGTAACCATGGTGACGGGAGTAGTTCTTATGGTGGTTGTGGTGCTTGTGGTGTTTGGGCTCCTCGATGACATCGTTTCCCGTACCTCGTCAAAACAAGAGGCAGACTTATTAATAATGTCACACAAAGACAGTTATAGTTAAGTGAGACTTATTATGCCGACATGATATTTACATACAAAACTTGAATGGCTTGTTCTCATAACTTCAGGAGACTTGGCCTTAGCCTGATGTCAGGATCTGTCGTCCAATCAGAGCAGTGCTATAGGAAACACCCACCTAGCAGCTCTTCCAGATTTTTTTTTCTCTGAGTCAGTGCCTAAAGTTGTTAAGTTATTGGCAAGCGTTCTTTGACAGCTATTTTCTCATCCCAAAGACGAAGGCGAAAGAAAACAGCCACTGATGCCTTCTTTGTAAACAAAGGCATGCATGTCAACTGTTACTGAAACCTGGAGCTGCGCTGTTGATAAAAACTTTTAAAACTATTGCAATTTCATGTAATAGCTAAGACTGGGCATAGTGTTATGCTGCATTCCAGTTGTACTCGGAAGTCGGGATTTCCGAGCTCAGAGTCGGAAATTCATCTGGAACACCCCCCTGAAGTCAGATTTCCAACTTGGAAAGTCAGACGATCCTCGCCAACCCTGACTTGACGACAACCTCATAACAACAGCTGACAACCGCTAACAACAGCTGGCTAACTGTAGGAGTCCATCTTGGTTTTCCGACTCGTTAACTGGAACACCATCAACTTGGGTGTAACGTCATTCTCAGCTCCGACATCCAACTTCCGAGGCAACTGGAACGCAGCATCAGTTCAGGCAGGCAATGAAATCTTAACCCCTGCCTCAATTGTCTCGTGTCAAAATGGGCTTTCTTTTTAAGTCGCCGCAAAGTTTTTGCTAATGCTCTGCCCTGCATTATCTTCTCATGCACTTTACGGGAATGAAAGGTGTGAGAGTTTCCTCCTGAAACACCAAGAGTAGAGCCATGCCGCCAAAATATAACTCGTTACATGCGAACAATAATTCCACCCTGACTGGAGCGGTGATTTGGAGCAAGCATGGGCCCTCAGAAACACTAGCATGCACTAGACACACAAATAGCAAAAATGAGCGTGATATGTCTCCTTTAACACAACAGGCTACATGACTACAGTGGGTGGTTGGCTGGTCTGCACATGCTCCACTTCTGTTTTATACATCCTCTCCACAACACACATTGTGTCGGTTACTCACACGACCATAATGAGACGGTAACTTCCTATTGCCTTCCTGCGCTGTACACAACTCATGTTTGATTCCCTGGAGGACTAAAGAGTTCCCTTATACGTGCTCAAACGCAGGCAGGGTTACAGCTGATGACGGCCCAATTTGAGGTAAATGGTCCTGGGTACACCGGGTACACGCAGGACCTCTGTGTAATTGCCTGCTTTGTGTGTCAGCCACACTCACTCATTTGGCTGAACTTTCCCAGCAGGAATAGCGTATCTAGACACAGGTGAGTCAGCAAACTCCTTCACAAACAACCACTCAAGACACTTAAAGTGGTCATTTGACAGGTGGTGCTCAGCCACTATTATCCCCGCTCCTAATTAGTGGTTTCGCGTCTCTCATTTAGAAGAAATATTTGCTCCTTCAATCATTCAGTTGCTCGGAAAAGTACACATTACGTTGTGCTGCAGTGGTAAAACTCCAGTCTAATACAGCCAGCTCAGCTTATTCACAGTCATGGTCATCTGATAAAGCTTGCTTGTTTTGGTCTCCACCCAGAATATGAGGTGGATTACAGAAGAGTGCCAGAGCAGCAATAAAGCGATAAATCTTGTACGCAGATGATACTGCTTTTCTCAAAGTCAGAGACTGTTTGCAAAGTGGGTGGGTCTACCTGTCTGAGCGTACCGCATACCCACCCACCTAGTTCATACAGCCCTACACCTGTACATTCAACACAAACATACAACTCAAAACTACACAAACCCCTCTTATTATCCTCCATAACATGCTAAAACCTAATGTACACCAGCTCCACAAAGCTTAGCCACGGGCAAACACATTCCACTCCTGTAGCTCCTTTGTGCTCCGACCAAAATCTTCTGAAGGGATTTCCTCCACCTATACATGGTGCACCTCTGGGATTTGTTGTTTATTTGCTTTTGGGTGCCTTCTTTTTTTTTTTCATGTGTGCCCCTCTAAGTGAGAGTGGATGGAATTTCCTTCTAGCCTGCGGTGCAGTCAGTTAAGACAGCCGCTGACCCAGAACCAAAGGTCCGAGAAGGGGAAGTGTTGAGGCCTGGAGTTAAGCAAAGAGCTGAGCTATCACTCTATGAAGCAAGTATACCCGCCTACGCACACACACACACACGGAGAAACATACAGTGCATATGTCAAACACACTACACGGTGCATGGCATATACAACCTCAATATCATAGGGCTGCAAAAAAAATAAAAAATAAAATGTACGTTTGTTCTAAATTCAACACCTGAAAAATGTTAGGACAAGTTAGCACCTGGACTCTTCTACTTCTGAGCACAAAATGTAGAACAAGACAAGGGGGTCCCTGTCCTTTTGAGGATGCAGTGTCTATGATTGGTTGGACCGCAGGACAGTTCTGCTCCTCAGCTCAGTCAGCACTGGGTCTAAGAAGTCCCCTGGATGTCTGGATCATGTTTAAACATGGTCTTGTCTTTGCGTGTTACAGTTTGAACCCACATTTGTGGATGCAGTGTCATGATACGTTCTGTATGAGTTAGTTTTTCCCTGGGTTTGTGTCTCTCTGGAGTGTATTTTGTGTTCCTGTTCCCCCTGTAGTCCTGTCTTGTGAGTTTCCAGTTTGTTTCTGACCCCGGTTCCCTCATGTTCTCAGTGTTTTATTGCTTTTATCAGTTTTCAGTGGTTCCTGTTTTATTTTGTTGTAGTTTGCGATTGTGATTCTGTGATTATCTGCACCTGTGTCTTAGTATCTCACCTGCCTCTCGTTGCTCGTTTCGGTTTTGTCCCCCTTGTGAGTTTTGTTCCTTTGATTTCGCTCCTTTTGTTTTTAACTTCGGGATTTCTTTTGGTTGGACTAGTTTGAAAGTGAGTTTTTGTTGCTTCTTATGTTAGTTCCTTTAAAATAAATCCTTCTTTTTGGATCTGCAGTTTAGGTCCGTTCCCTTTTTTGACAACTTCAGGACATAACATGCAGAGACAAATAGAGGATCTTCAGGTGTAATTCGAGGCCATGTGTTGACTTCAATGGCAGAGTCCTGTCTGTTTTTAATACCATTAAACTCTCTCAGTTTTGTCACCTCTGGGCTGTTTTGAAACATGTTGCTGGCATCAAATTTAGAACGAGCATTTCTTTTCCTTTTTCAGTCTCAACATTTTGCATGTTGTCTTTGCACCGTTTTCAATATTACATGATTTGCAAAACACCAAATTCTGTTTTCATCAACATTTTACGCAGCGTCCCGATTTTTTGGGGATCTGGGACTGTATATGAAAACACACACCAACACTGCCTGCTCTGTCAGGTGGCCCGATTGTGACAGTGGCGTGATTTTCCTACCTAACAACCTTTTAACACAGCAGGTCACTGACTCCACTAGCTCCACTGTACCTATCCCCCGCCCCCCTTCTTTCCTCATCTCCCCCTGTCAGAGGAGGACAGGAGCGAGGGGTGGGAGTCACACCAGCCGGCCACCCGGAGACAGTTTGTGTCAGAGCTGACAGGAGAAAGGGAGCGAGGGCATAAAGAAGTCCTTTATAGACTGCAGAGTCCTCTTTTCAGCACAATAAAAGGACCTTTCTGTTGGTTTTTTCCTCTGTAAGAAGGGAGAAATAGAGAGAGGCAGGGGAAGAAAAAGGGTGTTAAAGAGAAAGGTGGAGACTGTGGAAAACTAGGGTGAGGGGTTTGCTTGTCCGTTGGTTCCAGGTGACTAAGAAGTAATAACACACCCGGAGCGTCGTCAAACTGAGACAAGAGAAAAGAGGACAGGAGACAGTCTCTTTGCTATGAATCAGGCTTTCATGACTCGCAAATTACTCCCTCCATTAGCTGAAGGCCCTGGCTCCCTCCCTTTACTCCTCCTCCCCTCTTTCTTTCCCCCCTTCACTTGTGCAAATAGCCAACATGTTGTTGACTTGTTGTGATAAGTGCCTCCACAGTCCTCTCTGTCTCTCCTTATTTCTTTACTGCCAACAGGGACATGACTGACTTTACAGAGTGCTGGCTCGGGTCAAATGGGCAAAAGGTCTTCCCTGTGGGTGTGGAATCACAGGTAGGAGACGCAATAACTTTGTTTTGACACTCCAGTTTTATAGGAGGTGGCACTACACTGTACCATGCACAAACACACTGCCAGCTTGGCAGAAACGAGGCAGATTGCACCACAAATCAAAGTGCAAAGAGGAGAAAAAAGAAGAAAAAAAAACGACCTCCAGAATCCTCCTGCTCCCTCCCCTGAGAGTCAGGTTCCCTTTTCTGTCAAAGTCCTTCACCCAGAGAGATAAGAGCAGGCGGGCTGGGGGGCCGTCTGAGGAGGGAGACGGGGAAAGAGAAGAGGAAAAGCGAGTAGAAGAGAGGAGAGGAGAGGAGAGGCGAGGCGCACCCTAAGGGGCCAGACAGCCATCTGCAGACTTCAGCGGGGTCATCTCATCTGTCAGTCAGAGCTGGAGACACCGTCCTCACAGGACTTGTACACACACACACACACACATACAGAAGCTCTAAATGAACACATAGCTGCCATAACCCTTGCAGGATGATCCACATAAAGCTGTGTGATAATATCAAACTCCTGCCAGTGCCGAGCAGGAAAAAACAACAGCGCGAGGATTTCTGTCTAAAAACAACCTCCTATTTTCAGAATTTCTCGGTGTAAACTCCCAGAAGAAATTATGTTTAATTTATTTGATTTAAATCACAGTTTTGTCCATTCGTGACAGCTACCGCTTTTTAAAATGCGTATCAATAGAAATGCTTGCTCTGCTGACAATATTTATCAGCCATTCATATTCAAAGACAACCTGCGTTCTCACTCTCAGTTTCATCATCTTGTTGATGACGTCATGTATCTTAATGGTCCAAAACTAAAACATCTGCGGCAAAAGCAGGGAGGGCAGGTGGATCAGGTGCGTGTTAGTAAAGCAGAGGGACAGAGGGAGCACTGGGAGCAAAGCTGCACGGCAGTTGAGGGAGCTTTTCATCTTTTAAGATTGCGCCAAGTACATTTTGGCGCCTGCAAAACAACCGCGATTATCATTTTTAAGCATGATCACTCAGGAGTTTACGCTAACTCTTCTTGTTCACCTTTCTCCTCGCCTTTTCTGGTTGACACACTGCGCCATGTACAGTGCAGCCTACACCGGTAGCTTTACTGTCCGGGGTAACGCAACAAAAGCTCTGAAAATACCCTCATGGCTGGCGTCAAAAGTCTTTTAACGGGCTGGCCTGGGCCGCCGCGCTGGCCCTCAGACAGATTTATGTCCTCGTAATAATAATCAGCCTACTACTGTTACCCTGCAAAACATTCCTCTGTTTGAAGAAAGACATGTTAATTCAATTATAAACACCTCTTCTCATGCTACAGGCACTCCAGGGATCTATTCTGGGCTTAAAGTGGGCCGGTCCTTGTCGTGGAGCTCAGGTTGGTTTGTGAATTTCAAAATGTAACACAAACGTGATGCGGGGCTATTAACCTTGATTGATTCGTTTGTCAGGAAAGCAATCATGTGGTTACAAGGAAGAAAACTTCAATGTTAAAGAGCCACCCTGATGTAGGTTTGCTGACTTTAAATATGAAGCTGCTAATGAGGTATGACCAGAGAGGTAGCTTACATCATTTGGGACAGTTAGAGGGAATTAAGCAATTACCTATTTCCATCAGCAAACCTTTTGGGAGAGCCCTGAGCTTGATATATGGCCAGAGCCTGTGTAAATACAGGCTCGTATGAAGGCAAACAGCTTCTTCCAGTGCACCCCTGTAACTTTATCTAACACACTCTGACACAGCCCGGTACCCCTGTGCCAGAGAAGCAGCACCTCCAAGAACTTGAGTCTGAAGAAACCCTCCTGACCCGCAGGCTGCTGTCTCTGTTTACAGCTCAGCATATGTGGCAGTCGGCTTGCTATAAAGCCGGTTTACTGCAGCAGCTGATAGAAAATGCACAATTAAATACCTGCCAGTGAAAGTCCATCTTAGTCACATGTGTGCAGTAGACGCACCTATCGTGGTGCTAGGGCTGCACTTGAAAGCTCAGTTATTTTCTACAAAGTGCTTTGAGTTAGTGCTGTGTCGCTCGTGAACGATTCGTTCAAAAGAACCGAATCTTTTAAGTGAAAGTACCGGACTGAATCACTTCCTCGAGTGATTAATTCGCTTCAGCACAAGGGACCACATGCACCAATGACTGAATCACTTGGTGAACGAATCACACATTGAACTACACTCTCTGGAATCATTTCTGTCGAACAAAACTACGTTTTTTTTTCAGTGCTAAATTGCCACCACAACAACTTGCATACAATACGACACAGCATCCTCTCATTGCAGCGGTTTGCGAGGGAACGGTGCATGTTCAGTGTGAATTCTTCTAAACGTCCAGTAAACGAATCACTCACTGAACCCAGACCTGTTAAATAGCATACCATAGGACAGTACACTTAAAACATAATGGCTTATAAACAAGTTCATTTTTACAAACCTGTTTAAGCGACACAGACAAACACTCTCATCTCCGGGTCCCAGAAGCTATGAATTTAACTGAATCCTGAACCGTTCAGCTGTGTATCAGTTCAGGAGGTTGGAGTCGCAGGCTTTTCCCACCAAGTGCCAAATGATTTGGTGATTCGGTGAACGAATCTTTTGAATGAATCTTTTTAGTGAACTGATTCTAGTGATTCAGTACATCTAAAAGGACTGCTTTACCCATCACTACTTTGAGTAGAAGTGACAAAACTTCACAGTTTGTCTACTAAATCTTAACTCTACAACAGTTCGTTTGTTCATCTGTTTGTTCATTAAATCTACCAAAGCTGCAGGATCATCTGAGTTTTACGTCTTATTTGTTTCTAAAGTCACTCAATTGTGAGTCTCTGTGATCAATTTGTTGCACAAATTATTCTCTCAGTTTAGCAAAGGCACTGAAAATACTGCAGTTACAAAGAGCCACATGGGTGGCAAGCTTCCCTGTCCTGATTATTTTAGCTTTGACCTTTGAATGAATTTATGTAATAGTTATTTGGCTTCATCCTTAAGCCATCACATGCCACCTCACTGAGCCAGATATATCTATAGATATGTATGGAAAGTCCTCATACCAGGAAATGTGCAGGTGACTATAAAAAAAAGCCATTTTTGAAAAGAGATTCCACAACTGAGAATGCTGTGGCTGCTAATAATGTCTGATGTAATCCTGCTGCAGCAGTTTATAGCATCCAGCTTCACTACGAAATGTGACATCAACACAAGCAGCCACACGTGTGAGCACAAGCTGATACAACAGGGTCCAAATGTGACTCGGATCTTTGAGTAGAAGTATCAAGAGGCAGAATTTACCTACGGAGTCAATGTCCAGTAGCCGCTGGAGGTCGCTGATGCTGTGGATTTCACTGTGCGACAGTCTGTCTATCAGCTCCTGGGGAAACTCCACTTCCTTCAGGGAGGGTGTGTGTGTGAGAGTGAGTGTGTGTGTTTGTGTGAGGAAGGAGGGGAGGAGGGGGTGGGCAAAGAAATCAAACAAGAGACATAAAGGTTAGCTTTGCAGAACATGAGGTAATTGTTTGTCTGTGTAAAGCATCCAACAGGAAGAACAACTCTGCAACTACGTGCCAACTGCGGCTGCCCAATCGCATAAAACAAGTTTCGCCGAATCCCCTTGAGAATTTGTACAATTTAAGAACGCTTTAATTTGCAAGGAAGCAAAAGTTACAAGCATGAAGGATAAATTTCATAACTCTTATTTATGAATAACTGGTAAATTCGGCGCCCAGCTATCGACAGAATAAGCAGCATTTCCCTGTCATATGACTTATTCAAAAGGATCCAGCCTGCATGATAATTAAACACATTCTGTTAATATAAGTACGACTTTGAGCATTAACTGGAAGCCGAATTATATAATAGACCCCGTGGGCCCTAAAATGTCTTGTAGTATTGAATAACTTGTCTTATTTAGGAGCAGACGAGCGGATCAGCATTAAATCGTCTCTTTTCTAATGGAATTTGGAGCCCCGGAGGCGACGTCTGCCCGTGTGAAAAGCAGATCGCCACACTTTGCACTTGTTGCGGTCTTGCATGCACCTCAAACTGAGCGAACCGTTCAGTCTTACAGGAACAGTGGCTATTTATATCGCCCGGAGCGGTTCCCATGAAAGCGCTTAGCCCAACCAAAACGTTTGCCCAGTTGGCTCAGGCTACAAACAGATTTGGCACAAACGCCAAAAATAACTGCGATGTGCGTCCAAGTGCAGCGTTATGTTGGTTCTCAAAAGCGTGTTGTCACTGGCCCTCATGGGCGCTGGAATCATTTGCATTTGGTTCACATTCAAGAAAATTAATACTTATCCAACTTTTGTGAACATGTCTTTCACCCCTCCCTGTTCCATAAATACATATTTGATCTTAATTTCTTTATTCAAAATCGTCAAATTCTATGTGGGCTCTTATCTCTCGGTCTAATTACAGGCTCTAAATCAAAACTTTGAGCTGTTACTCTGCACTTTTCTCAGTCTGGGCACTTTATCGTGGAGCAAAGTGTTCTCTGATTGTGTGAGAAATGCGCGCTCTGTGGGAGCCGTGCACCCTCACAGGAATAAACCCCCTATATGTAAGACATGGGAGCAGAGGCACACAATCTGAGCTGAGTGTCTTGGGAACTTTACCTCAGAGGTGGCCAGTAGCAGGTACGTGGTCCACAGCAGGAAGTAACAAAGTACGGTTCTCATCTCCTTTTAATTCTAACCCCAAACAAGAAGAAGGTGCTGTTCTGTAGGAGCCGCAGAATCGCTCCTGGCCCCACAGAATCCACAACCATCCCCAGCCCGGGGAGAGAATCCGGGGTGTCGGAGCGTCACGGTCAGACTCCGGGTACACTTGCTTGTTTAACTGGAACTCTGAACAGGCTGGAAGTTGCCTCTTGTTATTCGCATTGGACAAGCCCTGAAAGGCAGCCTGACACGAAGCTCCTCAGGCGCAAGTGGATCAGGACGAGCCTGACGCGCATTGCACTTGTCCTTCACCCTGTTACAAATGGCTTCAAACTTCAACCCGGTTTACAAAAATGTCGAACAAAAATTACGCACGGCTAGAAGAATTACGCACAATAAGGACTGAGTATTTCTGCGGTTGTATTGAATAGTCCTTAGAGATTATAATCCAATTGAGCCGATCTTCTCAGTAAATCACAAAGCAGAAAGTTGTCCGTGTTGAGCTATCCACAGTCTGTCTTGTAGCAGCAGTGCGCACAGGTCCTTGGCTGTGGAGGACTCTGTAGTGAATGCAGTCAGAGCGCCTCTGAGCCGCTGGATATACAGAGCCAGCAGCTCCGTGCCCGTTGCGCCTCCCCTTCGGTGATCGTGCATCTATTCAGTGAGGGGAGCTGGTTGGCTGCCTGAAAGACTTAAGACTCCTGAGTTTGTTCCCCACCCCCACCCCCCCTTCAACCTGCGTGTTGCATTTATATTCCTCCATTCATAGATTTCGGCTGTGAATGATACGCGATTGGAAAGAGGAAAGGATGTTTACAAAATTAGACCAAGAGTGCAAAGCTAAACCAAGAGGGTTTTACAGATTGAACTGTGTAATGTGCTTTTTGAACATCATTTATATGATATTCAGAATGTATTGTTTGGGTTAAAGAAGACAGAATGGTGAAATGACACTGATCTTTCAGAGTAACAAGTAAAAGCCATGAATGTTTATCATATCTGGACAATTGTCATCTTTAGATAAGTCTTTAAAGATCTGAGAAAACAACCAATATTGTGAGAGTGATAGCAAAATAGATATAATTCTATATGAAGCGCTGACAAAAACAGAATTTGCTGATTTGATTCAACAGAAAACTGTGCAAAGACATCATGTTGTGTATAAATACTACACTATAAAATTGTATTATCTCCTGGAAGGCATGTGCACAGTTTGATTTGATGCTACAATACATTAAGAAAAGTTTGGACTAAAGGGAAAAATATAAGATGAAAATGGGTGGCATTAATTTGCTATACCCACTGAGCATTTTTTGATCTAAAAGAAGTCTAATAGACGTCTAAATGTAGCCAAGACGACTGATCTGACCAAGTTTAGACTAGCCAACTAACAGAGGTCTAACTGTATATTGTTCAACAGCTATCATAATTATTTTGTTTAAGTTCTTTGGATCAGTTATGCAACTCACAGCTGCTTTTTGAAATAAAGTTAACGAACAATGGGTTAAAGTGCAACGTCTGAATTCCATCCAAAAATATACAGAATCTAGACGGTTAAAATGAGGTAAAACTAGACATCTAATAGCCGTCTATTGCTCAGTGGGTAAGCTGGTTACACGGGTAAGAATAGTGAGGCTTTTGCAAAGAATTTCATTTCATCATCTCTGGGACAAAATCTTATGAATACATGTAGAGAATCAGGAGAAAGCTCTGCAGAAAAAGAACAAGGCACAAAACAAACTATACTGGAAAGTTGTGATCATCAGCCGTTAAAAACACAGCTCCGTCATGAAAATTATAGTACAGCTAAAAATAACTTTCAAAAAGCATTTTCTTTGAAGACAGTTCAAAAATGCTGACAACTTATCCAGGGTAAAGATGGACTGAGGTTAAGTGTGCTCTCAGGAATCCAAGCTTGACAGTCTTTTTGGAAATCATGGACAGAGCATCCTCCACTCTGAAGAGACTAACCAGTTTGTAATCAGTGCACAGTTTAGAAAGCCAGCATCCAAGACAGTATGGGGATCCTGCATAAGTGCTCATGCCATTGGTAGCTTAGAGGGTTTAATTAGTCTGCTGGGGAGGAAGCATCAAACACAAAGATGCAAGACGTCTTAGAAAACTGGTGAAAAAGGCTGGCTCTGGCTCTGTGGAGGATGTGTGGAGGATCTTACACAGTGTGGCAGCTTTTCTGGACTTTGGGTCGGAATGACAGTAATCGAGTCTGAACTGTTAAATGCCTTTAGGTGTGGACATGATTTTGGCCAACAGGAAGCGACTAGTTTACAGCAGGTTAACAACACGCTGGTCCTAACTTGTCACGAGGAAGCTGCAGGGTGTGCTGCGCTGGGAGGTCTGGTTGAAGAGCCCGAGGGCCCGATAAACGAGACATACCTGCAGACAGCGTGCACACACATTATCAGCCAGAGGTGACAATCAGCAGGGAGCCAGAGGTCAGCCAACCAGGTGGTCTGCCCTCCACCTTGTCCATTCAGCTGGATCACAGAGCCATAGGCCCGCCTGAGGCTGTTGTGCCTGGAAACACTTGCATGGAGGAGAAAGCATTGCAGCAGCTGGTGGAGTAATTAATGTTGCTATTTTAACGGGCCTATGAAGTTCATTTTAAGATGGTTTCAAGGTGATATTTTATACAAATGTCCTCCTGCTAAAGCCATTCATATGAGATATTTCTCCCTTTTGTGCCTCTGTAAATTTACCACACTGTACTGATTGTTCGTTACTCTGTTTAACTCGGCAGGAGTGACCGTGAGTGTTTAACGCCGTGATGCTACAGCAGAATGACTAACTCCAGCCGGTGACAGGAAGGTTCATCATCGTCATTTTCATCAGTGTCACGGCGTCGTCATGGTTACACCAAAGGTCAGCCTCCCTGCTGTCTGGAGTTGCACTCTCACTCAAACGCATGAATCATGAGTCTTCATCACATCGTGGTGGCAGACGGAGGATCACAGAGGAAGAGGTGAGAGTGCAGGCCGCAGATGAAGGTGAAAAAGTGAGTGAATGGAAACAGATCTTCATTTTTACTCTTTCCTGCTGGAAGTGCTCAGGTAAAAAAAAAAAATACAGATAGAGTCACAACCTGGAGTCTTATCTTCTCTAAGTTGACTTTTTCCTTTTTTAACTGAAAGCTTATACATACTTTCATATTATCTTTTATAGATGCTTAATTGGAAATTGTAGGGCAGCAGGGACAATCTCCCGAGTGCTGCAGTTTTGAGCCCAAATGGATTTGGAAAATTCTTCATTGTGTTCCTGTTTTGACATGAATTTGTGCTGTGTGTTATGCTGAAAGCTTGCAAAATGTTTAAAGCATATCTATGTAATCTTATCATATCGTCTGCAGGACCAATTTATTTCACATCATATTTTATTGTCTTAAATGTGTTCCTATTTCTAAGACTTATTTTTGGTATGTTATCCTATTATTTTAAGTATAATATGCAATCATATCTTATCATATTGTATCATATCTCATTGGATCTTACTGTACCTTATTGTATTACATGACATTGCAGTCTCAACCATACTTGAATATGAACATGGAGGATCCCAAGTCAAAATCAAGGCATAGACACTTGAATGTGTTCTGTATTTCATGGACGAGACATTATAATGCTGCCTTGAAAGTATATTGTTGAAAGAAGTCCTTAACCTTAGTTTGAGGTAAGTAAAGGAAGATAAAAAGTCAACATTTATGCAGATGATGGAAGGAAAAATGTTTAATATTGCTTGAGGGAGAGAGTCAAAACATTTCAAGAAATGAAAAAGGACCTTTTTCTATTTTTTATTCTTCTTTCTGTCTAAGCCGTTCAACCAACATGTTTACTGGCAACCACAGTCTGTGTACCTAACAACATTAACACCATTAAATGCTTTTATAGATGCTGCTGCACAGTAAATCGAGCCATAGAGACGTGGCAGAGAGGACGCTGTCTGAGCGAGCTGGTGACTCTTCATTCTCTGCCCCCGAGGCCACGCATAGCTCCCAGTGAGAGAAATGCAGGAAAAAAAACGGTCAAAATTTTGAAGAATGTGGCGGATATGAGTCGCATTGGCCCGGGGGGATTGAAGCGTCTTAGTCTGGATGATGTGTGTCTGTTCTTATCATCGATTTTTCATGGTGGGAAGAAGTGATCATTGGAGGAGTCATGACCTCATGAGCCTGAATATCCCTACCGTGGAAAATAAGTTTTATTTAGCCGGCAGAATGTGGCTTGGGATCTGCTTCGAGTCAGAATGAATCAAGATTAGGAGGAGGAAGAAGATGCAAGATGGCCTTTAATTAAGATGTCTGTGGTCTGTTGTTTCTTTGAAATCCTGACATTTTTACACAATTTGATTTGGTCGGAATTATTAAATTACAATCAAGTCCCAAACTTGATGTAAACAATCAAACAAATTATGTTAAGCTTTGTCCTTTTCTTTTCTTTTTGTTTTTAAAATCTCCGGCGCCGTTAACATATATCTGTATGTACAATCGTTTCTCTTTCTACATCTCCCTCTATCCTCTCTCTTAACCCATAGCAGTATCAACAGATGACTGTCTAACCCCAAACTTGTTCTGCTCAAGGTTTCTGCCTGTTAAATGAAGTTTCTCCTCTGCACTGTAACTTACTAATGCTGCAGTGTTAAGGTTTTCCTGTCCTGCGATTATTGCGGCATTTATTTTTTTGTATCACGGACGAATTTTCTAAAGTCTGGCGAGAATAATGGTAATATACAATATATGTCTTGTGCTTGGATAGAAGAAATGCCATCATCATTATGACTCAGTGCTGTGTTATCTGCAACCTCCATCCCACAGGCTGTTCAGGGACGGCAGTGTATCATTCAATTTCCACCGGCAACTTTAAAGGTACACTTTGGGAGCATTTGTGACCCTGAATATAGTCAATTCATTTTGAAAAACAGGCTTAGTGATGAAGTGATGAATTACAAACTCCTAAAAATGGCCTCCTGTTGTTTCCATCATCTTTTCTTTGGGTAACCAAACTCCACCCCTTTAACAAAGACAGACAGACAGACAGAGGTATTTAGTCATCATGCCTAACCCAGTTAAGAAACTCCTAAAGTCAGACTTATTTTAAACACTCTGTGAAGATAACTTGAGCCTCATATAACCTTCTTTGTGAGACTCTGCATATGTGCAAGTGCGTTTTCTTTGCCAGCTGTCTGAGTGCAGTAAGTGTTATAACAAACACATTATCATCCATAACCTAATCTCTATTTGATCCCAGTTGCAGTTGAACTGTGACCTGCACAGACAGCAAAGAATCTCACACTTCAGTCCGCTGGGGAACCATAAAAAGATAGCAGAGCTGACAATAGAAACTCAATATACTGATAGCCACGCGTTCTCCACCATTATGACCCCTGCAACTGTTATATTTCCTTTCCACTGACAGCTTTTGCATATTTTCCACTGGGCATCCCTGGTCTTTGACACCTCATAACGTGTGGATTGCCTTGCAACAGAGAAACAAACACAGATCTTAACCTGGTGTCTCCCCCAGCGCCGCCCAGCCACATCATAAGCATGCATGAGTCACGGACACAAGGAACAGGTCCTCTGCAGACTACTGAGAGATCTCCTCCCCCCTCCTCAGGGGAAGAATTAGCTCCAATAACTAAAGCCCGAACCAGCTCATCAGTGCTCATGATGACAAAGTTGAATCTATTAGTGGGTTGTGTGTTTGTGTTTTTAGCGTGGAGCTGTGTGTTCTTCGACCGGAGCGTGTGTCTCGTAATAGGCCCATTAGAAACAGCGGTCACATTTATGGTTGGGTTACTCATGTACACACACATTCACACACTCAGCAGGGTAAGTAATTCAGGTGAAATTTCCCAGGAGCAAAGGTGCATTCCTGAGGCTGGTAGCGATATAGATTGGACTTGGAAATTATCCAGAGCAGAGTGCATATCCAGGGCAACTTCTACACACATAAACAAGCAGCCACACAGCACTCACACTCTCACGATCACACAGTAAAAAAAACCCTCAAACACACACTCTTACTGCCTTTTTCACTTGAATATTAAGCAGTAAAGAGAGGCCGAGTACAGCAGCCTTACTTACAACAGGTCCTAGACGCAGCTGCTCTTTTATAGGAACGATTACTGGCAGCCATTTACAGGCCTTCATCTCTCTAACATGCATAGCAACCTGAATTAAGTGCTCTGTGGGGCCTCCCTGCACTCCTCTGGACCCCTCTTTTTCTATAGGTGTGCAGGCATTAAAGCAGCACAATGCCTGACTGCTCTTTCATAAGTCACAAACGCACAGTCAAGTTCACCTCTGGGATCAGAAATCACGCCACATGCACACATTAATGCACAAAGCTGGTGGTAGTACAAGGTATGCAAGGCGAACCCCCAGCTGCAACGCATTACACACTGCAGCAGCACACTTCAGTAGTTAAGGGACCGCGGCATCCTCTCTGTGTGATCTCCAGATCTGTCAGGCTGCGGTCTGCTCTGGTCATAACGCTGCCTCGACTTTTTGCTCTGTGCTCCTCTGTGAAAGCCATCCTCAGCTATAAAAAGGTTTTCGGTGCGAAGGAGAAATGGCACCGGCGAGAGAAATTTCTGGGAACACAGTGGAAGAAATCAGTGGAAGAAATCCCATTTTGTGTTTGTGTGTGTGTGTCTTTGCACATTCCAGCTCCTGTGCATTCAAGAGATCAGAGATGGATTTGTGATGGCAACCTCAACAAAACGCAGGAAAGAGGCATCGATTCCATCCTGCGGCGTCTCCTGCATGTCACTCGCTGCTCTCTATTCTGTTTCCTGCTCTAGAAATAATCCTAAAACACAAACACACAATATAAAAATCACCAGTCTTGTATGTATTTGTGTCCTAGATCACCACATGGGCTAACCAACACTTCAAGCCCAGCCATTTAAGTAAAGTAAGTGACATTTATAAAATAGACTAAAATTTGTTTTCATGCATTTTTATGATATTCGATATTCGTTATGATTACGTTATCAGCAATAAGATTAATGATTCATTCACTAAAATCGTTTATGCCAGAAATGCAATGAATGAGATAGCGCTTTTTGAAAAGTTCCACATATAATAGGAGGTTTTCAGTCACTAATCCTGACTTCGGGCGAGAACCAAATGGAGGGCAGGAAGTGACCGACTGCCATGGAGGAGATGCGGGAAAGCTCGTATTGCGCCGGTTTAGATGCGTGCCGGTATTTAGCGAAAACGAAATAATAAATCTTATTTACAATTATTGATTTTGAGTGTGCCTGTTTTGAGCATACGTGCATGGAGGCTACATTGGCCTTCCCATGACCCTCAGCGACAGGTACCATGGCAAAACATGCGACAGAGCGGTCCGAGCGCCAAAATCTTACATTGTAACAGAGCACTGGTTGTTATTTTCTCTACAGTCATATCTTCCTCCTTCGGCGTGACCCTCCTGGCGGCTTTGAATGATACGTTGGACGCGTACATCTCCATGACAGCAGGTTAACCTTTCTCTACCGCTCTTGCCTGGAGTTTTTGGTCCACGTTGTTGACTACTTTGTTACGAAAATACTAAAACAAACGCTAATCTTTTATTTTTATGTTATACAGAAAAACAAGTAAACAAAATATTGACTTGTTTTTTCATTTCTCGTTCACTAGATTGAATGGAATAATTGAATGGACGGATAACACACGGACTGGGTCGCGCTAAGGAATGGTGGCCTATTATTAAATCACATATACAAATAAAAAGTAAGATTGAGATTGAAATGTTTTAAAATTGTTTTATATTTTTACAGTGTAAAATGTCAAATGTAGATGAAGAGTTTCCTGTTCGGCTAAATTAATTGATCAACACGTATTTCCGGCTTCTGACTACCGTTGTAAAGCTGCACATGCGCATTTCCTCCTCTTGATACAAACGCTCGTAGCCCGGAAGAGCATGACCGATCGGACGTGTTGTGTTATCAAGTTCACTACTGTTTGCAGTAAGAAGTAGCGAAAACATTTACTTTCTCAAAAAATAACAACACCATTACCTTCAATGTTTTTATAAAGGACTCGTTAATCTCCACTTCCGGTCAAACAGCTGGAACGGAAAGCGGTATTTTACCGTTGTTTACACTCTGTGGACTCAGTAGCTACGGGAAAATATCGGTCTAGACCCCGTGGAAGAATGGAAGATCAGCAACAGGATAGAGAAAGAGAACCAACCTTCACTTCTCCTTTTGGACATAAATAGACCTCAGGTGGACTGATTTGAACCAGGACCAGTACCAGGACATCGACTCTTAACGAAGAGAAGCCGAGTCGACTAAGGTCAGTGAGAGATGTTCTCATTTTTCTCTATCTGAGCTGTGACACACCTGCTGTGATTGAGGAGAGAAGGACAGTGATTTGCTGGCATGTTGGGCTCGTGTGCGCGCGTGGCGTGTACTAGTGATGGGCACGGCAGTTCTCTTAGATGTACTGAATCACTAGAAGCAGTTCACTAAAAAGATTCGTTCAAATGATTCGTTCACCAAATCACCAAATCATTTCGTGCTTGGCGGTGGGAGCCTGAGACTCCGACCTCCTGAACTGATACACAGCTGAACGGTTCAGGATTCAGTTCAATTCTTAGCTGCTGTGACCCGGAGACGAGAGTGTTTGGCTGTGTTGCTTTGACAAACAGGATTGTAAAAATGAACTTGTTCATAAGTCATGACGTTTTAAGTGTAGTTACCAGGTCTGCTCAGTAAATTGGGGTCAGTGAGTGATTCGTTCGCTCTGAAGTTTTAGAAGAAGTCAAACTGAACATGCACCGTTTTGTCCAACAAAAATGATTCCAGAGAGTGTAGTTCAATGTGTGATTTGTTCACCAAGTGATTCAGGGGTTGGTGCATGTGGTCCCTTGTTCGCTTGCTGCTGGCCTGGCAATGCTGTTTCTTACTTCAGCTGAACTGACATGAGAAACAAACGAATCACTCGAGGAAGTGATTCGATTCAGTATGTTCACTTAAAAGATTCAGTTCTTTTGAACAAATCATTTGCGAACGACACAACACTAGCGTGCACGAAGCATAGCGCAGTGTGCGTTTATGGCTGGATTTGTAGCCTTGGTGATGTGTGCGTGTGCGGGCTTGCCTGTGCACAGTGTGTGTATGTAAAGTGTGTACATGTAGTGGTTATAGTCATACAAAATCTGTTGCATTCATAGACTGTATATAGAATAGGCACTGTCTGCCTCCTCGCTGGGTGAAGCCACTCCGAGAACAGCACCCTCTGGTGACGGGCTGCAGTGTAGAGTGTAGCAGCGCCAACGTCAGCACGGGGGGCGTGGTGCGTAATGTGCCAGCACGGCCATTTTGGCAGCAACACTAAGCGCATTGGAATGAATGGAATTAGGATGACGTTAGGTTTTTAAAACTAACTGTTTATTAGCTGACTACACAGTAACAGAGAACAGAATGGAGGGAGCAAAACTTGGACTCAACATACCATACAGGGACAAGCTGAACAATGAAGAAAGAGAGCATTACCTAAGCAAAATTTTTTCACATTGCTGGACTCGTCCCATATGAACACACTGTATGGTCAGAAGATGATTTCGAGATGCTACTACCACATTTACAAATAGGGGTAGGAATCACCAGTAGCCCCACGACACGATATTATTGCGATTTTTTACATTTTGCAATACAGTGAATATTGCAATACCATACAATGCGATTTATACAATATTTCCAACTGTTAGGCTGATTTAGCGTTTGTCTTTTCCTTTTTTATTTTCATGTTGCACATTTTGCAAACCTGATTTGTTGCACTAACTTTCCACTGTTCCATGATACCACCTCTGCCAACCTCACTGGACAAAAATTGATTATATTTTTTCCATCATCGTAGATTTGACTTCATATTTGCAGTTAATTTGAAAAAAATCGATACTTGGTAAATGAGACGATATGATATATCACCAGACAAAATATTGTGATACTATGCTGTATACTTACAAATACACTGTATAAGTGGAAGTCTGCACTGAATAGACAATCATATGAATTAATGTTTACATTCACACACCTGCACTGGCTCTCCAATTTCCTCAAATGGACAGACAGTCGTGAAGCAATTCAGGCACAAGTCCATACATGCAGCTCCCCGTCCCCCCGTCCCCGGCTCCTTTTCCCCCTTAAAACACTGCCTCTTTCTTCTCTATGAACAAAAAAACACACTCTCTCTTTCTGCACACACACTCACGGAGAAAACAGGGGACTTCCAGGGACTGAGAAATAGCAGCGTAATTGCCGGTGCTCTGTTGTCTATCAAGACCTGACCTTTTCAACATGTGTGCGCCGTGTTGGGAGCAGTGGGAACCGGCGAGGAGGAAGACAGGGGTCTCCCCGTCTCTGTGGTGGTCTGACCCAATCTAACCCCCTTATTTCTTCACTCTGACTCCCCCTTCTAAAAAAGCGGTGGGAACTCCCACTGTGTCGCCATGTTCTGTGGGTTCTGAGAGGAGGATGCAGCTTACCCACAAATCAGGCTTTTGGCAGGGGGACATCAAAGGCGGGACAAGACGGTGTGGAAAAGACCAGGGGGACACTGAGCAACCTTGTCTGACTGAAGTCCCAAGAGGATGGGGGAAAGTTTGAGGTCTGTGTGTAGAGCCCAGACATTATAGTGGCACACATTCTCTCAGTGCCAATGGGAAAATCGCAGACTAGTATTGCCTTACATGAATCTGGCCCTGAAATAAGGACTTAAAAGACTGAAACATATACAGGGACATACTCATAATAAACAGAGAGGACACTTTTAGGATTATAGGTCAATAGTTAGGGGAAGAATGGCTTTGAAAAGTTATCCAAACAAATAGCAAGAAAGCAATATAGCGAGCAAAAACTAATGAGAATTTAAATTTATTATAAGCAAATTGTTCCCTTTTCAGGCCCAATGAAAAGTGGTCTTTGTGTAGCTTCATGATACACGAGCTCGGCTCTCAAAGGAGGCAAACAAAACTGTCCTCAGAAATGTATTAGGAGCTTTTAAGCCCATAATTACACCAATTGGCATGTCAGATGGAGCTTTCACTTCGTTATTTACCCTTCCTTCTCTCCTCGTCTTTCACTAGTCAGAGCCCCCACAGTGCTCAGATGATGGTGCACGTACCCAGAGATGGAGGAACCAGTGAAGGGGGTGATGATGGTGGTGGTGATGTGCAGGTGGGAGGGGGTAGGGTTCAGTACCGGGGGGGGGATTAAGAAGAGATTTCTCTGCTTGACTTGAGTGACATTAGCTATCCATGATGGAGGTACTGAGGAAGGGAGAAAGCTTGGAGGAGGAGACAAGGAGAGGTTTCAAGGAAAAGTACGAACTGAAGAAATCCCCGTAATAAAAGAGCAGTTTGAGGAACCAGTTTGGGCTAATTAGACCCTGAATTTTCTTAAAAACGTTCTTCATCACCACCTTACTGAGCTGTGAGAGCTGTTGACCTCAGGGAAAAACCCAACCAGGTTTATGGGATGACTGTGACGCTGTTTTGCAGGCATTGTGGTACAAAAGGTGTGAGTCAGTACAAGCCCTCGACCCATGCTAATTTTTTTGCTCTCAAATTTTTACTGCTATAATGGGAGACAATAAAAAATAAACATGTTTTTTTTTTTTTAATTTAATTTTATGTCAATTTTATTTTAACTTGTTTTATTTCATTGTTTTTTATTTATCGACTATTAGATAATTTGATTTAAATTATTTAATTTTCATTTATTTAATTAGTTTTACTTAATATTTTTCATACTAAAATATTTTAAATAATTTATCAAATTTATTTTATTTTAATTTTAAATATTTTATTTATCTTTTATTCTAATTAAAAATATTCTATACAATTTATGTTATTTTATTTTAATTCTATATTTAGATATTTTGTAAATTTTACATTATTATTTTTTGTTCTATATTGAAATATTTTATTGATTTTATATTTTATCTTCTTTATTTTCAGTGTGCAGGAATTCGATTGCAATTTTTCAAGTAGTCATAGAGCACAAGAAACACCTAACATGCATAAAAAGTAGAAGGAAAAAGCAACAGATGGGATAGGTAAACTACCCCACATGGTGTCCATCCTGTTCAATGACAGAGAATGACTCACTGACCACTTGTGCATGCATGGACATGTGTAGGCTTGTGTGTGTGCAGATTTATGTAAACAGAGGTTTGTTGTAGGATCTGAGAATCAAATTAGAAAAATTACTTTTTTGGGTCCTTGAGACTTTGATGCCTGCCCACGCTGTCATTATGGTACACAGACCAGAACCATAATAACACCTCTCCTCCTCCTCCCTCCTCCCTCCTCCTCCTCCTCCTCTCCAAGGACTCTAGATGAAGTGTCAAAATCCCAAAGCAGAGGGAGATCACAACAAACTGATTTGGAACAGGAAGTGGCTCCATTATGGGCTTAAAGATAGGAGAGAGTGCTCTCTGGTTACAGCACTCACTCAAATCCACACATTCCTGCAGGGTTTAGGGCGAGCCGGGTCACCCCTGTGGACTCTGCACCCCAGCCACTGCCTCAGCCTAGGGGCATGGCTCAGGGTACAGCCAGGACATTGAGGGGATTTGGGGGGTCCTTGAAGAGGGGCTGAAGGGTTGTGGATGTGTGGGGTGGCCCGATCATCAGGAGACACTTGACAGCCTTTGCCTTGTGACTCCGCACACCTGCAGTGAGTGAATGTGTTGAGATCAGGGGGGATAAGATAAACGCTCAGGGATGTGAGGATGGACTTAGTGAAGCTGTCACTTCTAATAGACGCAGACAACAAGTTCATTCCTGGGAAGAGGCCGAGCCTTCTTCAGATGATCCAGTCCAATGTGGAGGACGACCTTCGAAAGCTGGTGAAGGATTCTGAAACACCAAATACAACCGCAACTTCAAAAAAAAGTCCATTTTGAAATCGTCAGATCTCGAGAAAGTTTTCCTGTCACCCTCAGTCCATTGGTAAAGTCATAACCTGCATATGTGAATGCAGTACCAGACTATACTCATGAACAGAGGTTTCTGGATGGATTTTGAGCCCATGCAGTGATTTCTACTCCAGAGTCCTATTGATGCAGTATCACCTGAGGAAGAAGGTCATGGCCAACCAGTATAGGTCCTTTACTACACCAGATTTCTCCAGATTCTCCTGGTCTTCTGGGGATGTTTGTAGGGTTGGGTTTGTTTGGTTTTGAACGATTCCGTTTACGATTCTGATTTCCCGTTTCGATTCCGATTCCTAAAGATTCTCCATTCTGATTCCTTGTTTCAAATTGCATGGTTTAAATGAGGGTGCGAACCGGAGTTCTTCTTTTTAGATTAAATTATTGAACTTCTCCATAAATTTTTAAATTATATTAACTTTTTAAGAACTTAACTATGAGTTTCTCACAGGGCTATTTTCAACCAGTATAAAAATATCAATTTTTGCTGTCAGGTCGTTTGTCTTTGAAAAAGTACGAGTGCTAGCATTAGTTGGATATTTAAGTTGACCCACTGTACAAAGTACAATTTGTTTGTCGCTTCAAAGTTAGCAGAAGACAGAAGTAATTTATTGTTTCACTTGCCGGATTCTGGCTGGTTAGCGGAAGACTAGCGAAGCGCGTCGATTTCTCCTCCATGAATCCTGAGGTTGCACTGAGATAAGAGTTCATTCTTCCTGCTAAAGCTAGCCAAACTTTTGACCGCAGCCTCTGTGGGTTGCAGTGCGCTCTCTCACTCTCTCTCTCTTTTCTCTCTCTGTGTGGCTTCATCTCTAATGCTTTGTCCTCATTGGTGTACGGCGGCATCGAAACTTTGAATCGAAATTTTAAAATTTGACCGATTCCGGGAGAGTCGGAATGTTAGTCCCGGTCGAGACTCGATGCCCAACTCTAGATGTTAGGATGATAAAATCTTCAAATTCAAAATGAGTGAATATTTGCAAAAATTTGAACGTTAAATATTTTCTCTTTGTGGTGTATTTGATTGAATAATGGTGGAAAAGGATTTGCAAATCATTGCATCCTGTTTTTAATCATGTCTCAGACAACGTCCTGACTTTATTGGACAAAATGTCTCAGAGAGATCTATTTACATTATCTGATTACCATTTACTAAACAGTCCAACAGGGACTTGTGCTCCTTTATCTTCCCTAATGTGATTAGACCAGAGTTCGACTACTTCTACGATCCACACTCAAACCCCCAATGATTCCTCGGAGAGTAGGCGGCAGTGAAAAAACGAACAATTGAGTGGATTGCTGAGCTGCCTCTCAGGGGAGTAGAGTCACATTCAAAGTGAAGAGATGGATTGTGCCCGGTCCAGACCAACGTAGGCAGGAGATTGCAGAGTCATGTGCGTGATGGAATATCTCACTCAGAAAAATGCTACTGGCTCTTTTTTTCCCCTTTGAGCATGCTGAAAATCAGGAGAACATTTCAGTCTTTTGTTTGTTTTTTCTACACTTCAGTTGGAGGCGAGTCACCGCGGCTCTGTAGGCTGGGAATAGCTTTGAAACTGAGGCCAAAATTGAGGCGAGTTCAGGGGGGGCCTGGTCTCAGTGTTGGTAAATGTATACAAGTGAATTATTTACTTGTCGTCCAGCAGGAAATGAGGAACGATAACAAGCTTGGGAAAGAAAAGCAGAAAAACAAACAGATTGTATCTCATCCCCTTGTTCGTTTTTTTTTTTTTTTGCGTTCACTCGCTTCTTTTTTTCGGGGGCAGACAGCCGTGTCCTGCAGACACACTTGGCCAGAAACGTGACTCTTTCAGACAGTAACAGTGGGAGGAAATCATTTTGACGTAAATCATTTAGACTACTGGCCCATCGCTGCAACTGTAACTAAAAGATGTCTGGATGGTTTAAGTTGAGCAGCGTAGCTTTTAGGAAGCATTGTGTATAAGGGAGCAGCAGCAGGGACAGAGGGAGAGGTGCTAGCTTATATTTACAGATCAGTATTTAACATATAATGACTCAGCAAGGTTGAATAAGTCTGAACAGATCAGCTGATTAGATTGCTTTACTGCTCTGTGGATGAAATGGACGTTGGTGAGGACAGTCACATTCCAAACATCTGCAAGTGGAGAAAATCAACACTTAGTAATGAAAGTTTTATTTAGGGTACGAGGTCGGAAACATGTGGGTTAACAGGACTGCGTAGATCTCTGTGTCAGACTTGTGTAACATCGCCCTCTTACCCCCAATTTCCACCACATCCTGAACGGCTACAAAAAGGCCGTATCCGCCGATCGTAGCTGACCATAACCGTTAAAGTTAGTGTGTCAATTTCCACCGGCTTCCTTCCATCCGGACGCTGGAGCATGCCGGATAAATTCAGCACAGATAAACCCGTGTTGGAAAGGAAGTCGGGCACAGACACAAAATAAAATATCCAGCTCCTTTTCAAAATAAAACAAGATGTGTTTCAGGCGGATCGTATTTCACACCATGCAAACAGGCGGGGACAAACAAGTGAAAGGTTTATAGACAGCATTTCACCCCGATGAGACCACAGATGTTGATTCTAGAAGTCTAGAAGTAGATTTCCTCCTCTGGAAGGACACAATCTACTGCTTATATGGTTATGTGTCTGTCTTTATAGAGACAACTCGTTATCACGCAAATGCATGTTAATCCATGGGTTCTTGTGAGTTCCCGCGATTACCCCTGTCCGTAATTCGCCTCGAAATTCGCCTCAACAACAGATCCAGATTTTAATTGGTGGACGGAGAAAATCGCCGCCGTTCTGGATTGGAGCTGTTCCGAATGGGGTGTGAGGCGGCTTATGTTACCTGACTCTTTAAAGAAAAGGTAAATAAGACCAAATGTAGAGCTCATACTGTTTTAGATGAAACCCTGAGTTTTGTAGATTAGCATCATTCCAACATGAACACCAGCCAAGTTGTTGAATCCCCGCACTGAAGGACTGCTGACTTATCTGGACCTTGTGATGATCTCCTGACCCAAATTTTGACTCTCCTTCTCCCCCTGACCTCATCTATACACCCCCTCTCATCCCTAACCTTTCAATCCCATCAGCCTTGCTGTTGCTCAATCACCTGTGACCAGGCCCGGGCGGCACCTTTGACCCCAGAGGGTCACGATTAGAGCTGAGAATCAGAGCAGCAGAAGAGGAGACCAGCCGGAGATGAGAGAGAGAGAGCGCTTTGACCCAGACTCTGAAACAGTCTTGTCGCCACACCCAATATATCTTGACAAGAAAAGAGCTGCGAATCAAAGGCTTCGGGTTGTTAGGGGTTAATTTTTTTAGGGTGTGCGGATCATGGAGGAGGGAGGAGGCAGGCTTTTTAATTAGCATAGACCTCCCTTCACGAGAGGGAAGAAGAAGAAGACAGGAAACAAAAGAGTGAGAATCAGGGAAAAAGAGAGGGAGAGACAGGGGGTAAGGGTCGCACGCCCACGGCTGTGCTCGCTGTGCCAAATCTAAATATGTAGCACCAAATAAAACATCCTCTCATGAGAGCATGGGTGGCTGTGTATGGGATGCAGCAAACACACTAAAAACCAAATCACTCCCAGCCATCTTATCTTGTAAATTTTTTTGGCAGTTCTTATAAAAAACTTGGAATTTGGAGGGATGCCCTCATGAAGCCACCCTGTAAACGAGGAGGCCAAATGTTCCCATGCTGGGCTGGATTCTTGAAAATTTATCTCTGCGGTTCTCAGCGGATTTCACACCACCGAGGACCCCCACTTAAAAACCACATTCCTCCTCATACATGTTCATCACCTCCTCCACCTCTCTGCCTCCGTACACTACATCTTTTCTACCTCCTCTGAACAAGCTCTTCAGTCCGTCTCCTTATTTTTAATCACAAACTGCACAGGAGCTCCGCTGCGGTCATACGACGCTCTGAGAGGAGCTGGGAGTTGTAGAGGAGCCAAGCTGCAGTCGCCATGGAGTATGGTGGGGGTCATTCGTCCTCTTGAGTCCAAACTCCTGCTGCTTCCTGCTCTCTGGGACTGCTTCTGATTTATGCAGAGGGAGATCCCACAGAGACAAGCCCCGCAGTATTCTAATGAGCTGTCAACTTAGCATGGAAAAATGAGCACTACCAACAAGAAAGGGACGCATGTTCAGACTCAGTTCTCTAACCTGAACATGTTTAAAGTAGGGCTGCATGATGTATCGTTTGAGCATCGTCATCACTAGGGTTGGGTATCGAGAGTTGAGCAGGGGGACCGGGACTAACATTCTGATTCTCCCGGGATCCTTAAAATTTTAAAAATTTCGATGCCGAAGTCCGCCGACCGGAAGAAATAGCCGCCGAACACCAACGAGGACGGAGCGTATGAGACGAAAACACAGAGAGAGAGAAGACAGAGAGAGAGAGAGAGAGAGAGAGAGAGAGTGCATTGCAACCCACAGCAATGCAGCCGCTGTGGGTTGCAATGCACTCCCTCTGAATCGAAATTAAAAAAAAGAATCGAAATAGTGAATCAATAGGAATCGGAATTGAAACGAGGAATCGAAATCGGAATCATTCAAAATCAAACGATACCCAACCCTAGTCATCGCAATGTACGTGTGCTCGATAGTCACATTGCAGATTACGATCAGATGTTCTTTTATACAGACAGGTTTTCTAATTACCTTACTTGCCGCCCTAGTTTAAAGCTCAAGTTTGAATCTGGCAACCCTGAAACGGATCCATTCACTTCTTTTCGTGTCATAAATGTCCTTTAAACTTCATCCTAATCGACTCGTAGGCCACTTAAAGTTCATCTCAGGAGCTGTAGGCTGTGTGGTGAATTTTGTAGGCCATGATGAAGAGCTCTGAAATTGGAAAGGGAACTCTTAGAGACCTCCTTTGTCTTCTATGGTGGGCTGATCTGCCATCATGTCCCTTACATAGTATACTGGTAGTTTAGGACACAGTTTATGAAATTGAATAAATGTTGGTTCAGATTTAATGTTCCTTTCAAAGGTTAAAGCTGAGTTTCCTGAAATGATGTTTGCAAAGCTGCATAAATGTTTTTGGTGTCGGTGTTAGAGGCAGAGTAGGACTACAGGAGCTGGAAGATGGATTATGGAGTTATTTGAGCGTAAAAGACTCAGGAGGTAGTAATCAAAAGTTGGTAAAGTAGTGTGTGAAAATGTGTGTTTTCTGGTTATGCTCTTATTAGCACTGGCACTGCGCCACCGTATCAAAGCTCCATCTTACTATTTGTGCGACACTGCCAAGTTTTGTCCTCAACTGGCCCACCCAGCACCGGCCCTGCCTAGTCAGGTGCTCTGGAAACACATAAATGCATGCATGCACGTGCACACAAAGGAAAGGAAAATGTTTGACCAAAAAAGTTGTTTTTGGTGTTTTTTTAAGAGAAAATTATCCAAATTAGGAGTCCGTTTTGTGATATTCTGTCCATCTATGATGACTTTTCCCACAGACTGATCTCCTGAAATGCTCAGTCGTAGAACTTCCAGCCTTTATTAAGAGAAGACAGGACAGTGGAGAGAGCGGTAGAGGAGAATTGAAGCATGACCTCTGCACATGGGGAGCTTCGTTTCATGAAGCTCCAAGTGTTTTTAAAGTTGGTAACAGGTTGGGTCTGCAGGTGTGAGACTGTAGAACCTGGACTCTCCTACTACGGAGCCATGCTGTTAAATGTGATTTGGCGTAGTGCTGGATGATTAATTGAAGTTTTATCATGATTTCGACTAGGGCCCGACCGATTTATCGTTGAGCCGATTCAATAGGCCAATTTTAGCCCGTTTGAGACTAATCGGTAATCGGCCAAAACTCGGCGATTTCCGACGTTACTTTCAGAAATTAAATGCGGAGAATAAGATTCGGTTTCACATCGAAAATGGTCCGCCACTTGAAAAGATCCCCCGACTTATCCTGTAGATGGCGCAGTAGTCGAAAATGCTTTTCTGCTCCGACTTTGATCAGTCCCTCTTCCTGTCAGCATGAGGAGCAGTAGCCTACAGTATATCTACAGTACATAGTATACTGTTGGGGTATCGGCCCCAAAAATCCATATCAGTGGGGCCCTAATTTCGACTTTGGCTTGATATAATCATAAAAACACTATAATCCAAGAAAGACGATAAATGCGCCACACGGTGCGGTGTGTATGTAAGTTCCTGTGCTGGAAAAACACCTTGGACGCACCCCTGTTACATGCAGCCGCAGCAAGCGTGTGACGTGTGTGGATCAATAATACAAGGAGCGAGTGATTTAAAAAGAAAACATGGCAGGAAGGCTGTTTTTGGTTGAGAAGTAAGGTAGGACAACTTTCAGAAACATTTTGCGCGCAAGCGCTCCCTGAATCGCTCAACACACGGGCAAAATAGTGCCCCTCTGTAGTAAATGTTGGTGGTTCAAAAATACTCAAGTTTTAAATTTCATCGTGATTTTATTATCTGTCAAAATAATCATGATTATTATTTTTGCCATAATCGTCCAGCCCTAGTTTGGCGTCATCTTGTTGAAAAGTGACGGTCTAAATGTTGTGTAACTAGCTCAGCATTCATGCCATGGGTGCTTCCACATTCCCACTCCATCACAGATGCAGCGTTTTGACCTGATTAACAGTTTAGATGGTCCCCTTCTTTTAAAAAGCAGAAGACGCAGTATCCATGAACTGTCCTCTTAATGGACCTGGAGCCAGGAGCAGCTGCTGTCATACCTGGACCGTGTTTAGACATCGCTTCCTTTTAAGGGTTTTGAGCCCATGCGACGACTTCCGCTACAGAGTCATGTTGCAGATTATCCTCATGAATTTCTCTGTGTGTTTTTGGCTTATTTTAAACACGCTGCTGCCGGAATCAAAATTAAAACAATAACACTTTTTGTTTTCAACTTTTCATAAAATAGGGTTGCATAAGAAATACACACAGTGCTTTTTATTGGAAATGAATGCTAAATACAGTATTTTTTAAGCAGTGAGTTGCAAACTTCCAACTTTGACTTGCGTGTTAGAAAGTTGATAAGTTGTTTGTGTTGGCCTGTGAGTGTGTGTGTGTGGAGCAGCGGGTACTAAACTCAATGGCAAGTGGAGGGCACATTCCTGAGTTGATTTAGTGGGCATTAAGATGAAGAGGAATGTGTCAAAGCTACGGAGGCTTTAGCCCGCTGCAGCACGAACCGGCTCTGAGGCTCTCTGACAGCTCAGACTGACGGCTGAGTGACACTTGTGAGGAGAGCGAGAAGAGGAGGTACCTGTTGGGAGAGCTGTAAAATGCGATTACAGAGAACCGTTGGCACTCTGGAGGAGATTAATGGGGACTTTGAGGAGAGGTCGGCTGTTGGCATGAGATGAGATGAAGGCAGAGAGGAGAAATTGCCAGAAGTTTGGGTTAAACGAAGGGGAAAAATGAGAAAAAGACTCGCATTCTTACACAGAAGTCGTGGAAAAAACAAGGAGTTGAATCAAGAGGATTTCAGAAGCTTGTCTTTATTTGCTCAAGATAGTTTATAGTTGAAAGAAAGAGATACAGAATACAGAAAGATTATTTTCTTCCTATTTTATACAACGTCTTTTGCTGGGTCATTTGTGCATCTTTGACAGATTACAGTAGATCAAAAAGCAACACAAATAGAACTTCTACCTCTTTCTTTTTATATATATTTATAATATATAAGTCATGTCTGAAAACAGCTAAATCAAACTTCTGGTTTGACCCAACGTTACAAACTCTAAAGTGGTGCAAAAGCTTAAACCCACGATTCAACGTAAAAGAAAATCAGCTTAATTTAAAAAGCGTCAGGTAATCGTTGTGTGTGAGTCAGAGGATTTACATAGTCCTGAGACGGTGTCAGCATATACAGTATGGTTGTGTGTCATGTCAGTGTGTGTCACACTCTGTTTGTGTGTGTGTGTGCTGTACTGATAACACTACTGCTCCTTTGGAATACCACAAAGAGGAGATCTTGAGGAAAGAAAGAAACTTTTCGGTTAATCTTGCTGGCACACGCTGAGTGAAATCCCGACAAATCAGAGCTCCTACCTCCGACAGATAACAGCAGTAAAAGCACAATTAAAAGCACGAGAATGAAAGAAGCAGCCAGGATCTTAACGCAATTCATACCTCTACGGCTACGCTTGAGGAAATAGAGATATGTGCAGTGCAGGTCTGATTCGACCTGAAAGTGGCATCACGCACAGCCAGAAACGGAAAAACAAAAAAGCACAACCAGAGCGCAAAGAAACGAGTGCTCACCTCCTCCTGCTGTACGTAAACATGTCAGTTCGCCGTCGTCTTTTCCTGAATTCAACCGCATCCTTCATAAATACACCAAAGTGCAAACCCTAATCTTTGTCAGTTACGAAGCATGCATCATAAACAGTCCACACACTGTATGTATGACTCATTTACAGTTGAAAGACTGCCTTCCTCGCTCTCGTTTTTACACTCCTGCATGTTGTTTTGGACATAAAGCTACGCGACAGCACGGGTCAAGTCAAAGTGCACAAGATCAAAGAAAAGAAAGAAATGCGCAAACTGGAAAAAAGGCAGGAAATGAGCGCCCTGTCATCACGGATGTAAAAACCCACATCCTTCACCCCGAATCCTCACCTCTATCCCACCCATGGGTCAAAACTCTGATGCTGATGCTGCCCACCCCTGCTGGTGGGGGGCCCTGAGGGGGCCGAGGGGTCACACAGTGAGGGAGATGAAGCTGTTATATCTCTGGATGTTCCTCTTGAGGATCTCCGAGCACGGCCCCAGCACACGCTCGAAGCGGGGCCGGTCCAGCTTCACACACTTAAGCGGACCGCGGGCGACTACGGTGGCTGCCCTGGGACGGTTCAACAGCAGGGCGATTTCACCTGAGGGAGGAGAAAGGAGCGAGGTTAGCGAAGGTGTGATTACAAGTTATTAACTCATTCAGTGCCATGGACGGATTTTGACGGAGTTTTCAGTTTTTTTGTTTTCTTCCAGAAGGCGCCTCTTCCCAACATACAACTAAGTTTTGGGTCGTTCTGAGCGCAGAAAAGCCGACAAATACATCATTAACAAGAACTCGCCAGTGAGAAGTGTGCCATCAAGTGTGCCAATTAGCCCAGTTGTGGAGTGTTTAAAGTCATTAGTCAAGAGCAAACGTTCTCGACACATCGGCTCCCGTTGGCGCGGCGCTACCGTCTCTGGATTTTCACATCTTCAGCAGACAATTAAAGAAACAATTTTCCGGCATGTCATTGTGCCGGTAGTGGGTGAGCGAGACTGAGCTGGAATTCAGCGACAGTCCGGGCGAGGAGGATGCTAGCAGTACGTGAGGTTTATGTCGCAGCGTCAGGTTCTTAGGACCTTAATGCCACCGGTAAAGCAGTTTGAAGAAGTAGCTTCAAAGTCTCTCCTTCGTAAAAATGTGATTTTCCCAGGTTTCTTTTTCCAGATTGACAAAGCTGATATGACCACGCTGCATTGAGCAGGCAATATCTAAACACAGGAGTGGGTTAGAGACTAACCTTTTTTTCTGGTGAAAGATGAGAATTGCTTCTTTTTTTTAGATATTGCACTTAATTCTAGTCCAAGCACAAAATATTCTGTGGGTCCTGAAAGATACGGAAATTTCTATTGCGGTCAATGGTGGCAATGAGTGAAAACCTGGCACTGAATGAGTTAAATAGGTACAGTAGCGTACAGAAATTAAACCAATCCCTTATTTCAGCATGTAAGAATTTCATATCTTCATGCTAACAGTTTACTCTTTAAATACAAACCATTTTTTCACATGTGGTGCCAAACTGTGAAGGAGAAAAACCTCCATCAGCCAACAGCCACTCACCAAAATAGTCAGAGGGTCCGAGGCGTCCGACCTCCACGTACTCTTCATTGTCAGACCTGCGCTGCAGAACAGAGGCTATTCCCTGCGGACGGAAAAGAAAAGGGAGAATTCAGAGGAAAGAAAAGGAGAGGAGAAACGGGGGTGATAAAAAAGGGAAGGAGGAGTTATTTAGCGAGGCTGAAAACCATCGGGAGGATTAAGCCGGGGAGAAATTCCTTTGCTTCATAAGGGACACAGGTGCACAGGATTTAGGCCGCTTTTCCGCGGGAAGGACACCTGTTCTTTGGGAGGCTTCTGAGCAGAAACGCAAAACAGCCCAAACTGGGATATTTCAGCAGGGTACGTGAGACAAACCCTGATTGGTTCTGCTTTATTTTCTCCAGGGTCTAATACATACAAACATCGAAGTCTGTTCGAGGCTGAGCTCATTCCTCAGTGTCTCCATCCCATAATCCCCTTTTTTATCAACGTTAATGGAAACTGCTGCAGCGTCCCAGAGCTGAGGAAGTTCCAACAGCGTGCCCTCTGATGACCTGAGAACATGAGCGCGCACACATGTACACACCGCTTCTCTCCGCGTTCGCATGATGCTAACACACGCATAACAAAGACGGACACAGATGGACGCAGACAACAACCCAGACGTTTTCACACACACACACACACACACACACACACACATGCAGTGAGAAAATCAGCAGCTGAGGTCTGCTGGACTGACCGACCGACTGACTGACTGACTGACTTGACTGGACCCGCAGCTTGACGGGTGAGCGTGTGACTCATCCAGAAAGTAGAACAGAGGAAGTCTGATTTCCGCTCCCTCTGCCCAACAGATGATATTAACACTTCATATTGTCCCGCAGCTGTTGACAAACTTGGTGTTTGGATGAGAACTTTCTGAAATACGAGTCTTTGAATGGGAGCCACGACCAAGTGTTGTGTTGCTCGAGTTAAAGCTTGAAACACTTGACGATCAAAGGAGACATAGTGTAACATTTTTCACTCAAGTGGAGGTAAAAGCGCCGGTACGAGTTTGACAAGGCGAGAGATTTAGCAACACAGAGGAAATATCAAAATAAAAGCATGGCAAGTCATTATTTGAAAAAGTGGTACAAAGTTTTCTTGAATTACAGCACGTTCTTAGGGGGCGCTCACACCAAGCCCGAGTAAAATCATTCACTCGCTTCATTCACACGTCAACGGTAATATCAACGGTAATCTCTGCCAATTCAACCGGCAGGATCAAGTGATAGACAAAGGTCTTTTACAATTTACCAGAAAACCCAACCTCCTCACCCCTATACCTCCTGGCGAGCTCCTTTTTATTCCGGTTTCGGTAATTGAAAGAAAAAATATAATATAATTCAGGCACCTCCACACCGACACGATCAGTTTGTCCTCCATTTTAGAAACCAGCGAACAAAAGTCAATTTTCATACGTTAACCAGCAACCTTTGTGCTAATTAGTTATCGCGGCGCAAATATTTGCTCAAGCTGAGCTCAAGTTCCGCTCCCTTCCAATTCGTGTCATTTGCGCCACTAGAGAAGTAGGAGTGTCTAATCGCGTCTTTCCATTGATGTCCCATGTAATTTAATTGCGCTTAGTGTGTGGACACAGTTACCCGGGGATTCCACTCGATCCGGAACAGCTGCGCGCCACTCCGGACCAGCAGGCGCATCAAATACGCAAGCATACAGCGGCCACCATATCCGATCCACTGAAGCAAGCAGAGGAGAAGCATTCGCAATATTACCGATATTTCTCACAAGACTGGTCAGACACGGCAGACAGATCGTGTGGAATCACACACATTGATTTTAATGCTTGTGTATTTGATCCGCCTGCCGTTCCAGATTGGAGCGCAGCCATTCCGGATCCTGTAGGATGTTGATTCATGTCCAAGTGTTCATTAAGAGAAGTAAAGTTTGAATGAAAAAGTTTACAGGCAATTATGTAAACAGTAACTCTGAAGATGTAGGAGAAAAAATCTCAACCCTGGATGTCTGAAACTGAATTCAAACTCTGTGACGACACTTTCCTCGACATCCTATGAGCTCAGCGTTTATATGATCAGACAGAAGTGGGTAGAAACCTCTAAATATCTACATAACACCGTTAGCTGTGGTGTGAAACAGCAGCAGGGAGGTAATTGTCGGGGGAACTTCCCGGTGTGTCTTGGACCGTGTCTCAAAACAGACTTGACTGATCCAGAGCTCCCTCACTGTCTCTAATCCTTCTCTGCTCCGTCTGATGATGTTAATATGAATATAATGAGCTTTAATGAGGACCCAAAAAACTGCCAGGTTCCTGACTGCAGGCACACAAAGGTGAGACTGTGTTTTACTGAAAGAGATGCTTCAACAGAACCGTTAGGAAGTGGGAGAGTTTGTTTAAAAGATGTCAAACTGGACTACAAGCAAGGTTAATGAAGCTGTGTCATAGAGCCAGAGGACCTCCATTTCCTGCACACTCAAACAAAGCGGTAAACCCTTTCTTTTTATGATAATGACTCTGGCCAAAATCACAGTTACTTGGCTACTGAATGCACTTTGATTAAAAGTCTTTGTAGCTGGACTGATGGGCTCGGACATCTGAGCTCCTCGTACATGAGGGTGAAGAGTAGGAGGTGGGAGGCAGGTAGCTTTCACGTGTCTGCTGCTCAGGAGAGAGTGGCCTGACTCCTCATGAAAAAAAAAGCTTACTCTTCATAGCTGCTAAAGTGCTTGTCTAAATGATAGTGTGCAGACCGGTGACACTTTTCAGCGTGGTATGTAAGCCACAGTGTGAACACAGCATGAATGACAGCACAGTTACTGGACTGAAGGTGCTTTCACACCTGTAGCTCGGATGATACTTTAAAACCTAGATGCATTTTTCTCTTTTTTTACTCTGCAAAACTGTCAAGTACAAATCTTGGCAGGACTGTCCTCAAGTATTGTGTCACAACTAGGAATGGGCATGTTGATGCCATGCATCTTAAATGCAACTTGCAATCCTGGAAGCTAGCTTCAAGATGTGATGCAAAATGGTCCACTGCATCACTGACATTTGGGCAGATGGGTGCATTCTTCAAATGTTGGACATCACTATACCTTTAAGAACTTGTGGGTCAGTGCATGAACATAAGAGGTTTCACCACCCTTTATAGCAGTGCCACATGCATCATTATTTCACACCAGCGTTATTTTTCCACCACAACTGACTACAAAATTCGGATAAAGCTAACCAAAGAGGGAAGTACCACAAAATCGCCATATTCAACCTCGAGTGTACAAGCTGTTAAAGTGGGAAAGTGTTGGGATGTGAATGGAGAGAGGAAGATGGGGCAGGGGCATCGAAGCCTCTGTGTTTACACCCAGTTGATTCCTCTCCTTTCTTTTCACGTCCAAACAAAGAAAGTGAGACAGTGCAGCGCCGTAAAGTACAGTAGTTCAGAGTTGAACAAGCTTCGCCCAGTGTGGTCCAGATAACCATCACATACTGTACCACCCCAGCTCTGCTCCCCAGATATTTCTTTTATAAACACTGAGGATCCTCCGCTCCACGCTGCCCGACACAAGGTGTAAAGGACAGGCAAGAACGGAAGAACAGAAAAAAGCTGCAGCTCAGATAATCTGAAGATCTGAGGGAATAATGTAGACTAATATGAACCCTCACGTTATACCAAACACACAGAGTGCAGTGTGTCAGTTCGTGGGGACATGTCAAATGTAGAGGAAGAGAAAGAGAGGTGATACCCTGAGTCACTGAGAAGTTTTTTAAAAACAGGTTTGAGCCATGAAACCGTTCACCTTTACCTTGTTCTCTGTGTTATACCCATGATTCATTAACTGCATTGATTTCCACTCTTTAAAGGCCCCATTTACTAAATTGTTGCACTTCCTGTGGCTCCCAGTAACAGGTAATATTTTAAAACCAACCCTCAGAGGATTCCTTTACCCCATAGGGACCCTTTACATCCCTTCACTGTGATTACTTTTGGAAAAATGTGAGGCAGCAGTCGGATCGAGTTGTTTTTGCAGACTGGTGATGGTTGGGGTCGAGAGAAAATATCCAAGCACAAAAAAAAAGACACGTGAGGAACCAAAACCTGATGTTTCTGAGCTTCATTCAGAGGCTAAACTGGCTTTTGGGGATTTGAGATTTCTTTTAAAGATTATTGAGAATATAAGGAAAGAAACAGGAATGACTACACTATTGTTAAGAAGACAAATCCTGAAAACGTTGGGACACAGGCATCCATGATAAAAAAACCAACAAAACTCTCATTTATCATACATCATGAAAGTTTTCCAGTTCTGTCTCATCCAAGATGTACAGAATTATATTGCATTCACCAAAAAAAAGCTGTTTTTTCAGAGCAATTTTTTTTCTGTTCTGTTTTTGATACATATTTTTATGTTTTTCAGAGTAATTTTATTTCTGTTTTTCAGACTCATTTTTTTCTTTTTTTCAGAGTGATTTTTTTGTGTTTCTCATAATGATTTTTTAAGTTCTGTTTTTTTGGGACAATTTTTTTTTTCTGTTTTTCAGAGTAATTTTTTTTTCTGTTTCAGATCTTTTTTTTCCAGAGTATTTTTTGTTGTTCACTTTTTGGGACTGTTTTTTTGTTTGTTTATTTTTCAGAGTGATTTTTTTTTGTTTCAAAGACTAATTTCTTTCTTTTTTCCTGAGTAATTTTTTTTGTTCTGTTTTTGGAACTTTTTTTCTTTTTCTTTGTTTCTAGGACTATTTTTTCTTCTTTTTTCCAGAGTAATTTCTTTTCTGTTTTTCAGAAAATTTTTTGTTTTGTTGTTCAGACTGATTTTTTTTCTCTTCTCTGCATCATGATCATTTAATTATTTAATAAGGACAAAAAACAGATTTAAAAAAAATTAGTCAGAAAAACAGCAAAGAAAAAAAAATACTCAAAAAAGCAGTTTCTTTTTTTTGTGAGTGAATGCAATACCCTTTCATAGACATGTTCATCTTTTCATAGAAAACAGTTTTTGACTGATTTTGAGTCATGCAGTGATTTCCACTACAGAGTCGTGTCTCATTTTTATGTCTACCTGTAGAAGGTCCACACCAGCATCCCATCTTAGATGGACTTGCAGTTTTAAGTGTGGTCATGAATTATTTACCCAGTCTTTCATAGTTTGGTGAAGTCATGTTATTATCTTACATAACTTTTTCCCATCGACCAAAAAACTCTCGCTCCTGAGAGACGCTGCATATGCTGCGACCTTGTTTTCGACACCAATTTCAGATTCTCCCCGACAGTTTTTTTCCCGTCCCTCCTTCTCTGTCCTTTTATTTGCAACATTTTATGTGCCGGTGGTGAGACCGCAGATGACAGGGTGCAGGCTGGAGTGTGTGAGCATGGGAGTGCAGCAGCATGCGTGGTTGGTAAGTGAGGGAGTGAAGGAGAGAAAGAGAGAGAGGAAGGTGAGGCTGAGTCTTCATGGCCCCTGTAGTTCTGTAAAAGCTTGTTTGTACAGTGTGAGAAAAAAAATGTAAACATGTCTCTTTTGATTTGGGCCCCTTTTTTCCTCCCGGCAGGCGAAGAAAGTGACGTCTCTATACTTCTTTTTTTTCACATCAGCAGCATGTTATTTAGTGATTGTGGGGTTTGTCTTTTGCTGATGCTCCAAATCCACAGAGGGTGAGAAAAGACAAGAAAAAGGAGGTGGGAAGGGTTTAGAAATGGGAGAAGTGGGACAGTACTGACTGAACGAAGCGCTTACTTCTTAACCTGATTGAATTAAAATAAATAAAGGTGTAGGCATGAAAAAAAAAGAAGTGATGATGAGGGGAAACTGATGTGATGGGAGGGAAATCTCACAAAATCTCTCATGTCTCACTTGTCCGTTTTGAATTAACCCCTCTCTCCTTCAGGTCCCTCCCTGCCTTCTTTGACTCATCCTTCTCTCTCTCTTTTCCTCCCTCTCTTTTCCTCCCCCCGTCTCCCTCCCTGGAGGCTGGGTCTGCTGACCCCGTGTGAAAGTCAGCAACACACATTCCACCACAGTCCACCCTGCTCTGGGAAAGTCAGGCCCTGCTGGATGAGAGACGAAGGGAGAAAGAGAGGAAGGAGAGGATGGGAGGGATTTTTGAGATGAAGATCGCAGATAGACAGCTGGAAGGGAAACTAGTTTTAAAGAACAAGACAAAAACCGAACTCTTAAAAATTCAGCTGAAAAAAAATGTCCCTGTCTCTTCCTCTCTTCTCGCACCATCTCTCCATCCTGTAATCCCCCAGATTCCTCTGAATATTTGTTTTTTTTCTCTCCCTGGGATCTCCAAGTCTCAGACTGATGAGTCATGCATTGCTAAATTTACTGCGATATTTGTGTCCAAACACTGATTGGGTTTAAGGCACTGGCTTTTAAAGGATTTCTGCAGCTTTAGGAGGCTTCAGTCGGGAAGCTCCAAGTTCGACCAGGATGCTGTGAGCTGTGTTTAAGATATATATATGTGCAGTCAGTAGATGGTTTAACTGTGCATCAGTTGTGTAGCTTAGTTTTGCACTGAGGCCCGTGGATATATTTACTTTTATAAACTATTTTTGTCTAGTGCTGTAAAGTCCTAGTCAACTGGTCGACTTATTGGTCCATACATGCTGAGTCCACAAAAATTCTGATTGGTCGACTCGATTTATTTCCACATCAATTAACACAATTTACACAAGTGCTAATGGGGGGTGTTTTCAAAGCACCCCTGTTTCACAGGTAACAACCTGTCTCAGAACACCCCCCCTTGTTTTCACGGGCTGAAGACCGAAAGATTGACGAGCGTCCATGTTGATCAACGTCTGGTGGTTTGCAAAATGTTTATTTTTATTTTGAGCGTTTCGACTTGCCTTTTGTTATATTGCCTTCTTGTGCTGATATAGGTATATTTTCACCCCGCCGCGCCGCGCTGTCCCCTGCTGTAGAAGGATTTGCCATCAGAGTCAAAAAAATCCCCCCTCAATTAGTTGATTTTTGGACGAAAATTTCAGGGTTTTAGTCGACCAAGGATTTCTTTGGTTGATTACAGCCCTAATTATTTTGCATTATAATTGCAGGGTACCACCGGGCCCGAGCGCTGTCGCGCCGCCACTTCTGTGGACCACCCCCACCTTTTAATTCGTCTTGGGGTCCAACATAAGTGTCATTGAGTCCAAAGGTTTGAGGCACACACATTTTTTAGGGGGCGCTATAGAGCCATTTTTAGTTAGATCTCCATGTTGACGTTGGAGCCCAGAAAAAAAATTCCACAACTGTTCTAATATTTGCAGACTGCAATGAATTTCTTTAAGAAGAGGAGTTTTTGGAAGGGGGGTGCTGTGCTGGAGAGGCACAGGTGGAGAGAGGGATGTGGAGCGATTTATCACTCAGTACCTTTGTCAAAATCTTTTGCATCTAACCACTCATGCACTGTAACCTCAACATGGCCGTTAAGCACTGTTGTTGGACAGAGAGTAAGATAATCAGAGCTACTGACAGAGGAGCTTCGGCTTAGTCGGAGGAAAAGCGGAGGATGAAGGAAGCGGGACAAAACCTCTGCAGAGTCTGCCCCCACCCTTTCCAAACAGGGCCCTCTTGACTTGACCCTGGTGAAAGCTGTGTAAGTATGGAGTTAATCAAAAGTGTGTTAGGATGACAGGCAGGGGGGCCCTTCATGGAGCTGCAACAGGGGCCCCTTGAGTATGAGGGAAGGTTGAGGAATTATGATTGTAGGCTGGTGAACGGGAAACACTGCTGGCTGCTCTGTCTGCTGGTGGTAAAAAAACTTGGATCAGTTCTGATTTGAGTGAGGAGCCCACCAGCATCTCTGCATGATGACATCTACATTAGCCCTGCAGGTGACCTGTGCGAGGTCTTGAACCCCACATGCTTCCGTGCATCCTGTCTTACTCGTGCAACAACCCCCTCATCCCACCCACGCTCACTGGCCCTCCTGTAGACCTTACCTCCGTTATGATGAAGAAGTCATCACCAGGCTCTCCTTGCACCACTATCTTCTCTCCGTCCTCAAACTGAACAGGCTCCAGAGCATCAGCCACGGTCAGACGTTCCCACTTATCCAAAGACTCTGTGAATGGATGATATTATTCCAGGACATGTTATTTCCTTAAATACATGCAGTAATATATACGCACATACGTTTTCGTATTTTCACCACTGTGTCGAAGGATGTCTTGCAAAACTCCTGTAAGCTGGCAGGGAGGATAATTCCTAACTCAGGCTAATCCAGTCATTCATCAGGGACTAATACATCTTAGATCCCTCTTTCTTTTCCCTCCTTGTGTGGAGCACCATGGAGCTATAACACCTTGAAACCACCTCCTGATTCTGTTTAACTCCACTGGCTCTGGGATGTGATGAGAGAAAGCTGTCATCTTAACCATGAATCTAGTCCAACTCCCAGTTTCCACCGCATTCTGAGTGGCTGCGAAACGGCTGTATGCGCGAATCGCAGCTGATCGTTTCCGTTCAAGTTAACGTGTCAATTTCCACCGGCTTCTTTCCGTCGCGCTGCAGTTCAGTGTGGTCCGCAGCCGATCGCCAGAGTTTCCTGATGCCGCATCAATTCAGCACAGATTAACCCGTGCTGGAAAGGAAGTTGGGCACAGACACAAAATAAAACATCCGGCTTCTTTTCAAAATAAAACACTACTTGTTTCAGGCAAGTCGTATTTCACACCATGCAAACGGGCAAGGACGAACAAGTCAAAGGTTTTCAGACAGCATTTCATCCTGATGACACCATGGGTGAGAGGATGCTGATTCCAGAAGTCTAGAAGTCCTCTGGAAGGAAACAATCTACTGCTTATGTGGTTATGTGGCCGTCTTTCTTGAGAGAACTCGAGAACTGTGAATCCGCGGGTTCTTGTGAGTTCTTGCGATCCCCACAGTCCGAAATCTGCCAAGAACTTCGCCTCACAAATGCATCCAATAGTAATTGGCAAACAGAAAAACCCATTTTCTTTTTAACTCTAAATCTGTTAAATATTTCTAAAAAAGCTTGAACTCATCGACTACTGAAGGCAATCTGTCGGCCAATGTGACGAGCTAAAACACAGATAACTGATCGCCAATATCCCCGCCAACACTTCCTACTCTGTTATCTGATTTTGGTTAACGGCCAGACTCTCAATCGAAGACAAAGACTTGTAGTTTAAACAAGACATCTCTGACTAGATAACCATCTGGGCAATTGATCAAACTTCAAATTTAATTATGATTTTGGCTGATCGGGATACCAATCACTCTGCCATCTGCCATGCGGTGCTTGTTTTATCCAGCATGGTGAATGGAGTCCAAAATTGCTCTTACTCCAACTTGCATGAACTCGTCTAGAAGAACGAAACCAACGAGACCTTACAAGGTTTGGGAGTCCAGCTACAGGTGGAGAAAGGAGAGCCGTGAAGCCAAGTTAATATTGAGGTGGTGATAACAGGCGGTACAAGAAAGAGCCACGAATCCGCAAATGTGGGAAAATATTGGTCTGAGGGTGTCACGGTTCTTTCTTTGTGACAGGATTTCCTTGCGAGGCAGAAACCGAACTCATTTAAAACCTCAGAATTTATTTCAAGGTATATTTTAACACCCCCGTGTGCGAAACCGTTGATAAGATCTCAGTTTTTCCAGTTTCTTGTTGATCCTCAGAGCCAGTGGCAAAAGCTGTCTCTCCAAATATCCGACCACATGTACGGTGACGTGGTCAGCGCTGGATATTTCCAGAAGATGTCGGTTTTCACACTGAAACCAAGAACACAGACGGTCTCACATCCTCACTGGGTAAAACTTTCCAACCGTAGGAGTTTTTGACAACTCAGGACTTCTGGTATTCTTAGAAAGAGGACGACTCGCTTCTACCTGAAAACCTCCACATAGAAGACCGAGCAAATGAGCCCATCCGTATTAGTCTTATCTTAACAGCCTACACATCTTTGCCTGGAATGTGACTTATCTGCTGTGAAAACACTCCTCATCTTGGCTTTCTCTCCCTATCCGAGTGACCGTGTTGTTATTTGAGTAAGGTATGAGTCCGAGGTGTGAAACTACATCTCAATCTCCTTGTTTGAGACTTTTGTCTGCTGGTGCGCTCACTGACTGATCCTAGTGCGTCTATTTGAGCAAATGTGTGTGTTTTTAGGATTAACCAAGGTGAAGTCTGGTCACTCGGAGGTGTCCAGTGTCCCCCCCAGTGGGGCCGCGGAGTCTGCCGGCCCCAGATGGATGTCCTCTGTCTGGCTGCGAGCTAAAGGCAGCAGGTCTTGTAGTAGTGATCCTTAACGCTCGGCATGTAACGCGATACACAAATGTGCTGACTAAAGACGCTACATTTCACGCTTCGCAGAGCCGGCACCCACTTGGATCATCTTGCTGCACACACATGTAGTACGCACTCAGGGAAGCGGCCATCGGGTTATTGAAGCCTGTGTGTGCATGTGACAAAGAGCATGTTGTTTTTTCCCCCCCTCCACTCCTCAACATCAAGGGCTTGTACCCAATTTCGTGGCTATCTGGAAAATCAAAGACAAACAAAAACACTCCCGCCTCCTACCCCTCCTTCCATTCACAGAGGTAAAGCGAAGAAGCAGAGCGGCAGAAAGAGGAATGAGGAGAGGAAAAGCACTTGGAGGAGGGAGGTGGGCCTTTGAATGCAGGCCCGGACAAGGCTGTCGAACAGAGAGAAGTAGAAGAAAGGAGGTGAATGAAAAGAGAGTGGATCTCGCGGAGACGTTCTCCTAAGGCCTGAATTGAGTGTATGTGTTTACTCAGCCAGCTAATAACTCTGTACAGGGGGCATGGCCTCGCTCTACACACCACACACACACAATCAAGTGGAAAGGGATGAGATGTCAGTTCCAATTGCAACTCGTTTTGAGAGTCTGAATGAATCTCATTCGCCGTTCCACCGAACTCAAAAGCCTGTCCAGGCCGCTGTTTTCCGAATTCCAGTAGGAAAAGAGAGGCTTATCTTAACTCCCTATTCTTTAATTGTCCACACGGCTACATTGCAGAGTGTGACTGGCTTTAGCATGAACAGTGGGAGAAGATTAGGACTGTACACACAGACCTTACTCAGCTATGGGCCTTGTGTGACAACGTGCGCCTGTGTTTATGTAGGCTAATCTACAGTATATGTTGCACTCGGCAGATTTAACAGCCTGCATTCTGGACTCTCTGACCTGCTGTTTAAATGTATTGCTTAACATGGCATACACGTGCAAAACCACTCCTCACAATAGTAGATTCATACAGTGTATATGCAGACATAATAAGCTCTATTGGCACAGGATTAGCATCACCTGGGACCTCTGCAGAGGACGCGTGTGTCTTTGATCATGACATAAAGTTATAAACTTATATGGCGTGTACAACAGTTTGTATGTACATTCATCAGATTAGAAGTATTGTGCTGCTGCGTTCCAGTTACTTTGGAAGTTGGATGTCGGAGCTGGGAATGACGTTACACCCGAGTTGACGGCGTTCCAGTAAACAAGTTGGAAAATCAAGATGGACACCTACTGTTAGCCATTGTTAGCTGTTGTTTACAATTATCAGCTGTCGTGAGCCGTTGTCAGTTGCTGTTGTTAGCGATACCAGTTATAAACAATGCATAACAGAGTATTTTACTCTTACAAACACCCATAGCACCGTGTTCACAGTTTGATGTTGCGCAGCACAACATACCACTTATTTAATTTCACTAAAACAAAACAGAAGTGCTAATAAATAAAACATTACGAGAGCTTTCACTGTTACTCTGTACTGTTGATGCACTGCGCTGCCATCTTTGATTATGGCATTGATCATCCGACTTTACGACTCGGCAATCCGACTTCATGGGGTGTTCCAGATGAATTTCTGACTCAGAGCTTGGAAATCCCAACTTCAGAGTACAACTGGAACGCAGCATTAATTACAGACTTTGCTTACCCAGTATCAGAGGGTAAATCACAGATCATTAGAAGTCTCAATACAATACTAATCATGTGCAAATAGTGGCATAAACAATAAATGACTCTGAAGTACGTGATGCGTTTTCGAATGCAGACTTACCAAGGATGGAGACTTTGCTGAGAAACTCTTCATACATCTTCCTCTTCCTCAAAGTGCTGCCCTGTAACACAAAAACAGAGAGACATGAGACCAAATTTTCTACAACGTTATCATGTTGGAGAGCAGGTTTTGTGGCATAAATTGATAAACTCTGTTTTTGGATTAAAAAGAGTATAGAAATCGTATTTGTGATGGTATTTCTTTTAAAAAAAATTTACAGCATTTGTTTAAATCCCGTTTCATCAAAGACAGAAGCAACAAAAAAGGTTCAGTGACATCGTAAACAGACAGAGACAAAAAAGAATATTAAAGGGCTGACACTAGGACTGGAGGGCTGACTATGAAGGAAGAAAGACGCATCGATAAGAGATGTGGGTCTTATGGGACCATTTTCAAGAAGATCCAAGTCCACTGTGGGATGAAATGACAGATGAAAACGCTTACAATAGATCGGAGAGCTTTTTTCTTGTTGGGACTGATTTCAGTCTCACTTCGTGAAAATATAAAGCACTCTAGTCTACGTGATGTTTTAACACATATATTTGTGGTGTTTAAGTCATTATATTGTCATAAACTGCATATATATCCCATATATTGAACCGTAAATCTGTCACATTAGTTCACTAAATCAGCTCTGCAAGACTTTCAAGATTGCAAAATAGAGAAGCATAAAAACGTAACCATAATCCGAACCTACAGCACAATCTCTGGTAAACTGTGTAGACATTCACTGTACACAGTTCATGAGGTCATGCTTATGGATGTGTGTGCATGACTTGTGTGGTAATCCTCATTGCATGCATGTGTCTGTGTGTGTGGCCCACCCCACCCACCAGGCAGAGGGACTTTCCCCTCTGCCATGAACATCAGGTGCTTCCTGACAAGTCTGGACCCAGAGGACCCCTCTTCTCCTTTCTTCACAGGATCACTAGGAGCGAGCGGTAACATAAAGAGAAACAGAGAGCGCAGAGACAATCTCATCCAGCCCGTGTCTGTCTCTGCATATGGAAATGATATATTGAGGCATAAGTGCCTGAGTCCCGCTGGTGCCTCTAATTTCATATAATTTCACATTTTGTCTTAAAAGGGGAGAAAAATGTTCCCCAGTGAGCCGACATCAAACTCAGCATCGTAAACAGCTTGATTAGAGGAATTCTAGCTGCATCACCTCCCTGCTGGATAAATGAGCTGAAAATGTGGGCCTATCCGTCTGCCTCTGTGCAAGGCGTGCAGTCTGTTTTTCGTTCTGCCACTTAGGTTTTTGTATCTGTCTCTGCAGAGATGAAACTTCATCCTTATTAAGCAAGCAGATGCAAACATTCACACACGTATACATCACCTCCAGCCCAATTTCACAAACACTCGTACGTGCATTAAGCGGAGATTTAAAGTTTCACAGCCCCTCCATAGAGCTTAACGGCTTACCGTGCGTACATAACATTACATTACACAGCAGGTCTGATTTACGCTGATGCTTTGAGAAAGGCTGGGTGGGCCAAAGTCATGTCAGCGGCGTAGAGGTGTTGTGATGTGGAGGGAGTGGAAATAACGCTTTTCTCTATTTCTGAGTCTGAAATTTCACACTTTTGTCTCCGCTCTTTGATTTTTCTTCTTTATCTGCATCTGTCCTGGTCCTTCCTGTCTTCTTGTGAGGGCGTGAACAGAACTCCCCTTCCTCCTCCCGTTTAGCCCTGATGTGTTCGCTCCTCCTGTGGTTAAAGATGAACCAGCCTCTGTGTCTGCTCGCTGTCTTTGAGGTAGAAGCTTCAAAGAGTTGAGGTGTGGAGCGAAGCCAGGCTAAACCAACCGTACCTTACACCCCATCCCCATCACCTTCATCTCTGTCCAACGCCAAACACACACACCATCCTCATTTCTTGGTATCGCTTCTCCTCGCCTCCTATCATCTTGTGCTTTGTTTGTTGACAGGGGTCTGTCATTTGGTTAACGGCTTTGTCTGTAGCTGTGTGAGCGTGAATACCGAGATGACAGGATAAGATGGGCATTGTTTGACTGCTGGCCACACAATGGAGAGAGTGTATTTATCACAGGGAAATATGTTACTTTATTTACTCCAAGCACTCTTGGATAAAGATTAAAGGAGGATTTACAGGGTTAGGTGGTTTTATTTGCCACCTTAGCTCTGATTGTTGACACATTCATATTTCTGGAGAGGTTGTTTCATCAGCAGCGGCGCAGTGGTTCAAAGAGCTTAGACGGTTTTGGAGATGCTAAATGTGGGATGGTTTTGTGTCACTTTTGGCATGGGGTGGTTGATGGCACACAGTGAAAGGATAATACTCTAGGTGATGGCTAAATGGAAACATGCAAGCAAGAGCAAAAGTTTAGAAAAAGTTCATTTTTTCCCCCAAAATTTAATTAAAAAATGAAACTTTGATACGTACAAAAACGTGTCATCTGCATAAAGACGGATATAACTGTCATTAAGATTGGAAACAGGACCTAGTACTGATCCCTGTGGAACACCTTATGTTAATAGTAGAAGTCCTAATTAAATTTGTCCCATCTTCAAGATAACTCTCGAACCTTTTCCAAACGATGGAGTCAAATCCAGTACCAGGCATCTGGTTTATCAGCTCCAGTTTGTTTTCTGTGATTGGTGCTTTGCTGTGCAGTCCAAATATAATGGTAAAAGAAACATGGAAGCTCACATAGTTAATCATCGAAAAATTAACCTTTTTCGTAGTATGTTGCTAGTGGGTTTATAAAGAGACCACCCTGTTAATCTCAAACTCTTCACGGGCGCTTTAAAAGAAAATATACCTGATGATCAAAAGTGATTTGGAGCCTGATCAAGACGGTATCGCCAGTGGTCACCAGTTTGGTTGGTGACACCAACTGTTGGTATTTAATGAAACCCAATAATTGGTCTTACCTCAAAAGATTGGATGTTAAAATTTCTGTCAATATAAAGATGTAACGATTAGTTATTAATTTGGTTATTTGGAGATCAAATATAAAAGTAAGGCATAGGGCTGTGAAGTCCTGGTCAACTTATTGGTCGACACGTGCTGAGTCGACCAAAATTCTGATTGGTTGACTCAGATTTTTTCCACATCAATTTACAGTCCATGGTTAATTTCATCAGGAGGAACGTACCAAGTGCTAATGGGGGTGTTTTCAGAGCCTGTCTCAGAACCCCCCCTGTTTTCACCATTTTGGATTCACCAACCCACTGGGGACCGGCTGGAGACAGGAAGATTTACGAGCGTCCATGTTCATCAACGTCCGGTGGTTTGCTGAATCTTTATTTTTAATTTGAGCGTTTCAACTTTAATGTGAGTCCTCCTAAACCTAATCCTAGTCCTTGATTTACCTTTTGTGTTTAATTGCCTTCCTGTGCTGATATCAGTATATCACCCCGCCAAGTCCCCCCCATTAGTCAATTTTTGGTCAAAAATTTCAGGGTTTTAGTCAACCAAGAATTTCTTTGGTTGATTTCAGCCTTAGTGGGACATGAGAGAAGCACAAGTGTAGCAGCAGCGCACCTTCCCAAGCTCCTGACTAACAAGCTGCAGACGCTCGGCATAATTTCACTCACTCTCATTGTTTTGGCTTAGGATGTTGCCAGAATACCACACTTTACAAAAACAGCTTTACAAATCATTGACAGCAATAATTAACAGCAGGTTCACATAATTGAAGTCTGCTTCACGCCAGCTCCCCGTCTGCTGCTGCTGCTGCTGCTGGAAGGAATGAAGGAATGAGCCGCGGAGTCGAGAAAGAGAGAATCTTCTGAAAGAAAGGTTACCGGGGTAGTCTGTGCCCTCGGTTTAACTATGTGCTGAAGAGGTAGTATGAGTGCCGTGCAGGCCTGTGCCAACTTTATGCTGAGTTTGAAGGTTCAAAAACAATCTCCTCTCTGCAGGTTGAAAATATTTGGAAGCAGAGGTGAACTGGGCAGCAGCTGATTCGTTTAGATTTGGGTCTTGTGTATACTGAGAAAGGTGAAGGTCTTACCATGAGGATGCGTCTGTAGCTGTCTCGGTCGATGCCCCACAGCTTCAGATCAGTCTTGGCCTTAACGGTGGCGGCTCTGGGAGTCCCGTAGATCAGGGCCAGCTCTCCAAAACTGCCTCCCTCTCCAATACTGGTCACCCACTCCCCGTTCACATACACCTGCAGACAGAACAAGAAACAGCGTTTGATAAGTGGAAATGCTTCTGAGGAATATCACCCATTGTTTCTTTTTCCATCCTGAGACACCTTCTCAAACCCTCCTCCCAACCCTCTCCCTTTCTTCAGAGACTAGGCTTGTCTCTAAGCATTTAATCCTGACTAAACCCTCAAATGAGACCATCTAAAAGGTCCTCAATCCCATCTCTCAATCCTTTCCTTTTATTTTCTTCTGCCTGCCCTGGTTAGGACCTTCCCTTTGATTTAGGAGCGATGGAGGACTGAAAGCTCTCACAGATATCGTGGGTCTTCCCTCTGATCTAAAACCCATACAGGCACTCACATGCTTGTTACCTTACATACACACACCTACACAGCTCTACTTAGGCCTCCCACTATAGCTCTGCAGACAATACAACCTCATTGAGACTCATCCAGGCCGTCTCTGGGGCTGTTAGGGTTTCACCTGTCGACACACTATCCGCTATGTTGTTGACTTAATAACACAGAGAGAAAGGCACAGAGAAAGAGAGGAAGGGAGGGGGGTGTATCACTCCTGCAGCTCTGGATTGCCAAAATTGTTGCGAGCCATTATCCAAGGCTCTGAGTGGACCACAGGGGACTCATCTCTCACTATATACCGGGGGTGGCTTTAAAAGGATGCAGCGTGGTTATGTCAGGCTTCGAAGAATGATGATACGAGTGTTACAAAGTGTTACATCACAGCATACAGGTATTATTTTCTCCGCACGGTTCCTCGTGGATCTCCTAACTGCCAAGTCTTTTCCCCCATAAGGCTCCTCCAACGCTTACATGCCTATTTTGGTTCCCGAACAAGCAGCCCAACTGGACGTGAGAAAAAAAACACTTGTAGAAAAAGGTGGTCCACGGAGGCTGAATTGGAAACACTTGTACTGGATTGCATGAGCACTGTGCAGGAGGTAAAAACAGAATCTAGGATGTAAAGACTGAATCAGTTCGAGCTGTGTCGGCTGGCGGTGATTAAGACGCAACAAATCACGAGCACTTGAAGGTGGATGAGCAGACAGTGCTGCTGTGTTTTTGTGTATGCAGTCGTTTGGTGTCTCTGCACATGCTCATAAGCTGTGCGACACATCAGCTCTCGATCCGTTAGCTAATTCACTGCAATTAACACATTTCATTTCTAAATTGCATCTACTTAGATAAGCCTTCATTTGCAAAATAATTGCTTGCATAAAGATAGAAGCTCAGAAAATGTCAGGGATCATCATGTGGGATGAGAAAATACTCTACTATTCTTTGTATGCTCACTCACGCAGCTTGTAGCAGAAAATAAATAGCTTTTAGCCATATGTTTAATTTTTTAACCTATTTATCAGCGTGTAGCAGCGTGTCCCTAAAAGAGGAGCATTGGGGCACTACTTAAGATACAGGGTGAAAGAGGTTGGACTCAAAGGTGTGTTTTGGTGATAACATGACTCAAACCAATCAGTGTTTCTCCTCTCTGCAGGCAGGTGGATTTATATTTACGTTGGGGATTTCTACTTAAAAACACGGGCAGACAACACAAACAGGTCTCTGCACGGCTCATGTCAGCGCACGGATTGATCATAAGTCTAATGAAACGATTCCTCAGAGACAATCAGGGACTTTCCAAACTAGAAGACATGTGTACATATATGCAGAAAGATCAGCTGTAAAACTTCATTAATTATTGTAAAACTCAGGACACGCTGACAGCACCTGAAGAGATCTAATGATGACTTACAAGTGGTTGTGGTTTTGTGGTTTTTGTCTCTTGCATGTCTGAGGTGAAGCAGGTGAGATGGGGGTGAGGCGTGCAGACATATGGCGCAGACCCTTTAGCACCCCCGGACACTTTACTTTTAGATCAACACACTTCTGGGCGCTTACAAATGTTGCAAGTGCATTTGAGATTTATAAAACTTCTGCACCTGGCGTAAAAATACTAAATGCAGTAGGTGGACTTATTGCAACACTATAAAACCCACATTAACGAGTGCACCAATGTGTGAAAGTGAAGCTCAATATCTGATTATGTATTACATTCTTTCACTCTAGGGTCATGTTATATTTTCAAATGCAAGCTTTAATTTCAACTGTGTTGCACCCATATAAATACAGGCCAGTGTCAGTCAGTGTGCAGACATGTTGGGGTGTTTACATCAGTCGCACTGGTTGTCAGCTTGTCGGCAGTTCATGGGTTTCCAGCAGATTTACACCCCCGTCTAATGAGAGACATCTCCACACTTTAATAAGAGTGGAGCCGTCTCCACACTTATTAAAGTATCGGCACCAAGCGTTGGAGTCGTTCAGCGACTGAGCTGTGGCTGTCTGCAGACACAGAGGGGCGGATTGTAGGTTGAGGTCAAAGTGGATGCAGATAAGCTCCAGGGCGAGGACAAGGAGGGGTCTCCACGAACTTTGTCACAGAATGATTGGATCATAGCTGTGGGAGCAGATGCCTGAGATTCCCCGCTGGGTGAAGGCCAAGTCCACAGCAGGCTAATTGATAATTACAAGAAGTGATGCAACAACTGATGCACCCGAGCAACAGTCTCATATGGAGTTCCAGAGACAAGTTTACGTATCAGACATTAGACTAAAGGGCCTTTCACTCCCAAAGTCTGCTTAGAAGGTCCGGATCAGGGACCAAATGTTTACATTGTTGCATTGTGCATTTGATACGGTTAGTGTTCACATGGGACTTTAGCGAAGCGAACCAAATGGTTAATAAAGAGGGAAAATTACGAGGGAAATCACTGTCTGTCACCTGCTCATTTGGGGCACAGTCTGCGTTCACACCCGGGACCGGATCATGGTTTGTTTTGAAGGGGGTCAAGTCCTGCATTTTCAAGAGGACCATGGTCCGTTTGTTTGATCCGGATCATGGTTCGCTTGTGCGTTCATACCACCCGGACCGAAGATGTGAGGGGACCGTGGTCCTTTTAGAATGAACAAAACAGTCCTGGTATGAAAGCGGCCATAATTAAATCCTTCAATTAGTACAAGTCTTCATTCTGGGTCAAGTTTACCCAGAGCTCAAGTAAAAACTTGAAGACAAACCGACAGGCTGCTTTTAACACCTTGAAGACTAAGTCAACCAAGTGGCTCAAACACAATAAAAGCTTAAAGAGACAAAACCCACAGTTTGATTAGATAAAAAGCAAAACCGAAACAGTTTGCAAAACAAGATTTACTCCTCAAAGTTTCCAAAGTTTTGCAAGAACCAGAGTCAGTCGGTGTTCACTCTCCTATCACGGCGCCATCTCTGTGTTTCCACACTTCTTTCCTTCAGGTGGTCTCACTATATTGACACCGAGCTCCTCATCCTGTCTCTCATCTTACTCACGGTCTTGGCGCTCTCCATCGTAAGCCGATAGGGTCACTTCTTGTTTATCTTGCCGTCAGCTCCTCCTTTTATCTCTTCGCTTTACTCTATCGCTCTTTGTCAGGGTTTTTTAAGACAAAAGACATCCTCAGTTTGGCTGCCGTAACGTTGCTCAGGATAGCGGCGTGATCAGATTGTCATCGCGGTGGAACTAAACTTTGTAGAGAACAAAACATGAGGGCGATCTAACACAACCTGTCCATTGTTGGTGAGAAACACTACTCAGTATGAGTGGAGAAGGCAGGATTTTCCCACTGAGTCAAAATCCCTGAGATAGCTTATCTTTACCAGAAGGTGAATAAAAGAAACATGAGCGTTCTGAAGTCAATTTAAATTAAATCACTTACATCCACTTCACCTTGGTCAATCACGTAGAAGTTATCACCTTCATCACCTGTAAGGAAGAGAGAAAAGAGTGTGTTAAACAGCTGCAAAAAAAGGTGCTAATGAGAAAGCCTACTATTCCCACAACTTTTAAAACATACTTAAGTTCTCAAGGGCAGACTTTCAAACCATGAAACCAAAATGTAGACACTTAGATCATCCGTCAAACTCTTGAATACCTCGTACAGCAGGCGGGATTTTTCTTTCCTGAACTCACTTTATCACCCAATTATGTCTGTCAACTTACATCTTATTTCCTGGAAGAACAGCTATCAGGTTTTTGGCTTTTAAAAGCTTTCAGAAGGGTCTAGTATCAGAGATGCAGCTGCCTCCTACACAATTTACTTTCAGCAACAGTAGCGCCCATTACAGCTGCTTTTGTTATTATCATGATACAATATTATCATGATACTTGGGCCATGATTCGATATTATTGCGATTTTTAAGATTTTACAATACAGGGAGTATTATGATACAATATATTGCGATTTGTACAATTTTTTTAAATCCCTTTAGCTAATTTAGCATTTGTCTTTCCTCTATGTTTGTCTTATTTACACTGTATTTTATTTTCATGTAGCACATCTTGCAAACCTTATATATATATCTGTTGTACTTACTTCCTTCTGCCAACCTCACTGGACATACTGTTGATTTTATTTTTCCATTATCATAGATTTGAATCATATTAATAAAAATAAATAAATAAATTGATATTTGGTAAATGAGATGATACGATATATCACCAGACAAAATACATCACGATATGCTGTATTGATTTTTTTCTCCCACCCCTACTATCTTCAAAAATCATGATCATTCCGTAGTGCTTTTTCTGTAGACGTTGGAAAATCTCTGACTCTGTTGCTTATGCTTTGGTGAAAACAATTAAGTAAGAATTCCTTATATTAGCGAGTTGATGGGTATCTTTTACATGTGCGAGGTTGCCGTCCTGGGATGTCGCCTGGTCTGCTCACTGGGTCTTTGTTGTGTCGTTGATTCTGCGCTTTCAAAACAAAAGCTAACTTTCCAAGTGAGCCGTGGGACCTGCTTGGTTGATGTCTGCTAAAAGCATCCAGTCTGAAGATAAGGCTGAAAAATGGTGGAGTGTTCCTTTAATTATACTATCCATTACATAGGGCTGAAGGGAAATTATTAAGGAGGACTGACAGCAGCCATATGCATGAGCACTGCGAAGCTCCCCCTGCAGCTACCTCCTTCAACGAGGTATAAATACGTCTCTATTCAGAGGCGCAAGTGGGCAATGAGGCATGAGTATACATGACAAAAGTATGCATGTGTATGCATTTTGTATGCACCGAGTGAGGGTGTGTGTGGCTGTGTGTTTGTGTGTGTACATGTTCACCTGAGAGTTGAAAGGCAGCGAGCGCCCTGTGTGTAAAGTTCACAGGAGTTCACACGGCTAATTAATACTGAGTGGAGAGAGCTCGTTAATCATACAGCTCTATTTGTCACACAAAACGCTCCTTGTCTGTCTGACGGTCTGTCCCAGAGGAGACCCCAGGCGTACCCACATACACACACTCACACACAAACACACAACCTGCCGCAACCTGGCCCTCTGCTATCTCCCTCTCTCTGTCTCTGCCTCTCTCTCTCTTTCATCTCATCTATCTCTCTTTCAATTCCCTCTCGCTCTGTCTTTCTTTTCTTCTACTCTTCCTGTCTTTTATCACTTCAGTGCTTGAGTCTTTGTTTTGCGCCTTTCCAGTCCCCCTGTGCCTGAGAGTGCAGGCAAATATTTGAATAGGGCCTGCTCTCACACATAGGTGCATACACACACACACACACACACAACACAGGCTGGTGTTCTCATTGCGGCCTTGTTTCAACACAAGGTAATTATTGCACACACTGTTAAGGTTCTTTGGCTTTGCTCAAAAGGAAAACACGAGGTACATCCTCAGCCTCTGAGGTGCTCCAGTATTTCTCTAACTGTTTTTTTGTCTCTCTGAGCTGATTCTATTTCAGAAATACCCAAATACTCCTCTCGTCCAAGATTTCCTAAATAAATTTTAATTTTTTAATTCGACAGACCACAGGACAGTTTTTCTGCTTCGCCTCAGTCCACCTCAAATTGAATCACTATTATATTTGTTTCTGCGCATGGTACCATTTTTATCTATGCACATTAGGGATGGGCTAAAAAAATTATCACGATAAGAAAAGTCCTGATAAAAAGTATGATCAGTCCAATCAGCATTTTTGACTCATTTTGTCTTGAACACCTGTTGTAGTAGTCAAAAAAGATACTTAACCACAAGTTTGAGTAGTATGTTTTGAAGAAAAAACTCTTTTTGCACAGAGTCAATAGCAGCAGATCCACTGTCCAATGTCAAGCATACCTGATGGCGCTCATCTAAACCCCAATCTTGAAGGAAATCCCTCATGTGGAGCCTCATTCAGTTATGAGCTGCTCAGAAACATCTACTTTATTACCTTCAGCCATGTTTGTTTGTTTGTTATTCTGCTCTGTGTGGGCTACGTCTGCGAGTCCGTCACTTGATGATGGCAAATATTTATCATGGAGGATTTTTCTGACAATACACGAGAATTTATCGCCCATCCCTAGCGCACATTCTGTGATTCCCACTTCAGAGGCATGTCTGTTGGCCCACAGATCCAAACCATCCAAGTGTTGTTTTTCAGCCGTCTCCTTTTTTGCAGAGAAAATTCTCCAAATTCTCTGAATCTTTGGATGATATCAGAGACTTCAGACAGTGAAAACCTCCAAGTGGTGAACCTCTTCCCCTCTCGACCTCTCTGGAGTGCCTTTTTATTTCCTCGTCATTGTACTAACTCGTTGTACATTAACCATATGAGTCTGTAAATGACCCCCGGGGTTTTTTAATAATCACACAACTTTTTCAGCGTTTTGTTGCTCCTGTCTCAGACATTTCAAACTCTTGCTGGCTTTACTTTTAAAGTGAGCACCCTGAGCTTTCCACAGAATGATAAAAATATTCTGTTTTAACGTCTAAAAATATTTGCAAACCATCAATTTTTTTGTTCAGATTTTTAACAGCCTCTAAAGTTTTTTGAAGTGGTGGTCATATACCTGATTTTTGTGTTATAACTGTTCACAACAGTTGCATTGCATTATCTATATGGGCATTGTCAGTGAGTTGTTGACAGTTATAACACAATATAATACCTGACCTTGAAAGTCATGATAAAATGCTTTAAAATATGTTATGATTATTGCTATAAAGCGATAAAGTGTTTAAACTATAGTTATACAGTGCTTTAACAAGATCATAATGCATTATACATATATTTATAATGCGTTATAGAGAGAGGCGTCCAATAAAGTGTTACTAGATAACACATAAAATACCTGTACGCTTTTTTTTTGCATGTAATGATGGTTTATTCTGCCTTTGTTTAAATACCAGGCAATCCGCAGAGTCGATAACTCCAGCCTGTGTCAAAATAGTGTGCAATAGGCCAGAAGCAGAGTGTTTTTTTTTTGAGGCTGCACAGTAGTCCAGACATAAGCAGTGACATCAGTGCTGCACTGTATATACTGTATACCAAGCTCTGTAGTGTATATAACAATGGGCTGTCTGGGACTGGGGGGCCCTGCAGGCCAGCTAGACTTATTATCACCAAATTAGGACTGATAATCCTGAGGGCTGTCTCAGAGTAGGAGGGAGGGGCTGAATGAGCGAGAGTTCAAAAGCCAAAAGTTTTTAATGCAGAGGGCGAGCGTCTTTGTGCGGCATCAACCAAACATGTAACCTGTGTCGCATTTAGTGTGTCTGAACTGACTTTTATTTGCAATAGGGGTCGAAGTTTATCAAAGCGAGCATCTTTACCGAGTCGAATGTGTCATTTTAAGAGGTCTGTGTCTGTTTTTTGATAAGAGTTTCAGTTGGAAAAACAAAGTCTGGCCCTCTTGGCTCTGTGTTCCTTCAGAGTCCAGGGATGTCCACACTAGTCCAGGTTTTTACAGCTTTAGGGCAAAGAGGGACTGTACTTTTGGTTAAGCCTAAAGGAATGTATGAGCAAGGCAAAAAAGGAGGAAACAAGGAGAGGACAGACAAAATAAACCCAAAAGCAGCACAGACAGAGGACAGAGCATTTTGATGTTTGCTGGTGTCTGAATCCTTTTATCAGTGTCTGTGGTATTTTGCTGCTGTTGGACCTGATTTGGACGTAGCATCAGGTCCAACTGGAGGGTGTTACTTTGTTGGAAAATGTGCCCAAAGACTCTGCAACAAGTATTATATCTCTGAATCATCCTTTTTTTTATTTCAAATCAATGACAAACTCAATACTTGGATCATATTCAAGGAATCTGAACTCAACAATAGGAGTTAAACGTTTTAGATAACCGTTAATCACTTGCAGGGCTGCAGAAAAATCCCACACACCTTTGAACATCACTCATAAGATGGTATTTTACCCTTTAATGTAAGACACATGGAGCAGAGTTCATCTCTCCTGTGCAGCACAGCTGCTTCTCCAACTTTAATCTCAAAACACAGCTGTACATGTTTTAGTCTAGACATCCATCACAATGCAACATCTTACGCTGACATTTATAGTGTGAAATACTGTAGAAGAGTAACTGAAACAGCCTCAGATTGATGCAATCATATCAAGTGTTACTTCTATGATTATTGCCCTTATCTTCAGTGAAAACATCTACAAAACTAAACTTCTTAAAGTATTTTTTAAGTTTGGCAAATACACATTTTCTTACAATACATTAGGCATAAATTATTTAAAGCAAAAATGACAACATACCTTGCTGGATGACAGTTTCTCCGGCGATGTGGGTGACCGGGAACATGGCATCAAATATATCACTGAGGAAGAGAGAGAGGGAAGAGGAAGAGGAGGAGGAGAAGAGAGAAAGAGAAAGAGCACAGTTATTACCGACATACCTGCTATTATGCTGTTCCTCTGACTTGTTTACTCACTCATAAACACACACACACGCACTGGTTTGTTGTGTGGAAGAGTGGCATAATGGAAAGAAAGGGAAGCTGTCATCACTGAGTAAACTCGTGTCGCAAAGCCAAAGAGACAGACCCAAGGACCCTGGATTACCGACACAAAACAAACCCACTTCAATGTGCACAATCCTGATTTCTTTAACATTATCCACATTCAAACAAACACTAACCATCTACTGTTAAAGGGAAAGGAAAGAACTGAAGTCGAGCTACTGCTGCTACAGATGGGAGTCTGAAACAACAAGACCTTTGACTTCCAGGACATCTGGTAAATGAAGTTACATGTACAGCTTTTTATTGAAGTCCCTGCTGGACTTTAGTATAAAAATCTCACAAAATATGTTGTTGGCAATGAACACCCAGAAGTCACCCCTGATGAGGAAAAAATGTGCATAAAACAGAGTCCAGATCCATATATCTACATAGAGTTACTGATCAAATAACATCAGGTTATGTGAGATATAAAGCACCTGTACAAGATGAGCTGGCAGCATCCCCTGTGGCCAGTATACTATTGACAAGTACCTCATAAAACCACGCTTTAAAAAGTGAACAATCCCTTTACAACTATCGACTCCAATATTGACAAATTAACTGGAACAGATATTGACGGATGACGCTGATCCAGCGTTCCAATCCAGTCTTTTTTTTTCTTTTAATTCATTTTTCTATAAATACATGAAAGAAAAAAACGGATCAGTGCATCTCTATTCACAACCACCATCAATGGAAAGTTAAAGAGAACACATTTTTTAGTCTGTATCATTTAATGGCATTTTTTTTGCTAGTATGACCAGAAAACGGTGTATTTTAAAAGGTCCAGAAACTTCCTCTGCATCTTTACATTATAAGACGTACAGCACAGAGGCTTCTGCATGACTCTGTTGTTTCAACACACGATCAAAGCCTCTATCTCTGAGTGTATCTTTTAAAGCGGCGCTAAGAAAACAAACAAACTGAGGGCTGTGCCTAAGCACTTAATTTCTGTTTCAGCCCAGAAGGGAAAGCGGCTGTTAAATTCTCCCTAATCGGGCCGTTTAAATGCATGAAGCCTCGGCAGATTAAAGTTCCTCTGTGGAGATGTGTTGGGACAAGAGAATTCTCCAGTATGCTTCCTCTCCTCCTCCTCCTCCTCCTCCCTACACGCCGCTCACCTTCAGGGTATATTTATCTATCTAATCAGTTACATACCACCTGTCTTATAGAGAAATATAGAAAAAACAATAAAAGGGGGTCAGGCATATCAAAGGCATACAAGACCTGCTGAGTGAACATGAGGCGAGTTGGAGCCTGTTCTTGGATATGTGTGTGCGAGACGTGTGTGTGTTTGTGTGTGTGTAAGTGAGCGAGCGTATACCGCCTGTGAAAACACACAAGTTTGTACTAAATTATGTGTGGGTGTTGGATATATCTACACTCATGACAGAGCACTAGACTGTACAGCCCAAAGAAATGAAAAGGTTAACACAGTCAAACACACCTTTTTACACTCTGCAGACATTAAAGTATTGCTTTACATGAACTTCCCGGAGAAAAAAACGGAGGTCAACAGATGTTGGGGAGAGATCTGAGGATGTTATTGAGTGGTTTGGAAGTGAACGGACCCTGCTGGTATTTGTTTATGTGATGCAGAATAAAAAGCAGACCTAGGAAGGTGGATTCGGGCCAATTTCACCCACAGGTACTAGTAGCAACGCAGCTGGGCACTGACTCAGACATGAACCAGGACGCGGTGCGCAGAAAACTTCTTAAACTGCACAAGCAAAAGCTAAAAAAATGCACCGACACACTTTGATACACGTGGACCTATGCATGCAAACGATGCACCTTCTCGTGCATGTCAACTGTAGATACAACAACAAATTGAAGCGCATGCATTCCTGATGAAAACACGCACACTGGCACTCTCATGACACACACTCTCCAAGTCTTTGATCACAATTAGTCAGGCCAACATCTGCAGGAGTGCCCTCGACTCTCCTCACGTCCGTGGACACCTGCATTCGGCATGGGGTCTGTTTATTCATACAGCTTCAGAGCGGTCGCTTTCAGGTCGAGTATGACTGCTAATGTGTTGTTTATGAAAATAACAACCTCAGAGGAGAGGAAGAGAGTTAAACGGACAGATATAAGTCATGATTTACATGATCTCCCTGCTGTTGAACTCAGAACAGGTGATACTTCTGGTTAGGCTGCTTTGGTAATGGCGATGATGATGGTTTCATGATTATGCATCACACAGAGAAGTATGCTGCTCAAGACTGAGACATGCAGTCACAGAGGGGGGATCAAAGGCAAGCAAACCTGCGTTTAGGTAATTGCCCTTGACCACCTCTCTCTCTCTTTCCCTGCCCTGCCTCTCTCTCTAAATGCATCACTGAGCACAACAAAGAAACTTATGCAGGTAATTACTTCCCCTCGTCTCTACCTGTCTCTTTTTCCCTTTCTTCAGCCTGAACTTCCTCCCCGTCTGTTCTCGATAACTTTTCCCCTTCCTCTCCCCTCTCAATTACTCTTTTCTTCCCTTTAATTCTCTCACTGCTCCACCTATTTCTCTCATCTCTTGGTCTATCGCCCCTCCCTGCTTGTCCCAGATGGGGTGATTAATCTTGTCCTTTCCGCTACCTGTAGCCCCTCTGACCCTCTGAAGCAGCAGAGGACTCTATAACCCCTAACAATGAATGTGTTGTTCAGGCTGAGACAGACAGGGAGACCCTGCAGACTCTCAGGGGGGCTACGAAGTTCACTATCACCTGAGGGATGAAGACAAAGCTTTTGTCAAAGTGAATAGTGATACTCTCCTGCAAAACAAAATATTTGAACAACTATGCAATGGCGGCTGTCTCTCTGTCATCTTCTTTAACCAAACTAACTGGATCAATATAGTGGTAACATTTAAGTAAAAAGGAGAGATGCATGACATTCGATTTTTTGAAAATCATTAAGCTCGATACTGATATTGATACAGATAAGTATAAATACTTCTTACCCACTACAGTGTCTTTTTGTACCTGCAATCTAAATTTCAAAGCATTTTCAGGTGTGTTTAAAAATGCTCGGTATTTGGGGCGTGCAGATGGCCTCGCAGGTTAGGGCGCCCCATGTATGGGGGCCATGTCCCCCCACAGTCCTCTCTCTCTATCTCCCACATTTCACCATATCCTATTAATAAAAAGGCAAATATTGCCTTAAAAAAATACTTAAACACTGAGCTTTTTTTTTTTTTTTTTTAATCTATAGTCCCGCCCCAGACGTTTTCTGAAAAATAACCTATTTTCGACCAGTGACGGTGCAGGGACAAAAAAAATTGACTTTTTGCACTGAGGATGCTGAAATGCAATAAGTTCAAATGGGAAACAGGTGCTGCAACACAAGATGTAGGGTAGGTTGATATAGGGCTGGGCGATATGGCCTCAAATCAATATCACGATATATTGATCAGTTCACCTCGATAACGATAAATGGTCGATAACCACTCCACAAGCTGCTCACCCCCTCCCACATTAACTTTGTTTACTTCAGCCGCTACAACTTCTGAACCGTCCTCCATCTCCTCACCTGTCTTTCCCTCTTTGTTACAGACTGGATGGGGTTGAGTCACGTCTCTGATGTAGGACAGCGTCTTAAACTGACATGAGACCATACAAACGCACACCCAAAACCAACTTTTATTTATTTATTTATTTGTCACCGAATATACCAATATGAGCAAAATGATGTTGGTTATGGTTGTAAATTCAATATTGGTAAATTTTCAGTTTATGGCCCAGCCCTAGGTTGACACAGCCCCCCTGACTGATACGGACCAAAGTCACTGCTCGGCCCAATAGTCTCAACATAAATTGACATAAGAGCTGTTTGGAGGAACCTGTGCCACAGCAGTCAAAAACAATCGCAACATGGCGCCATTTTTAAAGTTAAATCTGGATTATCTTGGTTTAATGATTACGGGTAGACAGAATTGCAGATGAAATTTAAAAATTGATGTATAATCAATCCCTTCTACACTAACATATGACTAAAAGCAGCATCAGTGCAAAAGCCCGCTCAGTGTTTCATATTATCCTCCCTGACATCATTCTGGTCTGTTTAAGTTTTTGCCAGTGAACCCCTCTGTGCCTTTCCAGATGATATCTCAGAAACTGCGGATAAAAGCCCAATTATTAATCTGGGCGCCCATCATGGCTGTGAGGGGGTAGATTTTGGTTAAAAAGAGAGTCCAGTGATGCCAAAACATGCAGTTATGGAAGGATTTAACATTAAAAAATACACTCAGAGAGAGGAGATGCTTTCGTTGTACATAAGGTGAAAGTTGTACAAAAAAGGGACCACCTTAACGGTTGTGTGCATGTGTTTAAGTGGGAATAATAGGGAAATTCTCAAGCTAATACGCACACAGTAACAACACAGCAACAGCCTGCTATTGTTCCCAAACACCTATAAAAACTCAGTCAGCTCAGGGGATTTCAGTCATTAATGAAATAAACATCAGGCCTGCTTGTAACAGCTGGATTTGCTTGTTGACGGCCTCTCTTGCTAACCTCCCCTTTCCTCCGTCTTTCTTTCTCCTCTCACACATCTGTCTGTTTGTTTGTTCGTTCGGCAGCTGATGTCTTATCTCCTGCGTTACCAGCGCCGCCACCACCGCGCCATCAACACCAAAGGTTTCTTTCTCACTGTGCAGCATGCAGCCATGTCTTTGTGTTTCTTAATGGGCCGCAGAATGTTGAGTTACACAAGCCCTTAATGGGGAACTCATCCAGAATGTTCACTCGTCTGTGTGGAAGAGATTTTGCAATAATCAAAACAATCAACAACTGCACCGCATACAGGAATGTCCCAGCTCTCCAAGTTGTGTCTTGGCAGCGATGTGCCACTGGTTTGGCTGGGAGAGAGTTCATGCCGTAAGTGCTTGAATGATTAATTTTCATTATCACAGTTGATAGTAGTACAGATGACTTATTCTGGGATAATAAAACAATGGTCTTTGTTTTGCAAGAGCCCTAGAGTCATAGCCCGGAGACGCCAAATATACCCTAACCCCCAATTTCTGCCGTATCCTGAACGGCTACGAAAAGGCCGTATCTGCCGATCGCAGCTGATCGTAACCATTCAATTTAATGTGTCAATTTCCACTGGCTTCTTCCCACTGAAAATTGCAAGGGTTGCATTTTTTCCGGACGCTGAAGCATGCCGAATAAATTCAGCACAGATTAGTCCGTGCTGTAAAGGAAGTCGGGCACAGACACAAAATAAAACATCCGGCTTCTTTTCAAAATAAAACACGACAAACGGGCGGAGACGAACAAGTGAAAGGTTTTTAGACACCCCGATGACACAATGGATGAGGAGATGCTGATTTTTTAAGTCTAGATGTTGATTTCCTTCTCTGGAAGGACACAATCTACTGCTTATATGGTTATGTGGCTGTCTTTTTTAGAGACAACTCATTATCGCGCAATTGCACGTAAATCCGTAGGTTCTTGTGAGTTCTCGCGATTCCAGCTGTCCTTAATCCACCGTGAGATTCGCCCCACAAATGGATCCTGCAGAAATTGGCAGATGAAGAAAATCGCTGCCAATGCGGTGGAATTTTGAGGTAAATGTTGTACATATGTTAGTCTTGTAGGCCGGCTTGACTAGGCAGGTGAAAGTCCAACAAAAGGCTGACATTAAAACAAATATTAGTCTCTGATATCTCTGTATGGATTAGGGCTGTCACTGTCAAAAAAATAAATGTATAAAAGTTTGTTTTGGATGTGTGTAGGTAGGCTATGGTCTCATGTCCCTTTAAGACGCTGTCCTACATCAGAGATGTGACTCCACCCCATCCAGTAGATAACAAAGAGGGAAAGACAGGTGAGGAGATGGAGGACGGTTCAAAAGTTGGAGTAGCTTGTGGAGTGGTTATCGTCCATTTGTCGTTATCGAGGTGAACTGTTCAGTATATCGTGATATCGATTCGAGGCCATATCGCTCTCCCTAGTATGAGTACATTAAGAGTCTTTAAGAGAAACCCCTTCAACATCCAGTGATGTTTGGCTGACCCATTCAAGAGTGAAGGCATCTTAAAATGTGTATTTCATGTAAAAATCCAATTCATACTGTCAATTTAAAGATGTGCCCACTGGTGTTAAGTTGGCAGAAATAAGTAATCTCCAAAGGTCCAAATAAGTAGGGACACCGAGTAAGTTTGTCATAAAAAAAATAGGAATTTAATGCTCAAAAACAGTTGGGACAGGGGCATGTTTATCATTATCTTCTCCTTTAACCACACTCTAAATGTTTGGAAACCAAGGAGACCTGTTTCTGGAGTTCTGAAGGTGAAATATTGCATTCCTGTCTGATACAGGGTTTCAGCTGCTCAACAATTTGTAATCTTCTTTGTTTCTTTGTTTCATGAAGCTCCAAATGCTTTCAAGGGGTGACATGCGGTTTGGCTCGTCTTGCTTGAATATGCAGGTTAGGCATTTGAAAAGCATTGTCTGGGTGGTATCATGTGTCGCACCAAAGCTTGTTTGTTCAGCATCAATGGTGCCTTCCTAAACGTGTGCCCATGTTTCCCTATAACACCACGAATGCTGGTTTTTAAACTGTGCACTGATTACAACCTTGGTGGTCCTTCTCCTCTTTGAGGACACAGCATCCATGATTTCCAAAAAGAATGTCAAATTTTGATTTTTCACATTGTTATGAAGCTGTTAAAGTATTAAGTCATCCTTCCTGTTGTCTGCCTAGAATTAAACGCCTTTTGATGAATCAGAGGTGCACACTCTTAACTGAAGCGAAAAGTCTGGAGGAAAAAAACTCATACGTGAAGGATCTTGATTAGTCAGCATAATGTGTAAAGCATAAGGAAAACCACGGAAAAGCATAAAAATAGAAAGAAAAGAGTTTCAATGATGATGTTAGGTGAACCAAATTGTTTACTAGCCTGTTGTATGAGTCACTGTGGGCAGATCACAGTAAGGGGGGAAAACAGCTTTATGAGGCTGACTGAGTGATGTACAGTTAAAGGTCCTGGGTTTGAGGTTACTCACATGGGACAACCAGCCCACCCATCTGAGCCTCATTACTGTTACTTTTTTTTACAACATCATTATGTAAACTGGCACGTGTGAGCAGGTACACAGACCAATGCACGACTCTGACAAAAGGCGGTACAAAAAGAGGGGGGGAGATGGAGTATGATAAAGACGCACTGAAGCCTTCATTGGGGATATTATGACATGAAAACTTGATTTTGGGAGGCTTCATTTGATTGCTCAGGGAGAAACTGTCTTTATAGAATAATACATCAGTTTCAGTTGAATGAAATATCTCACATTTCTACACCTTATTTGATCTAGTCTTAACAAAATACCACATGTAAAGTGTAAAGTTTAGCTGTTTTGAGAAATTTCTTATGTTGAACCGCTGCAGCTTTGTGTGAATTTGGTCATTTCTCCTCACACTTCAGTTCGCTGGCAGAAACTTGGAGCAGGAACCAAATATTTCCCACACACTGTTGTTCATTTCTACTCATGTAGGCAGGAAAAGCATACTCTGAATAGCAGAGACTTTTCTCTGTGCCATGGTTTAATATCGAGTTTCGTGCGGATATGAAAAAATACCAACCTAACATATTGTTGTATCCATTCTTAGATTGAATATTTCCCCTTTGTCCTACTCTAAAAGCCTGCAAGGTCGAGCTTTTGTCTGGTCCCTCTTGTAGATTTTCCTGGCCTATACCGGCGGAGCAGCCATGCAGCACAGAGAACACTTTATGGCAGGTGGCAATGACCACTTAAAGATGGTCAACGATGCGGGAAGGGAAAGGAGAAAAAGTACCCTCACTTTTTAAAGCACAAACAGCCTTTTTTGAAAACCTGTCCTTGACTTTAGTTCTCAGCTCTTCGAAATCCTTCATTACATGTAAAAGTCCGGTCTCAGAGATCTAATGGGGGTTGTAATTCGCGTACGTGGAGGTCTAAAGAGATCTCTTTGAGTACACTGTGATTACACGATGGAGGTTGTATTTAAAACCAACAGAGGTCAGGACGCACACTGTCTTAAACCAACACACCTGGTCACGGTGGGTTTATAAGCGGTGTAAACCTGCATGCATCCTGTTGCCTTTAAGTGGACACGCACGTCTCTTAACCATCAAAGCGCCTGAAGGCCGGTTCTGATCATCTGTGACACCTATGTGCACAAGCAGAGAAGCAGTGTTACTTGGAGAAATAGAGATGGAGAGAATAACTTTTTAGTTCAGGTTGTTTTGACTTTCAAAGTGCTAAAATGCACATTTTTCCTCATGTTGTCTTAACTGCTGTATATGAAGCAAATTATCTTAATCAATAGATTCTTCTGAATCCCTCTAACAGTAAAATGATTTTAGTAATGCTAGCTGCTCTTGCATCTCATAGTGAGATTCGTTTCTCCCACCCAGCATGCCTCTGGTAGAGGTGTGGAAATAAACTGGTACCTTTAGCTGCAACAGCCTTTGAACAAGCTTTGCATTAGACTGTGGTTTGTTCTGACGCTACGGCACCGAACCATGATCCAAACAACAAACCTCTCTGTGTCCTTTTTAACGTGGCAGGAGTGTTTTTGTTGTTGTGTGTCTATGTGGGAAGTAAATGAGGGGGAAGGGTGTGAAATTAAGGAGCTCTGGGGGGGTGCCTTAAGAAGTTGAAGAGAAACTTGCACACTGCCGTGCGTGTTAGATATTTCACCTATTAGAGTTTGTAAAAAAAATGCTTTACAGTACAAAAACAAACCTTATTTTACCGATGTATAATCTAAATTATAAAATCTTTAAGCAGTGGTCCTGAAAAATAGAACAACAGACATATTTTCACACTTGCTTGTATACAAATAAGTGAAGCCACACACACACACACATACACACATACACACTTTCGCCCACGTACACAAGCTTAAATAAAGGCCTTTACAACGTCTGCCTTCAGTTTTCACAGCAGCGGTGATAATGATGCAGAGCCTGTTCACAAAAACCTCATTCCTCGGTTGTGACTACTACTTGGAAAACACCCATTTAACACACACACTCACACACACACATACACGCACACACACCGTAACACACATAATGGCATCCTGGAGGCAAGAGGCAGAGTTACTTGGCAGTAACAGACAAGAAAATGAGTTAGAGAGAGGGAGGGGATAGAAGAAGAATCTGAGGAAACAGGAGGACGAGGTGGACATCATTTATTTTGATTATATCTGCAAGAGCATATTTGATGTTGAAATTGATGTTTTAACCTGCATCTTTAAAGCTCCTGTGAGGAACTTTTGGTTTGTGTCGATTCTGGCGCCCCCCTGTGGACACGTGTGCCTGTGTCCCTTCCCTGTCTCTGCTGAATTTTATCAAAATTTGAAATCTTCGCCTTGGAAAATGTGAGACAAAGCTATCTTAGTCGTTTTAGTTAATCTGTTAACCTGACACCTAAACCCTGCCAGCGGTTTTTGACAACAAAAAAACCTCAATCAGCCTCATCCCTGATGGTTTTGCTTTACTTGTGTAGGTCAGTATTAATGCAGGGCTCGACACCAACTTTTTTCAGAAGGAGCACATGTGCTGCTAAGTTGAAAAAGTAAGGAGCCCACAAAAAGAACTTGAAAATTGATCAAAATATATTTTGGTTATTGGTCGACTTCAGTGCTATTATTCAAAATCAATTTTAGGTCTTTTGGTCAAATATCATGGAAGTTATTAAAGAAAATGTTCAAAATTTGCCTTAAAGTTTTACACAAACACTTTTTAGTCCTACATCACCACTTTTGACGGTTCAAAAGTTGTAGCAGCTGAAGTAGTCTAAGTTAATGTGGGAGGGGGTGAGCAGGTTGTGAAGTAGTTATCGTCCATTTATCGTTATCAAGGTGAACCGATCAATATATTGTGATATTGATTTGAGGCCATATCGCCCAGCCCTTGTCTGTTTTATAGCTAACTGAAAACTCCTCACAGTAGCTTTAAAGATGGATAAAATCGAATCTCGTCCCCACACCTTGATAAACGTCTGTGTGAATTAAGCGTGACAAGGCTGTTTAACAGGCCAACCTGATGATCCAATACGCACCACCTGCTGATGCAGCCATGATGTCAGCCTCAAAACATCACAAACATGTCCCACCCTGCACTTTCCCCCATTCCTTCCTCATCCTTCCTTTCCTTTCGCCTCTCTGCACTCTGCTGTTGATTCACTTCACCAAAGCTTCTTTTTTATTTTCCCTCACGATGCCCAAGTTGTGGATTTTCACACCTTCCTAATCTGCTGTCTTGCTCGTTGCCCCAGGGCAGGAAAAAGCGAGCGCTTCCTGCACTTGTAAGGAAAAAGGGTCAGACTCAATCAGGCGCTGACAGGACTAAGCCTCTTCCTCTCTGATGTGTCTACAGGCGACTTGTCACTGAAAGGAGACAGAAAGCAGCAGACAGCAGATATAAAAACATCTCCCTCACCCAGCGTGCCGATACAAAGAGATCTTCCTCTGAATTTACTCAGATATATAATCAAAGATAAAACAACCCTATACATTATGAACAGCTGCCAAGAATCGTTCCTGCCTCCCTCCTCCTCTCGCACTCTCACATACACACACATTCCCTGACACATCTCCCAACATCACAAGACACGCCGCCGTCCTGCGGGCATGTCTTTTCCTCCCTCCCTCATTCCCGCCCTGCAGAAGACAAGTTTGGAACAAGATAAGTGTTTGAGAAGCAGATCAGGTCGCAAATTGTCCTTTGTTGGGGTTTAAACCTGAGAGGTGTTTACACTGCAAATTATACGTGCACGCTCAAACACATAAATACAGTAAAGACGCCGAAATAGAGACAGAGAGGAAACTGAAAAATGCCTAAAAAAAGAGGGAGGGCAGGATGAGTGGATGACTGGATGGAAAAAAGGAGAAGAACCAGGTATCCACTGGGAAAGTGCTTAAGGCTAAAGCTGTACGCTTTACTTGTGTGTGCGTGTGTGTGAGAAAATGTCAACAAACAGGGCTCTGAGCAGTGAGGTAATAGGTGCAAAGGGTGCATGAAGGCGAGAGGAATAGTTGACATTCAATAAATGACATCTGACTGACGTAACGCCGTCCCTGCTGTAGGCGGACAGCTTCATCAAGCACAGAGGAGGCCAGAAGTCCTGGACAGCAACAGCATCATATGCGGCTCCAAAACTTGTTGAGATGATTGAGGGTCAAAGGTGCCCGTGCCTCTCCACACCATCACGACCGCTGGCTTTAGACTGTCCTTATTGGTAGACTTAACCTGCTTTTCTAGATGCAGGGACACACTGTGGTCTTTAAAGTGATTTAAGGCTCCTGCTGTGATTTCCACTACAGACTCATGTCTGTTTTTATTATTTGTTTCTTTTGGACAGAGATTTCTCCACATCCTCTAAAACTTTTATTAATAGTATTAACTTAAAATTAGGAATGGGTGATTAAACGAAAATTTACCGGTACAGAAATTTATGACAATAACCGACGTCATTTTGCCCATATCGGTATATTTGGTGTCAAAAATATAAAAATAATAATAAAAGTTGTTTTTGGATGTGTGTAGGTAGGCTATGGTATCATGTCCCTTTAAGACGCTGTCCTACATCAGAGACATGACTCCGCCCCATCCAGTCTGTAACAAAGAGGGAAAGACAGGTGAGGAGACGGAGGACGGTTCAAAAGTTTGAGCGGCTGAAGTAGATGAAGCTAATGTGGGAGGGGTTGAGCAGCTTGTGGAGTAGTTATCATCCATTTATTGTTATCGAGGTGAACTGATCAATATATCGTGATATTAATTTGAGGCCGTATCGTCCAGCCCTTCTTAAAGTGATAAAATCCTAAAGTTTTTTTTTACCTACAAAAATAACTGAAGTGGATAAATAAACAAAAGCACATCATGCAAAGTAAAATTTATTCGCTGTTTCTTTATTTTCCTTCATGCACAACATCTACTAGTGTGTGTGCAATACTGCATGTCTGCATGCTTCAACCCATAAGTGGAGAAGTCGATCCAGTGTGCAGTAAGACTCAGCAATGACATCTAGAAAGCAGGTGCAGTTTCATGATCGAACTTGAAGAACAGCCTTAAAAGGATCACCAAAACAAGTGACAGTGGAAGACCTTACGAGGCGAGAAACTAGAAGTGGGACATCAAATCACTTTTCCACAGCTCCAAAAACCAAGAAGTTCACCACAATCTAAAAACAAGACTTTTTCTCTTATCTGCAGTTACTCTCAATTAATACAAATTCTTAAACAACTCTGCAAGCAAACCGAGCTTAAGGATTTATCTGTGCACTGTCCTCGCTCATGTAAATAAGAGGCAAAGTCTTTACAGACAAATACTGTAAAGAGCTAAACTATAGAAAGAATCCTACAGCCCTACTTTGTATCTACTACATCTAATTACAGACGAGCGTCAGTCTGCCAACTCTGAACAAAATAACCTGGAAAAAAATCATGACGAAGGCCTTTCTTTAATGAAAGACACATTCTAGCTTATCAAGCATGGAAGAGCCCGGCTGGTCACCTCTTATCTAAATGAAACTCGACCAGAGTGACACGACGAACCAACAAGGAGGTCATGGGAGAATTAACACGCTATAACTAGACTGTTGTCTGTGCCCGTGCACTGGAACCTATCACAGAGGCGTGGACAAAGCAGACGGGATGTATACAATGGGAGGCCATGGGCCAACCAGAGCTATTCTGTAGGGTGCCGGGCTGCTCTGTCCTCTGCTAACGCGCTGGTGGTCAGTGTGTGGGTTGTACTGTGTTGGCCTGGCTGAGCTACAAAAGCACTGAAGGGTTGCCGGAACATCATGTCCTCACAGCAGGGGCAAACCCTGGCTAGGAAGTCATTATCATGCCCATTTGCACATTTAGCCTACATATTCATTCACATGAGAGGAAACGTGACACTGTCCACGATCGCAAACGCCCTGAGTCACTCCTGACTAATAAGTGGGAACACACGTCTCAGCGTTTACGTGTTCACAAAGATTTCGAATGAACTTTCTTACCCTCACTCTCATTCACTTCCATGTATTTCCCTGAATTGTTTAAGGGTTATTTGTGTGGAAAACTGGAGGTGATTCAATACTTGTCCTACTGCATGCATTATGTCCAGTAACTGTTTGGATCTGAGGAGGAGACCCGGTTTGCTCTTTTCTCCCTCTTCATTGTGAAACACTGATATATGTGCACAAAACCACACCTTTTTTTTTAACTATGCATCAGTCTTGCACATAAATACCTGTTAATCCTTACATAAATACATGTATGCACATGTGCGCTCACATGCAAATACTCACATTGATGGTATAAGCAGCTGAAAAGGCAGGGATGAGTCACAGCGAGCTGTGTTTCTTTCCTGCATGGACTCTGGGGTACGTTTTGGAGAGAATACAGTGTTCTGAAAGGACTCCAGACCTTCACACTATGATGTGACTCACTCCTTTCTAAAAGGAACTGGATGGAGTGAAGGATGGAGTAAGATGACAGGGGGCGGAAGAGGCAGCAGGGGACAGGTTGAGACACAACAGAGGGTATGAGAGAGGACAAATGTTTCCAGCTATCTGTGCAGTTGTGTGAGTGCAGCTTTGTGTCCGTGCATACATGTGTTTACTCGATGTTGTGTTTATCTGCAGCCAGGCTGATATAAACTTCCCCAAAAATGATGTGTTTGTATGCGTGCCCTGTGGTTTGCATGGGTGCACAGAGGTGAAGTGGTCTGAGTGTGCTGGGGGAGGTGAAGCTGCTGCTGCTGCTGCTGGCCTGTTAGGCCTCCGTGGGCTGGGGATGGTCGAGGTTCAGTCAGGCCTGCAGCTCTCCTGTGGAGAGTGACCTCATCGCCTGGCCCCTGGCATTGTGGCAGCAGCACAAAGCCATGCAGGAGACAGAGAGAGAAGACTACACATGAATGTGGGGGAGGGACTGGATGCGAGCATAGATGCAGACATGATTGAGCCTGTATAGGAGAGAAAGACAGGAGGAGGAAAAGTAAGAGAAAGTGATTTAGGCTGAAAAGAGGGAGAAGGAGGACCACCGGGCTCACAGGAAGAACAGGGACGAGGACACACAGACAGTCAATGAGGGAATCAGTGCAACAGGAAACACCAACACAAACAAAAAGACTCATATGTGTTTGTATTGCAGACTACTGCTGCTACATGACCAGCCGTAAAATACAAATCAAAGCCAAACATCTTCACTACTCTCCCACCTGAGCACACACAACAACAGGTCCTCTTTAGACCGGAGAAAGGTGCACAAATAACCGTAAACCCAAATACACAAACGGGACAAAAACTAAAGGACGTTTCCTGAGCAGTCACTCCGAAATCACGAGAAAAAGACGTTTGGTTTGGTGAGAGAAGAAAAACAAACATGCATCCACTACCACTCAGAGCCACTGTATCCTGTTTCCTCTGCAGTATTTACTACCTGAAAAGGGGAGGGGGTACACAAAACAAGTACCTGAGCATGTATTCCCTCTGAATAAAGCTGTGATCTTAGATGTAAACCCTTATTCATATGTGCATATCTGCAAACACTGCATGAAGCGGCTCATGTGACTCTCCAAGGTAACAGTAAATATCTGTTTTATCTGAGTGTGTGGCAAAAACACCCCCTAGGGGCTGCTGTGTGGTAACAACACACAAACAGAGTCACTGTGTACATGTGGATGCAGATGATAGTGTGCGGTTCTGCACATGGTGTTTTCAGACACGAGGATGAATGCATCCACCAGGACACAGGGCTCAAGTTTCTGTAAAAATGAACATCTAGAATCGCTGGTCTTAAAATAACTTCTCAGTCAGCAGGATGAATACATTTTATTGTGCTGTAAAAAAAAAAAAAACTATCTTACAGTTTCTCTCTGGGCCAAGTTCTCTGAACATGCTTAATGCAAAGAACAGGGTCTACAATGCAAAGCTGCAGGGGTCTTCATCCGTACCTTTGGTTTTAAACACATGAAGCCTCCCCACATAGATTCACTTTAAGGTGAACATTAAGTCAGAATTCTGGATTTACAGGAATTTAATTTTGGATTTCCTGTGTAGTCAATAATGCTGTATTCCAATCCTCAAACATAAAGTAAACCTTTAATGCATGTTCTAAACATTGCAAATGTAGGTGCCAGATCTACAGATGCGTCTTTGTCCGTGTGTAAATAATCCTCAGAATTACTTTAACATCACCCAGTTCATCCAGATTCAGCCATATGTAGTTAATCTGAGCGTGTGGAGCTGAAAACCCAAAGTTATTTACATTTGAATGATGAACTGTCTCGACAAAAGAGAATTAGCTGACTAAACTCAAAGCCGTTTTCTCAAAACTAAAGCGTTAGAGTCACGCTGGTCAAGATTTTAACCATTGGCTCTGATTTTAAAAGTTATTAGGGGGTTCATGTTTTCTATGATTGACACCTGATGCAGCCTATGGGCGTTCAGGGATTGCGTAGCTCTCCCGGGGGATATGCTGTTTGAGCCGAGTGTCATCACAGCGACTCACGGCGACTGCGCGTCCGAATGCGCGCATCGCCGAGAGTCGCTGGTTTTAGGAAATGAAGAAAAATCCCGGAAATACAGAGAGCTTTTTGGCTTCAAATCCGTATACAGATGGGAGGTGGAACCAGGTTGTCCATAGTATATACAGTCTGTGGTTACAACAAGCCCTGAATCAGATCACGCCATTTAATTGGGGGTACCAAATCAGGTCTTAAATTTGTCTTAAATCTTCTAGCGTGTGCCAGCCTTCGCCTCAAAGCTGAAAATCCTCGTTGCCTTTAAATCACAAGTTTTCCGAACTTCTTCATTGTTCTTGTATTTCGAGGCTTGTTCAAATGTGTTAGCTATCAGATGATCAAATCAGAGCTTTGTTCATCTGATACAGCTCCACAGAAAACTATCTCACGTTGCATCTCTTCTCTTTGTTCCTTCACACAGAGACCTTGAATAAACTCCCGCTAGAACCTGAGACTCCGTAGGTCTCGCTCTCCCTCTCTCTCTTTCTCACACAGTTTGCGTCTTTCGCTTCACTCCTGCGTGTTTGTTTGTTTGTGTGACTTTTCCGTCACTAACTCATTTATTTATTGTTGATTTTCACACCTCTTCAAGGCAACACACACACACACAAAGAGGGCCAGTACACTTAAGGTGTTCCCCGTCCATCGGCAGGGCCTAGCAGGGAAGGTGCAGAGGTCAGGGTTTAAGGGTCAGAGGTCAACTAATCGGTCACTTCATCAACTCATTACTCAGCTTGTTAATTAGAGGATTAAAGTTGGCAGGATGAGGTAATCACGGCTGGTTGTAATCTTTGTTTGTACATTCAAACGTTCAGATTTGATTAGGTGTTATTGAAAGGTATAAAACGTGGATGTCGTTTCTTGATCTCTCTTCATATCAGAGAACTGTGTTTGCTTGATTTACACTTAGTAGGTCCTGACCTCAGCAGGTTTAACAACTCCTATAACCAGATGGTAACGTCGTTTATAAAGCTGCGGACTCTGCCAGGACATCCAAAGGAATGAGATAAACAGGGTTTCCTCGGGCCTGCCAGACTATTTATGTGGTAACACAGAGAGCGGGGTTTCTCGTGTCTGTACTGTCCCCAGGAGACCGTTTTGTGGGAGGAGAGCATTACACTAATGCAGGAGAGGAGAACTTAATGAGCTTCTATATATGTCTATTTGTGTGTGTGTGTGTTTTGTTTGTGTGTGTGTGGGTAAATGCACCTCAGACAGATTTCCCAGAGGCCCCTTCATCTGTAATAAATCTCTCTATATGTGTATGTTTCCTTCTGCGCTCTTTCTCTCAATCTTAACGGAGATCTGTCCTCATACGACAACTTTGTGAAAAAGACTCACATGCACAGGGATCAGTGAATCTACTGGAAACAGTGAAGTATGCACACAGGTGGTGTAACTTTGTAATGAAACAACTCTGACAACAGTAGTTGCGTTTTCGATCTTCGCTCTTTAGCCTGTGACTTATTTATTAAAGTCAGTACAGGAGGTTTCATTATTAACACTCTGGCTGCAAATGCTGCGTCTGCTCCTTCGATAACATAACAAGTCGTACATACAGCGGGATGATGTCGCATCTGCACACACAGCGCAACCTTTGATAGAACAGTAAAATAAATAAACAGAGGCGCCATCTAGTGACAAAACTCCTGAATTGGATGAAGTGAGCCACTACCACGTTTGTTGGTTTGTTGACAGCACAGGCGTAAATACAACTCTTCTTCTTTTGTGGTTGTTTTAGTGAAATAAGACAACTCTGCGCATGTCCAAATGCCTCTAATCTGAATGAATACGTATACGTATGTCATGATCCGATTATTTGATTTTGCGCCCATATAAACAGAGGATTCCGATTTTCCATTCCCTCGAATTTTTAATCAGATCAGGAAAATTTGCCCATGTAAACGTGACGAGTGTTTGTTGAACTGGGCATGAAGTAGGGTAATACAGGAGTGCTAAAAACTGCAAAAACTAAGTGTCCACATGAGGAAACTGCTTCAGGAACCATGGCTGACGTCACTTACACTGCATCCGAGCCAGCGCTTACCAGCAACTAACTTTTGAGAATAGCCAAAGAGTGTGTGGTGGATATGTGTGTGTATGTGTTAAAGCTAAACTGTAACTATGTTGTGAACAGCCATGTATATGACTTAAATTACTCTATTTATTGAACTTATGAGTCTGAAGTTCTGTCCAGTTAATGAAAAGGACAAAAGACAGCAAGCGTGAACTGCACCTGACGTTATCGCAAGTGGTGCTGCTATCAGACGTCCTATTTCATATCTTTTAATGGGAAATATTTTCATAGCTAGAACTGAAATGCTGTTTGTTTAACCTGGCGATAAAGACGGTTTGTAGACTGTGTTAAAAAATCGGTTCCCTAATGACTTTGTAAGCAGCAGAAACAATGAAGAAAGGCTGGCGTATCTCAGCCGAAAGTGCACCTGGGCAAACAGGCTGTGTGTGCGCACGAGTCTACAAATGAAAACACACACAAGGCCGTGAAGTTGAGAAATCTGCTGCGGTCAAACATCCATTTTGAGTCACTGAATAATCAATTTGTTATCAAAGTGCTGTCAGGATGAGATAACAGTTTCAGTTTATTTGACTAACACTGTATGGTTACAGAATTGAGACATTCAAAGCCAAGTGTGGGGGTGAAAGCAAGATTAAACACCATTCAGCTTATCTTTAGAGTCTATTTGAATGGGTATATCATAACGAGGATGTAATGGGCATAACTGTGTGGTGGCTGCTGGGAACAGAGGTGAAGATATCCGCTTATTGGACACCAGCAAAGTTCAAAGAGTTGAGCAGAAAAAGATACCATTCGCTCCCGGCATCTGTTCCTTAAAACCGCGTCCCACAAGATGACTCTTAAAAATGTGTATTTAAAATGCTGTAAGAGCGAGAGGACCGCTTTGATCCCCTCTTTTTTTTTCCGGCAAACTGTTCAACAAAAACAGGGCTTAGATGGAATCTGGAAGGCAAAATATGTTGAGGTTTGCCGACCATGCAGCTGAAGAAAGATGGACTACACACACACACACACACACACACACACACACACATACACACACACACACGGCGCTGGTGGAGCTCAGAAACTCAGAGGCCATAAAGTTTGACATATGGAATGGTGTGTTAATCAAAGACTCCACGCTTCCAGCTGGAGCAGCCGCACTGGGAACACAGGCTGACATGCATACTTCAGAATATCCCTCTGCGTGCATGTGTGTGTGTAAGTGTGTGTGTTTCTCAGGGTACTGTGATCTCTGCCATCCTTTGTAGTGACAAGCACATTGGTGTGTGCGTTCGGTTCGCCAGAGGACTTCAGATGTGTTCTCGCTAACCTTCGTACAGCTCTTGTCTTCTCATTCTCCCATAAAAACCACTCCAGTTATGGGTCAGTAGGGAGATTTTCTATTTACGGCTTATCTATATCGAGACAAAAGGCATGTGCTGGATTATCTGATCGGTAAAAAGAGAGAGCTGACTGTAAGAGCGATGAATTCGAGCATAGAAAAGTTACAGCAGTCGAAGAAAGAGAGCTCTCTTCTCTTCTCCTGTGAGCTCATGAGGAGAAGTATTTTCACAATTTGTAAAGCATCAGTAATCTGCTGTTTTATAGAAAACAAATGCCCCTTCTCTTGTCTTTTCGACTGTTTTTATTCCCTCTCCAGAACACACACACACAGATCTGCACATCTTTACATTCCTGACTATGGAAGATGAGGAGGCAAACATCTACAAAAGAGGATACGATCAAAGCAGAGAGCACTCATTGGCTCTGTTTTAGTTTAAGTACTACTCCCCCTTTTTTAGGTTTTTTTTTTAGTGCTGCTTTGTTTATCCCTGAGTCACACACTCTCAGTCATCGCTTACCTTGATTATTCAAACTGGAAAAACCTTTATTGTGTAAAAAACCTGAACAAAAGTTGCAATCCATTGTGAAGATTTATGAAAAAAGAGCTCAAATAAAGTGAATCTCCTTATAAGAGTATAATAAATGTAATATTTGTCCTTTTCAAACTTTTCAGATCATATTTGGGGTCCAAAATATACCGACAAGTTTCACAATTTGCCATTTAAAATAGAGAAATACAAATCGACTCAAGATGAGGAAATCTGTAGAATTGCAACAGTGGAGGAGGCTTCTAGAGAGCTGAATTCTGCAGAGCTCAGACTTCACACTTCAAGCATGATTAAAGCTCAATTTAACAGTTGTAAAAACAGATCCTTTATTTTAGGGCTGGGCAATATGGTGTCAAATCAATATTACAATATATTGAGCATTTCACCTCGATAAAGATAAATGGACGATAACAACTCCACATGCTGCTTACCCCCTCCCACATTAACTTCATCTACTTCAGCCACTACAACTTTTGGACTGGATGGGGTGGAGTCACGTCTCTGACGTAGGACAGCGTCTTAAAGGGACATGAGACCATAGCCTACCTACACACATCCAAAACCAACTTTGATTTATTTTTTTGACATCAAATATACTGATATGGGCAAAATGACGTCGGTTATTTTTGTAAATTTCGATATCTGTAAATTTTCAGTTTATCGCCCAGCCCTACTTTACTCAGTTTGTTTATAAATCAGTCATCTGCCAACCTGCTCTCTCATCATTGGTATCGCCATCCGCCACTTGTATTGCAGTTCTGTCACTTGTAAAGACTCACCAACATGATAATCTCATACTCATCTATCACATTTTGCAGACCACAGCAGCAAGGAAACAAGTCCCTGTAACAGGCAGAAACCTGAAGCAGAATTTGACTCACGGTTGACAGCCAAATTGTGTTATTGCTGTGTATAAAAGATGAGTAGCTCTCCCATATTAGGCAACAAAGATGCATGTGACAAACTAAACTGAGCAGGAAACGGTCTGATACCAACCTGATCCATCAGCTGTGTACATGCAGACTCCATGTGTCAGATGCTGGTAAATTTGTGTCCTTGCAGCTTTTAAAAATGCAAAACATAAAGGATAGAACTGCTAATCGTGTACAGGTAAATATAAGAAAAGTAAACAGAAGAAGAAGATGAAAATAACAGAGGAAAAGGACACCTTATCAACAAACAAAAATGTCCTGTTTCCAGTGCCAGGAGAGCGGATTCTTCGGAAGACAGATGAGTAATGGAGAAGGAAGGCTGGACGGGCTCTAAACTATACAGAGAAGATAAAAAAAGGCAAGGAGAAAAGAGGGCAGCGAGAAAAGAAGTGATGAGAGGTAACAGAGAGCATTGGAGAGAGGAGAGAAACAGAGAGGGCTTCATTGTTTTGGATCCTGCTCATTACTGAAGGGGATGATAGCATAATATAGTGCTAATGGGAGAACAAATCGTGTTGTGTTCGGCTTACATAACTGCTGAGTGACTAATCACACAAGATGTTTCCTTGACACAGCTCCTTTTTTTTCCTACACGCAATCCTTAAAATGAAACAAAAAAAAAAAGATATTTTATGAACGTGAGAAGATGTTAATTTTAGAAAACAGAAAAAGAAACCAAAACGTCAAACAAGAGTCAGTCAGAAGTAGACCTGTCAGTCTTTCCTCAAACCCAATGAGAGCACATTTGTAAGTATGCCTGATAACCTTCATGGGCAGCTGTTTTGGACAAGAGAGGAGAAAGCAACAGAAGAGGAGCGAGAGACAGAAAGACAGAGAGAGAGAGAGAGAGTAAGAGACTCCATCTGCTCATGTGCGTCAGCTCCTGACAGTTCTGGCTCCTCTAAAGGAGTCAATGTGCTTCTGCCAACGACAGAAGGCATCAACAAGAAAAATAACCGGCTTAAAGCTTCATTTCTGTTGAGCTACCTTTAGTAACAGGGATATAATCTAGTCTGATTGATCACGCATTAACAAACTTCAAGAAAAGCAGAAATTCAATGTGCTTCTGCGTGGGCAAAGCTTTGTGACAAACATTACCAATCTGATCGTTCACTAAACACCAGAGGAAAAGAGCCGTGTGCTAAGGATTCTGGGTCGCTGTGTGCAGTTCTTCACTCACTCTCACCGACCACACATTGGCCGTACATCTGTAGACTTCTGTCAGTAGGGGCTGCAGGCGCAACTACCGCAACAAAACCGCAGTGAGACCGAGCCACCAGCCAGCCAAATAGCCAGCCGTCCAGCATCATCAGCTGGGAGTGCAGAGAGAGAAAATACAGAGGAAGAGGGGAGGGGGGGGACTGTGAGAGTGACAGAAGGAGTGGAGTAGTCAGAGGACGGTAAAGCCAACTAACTGCCATGTTTCCTGCGCAATTTAGCAAATCAGACAAGCTTTTCATGAGCTAAGAGCCGTCAGAGCTACTAGCTGCATGTTCGCCCATGAATCTCACCATCTCTGTGTGCAGCGCTATCTGAAACGACTGATGCTAGCTTTGTTTAGTGAAACAGTAAACATGACAGCTAGTCGAATAGATTCTACATCATGCATGATTTTAAGGGTCGGCCATGTCGCCAGTACATAGCTTAGCTCGCCAAGAGGTCTCGAGTACATTAAAACCTGATGGTTTATGGTCTACCGCCATATATTTCTGTGCTGTAACTCTAATCTGCCACATTAGCCACCCAAGTACATGGTTTCTCAGACTGTCCAGATCTATCACATGTTGTACTTCACTCGGGGCTGCTTCAGAGGCACTGACGTGCAATCAGAGGCCTGCGTGCCTGTGCCAAGGGAGCACGGTAAATTGTCAGCTGACGAAAGACTGGAAAGAGCGTGTTTTGGGTTTGGTCTGTGGGGGCTTTAGCAGCCAACAGGAAAGCTCCGGTGTTTTCCTCGCCATGGGGTGTAATGGATTCTCCCCGCCAATGAAACACTATTCCGGCTGGCTGTCTGAACCGCCAGCCACCTGAGAGTCTTTCCCACAACACCATTCTTCCCTGTCACAGCCAGAGCGGGGCTATCAGTGGAGATCTGGGACAGATGGCGGGATGGAGGGAGGATGGTCGAACGAGGAGGAATGTGAAGGAACAAGAAAAAGAGCAGATGTGAAAGTGGCATCACTCACTACTGTAACCGCTTCGGAGACTTGTTCATCTCTCAGCGGCGTGTTTCAGCCGATGTCTGAAAATGCAATCTGGGTTACCCTAGCAACCAAGAGACACATACAGCCGCTCCCTTATCCATTCTCGAAGCGCACCTCTACTCTTGCTACACCTTCTGCTGTTGTTGTCGGCGTCCCCAATGACCAGAGATGCTCCCAAAGGCAGGCAACACTGTCACTCAGTGGTCAAAAGGGCACTTCACTCAAAAGGAACCTGATTTATGGACCTGAATTCTGATTTCACACACACATTTGGATTGCTGGCATCACGTTTTATAGTCTAGGGTGGTCAACTTTAAAAAAAATTCAAATCCAGACAAATTTTGGACTCGACACAATCGTGTTGGAAATATCCAAACCCCCACCCCCATTCTTGTCCCCACTGAAGCACCTATTCTATCACTTTCACTCCAAATACCATGTAATAAAATCAACATCGCAGCGCAGTGAATGATGTCATGCTTGTGCTGGCTTCATAGATGGAAATAGATGCTGAAACAACAAAGAAAACTAATATATTTTCTTATGTACGGCGGCTAACGTGGGCAAATCATCCACAGTGGCCCAAGTCATCTTCACTTGGAGAAACACGCTACAAAAACTGAAGCAACTACCTTAGGGGGCTTTCACACCTACGTTGTGAAACAGCCAGACCTTGGTCTGACCAAAAGAGGTGGTCTCGATCTGGACCAAACTGAACCACGGTGTGGTTCATGCCCAGTCTGAAAGCATTATTTTTAAAGGTTCAGTACTTTGTACCAAAGACAGGAAATTACTGGAGGGTGGGCTAACGGTAGCTCCTTTACATCACACAAGGAGTAGAGGTATCCATTATTATGTTGAATGGACACATACTTTTCTCCTGAGTAGATGTTGCAATGACTTGCAGGACAGCATCCTTTATTTTCCTTTCCTGTCAATGTCGATAAAGTTGTTGTCTAACAATCAAATTCATGAGACTTCCTCGGACCGGCCTCATGTACACTATGTAACAAAAACACAGACCTTAGTTCGGACTTTCAGGTGTAAAAACAACCCTAAACTCTGGTCTGGTTATGCAAAGATTGGCCTTTTTCTCGGTTCAATCAGTGAACTTCTCCAAACGAACTGGAAATTGATGATAAACTTTGCCCACTAAGGTTTGATAAAGATTTGAATAGTAGACATTCGGTACCTTCTCTCGTTGTCATCCAGATGAGCGAACAGCACATTCTTGGAGATGGCTTTTGCCAAGGCCGTCATGGTCTTGTAGTCCTTTGGAATCACCTGTTAAGACAGAGCAGTAACCTAGATTGTAAAATAGATTACATCAACACTGTGCAGGTGGACACATGAAAAAACCAGCAGAAACACATAATGGGCCCCACTTCAAAGCAGACTAAATTGAGTAATTAAAGAGCAGCGTATTGGCAAACTCTGAAAGAAAGATCCCGCACGTGTGTCTGTGTATTTTTGGGAAAGCCCATCTGTTCAGGGATTACACTCAAAATGTCACACAGCCCTTAAAAATTCAAGAGAGGCCTGAACTCATTCATAAAACATGCATTTTCATGTCCCAGACTCTGTGGGTTGTCTGCCAGTGTGTGTGTGCGTGTGATCATGGAAAAAGGATTGCAAAGTCTGTAGCCGCAAATAAGTCATGGAAGTCTGCATATACAAAGTGGCATCCTCGAAGTGAACTCAATTCAGAGGGTGAGAAAAACAAAAAAGCAAGAAAATAAAGGAAGGAACGGAGTAAATCCTCGTAGAAGAGCTTGAAGAGGGTGAGGAGTGTGTGTGTGTGTGTGTGTGCGTTTTGTCTCTGGTGCAAGGGGTAGGAGGGGGAAAGCTGTAATTACGTTAAAGCAACAGATGTCTCCACATGAAGAAGACCACGCAGCACTGTTCACATCATGCACACAAATACACACAAAACCACATCACATGGGGCTTAAAAAGTACCAAATTTTTCATCTTTCTGCAGAACACGGGCCCGGCCACTCAGTGGACACAAAGAAGACGAGGCTGGCCCAGCTGGGAAACTGAGCTGGAGGAGGATGGAGTCACTCAAACAGGCTCAGTGATAGAAGTCATTTCCAGATACAGACTTCGGGTCAGGCACTGAATCTTCCCCCACAGGATCCAGCTGCAGTGCCGCCGCACGGGGCATCATTAGATGTCAGCTTTTGAAAGACTCAGACTTATAAGACAGATTTCCTTAGTTGCTTTTATTGGCAATAAGTTAGAAAGTCCTCCTTCTTCATGTTAACAGATGGGACATGACTCAAATAAGTTTAACAGTGCTTATTGGTAGCATGTCTTTTGCAATACAATAAGCTACTGCATCTGTGAGGTCTTTGTGTCTCTTTAACGTTTTGTCGTTAGGCGTTGCGCTAGAGAAGGCGGACTGAATGGTCAGCTGTTTCGGCTGCACAGGCGCCATGGGCTCCTTGCTCTGCTCGGGGTTTGTAAACTTTTGCATTGCAAAAGGTAGAGGTAGACCACCCGGACAAGAGCCAAGAAACTGGGTCAACATCGGCATAAACGATAGGGGGCGCTTTGGGATCTTCGTGACCCTGTAACCTTTCTGCTGGACAGGTAAACCGCTTCAACAAAGTAAGACAAGTGTCTGGACCTGCTGTGAGTTGTAGCGCCGCTAAACTGTTGACCTCGGGTCCTGGACTATGTCACTTTATCCTAGTAGTAGAAGTCCTGCAAACATTGTGTTTGCTGGTAGTCTGTTGGCATCTACTGGTTGGTAGGGTTACTTTTTACATTCAACATTTCTCCCAAAAACAGGCACTTCCTCAGATCCTGCCTACCCCACCTTTAATACCACTGGAACCTTTATTTTATCTCACTTCATGTCCATTTTTTCCAACCTCTTAAAGGTGATGACCTCACCCGTTGGCGCTGCCAGCTCTTCAGGTCAGTCTGCTGATGTGATCCGCAGGCCCGATTTGTTGAGACTCTCGCAGCACATCACAGCAGAGCTCCTTTTAATCAGATGAGCGGGGTTAGCTAATTGATTTATTTCTGTTGAACACCCTGACAGCGGTGTCATTAATGAAACTGATGATGCGGGAGGATGTCAGCACACATGCTGCGAGCGCGCATGTGTGTGTGTTACCACATGTTGAAGCAACTTAATTCACTTCTGACGTTGTGTGAAGATACCTGAACTCATTTATTTTTCACAAGCAGCTGACGTGGCAGGTTGAGTCCATTTCTGTGTGTGTGTGTGTCTCTGAGTGTGTGTGATATTGAGGGGCAGGGAAGAAATTGAGGCAGGAGATGAGGGCCGGCTTGTTGCCATGACACAGGACTGCAGTGTCTGGTAGAGACCTCAGAGCCATAAACACAAACGCCCGTGGGTGTGTGCACATACCTGACACACTCAAACTCTGCATGCTCCGGCGACCATGGGATTACAGCGTGGTGACAAGGGGGTTCGTGTAGCTATGTCATTACCCAGCAATAAATAGCATGTCAGCTTAATTTTAATTTAACAAGCATGGTCATAATAGCGGAGAATCACTTGGGTGTGTTTGTGTACGCATGCAGCGTATGAATGAGTGTGTGTAAGATCGTGTGTGTAAGATTGTGTGTGTGTGTGTGTGTGTTTGCTCCTGCTGTAATCTAGGAGTAGAGAGGTGAGTTATAGTTCCTGGCAGAGAGCACCCTTTCCTATCCTGCCATTAAATTAAAATGGACACATGGCAGGTTTCAAGTTGACAGATAACTAAAACAGCTGCTTTTGACGATGATAAAACATGAAACCCGCCGTACAAAAAAAGGCACTTCAGCTTTACTCTCCTACATCCATTTGTACAAAACTGCGACTCGGATAAAAGCCATAAAGAAGATGATGTTCATAATGTTTGTGACAACGACAGGAGGTTTGTTTTATTTTTAGGGTTTTGCACAATACGTGTGTTTACAGAGAATATGCAAATAAGAAGACACTTCAGGTTGCAATGTGATGAGAAAATAGTTTTATATCCTTATTGTGTTTGCAATCATGGCTCATTACCGGCTAATTTACTGATCTTATTAACCGTGAGAGACTGTGAGAAATCATCACTGTGAAGATTAAATTAAATAAATAAATCTAAATGAATCACAGTATTTTTTTTTTTCACCGTGACACCAATATCAACAGAGCGGAGACTCACAGAAAGTTCACATCCATTATACTCGGGGCCTCAATTAAAAGCCCCATTCAAAAGGGTTAACTGTTTGCATGCTGAGAAAGCTTCACTTGTTTCAAAGAATAACTGGGTTAATTCAGACAAAGTGACAATTTTGAAAAGAAGTTTGAAGAAATGGGGAATATTCAGTCGTTAGATTCCAGATTGGACTGCTCCCTCGCTCACCCTCCTTTAAAATGACACATGTTATTAGTACTGTAATCTTTTGGTCTACCATGGCAGTGCAAGGTGGCGGCCTCTGTGAAAGGGAGACCAATCCTTCTGTAAAATAAAAGACTTGTCTGATTTTAACTATTCAAGTGACTTGTTTAAGCACGTGAACATTATGTTCTATTTCTATCGGTTAAATGCAGCAGACTGCACCTCACACTGTGGTAACAGTCAAACTGTGATGAATCTGGCCACCCCAGTGTGTCATTGAATGACTTTGAGCAGTTGTGAATTTCGTAAACATCAGGGGTATAGAAATTAAAAAAAAACTCACCCCTGCCAACAACATTAAAACCACTCTGAATGTACAGCTTTAATACAAGCTAAACTTCGAGGCATTTATTCATGTTATATGACGATTCAAACATGGATGCATGTCTGTAAAAGAATGATAATGGGAAAATGCAGGACACGGTGATTTAAGAAAAACTGTTCTGCATCTTTTTTTCACAATACTTGAGCACCAATACTTTGACTCAGGTTAAGGAACTAGAGTTTTCGCTTATACCCGTAAATATTCATGAAGATAAAAATAAAGGAACCCCTGAATGTGAGGCCCAGTCAAAATAAAATTAATCACCTTTATGTAATATCGCAAAGTCAAATCTGAACATCTGAGCCGAACATAAGTGCAGCAGCTGACTCACACGCTGTTCCCTTGCGGTAAATCAACTCATTTAAGAGTCTAAGTGTGCTTATATCCTGCTGTAGTAAATTTACATCGCTTAGTTCCCTCTCCGCTGCTGTCTTCTAGTTCAGTATTCACATGCGTATTCTTGAGAAGTTGTCACCAAAAATGAACCTAAACTGTATTTTTAATTCCCCCCTTCCATGAAAAAGCACTTTTCTAACACATACACACATTCTATATTGATTTTTTTTGCATGTATCTGAGTGAAAACATGTAATACACAAGTACGTGTGCACTGAATGTGTGTGACAGATAGTGACTGTGCATCGACGTTACTTCTGAGGCTGACCTTGCGTACGTAGCTGACAGCGTCCTCCTCGGTGTAGACCTCGGCGCTGACCCCTCCCCTGCGGCGCCTGGCCTTGACGACAGGGTTGGGCGGTGGGGGAGAAACCTCATCATCATGCGAGTCTGACTGGCTGTTAGATTTCTGGCGTGCCATGATCTGCTTGCATTCTTCCTGTAACGACAAGGAAAGAAACGGTTCATTTTTAGAGATGTAGAAGAAGAAGAAGAAGATGGTTTATTTGAAAAAATAGCGCCCCAGTTAGCAACATCATTAAATATTAAAAAGGGACCTATGTTCAGGGAAACAGATGCAGCTTCACTCTTAGCTTCAGGCATGATCATCTTGTAACTTTCCATCTTTTTAATGATCACATGAAGGTTGGATGATAAACCTCTAACACTGAGCGTCGTGGACTTGAAACCAGGTCAGGCGACATAACAGAAGTGTTAAAGCGTCAGAGAAACAACAGAGGAAACATCCAGGTCCTGAGTGCGCGCTGTTTGGACATCTGGCTGCGACGGTATGAAGTCAAAGCTATCAAATATTAATAACTGCAGGCCTGAATATGCAGAAAGCAGAAAGCTCAGCCAAGTGCTCCCCTCCTCTCAGACGATGAACAACGAGGAAGAATGAGAGACAGGAAGCCCCTGGCTGGCTCGTGTTTCAACTGCCGAACACACTGAAGGGATAAATTATTGATTGCACACTTGATTAACACATTAACATATGTACACAGTGAAACCGCTGTGGGCTGGTTAACATGTGGGAGTGCAGTGAGATAAGGGCAGTGTGATCACAGTTTTTACAAAGCCAGCCAAGCATCAGCGTATTTTTAAATCAAGTATCAGAAGCTGGAGTGCTGTCTGTGTTTTTTCCTTTATTGTGAGGCAGGACTAGGGCTGGGCGATACGGCCTCAAATCAATATCACGATATATTGAGCAGTTCATCTAGATAATGATAAATGGACGATAACTACTCCACAAGCTTCTCACCCCCTCCCACATTAACTTTGTCTACTTCAGCCGCTACAACTTTTGAACCATCCTCCATCTCCTCACCTGTCTTTCCCTCTTTGTTATGGACTGGATGGGGTGGAGTCACATATCTGACGTAGGGCGGCTTCTTAAAGGGACATGAGACCATAGCCTACCTACACACATCCGAAACCAACTTTTATTTATTTATTTATTTTCTTGACACCAAGTTGACATTGGTTATTATCGTAGATTTCCATATCGGTAAATTTTGGGTTTATTACCCAGCCCTAGTCAGGACTGAGTTCAGACAGCTTACTGCAGCTGGGCAATGAATTAATCCATCAATTTAACAAAATTAGTGGTGAAGGTTGACTCTCAAAAATGAAAATCTGGGTTTTCTCTCTTCCTTCTCCTTCACTCCCTACAGACATAGACTCTCTTAGACAGGAGCTGCTAAAGTTCACGAAGAGTGTGTTGTCAGTCGTTTGTGACTGCTTTTCAGTTTTGCAGTGTCAAACCAGAGCCAACTGTGAAGTTTGTTCAAAGGCTGTTGCAGCTAAAAGCAGCATGACAGATTTATTCAAAAGAGGCATGCAGCTGAGTGGGAGAAATGTGTCCCACTTCAAAATGTACAAGACTGCTCCAGCCCACAACACCTCCTCTTACACTGCATATGACAAGAACAGGTCACAATAGAGCGCTCTTATCGATGCATCAGCACTGCACGTCATTAACGATGTTGTAACACCTTTTTCTCCTCCTTAATAACATCCACATCTCTTGCAAAAGCTGTCTCATGTATTCCACTGTAATTAAGACCAAGACTACACTGCTCCACCTGAAATAATTTCCTTTGTAACAAGGGCTGGACGATAAACCGAAAATTGACCGATACTGATATTTATTTTCATTTATTTTGACAGTATCTGCATGTAAACTGCATGAGTATATCTGATGTTTAAATTGATGTTTGACTTCAAATCTCCTTTGAACCTGCATCTTTAAAGCACCTGTGAGAAACTTTAGGATTGTGTCGAGTTTGGCGCCCTCCTGTGGACATGTGCGCCTGTTTCCCTTCTCGTCTTTGCTGTTTTTAACTTAAATTGAAAAGCATTGCTTTGGAAATGTGAGAAAAAGCTGTCTTAGTCGTTTTAGTTGATCTGTTAATCAGACACCTAAACCCCGCCAGCCTCGTCCCTGATGGTTTTGGTTTACTTCTGTAGGTCAGAAATAATGTCAGTCTGTTTTAGGGCTGGACGATAAACCGAAAATTTACAGATACTGGAATTTACGACTATAACCAGCATCATTCTGCCCATGTCAGTATATTTGGTGTCAAAATAATAAATAAATAAAAGTTGGTTTTGGATGTGCGTAGGTAGGCTATAATCTCATGTCCCTTTAACACGCCGCCCTATGTCAGATATGTGACTCCACCCCATCCAGTCCGTAACAAAGAGGGAAAGACAGGTAAGGAGATGGAGGACGGTTCAAAAGTTGGGGCGACCGAACTAGACAGAGTTAATGTGGGAGGGGGTGAGCAGCTTGTGGAGAAGTTATCGTCCAATTATCGTTATCAAGGTGAACTGATCAATATATCATGAGATTGATTTGAGGCCCTATTTGTAACCCAAAAAAGATATAGAAGATAATTCCTCTTGAAATATATATAAATATTGCTGTAGCTAAATATATAGCTGTGTAAAAAGTAACACCATCAAGCTGTGTCAGACTTTGTTTGGCTGGAGAAGCAGCCAGAGTTTCAGGCGGAGGCTTTCAGTGATTTTGAGCTGAAGATCATGAATTTAAAGAATAAAAATGACCACATTATTTTCTGTAAAGTCAAACACAAGACTCGAATTCAACAGATTATTGACCAGTATTATAAAAATTAATATCTACACACACAGAGGCTGTTAAAGTGAACATGAAAAAATTTTCATCTCCACAACTTTTCCCCCATAAGACTAGAGAGGACAGAGAGGAAGCCTTGAAGCAGACAGGAGCAGAGTGATCGTGTTTGCCTAAAGCAGCGAGCAGAAAAGTGCTGCCACCTTTATGCTAACACACTGAGAGAAGAGGAGGAGGAGGTATCTGATAGACTGATCACAATAAGAGAGGAAGGGGCATGCAGACAGCGAGACTCTTGTCTTCACATGTACAGGAACAACAAACCGCTCCAACCATACCAACATCACGATGTAACTAGGACGGGGACATTAACACAGCAGTCAGCTAGACTGTTGCCTTGAGGGCATCGGTCTGCTCGCTCTCTCTTATTTAGTGAGTCTGTATCCTTTCATCTCCTTTCATAATCTCTCTCTCTCTTTTTTTTTTTTTGTGCCTGATTTGTCCCTCCAGCTACGTACATCCTAAGGTTACTGTGATGCTTGGCACACTCTCCATAACACAATGTGAGCATGCAGATCACACACACACACATACACACATACACTTCTTGCTAACGCAGAGTCACTGCCTGAGGGAACACAGCCAGCAGGAGGAGAGGAGGGGAGGTAGAGCTTAAGAGCCGGAGAGTCTCATAAACACATGCACAGGCAGACTGCAGCGGGAGAGGGAGGCTCAAACGCTCCAGAATAATCAAGGTTGCAACATCTGCATTCAGATAAGAGCAAACTTTCTTAAGATGGAGAAGAAAAAGAAACACAACACCTCCTTTTCTTAAAGAGCAAGCACTATCCCTGCAGGACTCAAAAGAAAACTAAGAGTCAGACTCAAACACAGCTGAGCCTACAACAGCCCCCGATGGTCCCCTGAACTCTCATTTACTCGTGTGATGTACTACCAAGCAACAACACTTCACACGCTTCAATAACAAACCCAGCGTCAGAAGATGGAGTTTGTCCTAAACAGGATAAACAACAAGAGACCGTCAGCAGAGGTATTTACCATGGCATGGAGGGTCCCTGGCCAGGCCTGCTGTGAGTCCCTCAGCCTGTCAGAGGCACCGAGCATCAAATCAAAGTGTGAGTGTGTCAAAGTGTGCATGGGAATCGAAACACGAGGATCCCATCTCATACACACCTGACACACATGTCACACGGCTGCAGCATCCTGCCATCCAAGCACAGCGGTGGCTGTGTGTGCGTGCGTGCGTGCGTGTGCGCTGAGTCTATGCGCGCACTCAGGTTGGAGAGTGTGCGGGTGAGCGGAGCATCCAAGTTAGTGAGCGAGTGAGAGCCTGAGTGGCAGAATGACTGCAATCCCCACGACACAGCAGCTAAAGAACAAGGCTACTGATGAAAACACTGATCACAGCAAAAAGGCTGTCTCTCCATCGCTTCTGCGCAACTCTCTGTCTCTGCTTCCCAGCCTCTCCCCCCGCTCCCTCTCTCTCTCTCTTTCTCTCTCTATAACACTCTCACACACTCACACACACACTCACAATCAGGTGGCGCAATGAGCAGGCTTCTCTCGCTTCCCCGCCGTCGCTATGACAACAGGGTACCGTAAGCATCCTGACTCGTTGCTTGTGGATCTGAGCAGGAATGAACATTGGCTTGCGCACCTTCACTTTCACACACACACACACAATGACACACGGCCTCCCTCCCTCTCTCCCTCACTCTTTCTTTTTCTTTCTCGTACATCTACAGTGATTTTCTCCACAGAGGGAAAATGTCACCCCCTCCTTCAAAACAGACCTCTGTTCAAACCAAACAACGAGACTGCACCAGTAAATAGCCCCTTACAACCACACAGGGATACATTGTCATGTATTACAATCCTCATGTGTGCCAGACTCTAGTCTGTACCATGCAGCATCTCTCTAACTCCCCTCTGATCTCCACCGCCACCCACATGCTCTCCTCTTAGGTCAGAGGAATCAAGTGAGGACTTTGTGTCTGCCTCTAACAAGTCCTCGTACTGTTCTGGCCTCTGGTTCCCAAACAAAGGGACTCAGGACAAGAGGGCAGTATGATTTGAAAAGGTTTGATGTCAGCTGCGGAGGAGGATCCAAGGTGAGCAGATTGTAGCTGCAATGTGTCTCATCTTGTTCTGTACCAACGTCGGGGCCAGAAAGTTTGAGGCGGTGCCATTTATCATACTCAGAGCTCTGCGCTGTGGTAGCTACGCAAAACACAACTGCATTTCTGTTGATTTAGTTTGCAAAATTGACTCTTTTTTTACCATCCAATCCCTTTTAAAGCGGTGTAATTGACTACAGATTTATTTTAAAAATCAGGATTAGAGCTCGTTTTAGTCGGTCAAACAGGCAACTATTCTCAATGTAATATCTGTTTTATATTGCTTGAAAAAAAAGTATTATGATTTGAGTTTATCCTAATTTTCTTGATGTAACAGTTGAACGCGTTTTCCAACCCAACCATGAACACATCCTTAGATAACCCTGTCCTCTTCGCTAACTTTATCCGGTGCGTTTTAGAGAGAAAAGGTGGATATTTGTCCAGTTGCAGCAAAAACACAAGCGACCAAATGCCGAAGTTTTTTCAACCGTAACTGTAAGTCAGGTCTCTGACATAGGACAGCGTCTTAAAGGGACATACCAATATACCGTTGTGGGCAAAATGACGTTGGTTATTGTCGTAAATTTTGGTATCGGTAAATTTTCGGTTTATCGCCCAGCCCTAACCCTAAGGTTTCGCATATTGACAAACTTATCACACTCTCTGCATGTTGGACCATCCTCGAAAGTGACTCGCCTTCCTTGATCCTGTTGGCTGGGAATTAAATGCATTGAGATGTTAAACTTTCTATTGTATTGATTTTGGCGCCCCCTGTGGACAAAGTGATAGCTCTTGCTGACCTTGTCTTAAACATGTGAAGGTACCTTTTCACTCAAACTGAGTGTTCTGGTCTGACACTTTGCCTCTTGTGATAGTTACCGCCATGTAACATACAGAAGTTAATTTAAGTTTGTTGTATAATCAGATAAAAACTCCAAACAGGAGCTTTAACTTTGCAAACCCTGATAATTTGCTTTTCAATATTGTGAACGATGCTTTTCAGCTGGGAATAAACTCTCAGTTATCGTCTCAGTGCTAAAATCCTTCTCTCTCCTCTCTCCCTCCTTCTCATCCTCAGTTTTGTCTATGTCATCATAAGCGGCTGAATGCCAAACATAGAGAGAGGACAAAAGAGTAGACAGAGGACACAGGCGAGAGCAGGGCACAAAAACTCTGTTATAATAAAAAGTGGGCTTTCCATAATAGACACAGAAACTGAGTGGATCAGAGGTAAACCCAAATGAAAAATGAGACTCTGTTAAGACCACTGTTCATTTTAGTTTTAACTCATATGTTATTGGTGAGTCATGTTGAAACCAAGCAGAACAGAACAAAAATCAGACTGACACACACCCTAATATAGATAGGTAACCAAACGGCGTTTTACGCAAAAGCTCAAAGCCCATGAGAGAGGATCAGAGCGCAGTGCAAACGCATCAGATTATCTATTCGTCAGTGGTGCCTATTTCTCGTGTTAGTCAAAGGGAAAAGAAACAGCCATCCGTGGTTACCTGAGGTAGCCCTGAAGCGTTGACGTAGACAACTTCACTCTCCTCTGCTGGAGCTGAAAGCATGCGAGTGAACCAGAAACAACAAGGTGCCGCACAGACCCCAACAAACACACATACACACACAGGTAATGAAGCATGGAGCGCTGATGCAGTCTACTCATCACTTTGTTCCACACCATTACAGCACCACAATGGTCGGAAAGTTCGCTTCTGTGTTAGGACTGTGTTCTGTCGAGTGCTGACCTCCCGGCTATGAAATGATGTCCACTCTCTAAACACGAATGCTGAAAGTGTCTCAAACTTTGAGGTGTTTCTCTGTTTGCTGCATAAAGTCTCTTAATTTAACCTGCTAAAACTCGACCAGAAGTAGTAAAAAGTTCAAACAACCAAGACCCACTCTGATGAAAATCATGTTTTTCTTGTTGTCTACATCTTCAAATAGCATTTTTCTGATGCTACAGGACATATCATGAGAAAACTAAGTGCGAAATTGCATTTCTGAGTATTTCTGCATTCAAATAGCTGTTTGTGATTTAATCGCTAATTATGATTTAGCTTTTATCATGCCCCCAAAGACATTAGTGTCCAAGAGCTAAACAGCTCCTATGTTACCTGCTTCTTCTACTACACTGATGATGTTAGGCTACAAGTGTGCGGAGCAGCGCTGTCTCCGCCCACAACTCAGAGGTGAATTACTAATGAGCTACAAGAGCTCTGCAGAAGAAAAGACCTTGAAAATGACACAGGTAACGTAATTTTGGCTAAAAACTTCATAATCACAAATTAAATACGACTGATAACACTTTAAGTAGTAAAAAAAAACAATCAGAGTGGGACTTTAATGTTAAAATCAAATTTAAATTCCACATAAATTAAGTCAGCGCACACTGGAAACTGAAAAAATACTTAAAGTGACTAACAACTAAGAGGAAACTAATCAGCTTTGCTAAATTATCTAACACTAAAAAGTCACTAAAACCACAGATGTAGATTTATTCCCCCTGGATGAAAGCTTCATGTGAAACTTGCATAATTACAATTTAAACTAATCATGACTTCTCCTCCATATCTGCTTGTTTATCAGGGTGTTTTTTTTTATCTGATAAGTAAGAAACCCAGTTGAGTAAGAAGTCGGTTGAAGTTGAGATCCTGTCAGAGCTGCAGCTGACGTGTTTCTGTTCTCTCGGAGCTCGAGTGTTTACCAATTCGAGGGCATCTCTAAATAGAACAACAGGAAGAGATTTAGAGGCAGATCTCGCTAATAAAGAACTGATGTAACCCCGCACGGCGTCCGCGGGTTCCTGATAGTGTTTGTCGATATCCTGGTAAAGACCTTGGATGTTTTGGAGGATATTTAAGGCACATAAATGAGAGAAATCTGTGTTTTTTTTCCCTTCTTATTACTGTTTCTGTTCAAGAGCTGTTTCTTTCTCTCTGACAGGGCTAAGTTGAAGAGGGAGGGATGCAATGGGTAGATGAGAGAGGACAAAGAAGGACCACCATGGAAAACAGAGTCTTGGGGTCCTGTTTACCTGTGGGGGCCCCAAAGGTGGGCTAGGGAGGAGGTTTAAGCCTGGGTCACTGCATGCACCTTAAGCTGATTTGACAAATACCCTGCTGCCAGCATGGAGGTGATGAATGAACACAGAGACTGGAGGCATAAATCCCACAGGGTTGCTGATCTTTGAAAGGCTTTCTGTGTAAGATATACTGTCTGTGGTGCCTACATGCTGTAAACACTGGTGCACGATTCTTAGGACGACTGCAAAGGACTGTGGAAGAAAGAAGAAGAGGAGGGTAGAGGGGTAGAAAACGGCAAACTTACACCTAATTTTAAGTTAAGTCTTCTGCAACAGACTCACCAAAAGCTAATCTTTCATGATGCCTTATCAGTTAGAGACCTTTAAATGGTCTGGTGGATTTGTTATGACAGGTCCTGGTGAAAACTGAATGGTTGGCAACACAGAAAGTCTACTCATCTTACAGGACACACTGAGAGACAGCAGCTGAAAGAGTGACTGACTGACAAAGGCTGCATTCAGACATGTATTCGTATTTATAAAAGTATATTTTTCTCCATGTTTTTAAAAAAGAAAAAGATGTTCTATCCTCTCAAGAAAGACCATAGAGCATATTGCAGATGTACTCAGAATCTTCTTAAAGGGATATTCCGGCGTAAAATTAAGTTCGGGTCAAACACACCGTAACACCGAGTTAGACACCCCAGTAGTTCAGTAGTCCTGTGAGTATGCTTTGAGGCTGGAAAACAGGGAAATTACGTGTTCAGGAGTGCTCTTGTTTGGCGGTAGACTTGTGATCAACGTAAGGCAATCATAGGGGCCGATACTCGACATTTGGCCAATTATTTCTTTGGGGCTTTTATGACAGGTGGTCAAAAATTACTTTGTTGATGTGTGATACTTTGGCTCCAATGGCAGTGTGTCTTTTTCCTCTCTGTGTCTTAATGTTCCCCCTGCAGCACTTTCTGATTGGCTTGACATCATGCAATCATATATAACCATAATATCTGTCTAAGTGGTTAACTGCTAACTCTTTATATGATGCTGACTGTTTCCGTTTTGATTTTTTAATTTAAGACATTTAAGGAAAGTTTTGTGTCGAATAGGGATGCATGACATTATCAGCATCATATCTGTTTCTGCAGATAATAGTTTACAAGTTAATTATCCTGAAGATATAAACATTTCCTCTGATATAAATATTGTTCTTGTTGTCACAATTAGAGTAACAGAGAGGAGCGACCTGGTATGTTTATTGGTACTATTATCACTATTGGCCAATGAGTTTGGACATGTCAGATATCTGCATTGTAAATTCTTAGAGTTGGAAGTTTCTCATAATTCATTTTTTTTATGTAAAGTTTTTAATTTTTACTGTCAATGCATCGCAGTTCCAAATATTGGTAATCGAACTGGTATCATCCATCAGTAGGAGGTTATTATCAGTCACCGGCACCCGCTCAAAAACTCGTGGTCGTGAAAGTGGAGCTAGACTGTATACACATAGAGGGGGGGAAGCATGGGTGAGGCAAATCTTTATGGACATGGGGGCTGACTAAAGGGTGAGAAGGCGAGAGGGAGAGCAAAATAAACCATTAAGTATTTGAAGCTGGGGGTTAAACATGAGACACAAACTTATGACAGTGCTGCGAGCGCAGAGAACAAAAAGGGCCCTCTCTGATTCAGAGGAACACACGCACATACAGATATATGAACACAAAGAAGCAGAGAGTCGCATGAAATATAAGAGAACTGCATTTAAATCAGTTATCCCATGAAAACAAAACCCCAAGGCATGCAGATATCAGATTTTAAGTTTCATTTAGAAAGATTTTACAAAGCCAATAATAGTGACCAAAGACTGAAAGAGTAAATTTAAAGATACCGACAGTAAAGTGGAGTTTACAGTCCTGGTTTGCACTCATAAAAAAGTACCAACCCGTCTAGACATCTGAACACTGCGATTAGATTCAAGTCTTATCACCATATGAGTTGATGAGTGAAGTCTGACAAGTGTCGAACATTTGGTTGCGTGTGCAGCTGGTATGTTACGTACAGATCAGAGTGTTGATTTCTACATAGCAGCGGAGGAGGAGAGAGACGCATCTGAAGTCATCAGACGTGTTCACAGGCAAAATAACAGGAAGACAAGATGAGAGAGGTAAAGAATGTGAGGGATCTTCTATGAAAACATGGAAGCTGTTCTGGGAAGCCAAAAAACACTCTTAAGAGCCCTGTGAAGAAGCCTTATTCAATAAAACATCTGCGATGGCAGCTGCCCACTTGATGTACTGAGTGACAAATTCACACTCTCACAGTCGGGCTTGGCGTCTTGCCTGTTGGACAGATCTGTAATGAGGATGCAGAGTGATGAGGAAATAAGTCAACAATTCAGACTTCTTGTAGCACCTTTTTGTAGCTTCAATGTTTTGCAACAAAATGTAGTCAGACTTAAATTTCTTTACTGCCTTCTATGACTATGTAACTCTAGTTTTAAGCCAGCTGCCAGGCAACAGTGGATATAACCACCCTAAAGAAAACAGAGGTCAACCAGGAGAACCCTTTGAAAGAAGTTTACTACTGTCATCTTAATGGCTTTACAACAAACAAACACAGTCAGAAACAAGCCAATATCAGGACTTCCTCATCTAACCAGGATAAATTCCTCTGACAAATGCGCTGCTATTGGTGTAGCCAGTCAGTACGTTTACATGACACTTGAGAAAAGCGATTTATTGCCTCGCTCTGATTAAGACCGGACAACTGAAGTGCATGTAAGCGATTGGAGTCAGAGAACTCCACTGCGATTGGAATTCAATTTTTTCTACCATGTAATAAACGTAGTCGGAGTATGATTGGACAATGCATACACGCTTGTGCCACACCTCCTTAAGGCCGGAACAAAAACACCAGAGAAGAGGAGTAACGTGCATATCATCTGCAGAAAAAGTAGCGCGTACATCATGTACGACAAAAACAACGCAGTACGATGCTCCATCTTCTTTCTTCTGACGTCTGGAGGACGACAAGGAGAGAAATCCGGTTCGGCAAAAAAAAAAAGAGCTTAGTCCGATTAAGCTGAATGACTCCAAGTCAATGCAGAATGCCCACCATTATATAACAAGTGTGACAAAAGCTGGCGAAGGTCTGATTGCCTGGTGGTTTTGAAGATTATTTCACAAGATTTTCTTGAAGTGAAAAGTTAAGTCTGTTTGGAGAATGATTGGGGATGCCATGCATTTGAAATCGTAACTACTACACATTTTTAATATTCAAATAATCCTGAGTCGGGCTCCGTGTCACCCCCTGCCAGTCATCTATATTTGGTAAGGTTATGTATGTAGCGGTAGTGAAGATCCGTTTTTATGGAGCAGCTCCCAAGAAAAAGAGAGCAGTGAGCGAGTTCACAGAGAGAAGCTGTCTAACTCCAGGACTCATCGAGGCACTCAGGCTTTTTCGCGTCTCTAGCTGCTAAGGTCGCTAACCTGCGGACCTGTTGTTTGATAAGCTCCTGGAGTTGCTGCTCCAGCCAACCAATCATGAACCAATTTCAGAACTTATCACCCAGGTAACCGGGACACTAGGTGCTGCCATCGCAGAGACAGAGAAGCCCATTTTTGAAGCCCATCAACATGAACAAATCAGGGTCAGTCCGGCATTATTTGGGATTACTCTCAGTGATAGTGTCCCAGAGTCCCAGACATTTGAGCGTATCACATTGTACAGCAGTAATTATGATATAATCATACAACAGCCCGTACTTACCAGAGTCACAGAAAGCTGATTAATAGTGTAATGTGCCAAAAATTAAGACTCGCTCTCTAACAATTAGAGGAGGCGAGATCAGACGGCGAGATGAGCCCGCCGATCAGACGCTTCTGTTGTAGAGATCAAAGTTATCATTACCGCGCGTTAACAGGCAAGGATGAAAGGCAGCGAGACGGCTGTGATTTTCCCATTCACAACCTCAGCGAACAACAGAAGGCAGGTCATCAATCGTAACAAGAGTTAAAATCAAAACTAGTCAGACTGATGACGGAGTCCGCTCTGAAACGTGTGAGCGCATGAGAAGAAGAAGACGAGAAAGAGAGGTAGAGGTAGAGGAAAGAAAAAAAAGCATCAAAGAAGAAGACCGTGAGAACGGATGACTTAGAAACCGAACAGAGATGAGATTCTCCTGATAAGATGTCGAATGAAAGCGTCTCTGTGCTGATGAGAAAAAACGAGGTTTAATTGAGAAAAAAGAGCGAAAGAAGAATGCCCCTCTGATCTCATGAGCCCACAGAAAAACCTGAAGACGCGAGAGGAGGGTCGGAATAAACTTTACAGATAAAGAGACTCCTGTCTATCCTGTACGGTTGCCTAGGTTACCGCCTCTCTTATGCGATGAGTGCAGACAAATATGGCAGAGAGGTAGAAGAGAAAAAGCAAACATGACGAGGGTGAAGTGAAGGAGAAAATGTGACGACAAGAGTGTTTTCTGCGTGTTGTTGTTTCGTTCACCAGAGCTTCCTCCTTTCAGCAAAGACATAAACACCTCCAAGTTGTTCAGCCCCAAATTTTTCTTCCTTGCTAGAAGAGACAGATAGAAGAGATACAGAAAAGAGTCTGCAGCCCTAAATCTGGATTAAACAGACATAGCTAGTTGAACCGAATATTGTCCCGAGGGAGAAAAAGGAGCACAATAAGCTTCTTAAATAACTGGGACAGTGCAAACACATAGATGCCCCGTTTCGATTCCACAAATGACTGACATTACAACGCAATACAGGTTTGAAAGACTGAAATCATGTTGGGCAATCGTGGACCTGAGGGAAAAGAGGTCAGCGCGTCTTTTTTTACTCTGACCACTCTGTATACACGGAGCAATTTCAGGAACCACCATTCAACAACACAGGCCTGTCAAACCCTGTTTCTAAAGCGAGCCTTCCTGTCCTCAAAGCTGCCGTGATGATCTGAGCTCTGAGGAACTCACAGGGATATACTGTATGTTTGGATTTAACAGTGTTTTTTATTGGTGCAAGCTTTAAGGTCCTTACACACAAATATGGGATGCGAAATTACCTTCAGGGTGAAAAATTCTGCCTGTTTTGCCAGTTAAAGCTCCTGTGAGGAGTTTTTGGCTGGTTATGAAACAGGCTGAAATTAACAAGGTCATCAGTGACAGGAAAGACAACTATTGATGTGACCTTGAAGAAGTAAGAAGTTCCCCTTTTTGTCCAAAGGTGGCGCCAAAACCAACACAAACAAAGAGTTCCTCACAGGAGCTTTAAACAACATTGTGAAAGTCATGGAAATTTTCTCCCCTATTTGACGCGTTAGCTCCTCTAACACATCTTGTTGATAAAAAGCTCTTTTCTTTAAGTTTAACTTCAAATACTTACTCTCTAGGTGATAAATATATTCCCTGTTATGTGGAAAACAACATTACATGAAATGTTAGTTTGACGTCAGAGGATTTAATAACACTATTTGATGTTTTATGCATCTCACATCTTACAGCACAGGGAGAGTTACGGCTGACAGCATCTCCTTCCAGAGGACACCACCATCAAAGCCTACAGGTGGGTGCAGAGGTGGATGTGAGGCTGATTAAATGCAAACAGGAGCAGGAAGATTAGAGTAAATATAAAGTGTTGCTGCAGCAGCAGAGGAAGTAAAATGGTGCAGAGCGTAATAGCTTCGGTGCATTAACGTAATGCAAACAATTTGATCGATGTTCACAGTGACAGTGAAGCAAACCACATGTAATAATGTTCTCTACCAAGGACGGCGTGTTTATCCAACCTCACACAGCCACTTCCATAGATCACCATGGTGCCTCAAGACCTGGTTCTGGACGATAAAAGCCCGTGTGCAAGATTGCCAAGTTTTGCTCCTGGGCCTGTGTAATAAATCATTGTGTGTACGGGACTATTAGATGACCGGCTTGTAAAAATTTACATAAAGAGTTTTGATTAGGACAGAAAATCTTTGAGACTCATTTGTTATTGAGATGACACACACGTACAGGGCGAGCGTGCAGCGTGTCATTTTACAACATGAATCAATAACAACTTAATACTGTGTGCTTCTGCTGAGCTCTGTCACATCCATTAGTATTCATGCTGCCTCTCAGACTATGCAGCATTACTGTTCCTGATAACAGCAGCAGCAGCAGCTCCATCACGGCTGGGTTTCTGATGCTGTGAGACCACCTGATCCAGCCTCTCAAAGCATGGCTCTCATGTGGGAGCTCATCTTGTTTTAATGTCGTATGTTTTTTTTAAGAAGGGCAGATTAACGTCAAGGGATCTAAAACTTTTCCAATTTCTTATGAAGCAGTTTTAGGCTAAAAGTAGACCTCTCTCTGATGAGACAGGAGAGCCGCAATCTGACAATACAATACGAGGTATCCCGACTGTTGATTTGCGGATTGCCCCTTTGAAAGCCCTCCCTTTTGTTGTCATGCAGCCTTTCCTTCCATCACTTTTAAATAAATCTTTGATGTTGGACTATCTGCGAAAAACAAGTGAAAAAGTATGAATAATAAATGAGAGAAAAAAAGGATTCACTCCAGCATTAAGTCCGTGCATAGCCTCCATAAACATGATAGAACCTTTGAATTTCAACAAAAGTCAATGATCGGATCAGATGATTCTCACATGCCATCACACACTCAAACTCACACACAAGGATGCCACTCCTCCTCCAGGCATCAAAATTGACAATCTCAGATCTGATCCTCTATCTCTACATGAGCCATTCTCTCTTTCTAAACATGTGAACAGGACCGAAGCTCTCCACTCATGAGAAAACTACAAATGAATATCTTTGATCAAAGCACTTTTAAAGCATTTCACACCTTCAGATTTTACCATCCTTTTCATACATACACTTCATTTTAAGAGGTGTTGTATCTATCAAATCTAAAATGAGTCTAGCAGTTTTCAATTCTAACATTTGAGGTGCTGTCTTGCTCTATTTTTTGGGTTGAGAGTAGGACCGGGCGATTATATGATCTTGATCAATGGTCCTGATAATTTTCAGTTCGATCGCGGTGATCAACTGTGAGCATATTTACTCGAACAAACATAGCGGAAATTTAGTAAACAGGAGAAGTAAACAGAATGACTGAACGTGGAGCTAAACGCAGAGCTGAGGACAGCAAAATAGATGTCAGCCGTGACTTTGAGTCATCCTCCGAAGATGTTATTGTTGAGAAGTTATTTAACGTCAGTTGTGTGGCGATGGTTCGGGTATCTTCAAAGTGACATCGAGCAGTTAAGCCGATATGTACAGTATGTCGTCTTTATTATCCCTGAGGGGACGATTTGTTTATTTTAGTACTGGCATACCTGCAAAAACACGAACTAGTTCACTGTATTATTTGGCATTTTTCTACATTTGTTGTACTGTTAAATTAAAATGTTTTTTATATTTTTCTAAGTTTATTTTATTCAGTTTGCTTTGTTATTTACTTTTTATGTTAACAAAATGTTGAACTAAACTCTAGTTTCTTTAGTTTTTGGTACAGATTCTTTAAAACAGGCAGTTTAAAAAAAAATTGTGATAATAATCGAGATCGGCCGATATGACAAAATATATCGTGATCATTTTAATTGCCAAATCGCCGAATCCTAGTTGAAAGGTCAACTCAGCCTACATAGTCAGCGCTGTTGAATCTACAGTTTGGTGCTCCACTTGGAGTTCTTCAGCACGGAAAACAACTTATAAATAAAGCAGGAGACAAAGAAGCACCTCTCCTCTCAGAAGCATCTTGTGAGCCAGAGCTAACACATCAGCTGAACAGAGACACACACTCACAGGCTCAGCAGTCACGTTGTTTGTGGGCCAAATGTGCCTCAGAGGTTGCCCCCTGTTTTCACCCGTTTTCTAGTTATGATCTCTTTCCACTGTTCTCGCACAAGCCGCCACTTCTTTTCAGCTAATGCACACCTATCCTGGCAGACAGGCAGATACAAAGAGTCTGTTCCCTTTGGCCCTCAGATGGGACACTGGCCTTTTATGGGTGATGCCCTCATACTCCCTCGTGGAGTATCCCTTTTATAGGACGAAAAAATGAGGACTCTGTGAGAGCAGAGATTTAGAAACACAGTACTCAAGCCAACTTTGCCTTACTCAACAGCTGAGTAAAAAACAAACAAATAAAACGGCGTTTCTAAAAAGATTTTACTTTTTCTTAGAGGCAGCTCATTTTGTAACTGAACCTGTATTAACAAAAACCTTTGTAATACTCCTTTAAAACATGACTCTTTAGGCTGTATAAATGATGGAGAAACATTCAGGAAATCTGACGAAGAATCACCTCTGCTACTTCATTTAAAGTTCATGTCATACACTGCGCTACATTCAGTTATAAGTCACATTTTAATTCACAACTTCATGTTCACCACACTGAATATAACACAGCACAAAGCTCAGCATTACAAACAGAAAGACACAAACTCAGAAAATGCACAAAAAAACAAGAATCTTTAATCACCGACCTTCTCCAGCTTTTCAAAATGCTCCCGCAGGAACTTCATAGGACGCTCAGGCTTCGCGATGCAGAGATTCACAATGCACTCTTTCAGGATCTGCTGGATGTTGTGCTTCTGCACGAAAATTTCGCAGCCCTTCAAACTCTCGTCTTCTTCCAGAGTGGAGGAGGAGGTGGCCATCTTATCTTTTATCTCTGTGGCAGTGGGAGAAAAACAGGGTGGACCATGAGAGGAGGGGAGGAGAAGCAAAGTAGAGACAGAGGGAGAACTGAGTTGCAGGGGAGGGTTGAAGAAAACAGAAAATAATAAAAAAGGGTTGCGCAGAATGCTGTGCATGCATCATGATGAATTAGAAGTAGAAAAAAAAGGACGACGGAGCGAATGGGAATGAGATGAATAAACATCCTACAGCCTGTTGGATGGAATTTTTATTTCACTCTGTTAAGAAATTACCTTTGTCCTCTCTAGATCCAGAAAATGTTTAGTTTGAGAATTTGGGGGATTTCATTAAGTGAATCAAACATGCCCAAAAGATTTCTAACAGTCACTTTTTTAAACATATTTTCAGGAATACTCTGATGGACACGAAGATGATGCAACAGGATATTTCAATGCATCCAGATCTGCGTCACTCAAAACCACTGCTGCAACATCAGGACCAAACAGGACAGGCATGGGTACTCTTTAAAGGAAAAATGAGTTAAACTCTTAAACTAAGTTAGCCTTTCTGATAGTGCTCTGCCAATCCCAAATGTGTCCCAAATCGCATACTTCCATACTAAATACTTAAAATTTTGAGTATACTCAACTCAGAATGGAGAAAAGTATGGATAGAATGCGAAAATTGAGTATGCAAAAGTACGCGGATGACGTAGTCAGATCAGTCAAGATTTTGAGTATGCGACTGTGGACACTCGCCTGCACCCATTTCATCGGTAAGAATGGCTGCGACAGCTGTGGTGCCAGTGGGTCGGCGACAGTCGACCTGGGAGCTTTGTACAGATGTAAGTAATAAGCTGCCTTTATATTTTATATTATATTATATTTTATATTAATATCGTATATTTTATATTAAAAAGTAGTTTTTTGTAAATAGTTTCTTTCCATTTTTTAATGCTTAATTTGTAAATTGTTTATCTTAAGTTACCAAGTTCCAAATGTTTAATATGTAAATAGGGTATCTTAAGTTTTCTTGTTCTAATCTTTTTTATATGTAAATAGAGACACGAGGCAAATCGCGTCGTCATTTCCGGTGAGTGCGCCAGTTTGCGATATGGGACAGCACTGCACCCTCGAAACTTGTGCACTGCACGATCGAGCACACAGTATGCTTAGTATACTCAATTTGAAAAAGCTAAGTATTTAGTATGGAAGTATGCGATTTGCAATGCCAAAGTTATACAGTGTGAAATTAAACAGAACTACATCTCTGCAAGGATAGGAATAAGCTGATTATGTGTAGCGTTAACTTGGCGCCTGTTAAACCTCCATACATTTTTTGTGCAAATGTCCACCGTGAAGGACATCAAAAAGTACACTGTTAAGCAGTAAATATGAATTCCTGTCTTGTAATTTTATTTATTAAACCCCCATATGGCGATATTTGAAATGTTTGTACCAGTTTAAAATGTCAGACGGAGAGTAAAGTTAAAATCTCGTCCCTTGGCAGATATGCAAATCATCCACCTGTGGCTTTGACAGTGGACAGGTGAGCATAAACAAGCGTGATTTGTTAAATAAAAGAGATTCAATAATAGCAAACATTTTAACCATGATCGGTGCAATGATTGCCCTTGGTATGTTTCATGTTGATGACACTAACTGGTGCTTTAATTGATATCATGATATTGTGATGGCAAAATTTTACATTTAGTGGTTGCAGAGCAAATTATGCAGCAGTGTAATCTCAACTAAGAGCAGCCATGGTTATGTCATCCTGCAGTTCTGTCAAATATCAGCAGATTCTCTCTACCAGAGCAGGTCAGGAAGCTGAGCAGGTGTAGCTAACTGTTAACTAGCTTGTGTCACTTCCTCAAAGGGAATCACGTTTACGATATGTTGTTATTTAACCGTATGATCGATCTGAATCATTTATAGCTCTAGGGTAGGGTATTAACCGCGTTTCTTCACAGCAAATAGCAAATCAGTGTCCACGCACAACAATACTCCTATAATCCTCTTGTAACTCAGTGGGTACCTGTTCAGTTGCGTACAATAGACAGCTAACCGGGCTAGCTTTGCTAATCTTACGATGACAAACAAACCACAACGAAAGGGGGAAAGACCGCGGCGTAAACAATGTCATTGCTCTGATGTAGACGGCTAATTTGTGTCTGTAATATCGCCCTCCGGTCCGGTCCTCTCGCTGGTGTCCCTACCGTTAATTCGGAGGATGCTCAGGGGGAGAAAACACCTCGCTGCTGCTGCTGCTGCTGGTGGTGGTGGTGGTGGGAGGAGGAGGAGGTTGCTGTGGAGCCGTTTGGTGGATGTGATGCTCCTACCGCTCCTCCTGCCGCTCGCGCTGCTGCTGCTCTGCCTCTCTGCGTCAGTCCCGATGACGTCAATCTGTCATCTCGACCGCAGCGGCACTCTCACGAGGCCCTTCAGCAGCGACGGGCACGCGCCAGACCATCTGCAGGTACTGAAATGTTTAAAGGTAAAATCATCAACACTAAACTACCGGGACAGGTGTTTAGTTGTTGTTTCATATTATACTGATCAGATTGTATTTGTTTAAGTGAAGATGAGTGTTTGCAGGACACTATAATCTAGATCAGGGTCATGAAGTAGGGGAGACCGGGGATGGTTGTAATGTTACCTGTAGGCCTGGGCAATTTGGCAAAAAAAAAATCACAATATATTTTGTCATATCATCTGATCTTGATTATTATCACAATTTGTTTTTAAACTGCCAGTTTTAAAGCATCTGTACCAAAAACTAAAGAAACTAGAGATTAGTTCAACATTTTATTAACATACAAAGTAAATAACAAAGCAAATTAAATTAAATAAACTTAGAAACATATAAAAAACCATTTAACGCAACAATACAACAAATGTAGATAAATGCTAAATAATACAGTGAACTAATTTACAGTTTGGTGTGTTTTTGCAGGTATGCAAGACCCAAAATAAACAAATCGTCCCCTCAGAGATAATGAAGACGCTTTAAAACGTCAACATCAGATGATGTAACTGTAGATGATAATATTGATTGCACCGCTAGTTGTGGCTAAACTGCTAATGCTACTCGTGCCGTCAGCAGTGGGAGGCTGTGCAAACTTTGCTCACATTTTGATTCTTTCTGCATAATCACTCAGGAAGTACTTCTTCAAATGATCAAACAGATCTGTTGTGTTGCCCATTTTTGAGGGCACGGATCGCCGACATACCTTGCACATTGGCTTAATTGCTTGACGTCACTTTGGAGATACCCGAACCACCGACACACAACCAGCGTTGAATAACTTCTCAACAATAACATCTTTGGAGGATGACTCAAAGTCAAAGCTGACAACTATTTTGCTGTCCTCAGCTCCACGTTTAGCTCCACGTTCGGTCATTCTGTTTACTTCAGAAGTGAGCAGGAAAAGCTTGACTCTGATTGGCTGTTGTGACGCGCATTTCCTCTATGTTTGATCAAGTAAATATGCTCACAGCTGATCACCGTGATCAAACTGAAATTTATCACAATCATCTATCACGATTATATAATCGCCCAGTCCTAGTTACAGGTCTGTCAGGTGAGTTTTACTGTAACAAATGATTTTTGGCTCAGAGCCTCTCAATCTGAAAAACAAAGTTAAAAAGATCAGCAAGATGGAGACCCGAGCCATTCATTTTCTTCCCAAATTTTCTCTTTTTATTACAGAACCAAAAAAAAAAACAAATAAAAATATATGAAACGTTACTCTGTGCAGGAATGCCTGTATTAGGATGTCCATAGTAAAAGTGTCCATGTTTCTTTAATTAAGTTCAATTCATATGGCTTCTCAATTGGCTTCCCAAGAGCGGGCCGCTCTAAAAATGTATAATGTTGATTACACAGACATAACAAAACACAGCAATATCGTTATATTACCAAATGTCGTCAATAACTAATAGCTATTGACTGATATTAAAAGCTTTTTTGTATATACACCACAAAAAGATGCTTCTTTAACAGATTCCTGCCTACCCCACCTCTAAATTCCCCCAAACTGAAGGTGAATGGACTTTTCCATTTGCTTCTTGGCCTAAAAAGTACAGTATCTTTAGTATAAACTTGACTGTTGTAAAAAGAACGACTTACAACTCACTTATTTCACTTTCAGTTCCGTCTGATGTTTTCACGCTTATTTTAGATATCTCCATTCATCTCCATTCCCATCTCTGCCTTATCTTCAGCAAAGATTCACAAGATTGGAAACGCTGTTATGTGTTGTGTCGATAAAGTTTTCCGTTTTGAATCGGGGAGCTGCCGTAAAGCGGCCGTTTGTTTGTCGCGCGGTCTTATGTTGCCATAACGACAGCAAATATGGCAGCGATGGCAGCAGGAGACGAGCATGCTGCCTCTGAGGTTTTGAGAGGACTCACACGACAGTTAAACTGTCTGAACGAAGACAACAAAGCGACGAGGAAGAGGGCTTTAGAGGTAATAAAGAGGGAAACTGTGGATAGAGGACTCTCCAGCAGCGCCTTACAGGAGGTGTTCTCAGCCCTCCTCAAACCGCTCCTCAAATGTCTGTCAGACCCGATGGAGAGATGCAGAGAAACTGCAATCACCACTTTAAGTGACTTTATCCGCTGTGTACCCGAACCAGAGGAGTCGCTTCCTTACCTCATGCCATGTCTGGCTCAGAGGCTCGGAGAGAAAGACATCCTGGAGCCCGCCGAGGAGCTCCGTCTGTCGGCCGTGGAGATGTTGACTCTGACGCTGGAGGTGTGCGGGAAACATTTAGGGCCGTATCTGAACGACATGATCAACATCCTACAGAGAACCATCATAGACCCTTTCCCTGATGTCAGGAGAGAAAGCTGCAAATGTACCGTGAGCCTTGCAAAGTCTTTGCCAGGTTTGTGCACATTTTTGTTGTTGTTGTCGTTTGTTGCTATGGTTTCATGGTAGGGGAGAGTAATGTAAGTTGAGCCAAAGAGTAAGTTGAGCCACAAGAAATTCATCATGTGACCAAATATTTAGGAGATGAGCATCAATTCATGGAGTCTGTGAAGGTTAGAAGCACATGGGTGAAGAAGGGGTTAGACATTTATTTACAAAAAAAACAAAAAACATTTTTTCACTCTTGAAAGTGAATTTAGTCCGTCATAAGTTTGATTAGAATTGTGTTCAGACCAAAAAAGATCATTTTAAATTTGTTTTCTACATCAATTGTGGTATCTATGAGCTACAACATGAAGTAAAAAACCATAACATAAAAACATACGTAAAAGTCCACCATTTTAGCTTAGAGGACTAATAAAGGCTGTGTCTGAAATGGATCCCCAACCCCTATATAGAGTAGAATAGAATAGACTTTATTTGTCATTGCACAAAGCAACGAAATTTCGTTATGCCATCCTGAATGCAGAAAGAACAAAAACAAGTACAACAATGCATACATATGACAGCATTCATCCATAAAAAACATATTAAAATTAAGGCTGTCAAAGTTAGCGCGTTATTGTCGCGTTAACTCGTAGTGCTGCATACATGGACCCATATTGCACTGTTTAAATAAGAAGTAATTGCACATAGTTCCATATTGCACTGTTAATAAATAAATCATTGCCATTGTAGAGAGACAGTTGGTGAGGTGTCCAGGCTATGTGAGCCTCGGGCACTCCGTAGTTTCGCGAATCAGGAAGTATTGCATTGACTGATTAGCCGATTAGCATTGTGCAGGACGTTGGTCTGCAAAATCATACAAATCGCATCCACGAAAATCCACGATCTGTTCTCGTGTTGATTCTCATGTTGACATAAGTATTACAATTTGAAAAAGATCGATTTAGAATGGATCAAAAAAATATGCGATCAATTTGCGATTAATCATGATTAATTATGATCAAAATTCGATTAATCGCGATTAAATATTTTAATCGATTGACAGCCCTAATTAAAATATAAAGACGTTGATCAACATTGACCGTCATGTCACTGTAGTAGTGCTGCAGCACATGGACCCATATTGCACTGTTTAAATAAGAAGCAATTGCACATAGTTCCATATTGCACTGTTAATAAATAAATCAATTAATTAATAGAAGGAATAGAGGGTAGTAGTTATCATGTAATTACCAGATAATTTCATGTTGCTACTAGGTAATTACCTGTTAATTACCTGGTAATAAGTGTACTGTTAAAAAAAAAAAGTGTTACCATAAATCCTATAGGTTTACATTTACTTGGTCGTAATTTTAGCAATTTCCAGGAATTTTATGTCAACAAACCAGTGTTGTTGTCTTAAACGTTGAAGTGCATTTCCTCTCTTTCTCCAGAGCACTTTCACTTGCAGGCGGAGAGTCTGATCAAGCCCCTCATGCAGACGATCGCTCATCAACATTCCAGAGTACGAGTGTCTGTCATTGAGGCCACCGGAGCTGTCATTCAGCACAGCACTGGGAAAAACGTGGACGACGTGCTCTCTCACCTGGCTCAGAGACTGTTTGATGACTCACCACAGGTTCACTTCAGAGCTACTCAACATTTTGTGTGATGCTGTGAAAGTTCAGGAGTCTTTTTCGTCTTAACGTCTTTTTTCTACTTTCCTGTTGTGTGATACAGGTGAGAAAAGCTGTGACTGTAGTTGTTGGGGATTGGCTACTTCATTTAAGAGACAGATACTCCTTTTTCCACAAACTCATCCCACTTCTGCTGACTAACATCACTGATGAGATCCCAGAAATAAGGTAAAAGTAATATTACAATTTGATTTATAACACGGTGAAGGGCAAGAAACATAATCTTAAAATATAAAAGAATAGATCACTGGAGTGTTCACTCTCTTCCTGCAGACTTCTAGCAGCTGATTTATGGAAGCAGGTAGGCGCACAGTGGGAGAAGGAGAATGAGGAGGATCTCAAGGACAAAATGGACTTTCTCCTGACTCCACCACCCTTCTACCCATCAGGAGGTAAGTCACCATAAGTAAGTCATCATAGTGGTAATCACATTATTTACTGGGTTTGTTTGGTGCGTGAGTTTTTGGCATCACTGCAGTCAAACTGGGCGGCACAGTGGTGTAGCGGTTAGCACTGTCACCTCACAGCAAGAAGGTCCTGGGTTTGAATCCGGGTCAGGGTGTTTCTGTGTGGAGTTTGCATGTTCTCTCTGTGTCTGCGTGGGTTTACTCTGGGTACTCCGGTTTCCTCCCACATCCCAAAAACATGCAAGAGTGGGGTTAGGTTAATTGGTCACTTTCAAAACATTGCCCGTAAGTGTGAATTTGAGCGTGGATGGTTGTGCGTCTCTATGCGTCAGCCCTGCGATGAATTGGCGACTTTTCCAGGGTGTCCCCTGCCTTCACCTGAAGATGCTGGGATAGGCTCCAGCGCCCCCGCGACCCCTAACAGAATAAGCGGTAGAAAATGGATGGATGGCTAGATGCAGTCAAACTCATTTTATGGCTTTTAATTCCACCTCTGAATCAGTTTTAAGGTTAAAACTGTCGTCTGATGAGTCCTCAAATTGTAACTTAATTGTTTAAGTATTAGCTTTTCAAGATGTAGTGTTGATTTTAAATAAAAGATAACAATTCTCAGTACATAAAATCATTTTTTATGGATGATTCTTTGCATTAATATCATTTGCAGTGCAAGGGTAAAGCTGAGTGACTACAGGTGTATAAATATACCAACCCACCTACATAGAGTTTAAAAAACAACTCTGTAGGAAAATCATCGGGATCCATCTTAAGCTTTAACCATCAACTCAGATTTTTTAACATCCTGTATCCGATTATTTTATTGGCTTTTCTTATCAAAGGAGTGATTAGAGAAACATCTGAGACATCGTGCATGTAAGAAAGATTCCAGGTGTACTGGCTTCACTCGTCAACATCAATGCATCATAAAACCACTGACACTCCAGTCAAAAGCAAATGTGAATTTTGAATGCTGTCTTCCATTAAACCATCCGTCTTTATAAACGCTCTCTAGGGATATAACGTAAAATGAAAATAATGAGTTTGACAGCTTAGATTTCAGGGCAGGCACTGGCTTGGGAAGGTAAGTGTCTGCCTGGGGCCTGGAAAGGAAAATGAACCTGATCATAGTTACCGTGGTTTACCAAAAGGGCCGGGCTGAGAGAGAGCGTTAAAAGAATAAAACTAATCGAGCTTAATACCAGATAACTTCTGGCTGGATAGATGCAGAAATAAAATGATAAGAAAGAAATAAAAGGATAAGCATAAAAAGAAGAGAGGAAAAGTGTAAGGAAAGGAAAGAGGAAATAGGAAAAGAGCAGAGAGGAAAGGAAAGGAGGGGAAATGGGAAAGTGTTGAAAAGAAAAGGAAAACGAGAGTAAAGAAAGAATGAGAGAAAAGAGAAAATTAATTAAAAAAGGACAGAAAAGAAAAGGAGACTGGGAAAAATGGAAGGAAGGGGAAGAGAAGAAAAGGAAAAGGAGTGGAAAAGAGAAGGAAGAGGAAGGAAAATGAGAGGAAGCGAGGAGCAGAAGAAAGAAAAAGAAGAGAAAGGAAAAAGGAGAGGAAATAAGATGGAAGGAAAGAAAAGGTGATGGAGGTGAAAAGAGAAGCAAAGAAGGAGGGGAAGAAAAAGGAATGAGAAGAAAAATAAGGGAAAGGAGAGGTCAACGAAAAGAAGATAAGAAGTAAATAACAAGAGAGAAGAAGATTCAAAAAGGAGGTGAAAGGGAAGAAAAGACAGAACATTAGTGAAAAGGGAAGTAAGAAAAGGTATTGAAAGGAAAGGAAAGGAATCTGGTCTATCTGTCTTCCTCCCTCCTGCTGTCATAAATCTGCCGGGCCTCCCAGTGTGAAGAGGTCACTGTCAGACAGTGAAAGACGACCAGAAAAAGGCTTGTTTTGTCTTGTCCTGGTGTGTTTCTCTGATTTATCTCTGTAGTCTTTAAGTCCTCTCTTCCTCCCTCATTAGTGTCCCTATAGGAGGAGGAGGAGGAGGAGAACGAGGTGAGAGGGATGGTGAATTAAAAAATGCTGGGGCTACTTGAGAAAATGTTACACTTGCTCTAACAAGTCTCTTTTTAATCGTAAAAATTTAAGGTAGAAAAAATGTGATGAGTTTTAGCTCAGTCAGCATTAAAAGCATTTAGAAACCTGTGAATCTGTGATATGAATTGTTTTTTAAGGCTCTTTTAGTGTCCACACAGCTTATTAAATTGTGTTATCCTATTTTGCTGTTAATATATACATCTGAAACCTTGAACCATCCAAACTGAGGCAAGCGTTCTGCATTTTGTCCCCCAGTGGAGCGTCCCGGTCTGGGCTGCAGAGAACTCGTGGTGAGAAACCTGGGTAAGCTGGTTCCAGCCATAGCCCACGATGTGACGGACTGGCTGGTGCCCACACGGGTCAGGACCTCTGAGCTGCTCACTGTGCTGCTGCTGCACGCCGAAGATCACAGCACTCAGCATCTGCAGCCTCTCCTCGCCACCCTCTATCAGGCCTGCACGGACTCTGAGAGAGACGTGGTAACCAGTGTGAGTTCTGGAGAGCCAGTCGAGTGTTTTTTAGTCATGATGTACGGGGTCAAGTAGAGCTCAAAGACTGGGATGCACCTGTTACAGCTCTATAGATCTCTTCTCATGTGGCCTATCTTTCTGCGTCTGTCTTTACTCTGTTCTCACACCTAGTGCCTGGCCTCTGCGAAGCTCTTGGGAACCTTCGTCCCTCCTGACATCTTCCTCAAGCTGCTGCTGGATCACGTGACAGCTCCCTCCTCTTCCTCTCATCCCTGGGCCCCTCTCATGGTGCTGGCTGCCGTGCTCGGAGGCTGCCCCAGACCCCTCCTTAAACCGCATCTCGAACAGATCGCCAACACTCTGGCCAAGCCCGACGTCTGCCAGGAATTTCAACAGGTCAGCAGAGAGGATCAGGATTTGTTTACATGTTTTTTTTAACCCGGTTTACATAAGAGTCTCTGCACTTTGCTCGTTAATTTTGTCCAATATTCTTCTACTGTTGTGTTAGCTGCATCGACTCAGTTTAGGAACAACATCCCTGAGGTTTATGATGGAAAGCGAAAGAGTAAAACATGAAAGTCAGACTTGTTTTGATCACATCTCTGCCAGGTTTTTTTTTTCTTCCGTGTCTGCCATGTCTTGATTTTCCTTCCTGATCTGTGTGCACCAGCTGTTTTCCTTTCCCAGTCTTGTTAGGTGATCTTGGCAGTGTCATAGAAGGTCATTTTCTGCACTCCTCATGTACCATTTACACTCTTATTTTTGGCAGTGACAGAGCAGCAGTCAAACTGAATATTTCTTGCCCAATTTGTCCCTTATGTAAATAGGTTTTATGATAAGATGCAACTGCTATTTAGAAGGGCTCGAGCTGTGGAGTGTTTTTCAAAAGCACCACTGTTTGCGGTGAGTTCATTGGGTTTGCTGTTGAGTAATTCTCCAAAATGAGGATCGAGCTCTCAGGCCACACAGAATGTTTCAGGTCGGACATTTCTAGAGGCGTCTTTATTTTTGTTTCAGAGCAAATATAATACGAGAATGGCTTTTGTCTCTCTCTCTGAAAATGATAGTCTCCCAGTGGAAAAAACATCAAGTCCAGAGCAGACTCTTCCCGTCCTTCTTTCTTTTTTTATTACCAAACATGTTTCCCTTTCTGAATCGAAATAACAGTTGTCTGGCGGAGAGTTATTTTCTGATCCTGACTGACTCACCTATGCACATGAACCCTCCTCCCCCCATCCCAGTGAGGCCTGGAAGAATTTCCTCCCCGGGATAATAATAACAAAATCCGCTAATTTCACGTGACCCCTGGATGGCTTCCCTGACCTCTCTAAGCAGATGAGGCGGCCTTTGTATTTTTTTATAGCCGTGTGTAAGGTCCCAGCACAGGCTGTGTCTCACCATTAAAAGAATCCCTGAAATTTCAAAGCCTGCCTGGTCAAGGCCGGTGATAAATGGGGAGGAAAGCTGACCCCCGTCTGTCCTCCCTCGTCGCTATCCGGAGAGAGAGGACCAACAGGACGAGACGGTCAGCGTAGTCACACAGATGGAGGCAGACCCCTGCTTCCTCTCTGCCCGCTTCTTCATCTATCTCTCTCCGCCATTCATTCTGTCTCTCTTTCCGAGGTCAAAGTTTAGGGCTCACCCAGACAAAGCACCTGCAACATTCTTCAACAACAGGCAGAGTTCATTGGAGGGAGCAGGGCCAAATCACCATGTAGCTGTAAATAACACCGCAGCAGACAGGAGCACCTGCATCCCTCTTTGTCTCTGTTCTGAAATACCAACCGAATGCACGCTCTTACTTTACCTCCCCGGTCCAAAATGTGGAGTTTTCTCTCAGACCTGTGTTTGATAATAGTTTGATAACCTACAGGCACACAAACAAAAACAAAAAAAGTGAAGAAGCAGGCCGGTTTATTTTGTTTTTCACTTTTTTTAAATGAGGTATTTTTAGAGCTTATATGACCCAGCTTTAAAGAGTTATGCACCATTTCAACTGGAGGCCAAAAGAATGCAAAAGCTAAGTTTAACTTGGAAATAAAGAGGCCTGTCCTGAAATTAAACATAAATAATCATCAAAGTGAACAGAGGCAAAGGGGAACTTCAGGGCTCGGTGGGGAGTTTGGGCTACATGCTGAAGATCTGGAAAGTGATATATGATACGTCGGCACAACTTAGCCTCCCCGACTCTTTCAAGTGTCTGTTTTCTTTTCTGTATTTCGGTATTTCAGGGAAAAGGACAGCTTACAAAAATAAATGGCAGATCCTCAGCGAAAAATAAAAATATTGGACTTAAAATCGAAGATGATGTCAAGGGTTTTGAGGGAAAATGAAAGGCGAGCCGGTGGTCAGAGAAGCCACCGTATCCTGAGGCACCTTATGCAGTTCACATGGGGTGTTTGCTCATGAATCATAAAAGGGTCTCTTTTTGAAGAGATACTCCGCAGGGGATTAGCAAATCCCTACACAGCTGTGTGTCGCTGTGTTGTGATTTACCATGGTGACGGGGTCGTCAGATTATCTGCGGGGCTGGATCAAATTGGTGAAATCAGGAACAAAAGAGAGGAGGAAAAGTAGATTTGCATGCATGTTTACTTCACCTGGGCCTCCTAACTGTGGGCATACTGTCGGAGTGAAACAGATCAGGGGCAGGGGGGAAAAGAAAGCTCTGCGTCTTCTCATCTTGTCTGTGCACGGAGGAGCTGCGGCCTTCATGTCACAGCTGCCTATATTCTGCTGAGTACACAAACATGCCGCCATACATCAACCGCTCTCCTGCGTGCCTGCCCTTTGTCATGAGTGACAGCCGCACACTGCTCGCCGCTCCACCGAATGACAGATGAACAGAGGTAGCTAACTTTACCTGAGCGCAGCGAGTCGGCATCCTCTGCGCTGCGCTTCTGTTTGTTTTCACGTCGCCTAGGCAACATCAGTAGCCGTGGGGGTGGTGGGCTCCCCACTGGATAGGAATTCATCGCCTGGTACGGCTCCTTAAAGAGGAGTCTGAGTGAGTGAGTGTGTGTGTGTGTTTGTAATTGATGTATCCAGTGGTGGACAAATGCACACACACTGTGTAACGAGGCCCCCTGAGCGTGCCCAGGCCAATGAAACCAGGTGTATCTCGCCTGGTTCCAGGTGTCCACATGGTGATTACACCGCACCACTTTTTCCGCTCTCCCTCTTTCTCTCTCTCGGCCGGCCCTAATGGTTGTTTTCTAAGAATGTATAACATGTTAGTCTGCGTATGTGTTCGCTAATGTGTGTGTGTCTGCTACTGTTTGTCACGTTATTTCCACTACTCCCTGCTCACTGCTGGTTTTATTGGCTGGTGAATGACTAGACCCTGAGCTGGGATTTCCCCTATCAATGACTGTGGGAATACATACAAATGAGTGTACACGTGGCATCATGTCAATGTTGTTCTGGGCTTCACATATGTTCAGTTTGTGCAAAATCCTGGACTCATGAACAGGTTTGGAAAACATTTGCAGACTGGACCCCCTGAGCTGATCCTCATCCTACTAAATCATGGCTTTTTTAACACTTTGAGCATCTTTACTCGGTATGACAGTTGTTTTCTTTCTAGATTTATTGTAAGCTGTGCCATATAACAGCTATTCAAATATGTGGAAAGAGAATGTGCCCCCTAGTGATAGATTTGTGGTACCTGCAAGTCCAGCTCTGTAAGTGGGTGCTCTAATAATCTGTACAAAGACAAACTCCGATGTTTTAATTGAAATTAATGCAAGAGCAACTTACAGATGTTGAAAACAAAAAGAGTTTTTATTGTTTTCTGAATATTTCCATGTATGAGTTTACTTTAAAATTGATGCAACATGTTTCAGATCATTTTGGACATGTTCGCCGTGCTGTTACATCACCTCTTCTTTTAACAGCTCTCTGTAAAACAAGTCAGCAGGCCAGTAAAGATCCCGCACCCTTCTCCGAGGAGACATGCTGTTGCAAAATGTGGTTTGGCGTCTTCTCACTTTATTATGCAAGGTCTCTCCTGACAAAATGCACAGTCTGGATGTTAACCTCTAAACCTGTATATAAGTCTATTAAATAGTGTTAATGTGTGAGCGACCGGTTTCATGAGCACTTCTGCATCCCGGTACTATAAAGGATGCAGGATTCTGAATTGTGCACGAATAACAGGTCAGGCTTTCTGGACTAAAGGATGTAGCATCTATGATTAACAAAAAAAGTCACATTTTGATTAGTCAGACCACAGTACAGTTAAGTCCATCTTGAATAGACTCAGGCCCAAAGAAGTCATGACTGTTCAGTATGTTTGGTCTCATTTCTGCATGGTACAGTCTAAACCAGACCTGGGCATTTCCAGCCCCTTGGATGTCCCTGCCTGGCCCTGCGTGAGGTTCCTCAATCAAATCATCAACATGCTTTAAAAGTGTGTCGCTTTTATTTTGAAAACCTAGCCATTATTTTATTTCCATTTGGACACACCTGCGTACATCCTAGATCTGCATTCGTGAACAGAGACAAGTTTAAACATCGGGTCACAGGTGTGCTTTTTTGGGCTTGTTTTTAACTAGTCGTTGCTTATTTGGACTTGCTTTTCTGTATGTGTGAACCCCCCCCGATTTAAAGTTGAAGTTGTTGTTGGTTCGGCCCTCCAACACAGTTCAGGTTTCTCGTATGGCCCCTATGTAAAAATTATCATTATTTATCATTAATTATCGCGCACCCCTGGTCTAAACCATTTGCATTTGCTGGTTCAAATTTGATCCAATGCAGTGATTTACACTTCAGAGTCATATCTGTTTTTTAATGCAAACATTAACATTTTCTGTCTTTTTCATTATTTTCAGTTTGTATTATCTTTTCTCTGCATCTCAACCCTGATGGGTCTGTGGTTGTAATTATGTTTTTAGCAGTGTTGCACTCGAGAAGGTTGCAAGTAATTCTCGCCGTCACCAGGCTGAGGTAAACACCTGGAGGGCACTTTAATCGGCTCTCAACACTCCTAATACTAGAGCGCACACTCAGCTTCTGTCACACTCTCTTTTACACACCTTCCATCTCTCCTTTCCATCCATCCAATCCAACACTAATGACAGACTGTAATAAAACAGGAAAAGAGGCCATGATTCCCAGTCATGGTGTCGAAATTAGCCCGAGCCACAGGTCTTTGTCTAAACATGAGCTCACCACAACGCCGCCTGACAAGTGACGGCAATCTCACGCAGGCTTATGCACACACGAGTGTCTGCAGATGGAAAGTTCTCCCTCTGGGTTATTGAAACTCGTCAATTACAAAATAAGAGACGAAGGTCCTGTGTATTTGGTCAAAAAGTACAATTTCCAGATGAATTAAAAACGTTTTTCCAGGTTTCATTCCCTCCTAATCCCTCTCATAGGACTCCAATCTCTTATAAACCAGATATCTCATAATAATTCTCCTTCTCTCCCCAGGTTGTGTACTTGGAGCAGTTGTTGGCCAGCGTGGATGCGCTGCTGCGTCAGAGCGAGTCAGACTGTGGCTCGGTGAGCCTGCAGCTGCTACAGGTGCTGGTCACAGTCCAGAGCCTCTCCACCGAGCCACATCTCAGCGAAAAGGTGAGAAAACACAACCTGGTGGTCTGATAATACAATAACAGAAACATCTTATCTGCCTTCCACCTGTGCAACTAATTCAGTTCAGCTCTTGCGTGGCGCATTTCTGCAACGTCTCCCTGTTCCCTGTTCGATTTGTACTTTTCCGATGGTTTTGATCGTAGCGGTGAGCAGGTTTTATGAAGCAAGAGAGCTATTTGAGGAATGCAAGCTTTTGTATGAGTTCAAAGTGGGCATGGCCGACATTGTAATTACCCACTTAGCCAAGGGGGGCTGAAATTGCACCTTTGGAGTGGAACTTGAAATCCAGACCTGAGTGAAAGGAGGAGGGAGAAAGATGGAAAAACAGTCGGAAACACCAAACAAACACATTTATAGTGATGAGTTGTGTTTCCTAACAGGTGTGTGTCATCGGCGTAACACCCGTTTGTGGCTGCGTACAGCTCCTCCGGTCCACTACAGCCGAGTTGTGCACAAACCCGAAAGCTTTCATGTCGTGGTCAACCTCAAAATGCACCCGAAACGGCGACAAGTTGAGCCATCAGTATCTGAGGCAAGAGTGTCGCCTCTCTGCTTGTCGCCGTAGGAGGTTAATGACAGGGAAAAGAGCGGGAAGCCATTGGCACCAATCCTTACTAGACACCACAAAGGCCGCCAGTGTTTGTGTGTTTGTTTATGTGTGTCTGCACGGGTCCGTAAGTCCAGACTTGAGAGCAGAGTTAGAGGAGAGATGAGAGGAATGGATTAAGAAATGGAGAGGGAGGGTGAGAATGGCCTTGGGCATTCCCGGACTCAGAGGAAAAGCTAAACTTGATTCCCACAAAAGGGGCATGGCTTTCCCATCAGTGGACAGCTCAGGGTTGTCTAGCTGTCTTCTAAAGGGGCCGATCTGTGACTCAGACAATGTCTCTGTCCCTGCGTGTCCCTGAGGGACTATGAAGGGAACTATAAAGTGCCCTAAGGTCACTTCCCCTGCCCTAAAGAGTCAGCTAATTATTTACTCTCCTATCTCTCCTTCTTGCCCTTTCCTCCCCGCTCAGCTTTATTGCTTTGTCTGCATGTGTATATATGTATGTGTGTGTGTTCGTGTACATGTGTGTTTGTGTGTAAGGGGGTTCTCTCCGTTCTTTGTGACATCCTGTGTATCTGTCAGGGTTTTTGTTTCTAATTGGTTTTACATGTTAGACCTTGTAATGTCTGTTGTGTTGTTCTTCCCATGGCTTCACATGATGTTCGTTCTTCCCGTGTGTGTGAAGGATTTCTGAAATCACAAAGAAAACAGCTGATCATCAAACCGTCCTCCCGCCCTGTCTCTGTTGTCTCTCATTTTTAATATAAGTGAGAATCTGTCGACATTTTCCTCCACCTGTCCCTCTCCTCCCTCAGGCCGTCCAGAGCGTTCACTTGTTGTGCAAGGTGCAGGGCCTGGACTCGATGACAGAGCTGTATAGACGACATATGGGCCAGCTGCTGGACTGGCTGTCTGCCTCAGTCGACGCCTGGTCCAGTTACTCCCCGCAGAGACTTCAACTGCATGTCATAGTCACACAATCAGGTGAGAAGTGACGGCTGATTTCTTGTTTTTTCTTTCCACGTGAAGTTGCCAAATTATACAGCAGGTGCAGAAGTGTACTCATGTAGAGATACAATTACCGACAAAGACACATAGAGAACCTTTGAGAAATCGGCTTGTCAAAGCAGCTGTTAATGATGAGAAATTCGCTTCACCTGTCATCGCCGTGAACATACACCAAAGGTCCATTTCACCTCGACAAGCTGGTGGAAGTTTATCATCCACATCGTGTTCAGTGAAACATTTCTCTCATAGCTTACTCAGGGACATGTTTCAGTGTATTTCAAGCATCGTCAACACAACACAGTGAGACTGCGCAGAAGACCCAAGCACTATATTATGGCCCTTTTTAAGCTGTCAAAGGAAAATAGATGCAGCAGAAAGAAACATAAAAAAGATGGTTTCAAAATCTTAAAGTCTGATGACCTTGTGACTCTTGGATTAGGAAGATCCCAGCTCCCAAAAAAGTGTGACAGAAGCGACGTTTACATGTGCGAAATTTCTTGATCTGATTAAAAATTTGAGGGATCAGAAAATCTGAATCCACTGTTTACATGTGCGCAAAGTCAAATAATCCGACCATGACGTGCGTTTACATGCACCAAGCTTTTTTCAGATTAGAACCATTAGATATGCGCAGAGTTGTCTAATCTCACTGAAACAACCACAGAAGAAGAAGAGTTGTATTAACACCTGTGTTGTCAACAAACGCGGTAGTGGCTTACTTTATCAGATTTAGGATTTTTCCCCATGTTAAATGTTGTCACTAGGTGGCGCCCTTGCATACCTATTTTACTATTCTGTCAAAGGTTGCACTGTGCATGCAGACGTGACATCATCACGCTGTATTTACACCTTGTTATGTTACCGGAGGAGCAGCAATAATGGAACCTTCTGAACTGACCTCAGTAGATAAAGAGTGAAGATCGAGTCAGGTAAGAGAGTCACGATCGGAATAAGTGTTTACATGGACGCGTTTCAGAATAACGATCGTCATAAACCACCGCTCTCGATCGGAATACAATTTCTTTCTGATTTATCCGAATTGGATCAGAATCTTCCGATCAATATGTTTACATGACGCTTGTTTATTCCGATCGGGCCTTTATTCCGATTCTTTGTTCCCATGTAAACGCAGCTATAGGTGAGCATAGGGAATCAGACGTAGTCCAGAGCAGGAGCGCACCTGAAAGCTACAGGTGACAAAAGTTTAACAAGTTCATTGTCAAAAATCTCCAGGATTTATTGCTCGACAATCAAATGGATGAACGCCGTGTAGACGCTCACGGATGACCCTCAAACAAAAACACGGAGGAATTTTTATGATTCTTTTCTTTATGTGAGCAGTGAGGGTCACGGTCAAACACAACCACACACACACAAAAAACGACAAGGCTGTCATTAGCACCAGCGGCTCACTGACCTCTCTGTCGCTCCCTCGGTTTGTCAGTCAGTCACTGTGTCTGAGACTCGTCTAGAGGGTTTAGTCTGCGCTTGTGTGTGTGTGTGTGGCTGAGTGGGTTAAAGAGCCGTGACCCTGTCTTTGGTGCAGAGACTTCACTATACCTCTCTTTATACCAAATAATCCTCCATCATCAGCACCCCCATGTGCCACGCTTTCATCTCCATCTCCCTCTCCCTCCCTCCCTTCTTTTTTCTAATTGACCGGGCAGCTGGGTACCCCTCTAATCCACACACACACACACACACACACACACACACACAGAGACCCTCACACACACTCCCACGGCTAACTGACCAGTCCACTCGGCGATCCCCACGCAGGTCACTACATCAAACGCCAACCACAGCCGCCTGCTCTTGACCTTCCCTTGGATCAAGGCCACTTTGAAGCTCGTTGTGTGTGTGTTTGTGTGTGTGTGTGTGTGCGTTTGATTTTCACATGTCTACTTTTCATTCCTACAAATTTGGTCAGCAGGAAGAGACATCGCGTGGCTGTTTTGTTTGATGTCGCATGATTCAAGGGAAATCCTCACTCCGTCGAACAATTGACGGTAGTTTATTTGACATCCCAGAATTGGTCATTTCGCTTGCTCATCAGCTCCTGTCACACTTCGTCTGTGTTTATTCCAGACAGGAATAAATATCGCCCTCTCATTTCCTCCTTACTGTCTTTTGTTTTTCAGCCGCTGCAAGAATAGTAAGTGGAGTAGTGAAATTTCCACTCGCCGCCTTGTTATGTCCTTAGTCAGTGTGCGTCAACATGAAGAGGTTTCCTCCAACGCCCTTTGATTCACACAGTCCCGCTGAAAAGCTCGCTCCGTCTTTGTTTCGCCGTATCTCTTTATGATGTTTTCCGACACCCTCGAGCGGTCTCAGGATTTCCTCTGTCTCCTCTCATGTCTGAGTCCAAACACTTATCACTTGTTACACACACATGTAGATTGCTATATATAGCTCTGTAAACATGCCGTCAGACTCAGTGGGTGTGTGGGTGTGTGTGTGTGTGTGTGTGTGTGTGGCGGGGGGACGAGTGAAACTGGGAACACTCTGACAATGAGTTTCTTCATTTTCCTATAAAAGACCGTTTTTGTCACATGCAGACGTTTTTATGCGTCACGTCCTCAGAGCTCTGTGTCACTGTCTCACCTCTACATAGAGCGCTGAACACTGACCGCAGTCTCTCTCTGACTCTGAGGACCTTTTCTTTTTCATGTGACAGAAAGGAAAAGTTTGGAAAGACAAAGTTGCATGAATGTCCAACTCCAATTTCATAAATGTTGGACAAAATCTTCATAAAAACTAAATTTAATTGTTTGCAAGTCGTTTGGTTCTGATATTTAATTGGGAGCCAGCAATTGTAGGGATATTAAATTCATCTTGGAAGGCCAAACTGTGTTTTTTGGAGATGATTTTTACCCAGTGCAGCTACTTTAATAACTGAGTTATGTCTGTTTTTGTCACATGCAGACGTTTTTAGGCGTCACGTCCTCGGAGCTCTGTGTCACTGTCTCACCTCTACATAGAGAGCTGAACACTGGCCACAGTCTCTCTCTGACTCTGAGGACCTTTTCTTTTTCATGTGACAGAAAGGAAGAGTTTGGAAAGACAAAGTTGCATGAATGACGAACTCCGATTTCATAAATGTTGGACAAAATCTTCATAAAAAATAAATTTTATTGTTTGCAAGTCAATATCCCCAGCAAATTTGGGGATATTGGGATCATCTTGGAAGGCCAAACTGTGTTTTTTGGAGGTGATTTTCACCTAATGCAGCTACTTTAATAACTGAGTTGTGTCTGTTTTTAATGCAGTACCTCCTGAAGGTCCAGAGATCACAGCTATTCAGTTTTATTTCAGTATTTATTTATCTAAATTATCCTGGAATTGTTAAATTGTTTGTTTGAGTGGTGAACCTCCTCCTATAGATATTCAGCTCCTCTGAAAAGCCATTTTTATACTCGGTCTGTTACTAATCTCTTGTAAATTGACCAAACTAGTCAGAAGATGTTCCCAAGTTCCCAAGTTTTTGAAACTTGTGGCTGTTTTAAACCTTAAATAAATTGTCCTTTCAGTATTTTCCCATTAGATATAGGCGTAAATTTTTTATCAACATTGTTTTACATTTTGCTGTTGACATTGTCCTCAGTGCTGTAAATATACGTTTGTGTTACAGGTCCGGTGATTGGTGAGTTTGTGAGCCAGCTGATGCCTCTCCTTCATAGCTGCCTCCAGCCGAACAGAGACACGGAGATGAGAATGAGCGTCTTCACGATGCTCGCTAAGCTGCTGCTGGATGCAGCCAACACACTGGATTCTCAGGGGTGAGAGGGAGACACACATGCTCGACACAAATCCACAGATACACAAAAACCACTTCACTTCACGATTTAAGTTGAGATGAGCTGTTGTCATTTTTTTCTTGCTTTCACCGCTGCAGGATCTCACGTTGCAGGGCCATAATAATGCCAAACTTCTTACATGCGAGTAATCAGTTTGACCGAGCTGAGTTCATCTTTCTGCAGATATTTAAAAGTCGTCCCCAGGAGTCCCATTTGGATTCACTTTGAGAGTATCAGAGGGACGAACTCATATCAGCTAATCATTTCTTTGCCTGATGAAGATAAAGCACATCGTGTCTGTATTACTCCTTTGTGGTTTAGTAACTCCACTGTATTGTAATGGGCTGATGAAAGATGAAGAATGGAAAGAGCACCACTTTGGAGGTTCTCTCTTTCTCTCTCTCTCTCCCTCTCACCCTTGACCGTCTCCCCTCACACCCTCAGCTGTGCAGCCTTCAGCCTAATCTGAGGGAATGCATTAAGCAGAGGCCGTCTCCAGATCCCAGCGAACCCCGGCAGCTGCTGCCGTCGATCAGAAAGACAAACCTCGTCCTAACAGGGTTGCCATGGAGACATCTGTGCAGTGTGTAACTAACCCTAGCCCGAAAGCCAAAAGGTCCATGAGGGTTGGTAGGCGCTTCCCTCGGTTAATTTAAGGGACAGGCTGGTAATCTTTGTGTGCTGAGGGATTATAAAGATCTTTGAAGTGAGCCCGGCGGTGTGAGTAATATCCGATATCAGAGAGAGAAATGTTTTATAAACAACAGGAGAAAACATTTTGCTACCTGTGCCAGAAATGTGGAAACTCTAACTTGGCTTTCAGCTTTCATCAGATTATTTTATCCCCAAATAGACAAAAGAAGCCTCTGTCTCTTACCGACTCCGAGCTCGGCCACCTGTGCAGCTAAATGCGTCTTTTATTCCTCCGCCATACCTCCAGTAATCACACTACCGCCAAATCATGTTACATCTTCAAAAGGTTTCAGACAAAATGCTTAACTAACCACACAGTACGCGCGGCGGTGCGGTCTGCCATAATATCTCCATTCATACTCACCTTATACCTCCATTCATGATTTATGTCCAAATTTCTGCTCGGCAAATTGAAGCCCACACACACTTCATGTCATCAAGAGGACAATGATAGTCATAGAGGAAACCTCTCCTCTCTGTTCTGTAACCGAAATGACATAATGACAGGCAGAGAGGGAAAGTAGATGATAGAAGAGGCAGAAAGGGAGAGTGAGTTTGTGCGCCAGCATGTTCCTTTCATCCACACAAACACATAATGCTTTTGTTTCATGTGGGATTGTGAGCAGTGATTAAAAAGTTGGATGTGAAATTTAAGTAGAAGGCGAGGCGTGAGATGTGGCAGGTTGAAATCATGCCCCGTTTACAGGAGGAGGGGTAGATGTGTGCGCTTTCATACACGTGTGGACAGAACAAGGCACCTCTCTTCAGGCTCGATTTTCTTGGAGTGACACTTTAATTTCATCCTGAATCCAAAAACTCTTGTGTAAACTCTATTTCTGAGAATATCAGAAATGAAAGAAATCAACAGTTTCAGGAGAATATTATACTTATAATCACTATAACACTCAAGGATGAATTCACAAAGCTATAACCTCACAATGATAGAGAGGATATTTTCCAAAATCAGGACGCTATAATAAGAATAATCCATAAATCAATAAAAATGATGTAAAGGAACGAACTTTTTTTCCATTAAATTATTTTTATGTTGTTAAATTTTTCTGGAAGCGCTGACAGCTCCATTGATGAAGTATCCGAGCAGTGCTCCTCACTAAGTTTCCTGGAACTTTCTATGTGTGTGTGTGCTCACAGACGTACAACTAAAAAGCGACATCCCACTCTTCTTTTCTTTGGACAGCGTCACTGTAATGTGGAAATCCTTCTTTCCGTCTCCATTCATGAATCATGATGAGCCTTCAACACCTGTCTGGATGAAGAGACTGATTTCACTCATCTGTGCTGTCCCTGTTCTTTTAGTGGCACACAGTCTCCCCCTACTGGCACTAGAGAAATCGCATCACACTTCTTTAAACGTCATGACAATTTTACTGACACCAGCTGAGGAGCCTGAGGCTGGCAGCAGCAACCAGAGCTGGCTGATTGGGAGCGAAAGGGCAGAGCCAACTCTTGTAGTGTGTGAGAGGAAGTCTGAAGACCTAAGTCAGCGTGGAAAACAGCGAAAGGAAAAGAGGACACCCAGATGTTGCAGTCTTGGCCTGCTGTTCTCCCTCACTCCCGTCTTTTTTTTTTGTCCAATAACAAGTGTGGGAAAATGTCTGTGTTATCAACAGTGCGTTTTGTTCGTCGGTCACATGACCTCAAAGCGATCACCACGTTGGCTCGGTGTCAAGATGATGTGGATGTTTTTCTCTCTGCTCATCTACTGTACACATAAATTTACTCCGTCTTTCCTTCCAGGCATTTTCGTGACGAGTCAGAGAGGTTCCTGCGTGACGTCTTGCTTCCTAACCTGGTGTGGCAAGCAGGCCGAACTTCCGCCGCCGTCCGCGCCTCTGCCCTCAGCTGCTTGCTGGCTCTGTTGCACGGAGGAGCCATCACGCCCGGACAGGTACTCGATGAAGTCATCCGCAAATCCATCTGACTCGCACAAAGAGTCATGACACAGTGTTTTATCTATCATAACTTGTGCAAAGGGACCCATAAGCGGATGTGAGAGCTCTCCAGTAGCACATGCTCCTGATCTCAGATCTGCAGAACCGCTTCTTATTGACTCAGCTGTAAAGGAAAAGATGTGGTAGCGCATACTTCCAATCCATCAGGAGACTTCAATTTCTCTGCTGCGTTCATTTCCCATCAAAACAGACAATCCCACTGGGCCTTTTAGGAAAATATATCATCCGCCATCTTTTCTCTCCTTGGCTGGAAGAGTTGGCCATGTCAGGTAGCAGGTGTACACGGGGGCAAGCGGGTTCACATACCTTTGTCCCAGAGGAACAATGCTTCGACTGTGCGGGACCCTTGTTATACGTAGGAACTATCCCCCCCTCCTGTCACGCCCTTGCACCTGCCTTTCTGATCCTTTGCCCAGTTGTTGTGTGCGCGCTGTCACACACGCACATCTGGCCATGTTTACGCTTGCGACCGTCCGAAATTGGCTCGCGCACACCTCTGCGATTCGCATGTCCTCCACGAGCAAACAGCTGGGAGTGTCTGTTTGTGCGATCGAACCCAAACACCTCACGAGTCGTGACAGTGTGACTCTGAGTTTGGGAGGAGGTAAACATGTGTTGATGGGGGCTGCATCAGAAGGGTTACGTAAGTGTGTTTCCACAAGCGAATCAAACAGGCCTTTATTTGGGAGGACATTGTTTCCTCTCCACTCCCTGTGAAAACAATTAGCAGCTCCAGTTACACTTTGCCACTGATGTAATGCCGGATCACTTCTCAGCCAATCTTTCCTTCTCTCTCCCTCCTTCCCCCCTCGACTTATTATCTTATTTTTGTTTCTTTTTGTACTGTTTGGCCTCCACGGTTTCGATAGCAAACAGACGGCATGACAGAGGTTTAAGCCATCACCTCTTGGCCCGTGGCTCAGCCTCACCTTGTCTGTCCATTTCCTCTGTTTCTCATCTGTGGGTGTGATGAAAACATCGCTTTTCACAAGACTCCTGCAGGTTGGCTCCGCGCCCGTGTGTCTGTTCAAACTGATCCAGACCTGATGTGAATCTGTCGTAGTTCAGGCAATATTTCACTGTGGTTAACTAAAAAAAAAACAACAGAAGTCTTTATGAATGTTGAGGAAAATATGGAATAACGCTCTCCAAGCTTTCCTCAACGTTTGTTTTTGTCCTCAGTATTCAGCCTTGTCTTTGTATCGCTGTAAGTAAGTGCGACTAAAGCACACAAGAGGTGTCGAAAATTAAAGTATGCAGTCTGAATAACACAGCCGCAAAAAAAGTCCCCTGAAGGATTAGATAATAGTCTCCGAAGAGAGTACATTTCTAGTTTATCGGCTGCGCAAAGCTGGAAAATTTTTTTGATATACAACAAAAAAACACAGCTTGAAATCTTTTCTCGAGACAGAGCTCAACGTGTAACCGGTAGTAAATGAGTTTTTTGCTTTTATATGTGCGCAGCTGCTGTGTATGGAGGAGAAGCTGCTCCCCCTGGTGTTGTCGGCTCTGGATGAAGACTCTCAGATGAGCAGACTGTTTGCTTGTCGTTCTCTGTCCGTCATAATCAAGCTCATAGGAACCGCTCTGCACCCCGAGGCTCTCAACAAGATCTACCCAGGTAATCACTCATGCATGGTAACACTTGTAGAAAACTTTGCACTTGGTTTGTCGTGACTTCACATTGTGTTCGGCTTTCCTCCTCAGAGCTGCTGAAGCGTCTGGATGACAGCAGCGAGGAGGTGCGAGGCGTCTCTCTCCAGGCCCTCGGACTCTGGATGTCGGGCCTGACCAAAGAGTACAACCCTGAGTTCTACTCTGCTCATCTGCAGCTTCTCTTCCAGCAGCTTCTCCTGCACCTGGACGACCCTGACAGCTCGGTGCAGGGGGACGTCCTCGGTGAGTCTTTCAGGCGCTTCAACCTGAAACCTGGAGGTGATAATAGCTCGTTGAACACATCCTGAGCCCTGATCCTGGAAACATATAGTGTCATAATAACCACTATAATGTTGAAATGAAGAAGATCTTTTATAATTTACTTTTAATGCTTTGCTGACAGGTAGGAAATGTGGGGATAACATTAACATAACATCCTTTAAACGATGATGTGACGTGAACCTAAAGACCTCTATTATCCGACCCACATGTTCAGACATTAAAACAGACGTTTGTGAGGATCTCCAGAGCGGTCTGCTGTGTCACAAACACTCACAGCGGGATGAGAGGAATTAGATGTTTCCTCTGCCTGGTCAGATCCAGATCCAGATCCAGATCCAGACCCCTCACAGGTTGATATGTGAGTTTCTGTTTTGGTGTAACTCCCCTTGTCAGTCCACCTGAGGGGGATTTGGCGGTTGCTGTGGCAGATCTCTGCCTCCCCACCTGTATTCTCTCACACCCTGAACAGCTCCAGCTAACAAAACCAACATGGGCATCTCTTCCCCTCACCACCTTTCTTCAACTGTCCTGCAACTCATCCGGCGTACTCCCTCCATCTTTCATCTCTCCGTCTACCTTCCTCCCCTCGTACCCGGTGTTTTCTGTAACAGTCTGTAGTAGCTTCACAGCTGTGTTTTATTGATGCATCAGTGGAAAGTCTGAGAACGATGTGCTCGGATCCTCTGGACTTTCACTCTCTCCCACTCTCGTAGATGTTAGCTGTCATTGCTTCTGACAGGAAGCAGGTGAGCGCTGATGCCTTAGCCAGCGCCATGAGGCCTCACTGAGGGTTCTCTCATCTTCGTATGTCCAGACATGAAGGGAAGATGAAATAAAAAAAAGAAGAGAAAGTATTTATGCTCACACCAGATGCAGCAATAGCTTCCATACCATGAATTCTACCCCTGCGAGACCACTTTTGAAAGGCGTCCAAGAACAAAAGGCAATTTTGTTGATGCCACTGGTTACGGGTGTCTGCGAAAGTGAGAGCAGGAGGTAGAATATCATACATACTGTACGTGTTTTGGACAATGCTAAACAGCTGGACAGTCGTTTCTATAAAACGAAGTGCATGAGCTTTTAACTACATCGAATATGAATAACCCCAAAACTAAAACATATCCTGTCCCCTTTGGAGAGGGGGATGTGGTGGTCCACCTTGAGTGGGTCACCATCGTCCCTGTTTCTATGGTTACCTCTTTGCACAGTTTTAACCTGCAGATGTGGATGGTGGTTTTGGGGTGTGATTTTGAGTCCATGCAGTGATTTCCACTTCAGAGTCATGTCTGTTTTTAAGTCATTCCTGGTTTTAAAGCCATTTTCCCTTCAGTACAGAGATTTTTCCTCATTCTCTAAATCTTTGGTGATTCTGCAGTCGGTGAAATCCTCAAATTCTCGACCACGTGGTGCCAAAAATCCTCCAGTGTCACACACAGAGTGGTTAACTTCTTCTCGTCTTCATTTCTAATTTCCTCCAAGCCTTTTTTTCTTTTTATCATGACACAACTTTTTTCGGTCTTTTGAGAAACCTGTTACCGGCATTTAACTAACACAGAGAATATATTTTCATTGAATGATAATATTGATTTGTTGCCTTAGTTTGCACCATTTTTAAAGGGATATTCCAACGTAAAATTAATTTAGGGTCAAACACACCGTAACACCGATTTAGACACCCCCTCCAGAGATGAATGTTGCCGACCACTTGCTTTGCTCTAGTTATACCAACTTTAGTAACGACCGCAGGATAGCAATACACAGCGGTCTGAGGAGCCATAAACAAACCTCAACCAAAACGCCACAAATAATGCTCAGAACAGCACCTAACTTCATCAACAGGACATATAGGGTCCCAGCCATAGTACTAGCCACCAAACATCTTTTTAACTTAACCTTATTTCTTTAGCAAAGAGACTAAACACAACTCACCTACTCTCTTCCAGCAGCCGCTTGTTTGTAGCAAGACCTCAGGCCAGTCCATTACGGACTACAGCGGGGTGACGCAGCTCAAGGAAGAACATTTACGATCATTTCTTCATGGAAATACAATCAGACCGAGACGCTAAAGCAGAAGAACTACAGCGTCTGTAAAATGATCAATATGGTGATTATTACTTCAAGGAAATGATGCAGGGGTATCTTATTAATGTTTATAAGCCTAAAAGACCACACACACAATGTTTCACTATTTTTGGCGCATGTAATTTAAAGATACAAGTTTGAGCCATTGTCTGCAGCCCAGATCCTTATGAAGTTACAGTGAATTCTTGGACAGCTCGGAGTCTCTTTGTGAAACAAGATGACCTCACATCTCGCTGAGTGATCGTCTGTATCTGACAGCACCTTCAACCGCCTGCACCACAAATGTGGAAGCATTCCTCACTCTCATGCACGGTGCTGTTTGAAGCTCCCCCCCCTCCACACCCCGTTCACTTTCTTCTTCTGCATCTCTGTCATAGTTAATCCCATTCTTATGCTTCTAGGATTTCAAAAGCATAACTGGGAAGTGTCTTGATGTCTGCAGCATGTCCTGACAGCATGACGGACAGCTCCTCTCATCCCTCCTCTTCTCTCCCTCTTCCTGTTCTCCACCCTGATAATCCCACCGTCCTGGCAGTGCGGCTGCTACCTGCTCAATCACACGGGCTGTTGGCACGGCGATAACTCACTTCTCACAACTCATCTTTGTTCTCCTTTAATTCACACTCCAGCTACCCCCGCTCCGCCTCTGCTCCAGATGAGTACAGTATACACAAAAGCTAAAATTCCCCTCCACCTCCATGGAGAACAAAGGCGAGTATCAGATGATGAGTTTACATGAGCGAACTTATCCGCTGTGATGGCGTGTCACCACTTTTTCTTTGCGGTTTACAAAGCATTTCCCACTGACAGCATTTCAAGTAATTCAATCCACCTCTGGAAATCAGCAGACAGTGTGGGAATGATGGGAGCGGAAGGTTTGAACGTACCTTTACTGCCTCCTGGTGGGAGAAAACAGCACATGGATCCTTTCTAAACCTTCATAGTTGATGTAAAGGTTCAAGAGTGCCATCTGCTGGTGGAGGGACTGCAGTTTTAATTTTGATGGAATATCTATCTGAAATATTTGTACTGTACAGACATGAGAGTTGTACCAATGTGCTTATTTGAACTAATCAATGTAGAGAAGTAGAAGAAGACGTCTTCTCTAACAGTGTTCACTCCTGATCTGTGTTGTGTCTGTTTCTGTGTGTCCAGAGGTCCTGAAGAAGTGCAGCTCGGTCCACCCTGCGCTCCTGAAGAAGGAGGTGGAGGCAGTACGAGACAAACAGCGGAGTCCTGCGCACTGTGACCAGCTGCTTCAGCACATCAGCTCACTGCAGATCGACCATCCCGAGTGACATAAACTAAAAAAACTAAAAAAAACCATCAGGGAATGAGCAGCGTGCCTTTAAAGACTCTCTAAAGGAAAATCTCTCCTCTATCTTTTGTCAGAGATGGTTTTATTCTGTATTTGTTCCTCGTGTTGCATTCCTTTAGTTCTGACATTTGACTTGAAAACAAATCCATTTATGAAGTTATATGTTATTCTTCACATGTTTTTGTTGCATACTCAGAATTTCTCATTTTCTGCAACCACCCATGCTTCCTGATGGAGTCATGTGGTTTACCTTCAAAATAAAAGCATGGTTTATTTGGTTTAAAACAAATATCATTAAAAATAAATCAAACGTTTTCATATTAAGACCATCTTTGAGTGCCTTATATGATGAGTATGATGATGTGGAGTGAAATGCAAAAGCCAGAATATCATTTCTACACATTTCCACTTTTGTATTTGAAAACAAAGCTGCTCAGTGTTTGTATATTTTTCCCAAATTTGACATCATTTAAACTACATGAGAAAAACTCTCTCTTTCTCTCCCTCACACGCTCTGCACAGTCACGAAGTCAGTAGTGTTGTTTCGTTCGCGAACGATTCTATCAAAAGAACCAAATCTTTTTAGTGAACTACTGAACCGAATCACTTCCTGGAGTGATTTTTTCATTTCTCACTTCAGTCGAGCTGAAGCGAGAAACAGCATTGCCAGGCCAGCAGCACTAACGCCTGAATCACTTCATGAATGAATCACGAATTGAACTACACTCTCTATAATCATTTTTGTTGGACACAACTATCTTACTACAAAATTGCCACCACAACAACTTGCATACAATTGGACACAACATGTAACAAGTAGCGCATTAAACCCGCTGCATCCTATCATTGCAGTGGTTTGCTGGGGTTCAGTGAACGCATCACTCACTGACCAAAATTTATTTACAAGTTCGTTTTTACAAACCTGTTCGCCAAAGCAACACAGCTAAACACTCGTGTCTCCCAGTTCCAGAAACTATGAATTGAACTGAATCCTGAACCGTTCAGCTGTGTATCAGTTCAGGAGGTCGGAGTCGCAGGCTTCTGAACGAATCTCTTGAACGAATCTTTTTAGTGAACTGATTCAAGTGATTCAGTACATCTAAAAGAACCGCCGTGCCCATGACTAGAAGTCAGACATCTGTGCGCCTCTTCCTCCGCTATGTAGTGCTGATAGCAGAGCTCCATCCATGCCATCCTTCCGCGCTGACTCTCTCTCATCCTCCGCCGCGATCGTGCCGTAGAAACCTCCCTTCGCCATGCTGCAGATGGGAGATGAGGGGCTGTATTTCTCCGCGGTGTTCCTGCTGGTGATGCTGGGGACGAGGAGCGCCGTAGGGGCCTCTCTCCTCACCGCATTCCTCTATGTCTTCATGGTGATGTTCCGCTTTCCTCCGGTGCCGGCGGACCAGGCCAGCCGCGTCCTCCGGCCCAGGGCTCTGTCAGGCGGCGTACCGGTGGTCGCGCACCGCGGGGGGAGCCACGACGCTCCGGAGAACACACTGGCAGCGATTAGAGAGGTGACATAAGCATCAGTTTTAATAATAATAATAATAATAATGATAGTAAAGACCCTCTCTAAGTATCTGTCACTCATGTTGGGTTATATTTAGATTCTGTCTGAGTAAGTGTATTACAGGGTTAAAAAAAAGAGTGTGTGTTACCGTAATTACATTAAAAATACTCTGTGCATGTCTAGACTTTTGCATTGTTAGAACCACATACTGTAGATTTAAGAGAATGATCTGTGAGCTAACTGCTGGCATTGACAGAGTACCAATCTGCTGCAGCTCCTGACACACATAATAACCTACATTTTACCCTTGGTCTAAACTGAGTATAGATAATACCATCTTCATAATTAACTTTATCATATCCAGATATATTTTTTCATATCATCTATTTCTTCACCTGCCTGTTTTTTTTTCTTCATGCAAATGCTACAGAGGATGCTGACTCAGCTGTGCTTGTACTCCTTTAATGCAGTAACTCCCCACATGCAGCTACTTTCTTCACCTTCAATCGAGTCCACGCTCAGTTCAATATCAGACCTTTTCTCACATGTATGAGGCCAAAATAGTAACACTTATATTTGTGCTGATTTTGTCTCATCCTTGTGTGTGTATTGTTTCTTTAGTGTGCATATACGGTGGCCAAGAACTGTCATTGCTGCAAATAAAAATAATGCAAAAAAAAGAAGTCACAACGGAAGTTACTGATGGAAAAAAAAAGAAACCGAAGCCTGCTGCAAATAATAATAGTGTCTAAAAAAACGGTGCAGATAAAAAAGTGGCAAGGCAAAAAAAAGTTACTTACTGCGAAAATCATAAAAGGATACAAAAAAAAAAAAAAAGCCACAACCGAAGTGAGCTGCTGGAGACCAATAATGATTATTTGCATCCTTTTTTTTCCGCAGCAAGTCATTTAAAAAAATTTTTTTTTATTTTGCATCGCCACTTTTTTGCATCGTTAATTTCCATTGTGGCTTTTTTTATTTGCATTCTTATATTTTTGCAGTAAGTAATGTTTTTTTGTATTTTTCCATCGGCACTTTTTTTTTTTTTGCATTATTTACTTCCGTTGTGCCTTTTTTTTTAATCTGCACCTTTGTTTTCTTTTTTTATTTGCAGCGGGCGTCGGTTTCCTTTTTTGTGTGTGTGCATCAGTATCTTCCACTGTAATTTTTTTTTTTTTTTTTTTTTTTTGCGTTCTTTTTTATTTGCAGCAGTGGTGGTTCTCGGCCAACGAATACATACCCCCTCACAGCAGTAGCAGCCATCGAAATAAAAAATATAGAGGTTATTAATCTTGTCCCTGATGGTCTCGTTTGCTCCCTGAAATCTTCACCTCTTTTAGCATCACTTTAGTCCGGTTCAGTTTGGTCCTCCTCATGTCAGTATCAGACACTTGGACCTCTACACGCCTCAAAGAAATCCGAATATATCGTCACTTTTAAACATGTACTCGCTGTTATTTAATACCAGCCATTTAAATTCTATATTTTCATGACACCGTCTTTTTCGTCCTCTCTTCTCTCTCTGTTCAGGCCAGTAGGAACGGGGCGACTGGGGTGGAGCTGGACCTGAGTTTCACCGCTGATGGCATACCCATTCTGATGCACGACGAGACTGTGGACCGCACCACCAATGGATCCGGACCGGTCAGCAAACTGCAGTTGGTTCAGCTGAAGAGACTTGATGCCGCTGCTCGACACAGACTGAAGTATGATTTTAATCTCAATTTCCTCCATTCAGCAAATCTATGTTTGAATAAAATCTATGTTTACTTTATGAGTGAAATCCTGACACGGTTTCCTCTGCTCCAGGGACAAGTTCAGCGTAGAGAGGGTCCCAACTCTGCAGGAGGCGGTGCAGGAGTGCATCAAACACCAGCTGACCATCTTTTTTGATGTCAAAGAGCAACCTGATAAGGTACTGCATATATACTAACTCCACAATGGAGGGAGACGGGCCTTTATAAACAGCATATACACTCATAGGTGAAGGATGAGGGAATCATTTCTACAAAATAACTTGTTTATTTTGAGTCGTCTGTCTCTTTTCAGGCAGCGTCAGTTCTCCATGAGTTGTATAAGAAGTTTCCCGTCCTTTACAACTCCAGCATTGTTACTTCCTTTGAACCCAAAGTTATCTACAAGGTAACAAAACATGAATGTGACAGTTTGACCAAGAATAGATTCGTATGATGTATATATGTGAAAGTATTTTACATTTTCTTTAAGCTGAATAAAGTTTAACCACGTCTGACTAACAGACAAATCCTCGGTCTACTTCTGACAATGCCTTTTGCTGACCTTTAACCCCTTCTCGTCCTCAGATGAGACAGACCGACCCTAACGTGGTCACGGCTCTAACCCACCGGCCCTGGAGACTGAGCCGCTTTGGCGACGGCACTCCTCGGAGCCTGTCCACTTGGGGTCAGCTGTGGACGGGGGTTCTGGACATCTTGTTGGACTGGGCTCATCATCACATACTGTGGAAACTGTGTGGAGTCTCCGCCATCCTCGTACAGAAAGACTTCATGTCTCTGTAGGTGATATTGAATTTTCTTTATTGTTTGAATGCACCGTTGAAAAGTAGATGTAAAGAGGATAAAAGCTATTTTGTATGTACACCACAAAAAAGATGCTTCTTTAACAGAATCCTGCCTACCTCATCTTTAACAGTCAATTATTTTTGATTATCCTGCTCTTTCGACACTTATTTTGATCTTCTCTCCTGTAGGGACTACGTTCAGTTCTGGGCAGAGCGAGGCGTGGAGGTGGTGGGCTGGACCGTCAACACCGCCGTAGAGAAAGACTTCTACCAAAACCTGCTGAAGATCGGCTACATCACCGACAGCCTGCTGGAGGACTGTGAATCTCATTACTGAACTATCACACACACACACACTTAACTAATAAAGACACTGTAGGAACCAGGGTGTACATGAAATCTCAGAGATCTTCTTTCAACCTAAAGGGACTTTTATAAGGTGGTAAAACCTTTTATAAGGACAGCGACTTTGGGGGCGGGACTTGCTGCAGTGATTATTTCTAATTGGCCATAACTCAGACAACTCTTTGCAGGTCTAAAGCTGGTTGGAGGAACCTTTTATCCTTCTGGAAAGTAGCACCAGGAACCAAGAGTTCTTGTTTCTCTCGGTGGAGATGTGGCTTTAACCTCTCGTCTTTGAGACCTGCCCTGACTCCAAACCACTGACCCCAAAATAACTTTTTTCCCTCCTAATTGGGGGCTCAGCTTTTGTCCCATAATGAACGAGCCAGCCCCTATTAAGTCTGAAACGTGTCCCTTAATTATGGACTTAATTATAAACTGTCCTGAAACACAGTCAAACTCGTAAAAAGGACATAAAATATACAAGAATGCTCAAAATATCAGTTGTCTGTGATGAAATGCAAGTTTTAAAACGCCATGAATACAAAAACTTATTCAAAGTTCTTTCAAACTTTGTGAGATACTAAAATATGTGGATGAAGTTGATATTAAGGTGAAAAGATGTGGTGCTCATTAGTCCAGTAACCTCGTACCTGACTGATAAACTGTAGAGGGATGGTCGTCGATCATCACCTGTAGCTGGCATACAGGTGATGCAGGGAGGCTCACTTTAAATAACAGACACTTTAAACCTTAATGATCTGTCTCTATACATTCATGTCCTCATCTTATTCCAGCAGCTATACCTCCGTCTGACCTGGAACAGGGATTAGGATTACACTACCTTAAAGATCTTTTCTACCTTCAGAGCGTTGATGCACCTTTAAAGGAGACAACAGTGTGTATACGTGTAAAATCAGATTTACCGGCATCATAACAATGCCTGCTATTAATCTTTATTTATATTACTACTAACTAAAAAGGGTATTTTGTAAATATTCTGCAGCTTGATATGATGATTGTTAAATTGCGATCGCTTTGGTGGTGTCTGCGGGGAATTGAAATTCTGTAAAATAATGAGATTATCTGAAGAGTTTAATCCTGAGGGGACAGCGAACCTGAATGATTTCTCTGTGTGTGTGTGCAGTATAAGGCAGAGACAATCTCAAATAATCCCATAACACAAAGGAAGAACTTTATTTTAATGCTAGCCTGTGAGAAATATTTGATGACAGTTCTGCATTTGTTTACATGGCATATGATAAATTAACAGTGTATTCGTTTTCCAACATCTTTTGTTTGCTTTAACAAACAGAATAAAATGGAGATGACTCTTGAGACCTAAACTCCTCCTGCAGCAGATTCCAAGCTGTGTGAGCGGGAGGCCTGATACCTCTTCTCCTTATTTAAAATGAACTCTAGGAACTGAAACCAGATTTTATTTATTAATCTGCAACTTTGGTTTTAAAGCTCTCAGATAAATCCTTGGATACGACACAGCTGATGTAGAGTTTTATCAACGTCTTTCTGAACATTTCTCTTCGCCTTGGTGAGCTGAATGTGTTACCTTCAAATCCTTTTCAGTGAAATCTCATAACACAACAGTAGGGGATATCCAACAACTCATCATCATTTATGCATGAATTAATGTATAATTTAATCCTGTTACTTGACGTTAGCTGGTGATAAAGTCATTATGACTTTTATTATCATTTATAGAGCCAGGATTTATAATTATGTCACATATATAAGTTGAAGTTAGAGCATTTTATATCAACTTGAAATGCTGAATAAAACTGTCTGAAAATGATGATATAGTTTCCACACTCCTTTCATCAGTTTGTAATTATTCAACTTTGATATATTCAACATTATACAGAAGATATCAAACTTCAGCACAAACAAAACAACCATATTGATCACAATTACACTAGATACGCATATATATTCACACAGAGCCCAACTCATAAACATAACAGCACAGTGCTCAACACTAAAACAGTGTCTATAAAAGAATATATGATAATATACCAATATATACACACATGTACCTGCACATATATACATACACACATAAGTCATCATCTCCTCACATGTCATACACATCTATTCCCTCTTATATAATTCAGAAAATGGTCCCAGACCTGCTTAAATTTCTCTTTGTTATCATTCAACCTTGCTACCATTAGTGGGGTAAGTTGACCATAGGAGACCACTTTTATCAAGACAGTTCTGTTTACACTCACTCTGTTGGTTTGCAGGGATGAACAACATCTTGAAATATATGCAGATACACTAGTTAGAGACAAAACTATGATTGCCTTGATGTAGTGATCTGAAATATGAAAAATGGCTCATCTTACCCCACTCTCCCCTACTTATAAACTACTGAACACTTTTTTTTCAATCAGCAAACTTTGTTCACATAAAGATTGTTTCATATGATTGCATTGTGCACATGAGCCCACTTGTGTGTGCTGTAAACACAGAGGCGTTAGAGCTGATAGGGGCAGACACATGACTCTTTGTATAAACTGTCTCAACACAAATGGAGCTCACCTGACAGAGTTATGTGTTTCTTCCATTATGAAAGAAGTCCTGCCTTTAGTCAAATTGAACTCTTTGAGAGCATTTTTCTCTATTCTTTGATTCTGGATGTAAAGTGGGGTAATGACCCAGTTCTTTAAATCTTATGAGAGCTGTCAGGGTTCCCTCACAGTCCTGGGACACTGTCTCTTTAAAGCGCCAAGGGAGGCGTGTAAGGGACGTCGAGCAGTGCTGCGCTCTGACGGTGCGCGTACAATGTCTTATGAATGACAGCCGCCGTTTCGGGTTATGTGACATTGTGGTAGTGCAGGGACACCTTAGCACCAAAGTGACTTAACTGCCCGGGCTTTGGAGGCAGGTGACATAGAGGGGAGGTTCACTGGAGGAGATGCGCACACGCTGCTGCTTTTACGCGGAGAGGAGCGAGACGCACGACTTTGTTTTCTGAAACGTTACCCAGCAAGCTGCGTGTGAACCGGTGTTGGCTCCAAACTTGCACCCTGTGACTGTGAGCGAGATCCAGATCGATCAGCTGACAGGAGGACCAGCATTTCTCGCGTTAGGAGAAACTATATTCTTACTCATCTACAGATCCTGTGGCGGATGCGTTTCGCTCCAAGTGCCTCCTCTGCGCAAAGAAGGCCTGCTTCACTTGTTTGCGCTGCGACTGGACTTACGTCTTTCCCGAAGTGCCAAAAAAAAGTTATCAGGTGACTTTTCCTGCACATTATGTACACTATTACAAGAGGTCCCAGCAAACTGGTCACCCAGAGAAGAACAGGTGAGGCAACTCAGGGGACGCACTTTGCAGAAATCTAGCAGAGATCTTTGCTGAGGAAGAGTCACATTTCTGTCTTTCTCCTGTGTTAGGGCCCACTCAGCAGCTTGACAACAAAATCAACGACTTCAAGCACAAACAGACGTCCTGGAACATGCCTGAGTGAGTGAAACACAGCTCCTGTTAATGTAAAACCCCCTCACTTCTGTGCTTTTGAAACCTCTTGTTTGTTTGGCTCAGTTTCGCAGAGATAAGACACACTTTTTCCTGAGCTGTTGTGTTGGTTAAAGTGGGTTAGTGGATGACAATGTCCTGGCAGCAGTGTGGACGTCATCAGCTTGAGACAGGCAGCCTTTAAAAGCCTGGATGATTTACAGCACTCCTTCACACTCTGACTTTCCCAAGGTTCATTTCGCCTGCTGTGCTTTTTTAATGCCTTTAAAACGAGCCCTGATCTCTCTGTGTGGGAATGACCTTGTGGAAAAAGAAGGTGGCACATGTTCCTCCTCTCAGCTGTTGCTCCCTCCAACACAAACAGCTCTGCTTCAGTTCTGAGTGTTCATATTGTAAACTTCTTATGACATGTTTTTTTTTCTCTCTTTTTCTGTGCAAAGTCTTCCTGCGCCCAAGATCGTTTTCAACCGCCTGAACGGTAAGAAGTACCATCAACCCGCTCCGGCTCTCAACGCGGACACCCAGCAGGAAGAGAGCTCCACCGCCGCGCACGAGGAGAACGTCAAATTCATCTACGAGGGTGAGGAAACCGACGGCACAGACGCCCGGCCCCTCGCCAGCTGTTTTGTGAATGACATTGTCTCACTATCACAAGTTTGGCGACCACCACTCCTCATTCCCAGGCCTCAGCCGCACAGCTGCTCTGACACTGATAGCCAAGATAGGCACCTAGCTGAGAAACGCTCTCACACCCACATATCAGGCTCCTCGTGGAGGAAACTTTGGGGGGGAAAGACTCAGGGGAGTGGAGTGGATGGAAGGTTCTGTCGGGGTCCAGGTGAAACTCTACCCACTGACCCAGATTCAGAGTTTGTGTGCAGCTCTTTTACCTCTTTTGCCCCTCTGTTTTCTCTCTCTGTGTGGTAAAACTCAACCAGCAGAACCTCATAAACAATGTCAGTAACCTTGTGAGGACAAGGACACAAAGAAGGCCCAATCCTCCCCCTCACACACACACACACACACACACACGACCTCCCCCCTCAGGGTCCCTTTGACTCCTTCTGAAAAAAACAAAAACTCAGCCCAAATTATAAACAGGATTACTTTCCTTAAAGACACGATTAACCGGCAGATAAAATCAGTTCGAGTCCGCACAAACACGCCGCATGTGACCGATCCATATGCTGCGTTATTAGACAGACAAGCGTGCAGCAGGAGCGGCGGGCGGTCTTTGAAGCAGCCGCCCTCGTGGACTTCACTTCTGGGTGTGACATTAGAGGTGCGGGGCCTCTTTTAACTCGAGCTGATAAGGTTTTTAGCTATGAGCTGTTAATTGCATCTTTATGACCGTTTTCTCATGTGGAGCTCTTATTGTGTTTGGATGCATTTTATCACAGTAAAGGCAGCCTTACACTTGATTAGAGGGGTAATAAAATACGTTAGAGACATGCAGGAAATGCTCAATTTAACTCCCTGAATATTTGAAGTAATCTGTTTCCAGGGATTATTGGATTAATGGTCTAAAAAGTACAGAAAGAGCAGGAAATCTCTACAGCCTGGAGGGATTTTCATCGGGCAACAAGTCCCCTACATTTGCTCCGGTCCCTGGCGACCCTTCTTGCTTTATGCCAGCTGACTCCCATCTCGCTCAGGTCTTCCTTGGCTGTTTGTCTCCATGTCTTCTTTGGCCTCCCTCTCCTTGCCAACCTCGGAGTCCATGTCCGGTCATTCTCTTTCTCCTGTCAGAGACGATGTCAGACAAGGGTGCTACACCTGCCCTTCTCATCACCTCTTCATTGATGCTGGTTGTCTTCGTCCACGTCTCACCGGCTTAGGTCGCTGTAGGGATGACCACTGACATATGGAGTCGTTGGGAGACTCCTGCAGCTTTGCCATGTCTGGTCTGTACGTCTTTCTCTACGTCCAGTATTTGAGATGTTGCTTCCGAGGTTCTCGACGTACTCTATGACTTGTTCGCCTAGGGTGAGTGGTGGAAGGTGTTGATGTTGTGCGATGGTCATGACCTTGGTCTTTTCTTGGCTTATACGTAGACCGACTTTTGCTCCTTGCTCATGCAGGTTGTCAATTCTTGGAGTGCAACGTGGGTATATGCAAATCGGTCACGATGTCAAGGTCATCGGTTGTGCCGTTGGTGGTTTTTACTCGGCAAGTGGAGTTGTGATACAGGGCCCTGAAGATTTTGACATACTTGGGTGGTATAGCGTGTAGTTGGATAATATGCCACAGTGATTCCCGGTGGATGTGTGCAAACCTGAAACATCAGATTTACAAAAACAGATTTAGGTGGTTTGCAAATAATGCATCACCTCTTCTTTTAAAAGGTCTTGGGAGCTGAAGAGAGCGGCGCCGGGGTTTCGACAGTAAAACGCCCCGATTTCAGCTGCTCAACAGTTCAGTGTCTCCTTTGTGACGTGATACACATAAACCACAGGAGGGTTTAACGCTTCACCTCAGTCCATCTTAAATGGTCCAGAAAGGATGCAGATGTTGCTAAATTATCTCACAAACATGTCTTTTTAGCGGGATTTTGAGCCCATGCAGTGAATTCCACTACAGAGTTATGCCTATTTTTCATGCAGTGCCTCTAAAGAGTCAGAGTATGTCACACAGAACATCTAGTCAATCTTAAAGTCCAGAGGCTTGAACCAGATTTATTGTCACACACAAAAACAGGTCAGTAAAGTAAAAGCATGTTTTGACTGTGTCCCTGTCTCTCCAGCCTGGCAGGAGGTGTTGCAGCAGGAGCAGGTTCCAGATGAGGCCCAGGGAGCAGTCCTCTACAGAGAAACCACTCCAAGCCCACACATGGACAGTAAGAACAGCCTCTATGTGGCGTTTTATCTTCTCTCAGCTGCCTGTGCCTCTGTAGCATCCATCTGCACATAACAGGCTGAAAATCAGGCATATTATTACTGCAAAAAAAGTCTCTTTTCAAGCCTAAACATGCAGGATATATCGCTGAATAAAGGTCTCCAGGGTCTATCCGAGGTCTAAAAACTGCAGCCTGGACAGTAGTTTGTCTGGGTTTGTATCAGCCAGCCAACTAAAGATTAGTGGACCTGCCTCTGATCCTTCCAGCTGGCAGGAAATGAGAGGCCTTCTCTCTTCTTGTAGTCTAAATTAGATGGGCCAACTCCACTGGCACAGTTAGGAATGCTCAGCTGATAAATAGCATCCACAGTGTAAAGCAAACCTTTTCCCCTGCATATTTTTACCATAATAATTATTTAATTGATGTGAATAAACTTCACTGGAGTAATACATTTTTTCATCACAGTATACAGAAATAGTCATATTAAGCAGTGTGCCGGCTGTGAGTGCAGCTCCGTCTAATGACTGAAGACCCTCTGAGGTCACGAACCAGAGCATGTAGCTGATGTAGTTGACGCGTATTTCCATAATAAAACACCAAAGTTGTCGATCATTCCCTTCTTGAATTTACTTGGACGTTTACTTTGCATAACTAAACGATACTTTTTACAAATAATTAGGACAAAATCAAGACCCGATGTAAACACGGTCAAAAACTGTTGTACTCTTAAAGACCCACAGACCAGCAGGTCTCACATGTCTCGTCCAATAGGAGAGCTGCAGTAGTAATCGGCTACTTAAAAGTAAAACTATACAACTGTTCAGTCTCTCAGAATTCTGATCAGGATAAATAACAAAAATTATTGATTATCTGTCAAATTTTCAGTCGTGCACAAATGGCTCTAACACTGGCCAAACATCTTAATCTGAATGTACAATAAAATAACATTTTTATTCTGACATTAAAAGCAATACAAGAAAATATATGCAAAACAATTATAATCATTAACCTTTTCATGTTATAAGAACGATCAAAAAATAATTGGTATTTTAATAATTTATATTTATGGTTCGTTTTCTGTTATTTCAAAAATTAAATTAAAAAAAGTCAAAACTCATATGATACGTATTTATAGCTAATTTGTTTTATTTTGAAAATATTTACCGGAAATACAATTCTTTTCCGAGACGTTATTGACATTATCTTTACATGCAGTGTATTGCAGTTCCTTAGCTTGTCCACTAGAGGGCTGTATAAACTCAGGTTTGATAACGTGACAAAGTTCTTAAGTAAATAAAGAGATATTTTATAAGGTGTTTACATGTGTTACTGTAACTACGGCGATTAAAGCCAAGCGTTTATTGTTAGTCGATGCTAATTTGCGTCTAATTGCTTTAGTTTGTTCATAGGTAGCAATGCTAACGTAGAAGGCTGTATGAATTCGGGTTTGTATTTAAAAAGGATAACGTGACCAATTAAGTGAAGTGATGTTTTAGAGGGCGTTTACATGTGTTTCTGTAATGACGGCGATTAAAGCCAAGTGTTCATTGATAGTTAACGTTATTAACGGCAAAAAATATATATACATCGCGTGAGTGAGCGTGAGAGTAAAAACACCAGCCAACCGCATATAATAACGACCACTCCACTGAGCTGTTTTTCTGTACTTACATAAAGTTTTAACTCGAATTCTTCCTGCTCCGTTTAACCCTCTTTAGATATTCTTTATTTCTTCACGTAATTTTCCTCTTTTCTTCTATTTTCTCCAGACTTTGTGCCCATTGATCTGGATGAATGGTGGGCGCAGCGTTTCCTCGCCAACATTGACAAGCTCTCCTGACACTCTCCTGGGACGTGTGGATCTTGACGGACGGTCAGGAGGTGAGACCTGAAGCAGGTTAGCTCACAGAGAAGAGGAATCCTTTGCAGGAGGTGTGATGGGTCAAAACGGCCTGATGTGATTCGAAACGGACAAGACGGCGCTGGGACGCTGACAGAGAAAAAACCCTGAGAATCACTTCACTAAAACTCTTTGAACCATCCGTCTCAAAAGTCCTCAGTCTCTACTAGACAGCGCACTGGAGGAGGAGCTTTGAGGTTCAGGTTACTCTCATCTTCTACCCTCTCAGCTGAGATGTCATGCTAATTTGAAATGCAGTAAAGTATTTTCAAGAAAGTTTGGATCTTTTTGCATCTTTAATCGTCACAGAAATGGGTTGTTGAAGAGCGCACACAGCTCCATGAATCCAGTATATCTTACAGTATATCCCCGGTTTCGGGTACTTTCTTTTCACAGATTTCAAAAGTTAACAAAAAGCATTTACGCGGGAAAACAATGCAATCTTTCAAGGGCGCGTACAAACACAAAGGGAGCAATTAATCAATGCACCGTCTTTGCTTTTCTGCTTCATGTCTATGTCCGGTTGTGAAAGCAGGAGGAGAAATCCAGAAAACTGTCACTGTAACATGGGAGGTGTAATCGGGACTACCTTCTGATAGGCACATATCCTCTGATCAAGGTTTGAAAACAGCTGAACACCGAGTTTAAAGACATGTAAGTGCAAGAGAAGAAGCTGTCAGCAGTTCATCTTCACGCCCTCTGAGCTTCGTAAGCCTTTGTATCCTCTCCAAACAGGGTGATGAAGGTTTCCAGAGGGGGGAAGCGATGTGGTCTGGTGGCTTCGGATGAACAGAGGCCTGCCTTTCTTTTCACAAATGGCCTTCTAAGTCCCTCTGCTGCTGCTGCAAAAACACCAAGTCTGCAGGCCGCCGTCATCCGAACACAGTCTGTCTGTTCATGTCTGTTCGAGCTGTCAGTGCTTCTCCAGAGCTTTAGTCAGCAGATCATTCAGACGGGAGATCATGGGTCGGGGATCGTCGTTCAGGCCTGCCGTGATCATGGCGTTGTCGTAGATCTGGAAAAAATAACGAGGGAAGACGCTGGTGCTTAAAGGGATATTCTGGTGTCAAATTAATAAAGGGTCAAACACACCGTAACACCGAGTTAGACACACCGCCGAGAGATGAATGTTGCCGAATCGGACTGAGACGCTAAGGCAGAAGTGCAAAATGATTATTATGGTGATTATTACTTCGAGGAAATGACAAAGAAATGATCATAAATGTTCTTCCTTGAGCTGCGACACCCCGCTGTAGTCCGTAATGGACTGGCCCGAGGTCTCGCTACAAACATGTGGCTGTTGGAAGAGAGTAGGTGAGTTGTGTTTAGTCTCTTTGCCAAAGAAATTGGGTTAAGTTAAAAAGATGTTTGGTGGCTGGGACCCTATATGTCCTGTTGATGAAGTTAGGTGCTGTTCTGAGCATTTTTTGTGGCGTTTTGGTTGAGGTTTGTTTATGGCTCCTCAGACTGCTGTGTATTGCTATCGTGCGGTCGTTACTGAAGTTGGTATAACTAGAGAAGCAAACAGTCGGTAACATTCATCTCTCGAGGGGGTGTCTAACTCTAACTCTCTAAATTAATTTTATGCCGGAATATCCCTTTAAAGCCTGAGGAGTCTTTTAATTTGAGGATGATTCAATTCAACCGTTAACCCTCAATTTACTTTCATTACGTTGCTTAAAAAAACTCCCCGCTGCATCGGATTAGCGACGGCGGTCATTAGACTCATGTTACCTGTTCCAGCAGCAGTCCAGCCAGTCCAGAGTCTGAGTCCTTGAGCGCGTGCAGCTTCTTGATCAGATCGTGTCTATGAGGCGGCAGGAGAGGTACAAACTGGTTAAAAGAGAACATAACAAAAAAACAAAACTGACCTTTAATCCACCTGAAATCTGTTTCTCACCCTGCGTTGATCTCCAGAGTGGGCTGCAGAATCTGAGCTCTCTCCTCAGGGGTGCGAGCCAGCTGCTGCGTGCGGAGGAAGTGGCGTGCGGCACCCATCTCCAGCACTGTGATCATGGCGGGGTGGGTGTCCAGGCGGGGAGTCAGCTAAGCATCAGAAAGAGAGTGTGTTACGTGATGTGTCCGTCCTTCGGGGAAATCTGCATTAAACATGAAGCCGGTCGTACCTTAATGTTTGTAACCCGGGGGCCCAAAGCGTTCTTCATCCAGGATATGAGGTCATCGGCCTGCTCTTGAGTCAGACGCTCGGAGGCTGCAGAGAAGAAGAGACGACAAACACAGAGTCAGGACGGAGGGCTGCGATAAGCTGCAGAGCCGAGCTTTAAACACCGGTGTGTGAGAGGAGCGGACCCGGCTTGATGTCCTCGAATTTCTCCTCCTTGTAGTGATCGACCACGATGTCCGTCTCCACTGAGATCATCTTCTTCTTGTCGAACTCTCGGAGGTGGAGCAGAGTGAGCTCATCGAACTGCTCGTAGCAGAACAGCACCTGCACAAACGAGGGGGAACAAACTTTAAACCATAAATACGATGGCTGACGCAGGAGAAAAACGTTTCCCTTCATCGCCGCTTCCCTCTCACCTCCATGTCTTTCTGTTTCATGGCCTCGTAGTAAGGGGAGTGCTCTGCGAGGTGGCGGTTTGGGGCGCACAGGTAGTAAATGTTGCGCGTCCCGGCCTTCATACGTGAGGCGTACTCCATCAGGTTGGTGTGCTGTCCCGCTGGCAGAGCGGAGGACTCGAACCTCAACAGCTTAGCGATGTCCTCCTGCACAGACGACACAGAGGATGAAAAGGTGATCTCAGAATCAGATCATTGACACTGATTTGAATGCAGACTAAGGCTGCACGATATTGGAAAAAAATAATATTGCGATTTTTTCAACCCTGCGATATATATTGCGATATTAAAAATACAGTATTTTCACCAGATGACCTGAATAGCACTTAATGTTATGCTGCACTGCTGAAATCTTGAGGACAGTTAATCTGCTCTGATCTTACCTCTTTTTGTGAATGTTAGTAGAACGGCTTCTGTCTGTCTCAGAGATATTTTTAGCTTTTATTGTGCTGGGACGTTATTGTGGCAACAGATGAACACAGAAGACGTGTTTTGGTCGACATCATCCTTCTTTTAACCGAAATAATTCCAGATAATTGACTTCATTTTCGGTGGTTTTCGCTTGTTCGTTGTTCATTTTGCGATCGTTGTTGTTGTTGTTAGCGGTGTTGTACCGAGAAACGCATGTCCTCCGAGAATTGCATGCACCTCGCAAAACGCGCACTGCTTATAGTAGAGTGGTCCACGGAAATGTACAATTTAAAACCCATACAGTTCTTATTTGTTGGGCTTAATAGTCATGAGTAAAGTTCCGAAAGTAATTCTCAGCGGACACACGTCTCCCTCCATGTGCAGAACATGTGCAGGGGTGGGTTTTCTCCTCCCTGATTTTGATTGACAGCTGGCAGGGTAGTCTGATTGGCAACTGAGAAGTGAGTCTGATTGGCAACTGAGTTAAGGACGAAGGCGATTGGTGGATCGCTGCACAGCACATGCAGAGTCACATGCAGTGTTTCTCAGTCGGTTACCCTTGAAATTAAATGAGTTCATTCACCTCCAATATCGCAGGCTCTGCGATGTGACTATCGCACACACGTACATCGCGATGACGATAGTCAAACGATATATCGTTCAGGCCTAATGCAGACTGTAATTAAAGGGGACGGGTCACCTTCACGTCCTGATCGTGCGTGGTGACGATGCCCTCCCTCATGAAGAGGCCGTAGTCCTCGAAGAACTTGCTGTACTTCTCCGGCTCCTTCCTGCTCTGGTCCAGCAGGAAGCGGATTATCCTCTGCTGTAAAACGTCACTCAGCTTCCTGAAGACAGAGGCGGGGGTTAAAGATATTCACCCGATCGATATCAGGAAATAAAGGAGCGAGTTCAACCGTTAAAGAGAGATAACAGGGTGATGAGCTTGTGTCGTACCTGATGAGGGCGCTCTCCTGCAGCAGCTCTCGGCTCAGATTCAGAGGGATGTCCTCGCTGTCCACCACACCTGCAACAAGAAAATACATCAAACTGAAAGTCTTCCTTCCTTCTTACTCATGCAAACCTCGTTTTATGAATTTAGAGTGACTCGGACCTCGGAGGAAGCGCAGCCACTTGGGCAGAATGTCGGCGGCTTTGGTCTGGATCAAGACTTTCCTGCTGTACAGAGCAACACTGGATCCCATCTCCCTGCTCACGTCAAACATGCTCGGCTTCTGTTGGAAAAATGGGATCAACTTAGTAAGAAAATAATATATCTCCTGAGATTACAACAAGAGAGAATAACACGACTTAAGTGCATTTCTCACCGTTTCAGGGACATAAAAGATGCTCCGGATGTTGAGCGGGGCGTCTGCGCGGTAGTGCAGCGTGTAGCGGGGCCTGTCGTAGGCCTGGGCGACGTATCTGTAGAACTCCTCGTGCTGCCAGTCGCTGATCTCTTTCGGCTCCATCATCCACAGAGCCTGAGCAGAGACACATGACGAACAGAAATCACTTTTTAAAAAGTTCAAACGCAAACATGAATCCGTTTAAACCGTCATGGAGTTCTTTTACAGACGGACTGACCTGCAGAGTGTTGAGCCGCCGTCCGTTCAGGAATATGGGGAAGCTGACAAAGTTGCTGTACTTTGTAACAACCTCTGAAAGACACACAGAACCGTACAGTCATACGCAGGGAAACCTTCATGAGTGTCACCTTAAAGGGATATTCCAGCGTGAAATTAATTTAGGGTCAAACACACCGTAACACCGAGTTAGACACCCCCTCGAGAGATGAATGTTGCCGACCGCTTTCTTCAACTTAAGTAACAACCGCAGGATAGCAATACAATAGCGGGGTGACGCAGCTCAAGGAAGAACATTTATGATCATTTTTTCATGGAAATACAATCAGATGCTGATGCTAAGATGCTAAGGCAGAAAAACTACCGCCTCTCTAGTGCAAAATGATTAATATGATGATTGTTACTTCAAGGAAATGATAAAGAAATGATCATAAATGTTGTTCCTTGAGCTGTGGCACCCCGCTGTTGTCTGTAATGGACTGGCCTGCTGGAAGAGAGTAGGTGAGTTGTGTTTAGGTAAAGTTAAAAAGATGTTTGGTGGCTAGTACTATGGCTGGGACCCTATATGTCCTGTTGATGAAGTTGGGTGCTGTTCTGAGCATTATTTGTGGCTATGTGGCGTTTTGGGTGAGGTTTGTTTATGGCTCCTCAGACTGCTGTGTATCGCTATTGTGCGGTTGTTACTAAAGTTGGTATAACTAGAGAAGCAAGCAGTCGGCAACATTCATCTCTCAAGGGGGTGTCTACCTCTGTGTGTTTGACCCTAAATTAATTTTAACCCAGAATATCCCTTTAAAGCGGTCAGACTTCAGCACTCATACCTTTGACTCGGTCCTCAGTGGAAAACTCCTTGCAGTCGTCTTTCAGGTGCAGAACAATCTTTGTTCCTTGCTGGACACCGCTGGCTTCAGCGATCTCAAAAACTCCAGAGCTGAAGGAGACAAAGATGGAGAACATTTCAGCATCACGTTACAAAAAGTCTTTATCAAATTTAATTTAATTTCTGCAGCGCTACATCTCTCTCACCCATCTGAGGACCACTTGTATCCGGGTGCATCAGGCTCAGCAGCCCGGGAGTAGACATCGACACGGTCAGCCACCATGAAGGCCGAGTAGAATCCCACTCCAAACTGGCCGATGATGGTGCTGCTGGCCTCAGCCTGGTTCTGCAGGGCATCCAGAAATGCCTACGAAGCAGGAACAGTCAGTGTCAGACAAATCTAGTGAATTAATGATGTACATCTGAATGCAGGACAAGGCTTGAAAGAGAGTTTCTCACCTTGGATCCAGAGCGTGCAATAGTACCCAGGTTGGCCACCAGCTCTTCCTGATTCATCCCCACTCCTGTGTCCTGTCAGAGCAGACGGTAAACTGTTATACAATATTCATCCACAAGGCGGCACTGTTATGCAAAAAAACATCAACACACACAAGCGCAGAGGACGCCTTTTTTTCTACTGCAGCAATCTGGTCCTGTGACAAACCAGCTACAAGGATGACATTTAAAGAGTTCTATCAATCTCTGCATTTATATTTTTCTAACAAAAGATCGAACATTACACTTTGTTTCAGCTGTGGAAAGAGCGGTTATTAAAAACTTTGATAGCAGATCTTCGTCAGAGTTATACCTGGATGGTGAAGGTGCCCTTCGCGCCGTCGGTTTGAAGGTGGATCTCCATCGGAGCCGTCTCGCCACTTGCTGCCAACAGTTTGTGGCGGAGTTTTTCCAGAGCGTCACTGCCGTTTGAGATCAGCTCTCTGATGAACACCTGTGTGGACGTGGAGGAAGACGAGGAGGCAGCAAATCAGCCAAAATACACAATTTAAAAGGTCAGGAAACTGTCACGAGGAACAAACCCGCTCACCTCCTTCTCAGAGTACAAAGACCTGGCGACAATGTCCAGAAGTTTTTTTGTCTCTGCCTGAAATTCATGTTTGGCGAAGGTGCCTGTGTGGGATCAAAGGTTAAACAAAGGTCAGATTATCTGTACAGAGTTTGTTTGGTAACATCTCAGGAGACTTATGTCTGCAGCTTTAGCAGCACCTTGTACAGACTCTGTATCACTGATGATGGTGTGAAGAGGCTCCTCCTCAGGCTCTTTTTCAGCTTCCTGGGTGCTGTAGAAAGACTGCTGGCTGAAGCCGAGGCAGGATCTCTGCGAGCTCCAAACTCTGGGCCGACTGCTCCACCTCTGCTGCTGCTGCTGAGCGACCGCCAAACCTGAACACAGGAGGAGTTATGTGGTTAGGCTACTTTGAAAGTCCAAAAGGATTATACTGATTTTAGAGGAACAACTTCAAATCAACTTTTAATTTACAGCTGAAAGTTACTGGGATGCTTTCTGCAACCACCTCAGAAATTGACCCCTAAGTTTGGTCTCCAGATGCCATCGTTTGAAAGAATCTACTTATATATAAGAATAGTTAATTAGACGTTTTATTGCATTTTATTAATTTTATTTCAGTCTAGACCTCATTGGACCAGGTCCTGATCACGCTATTTTTTTCCCTAAGGATGGTAGGGGGCAAGGTCCCGCCTCCTTTGACTCTGATTGGCTGTGAAACTTCATCACACGCTGAAGCCGAGCGCGGGCTGTCGGCTCTCGCTGCGTTCGAGTTACCCCGGAAGTCAGAAGTCTGAGCTGAAAATGACGTCACACCCGAGTTCCCAGAGGAGGCGGAGCAAAATCGGGGGCAGAAACAAGATGGCTACTTCTACAGTTAATTTAGCACTTGCCTTGTCCGAATATTAGGCACGCGCTAGAATAACTTTCGTAGATGTAGCCATCTTGTTTCAGGCCTCCGATGTTGCTTTTTTTCCGACTTGGTAACTGAAACACTGGCAACTCGGGTGTGATGTCATTCCCGGCTCGGACATCAGACTTCCGAGGTTACTCTAACGCAGCAAAAAACAGTTTTTCAGTCTACCGCAAATCTTCTGAGTTATAGCTACTCGCACTTGACGTCAAAACTAAAGTATTGCTATGTTCCAGTTACCTCAGAAGTCAGAAGTCAGAGCTGAAAGTGACGTCACACCTGAGTTATCAGTGTTTTAAGTACCAAGTTGGAAAAAAGCAAAATCTGAGGCGGAAACGAGATGGCTACACTTACGAAAGTTATTTTAGCGTTAGGCACACGCTAGCATAACTTTTGTAGATGTAGCCATCTTGTCTTAGGCCTCTGGTTTCGCTTTTTTACGACTTGGTAACTGAAATGCTAGGAACTGAAACGCTCCGACATCAGACTTCCGAGGTAACTCGAACGCACCATCTGTACATTGATCCGAACATTATCACAATTCTGAATATTTTAACCCTAACCCGACAGACATAACATTTCACAGCCATAAGGAATAACCAATCGGAGCCCAGCACTTTTAGCCAATCAGAGGTGAAGGAGGGCGGCACCTTTCCCTACCATCCTACAAAATTAATCCTGCGTCCTGATCCAGAAATGTACCACTCAGACTCTTCGAATCTGGACCGAGTCATGCTAAAATCAGCTGCATACTCTTACAGAACTTCAGAAAAGCCCAGGTTCGTGTCTACGGATGTAGCAGCTGTCCGAACCGGGTCATCTAAGGGGGTTCACAAACTTACCACCAGTGAGGGGGCGCGGGGCAGCCCGAGTCTGTAGACCTCTGGTGCATAATGTGAGTCGTGAGGAACCGAGAGCGAACCGAGTCAGCGAGAGGCACCGGGACATGGTGAGAGCCAAGGTGTAGAGGAAAAACAGGAGAGGTCGACAACCGAAGAACACACGCTGAGCGACGGTGGCAGAGGCAGGACCCAAGGCGCATGGAGATGACGTTAGCGGAGCGTCCGTCACGGTGCCTGATGAGAAAAGCGTAACATCGAGCTAGAAACGAAACATGTTTTTATGTATAACTACAAAAATACCCACGTTAAAAGACTAGTTACGATTTCATTTGGTAAACAACATAAAAAACTGCAAACGGACTGAAAAGAAGCCACAGATAGATATCTAATTTAGATGTAAAACGCTCATCTCTCTCTCTCTCTTTTTTAAATAAATGTCTGATCATTTTATTCGTTTTCTCTCTGTTTTATGTTCAGTTTTCTTGTATTTAACATTTGTTACACTCAAAACAGACATTAAAGTTTTCCTAAAGAAAAGCGTATGGTGAATGTGATGCAATAAATGAATGAATTACATCAGACATTCATGATTGTGTTGATGATACAGAAAATGATCCATTAATAGATGTTTCTTTGAATTTACCTAAATACAGAATTTACAGAAATATTTCTTTAATATTTTTTTTTTCAAACACAATTTTCTTTCAAATTTACTTCCTTGTAGATTGAGAACTCAGTAACTTTAACATAACTGCATGTACACATTTAGCATTTAATTAAGATAATGATATGGTAATGTTGAATGTTTGTGCAGGTGAGAGATGGTGAACAAAATGGTCTCAAACAAGTCAGCTTTAAAAATGTGCCACAAGCCTAAATGTGCAGCATCCAAAAAAATTCTCTGAGGGCAATTAAAGTCAATCTCTAAATGCAACTTTAGCAACCAGGCCAAATTCAGAGATTTTTAGGCAAAAATACCAATTTAATTTTAAAAGGTTTCCCAAAATTAACATAAAAAAGACAGTTTCAATGTCGGCATTTTCCTCTGTTTTGTTTTAATCAAGTGCATATTTTTCCTTCACTGGATATCTGCTTGTCACATGACTCAGGGCCACATCCACAGCCCATCAAGGGCATTAGTAACCCCTGCTGCTAACTATGCCCAGGTGTGCAGAAGGTAGCAGTGCTAGAGAACAGCATGTCCACAGTTTTTTTTTTTTCATTAAAAAATATGATTTTTTTTTCACTCTAAAATTTGAAATTTTTTACATACTATACTATGACATTTTTATCATACTATAGTGTGACATTTTTTTCATACTAAAATTTGATTTTTTTTTTTCACTCTTAAATATGATATTTTTCACATACTATACTATGACATTTTCATCATACTATAGTTTGACTTTTTTTTCATACTAAAATTTGATTTTTTTTTCACTCTCTTCTCAATGAGATTTTTTACATACTGTACCTTGAAATTTTTACATACTATACTATGACATTTTTACACACTATACTATGACATTTTACATACTATACTATGACATTTTTTCATATTAAAATTTAATTTTTTTCTTTAAAGTAATGTTTTAAACTTTTAGCATTCTATACTATAACATTTGTATCATACTATACTATGACATTTTTTTCATACTAAAATATGAGTTTTTTAACAGACAATACTGACATTTTTTAACAAACTTTACTATGACATTTTTAGCATACTATACTATGAAATTTTTTTCATACTAAAATATGTAATTTATTTTACACTCAAATTTGAAAATTTTAATATACTATACTATTACATTTTTATCATACTATACTATGACTTTTTTATACTAAAATATGATTTTTTTCCCACAAGAAAATATGACCTTTCTCACATACTATACTATGACATTTATATCATATTATACTTTTTCTTCCTACTTAAATATGATTTCTTTACTCTAAAATATGAAATTTTAACACACTGTACTATGACTTTTTTTTTAAAAACCAAAATATTAAATCTTTTTGTCAAACTCTACATTGACATTTTGATCATGCAATAATATGGACTTCCATTTTCCATCATTGATATTCATATGATACCATACCAGACCAGTATTTCAACCCAGGGCCTATCAGCTGTGAGACAACTGTGCAAACCATTATGCCAGCCAGCTGCCCATGTTACTGTTTTGAGATTTTCATTATACTATACTATTGATTTTTTTTCACAGTAAATATGAAATTTTTTTAAAAAGCCCTTCTATGACTTTTTTTTACACTAAAATATTCAAAACAATTTCACACTTAAATTTGACCTTATTAATATACAATACTATCACATTTGTATCATAATTTACTATCACTATTTTTATACTAAAATATAGAATCTTTTTTCACTCAAATAAGAACACTTTTACATACTATAATATGACATTTTTTTTCAAACTAATATATGAAATTTTTTTCAAACTAAAATAGCATACTATATTATGACATTTTATCATACTATACTTTAACATTTTTTTAAATTAAATATGAATTTTATAGATACTATACAATCACATTTTTTATAATTAAATATGAAAATTTTCTGCTCTAAAATATGGCATTTTCAGCATACTATACTGTGACATCTTTTTTCAAATGAAAATATGATTTTTTTTTTTGTCATACTATACTTTGACATTGTTTTTATGCAACAACATGAACTTTCTTTTTTCTGTAGTTTATAGTTAAATGATAATATCCCAGACCAGGATTTGAACCCTGGACCTTCTTGCTGTGAGACAACTGTGCTAACCATTACACCACTAAGCCACAGATGACACTGTTGATCCTTTTATCCTTCTAGAATGTCACCTTTTGACATACTATACCATGGCATTTTTTTTCATTCTAAAATTTAAAATTTCAATTATACAATACTTTGACATTTCTTTCATACTAAAATATGAAATTTTTATCATACAAAAATAATAAATGTTTTACACACTATTCTATGACATTTTTTATAATTCTTTACTATAACCTTTTTTTTAACTATAAAAGGATTTTTTTCACTCTAAAATATAAAATTTCTTTCATACTATACTATGACATTTTTATCATACTATACTATGACAATTTTCTTCATACTAAAATATGAAATATTTAAACACTATATGATGACCTTTTTTTTAAAAAAAACCTAAATATCTATTTTTTTCATTTTATCATGCAATAACATGAACTTTCTTTTTTCCATAATTTATACTCATATTATAGTATTCCAGACCAGAATTTGAACCCTGGACCTTTTTGCGGTAAGACAACTGTGCAAACCATTTCACCACCAAAGTGCTCATGTCACTGTTGATCCATTTATCAACCTTAAATGTTACCTTTGGACAAACTAATCCATGACATATTTCTTATACTAGAATTTGAGATTTTAATCATAGAATACTATGCCATTTCGTTCATACAATAAATTTAATTTTTTTTTTATCATACTATACTTTAACATTTTTTTCATACATAAATATAAAATTATTATCATACTAAAATATGAATTTTTTAAACACTATAGTATAACATTTTATCATAATTTACTAAAGCCTTTTTTTAAACTAAAATAAAAAAAATTTCACACTAAAATATGAAATTTCTATCATACTATACTATGACATTTTAGTCATACTTTACTATGACATTTTTCTTCATACTAAAATATGATTTTTTTCCACATACTATACTATGACATTTTTATCATGCTATACTATGACATTTCTCTTCATACTAAAATACAATTTTTTTTTCACAAAAATTTGGATTTTTAACATACTCTCCTAGGACATTTTTCTTCATACTAAAATATGATTTTTTTCCACATACTATACTATGACATTTTTATCTTACTATACTATGACATTTTTTTTCAGACTAAAATATTAATTTTTTATCATACTATACTATGACATTTTTATCATACTATACTATGACATATTTTTTCAGACTAAAATATTAATTTTTTATTATACTATACTGTGACTTTTTTTTACATACTATACTATGACATTTTTATCATACTATACTGTGACATTTCTCTCCATACTAAAATGTTTTTTTTCCCATAAAATTGGAAATCTTTTACATACTCTCCTATGACTTTTTTTATCATACTAAAATAGAATACTATACTATGACATTCTTATCATACTATACTATGACTTTTTTTCCAGAGTAAAATATTAATTTTTTATCATACTGTACTATAAAATTTCTCTGTATACTGAAATCACATTTTTTTCACTAAAATTTGAATTTTTTTACATACTCCTATGACATTTTTTTATTATACTAAAATATGATTTTTTAACACTAAAATATAAAATTCTATACACTATACTATGATATTTTTTTTATCAAACTATACTGACTTTTTTCATACCTTTATATGAATTTTTTATCATACTTTACTGACATTTTTTCTTCATGTTAAAATTTGATTTTTTTCACATACTATACTATGAAATTTTTATCATACTATACTGACATTCCTTTCCATAATTAAATATTTTTTTTTACTAAAATTTAAAATTTTTAACACACTATACTATGATATACAAATAACATACTATACTATATTTTAATCAGACTAAAAAGTGATATTTTTTTTATCATACTATACTATGACATTTTTTATCACACTTTACTATGACCTTTTACAATATTACACTGTACTTGTATCATACTATACCACTTTTTATCATGATTAACTGACATTTAATAATACAATACTAGGATATTTTCATCACTTTTAATTATTTTTTTAATATGCTATACTATTACATTTTTTCATACTATAACATGATCTTGCCATCATACTATACTCTGACATTTTTATTGTACTATGCTGGCATTTTTATTATAATATACTATCATATTTTTAACATACTTTACTATGATTTTTTAACATACTATACCATAACATTTTTATTATACTATACTGTGATATTTTTTCAAACTACACTGTAAAATTTTAATTTATACTATATTGATAATTTTATCATACTATACTATGACATTTAATCATACTACACTATATTTTTCTCATATTATACTTTGACAATCCATGCTCAGTGCTGCCCTCTAGAGATTCCTTCTACAACTTGCAAACAAAATGTTTATTTTACATCCCCTAATAATGTAAACGCATTTGAAAACACCTCTCTATCGTTCAAGTCTTTGTCTTTTCTCTGCAAAGCAAAGACACATCACATTTCTTACAACGGACGGTGGTGGCATTGATTTGCAGTTTGCAGTAGCTACACTTGTCACACTACACAGACCTGTGTGTAACCTGGTCCTTGCAAACATCACCGGGAACCCCAAACTGGAACTCTCCTCCTGGGTGGTGAGGATGTGGTGAAGTCATGGGTGATCTCTTTGTCAGTGCAAGAGAATAGAGCTTGATGCAACCTCTGCTTTGTTTACAGTTTAACTTCTTTAAGAAATGTCACATTTATGAACCGATGCTTGTGAAGTAACATTATCTTTTGAGAAATTTACGTCACTCAGAACTTCAGCGCTTCCAGGTATCCACTCAGTAGTAAACATTACTGGTAACTGGTTCACCAGAGCAACATTTTCCAATTTGATATAAAGAGAGAAATCCGATTTAAACATCTCAAATGTGGGCATTTAAAGCTTTCCTATACCTGCATCAATTTGTCTGGTGGCAACATATCGTTGGCTCTATCATGTTGGCATGGGTCATTCTCAGTTTTTTTCCCAGTATTTTACGCTTCTGAATCATTTACATGAAGAAAGTATCTAATAAAAAAGCTAAATTTTTCATCAACTGCAGAGGCGAAGAGTTGTCTTTAAACAGAAACAATCTGAAACTAAGTCTGTGGCACACAGGTTTATTTAACAATATGGTATATAAGTACGAAATGAGCCATTTGAACCACTTTCTACAGTTTAGGATCTCATGAGAATTTCTGTAGACAGAGGGAGAGACAAAGCATTTATTTAAACATTTGCAAGACAAAACACTGGACCCAAGCCAGCGAAAAGAACATTCCGGCACCTGTGAACATGAACAAGCTTCAACGCAGGTTTTCCTCACACCTGCCTTCTGTGTTGGGTGTGTGCAATAGTGCCAAGATCTATACAAATGTGTTAATCTCCCATAGACTCTGCGAACTGGAAAGAAATTAAGGCTTTCCCAAAGGCAGTCCTTTTTGTAAAATGGCATATTAGAATAAATTAGCCAGGGAACAGAGAAACTGAACAAGAGGTGAAACCTGGCAAAAAAAAATTCCCAGACAAATAACTTTACAGTCTTCTCAACACAAATATGATACTAATTTGAAAAGGTATAAAATAAAATAAAAGAATAATAAAATGAAATATTTTTGTTTTGAGAAGTTTGTTTAAAAAAAGTAAATACCAGAGCATAACAAATGAAAAACAAATGAAAATAACACAGAGACCAAGGCAAATTCTTGCATGGCTGGTCTGAACCAAAAATATATTCTTTGTGTCTTTGTCGTATTCTTTTCAACAGCAATTATTATTCACTCTGTGTTGGAAGAAAAGCAGTCCCTTGGTATCAGGAAAGTTCACAGTCTTAGGCCTCATATGACTCGTTTGTTTGAACTCTTTTTGATTTTTTACATCAGCAAGTATAAAAACGTTTCCGCTGAAAACAGAACAAGGCCTTTCTTCTGTCACTAATGCTACAATCCTTCAACAAATTTTTCCAGCGTGTCTCCCGTCGTGTCACCCACCATACCCATGTCACTCCCCAAACCCCCTCTGTTTGGTGTGTTCAGCTGTGGGAGCATGGCATTTTGCTCCGGTGTCCCCATATGTCCCTGCTCCATAGAGCCTGACATCGGGCCCCCGAGGCTCGGGTGAGGGGAGCTGGAGTGTAGGGCACCGTGCTGAGGCGAGGGCTGCGGCTGTATACGCGGGGAGGGACTTGAATGCGGGGGTTGCTGCGAAGGTGGACGAGGGGATTGCACTGGTGCCGGGGAGCGTACTTGGTTTCCCAGGGTGTTCGCCATAGTCTGGCCAGCTAAGTGAGCTCCACCTGGGGCTTGACCTTGGAGCATGTGGGGCTGTGGACTCATCGAGTTAGCCTGCGCGGGGGATCCCATCTGCTGCTTTAACATCTGCTGCTGCTGTTGCTGTTGAAGCATGCGCTGCTGGATGAGGTGTTGAGGTCCGTCCATACCCATGCCAGGCTGTCCCATTTGGGAGGTTGGGGGAAGCTGTCCCATAGGTCCCCCACCTCCTTGCATAGCCATTTGCTGCTGCATACGGAGCTGGGAGTAGCTCGCTGGCCCTGGCTGCTGTTGAGAGAACTGACCATGACCCTGAGGCATGCCCCCCTGCTGCTGCTGCTGCTGCTGCGCCTGCTGCTGCGCCTGCTGTATCTGCTGCATTCGGAGCATCTGCTGCCTGCGGTACAACTGGGGATTGCCGTTTTGAGCAGCATTCATCATCTGGCCTTGGGGGCCCATAGCTGCCATGCCTTGAGGCCCTGTCTGTTGAGGTGGCTGCTGCTGCGGTGCCATACCTGGCCTCACCTGGTTTGCCATGGCTGCCATTGCCTGCATTCCAGCCTGGGGCCCAAGCATGGCCTGCTGGTTCTGCTGCTGCCCCTGCTGCTGTTGCTGCGGTTGGTTGGCCTGATACTTTGCCGTCCTCTGTTTAATGAAGGCGGCCATCAGTTGGGGATTTGACTTGAGGATGTTGAGGACCTGTTGTTTTTGCTGGGGCGAACTGGGAGATTTTAGGGTGCGCAGCAAATCCTGCAGGGCACTGGGCGCAATGTTACTAGGAATCCCTCTTGGCATGTTTTGTTGTTGCGGCGCCCCCTGGGGAGGCATGACCCCGGGCATTTGGAGACCCTGTTGCTGGGGCATCATGGGTCTATGCATGAGCTGGCCCTGTTGTGGCATGGGAGTTCCCTGAGCCTGCTGAGGGGCCATAGGGCCTTGTTGAGGAGGGACCTGTGGCTGATGACCCTGGGGATTCTGCATGGGATTCTGCATTCCTGGACCCCACTGGCCTTGCTGCATAGCCTGCATTACCTGTGGGCCCCTGGGCCCCTGCATCATCTGCATCTGACCCTGCATGGGCCCCATCATCCGAGGGTGGTTCATGGGCATTCCATTCATGGCGTAATTCTGCTGCTGCTGCTGCTGCTGTTGCTGCTTCGCCTTGGCCACCATTTCAATCTGTTTGGCCACCTTCAGGGCTGCCAGCAATGGCTGCTGCTGCTGTTGCTGCTGCTGCTGCTGCTGTGGCGGCTGAGACTGAGGCTGCTGTTGATGGGGCATGTTTGGCAGAGGAGACTGCTGCTGATGGAGAGGAGATGACTGAGGTCCTGGTTTGCCCTGTGACACAGGTGTAGTGGGCTGGCTAATCCGGCCGTTACTAGGGAAGCTTTGGGCAATATTGACGGGGTTGTTTGGCTGTTGTTGCTGGGGCTGGTTGGGCATAGGCTGAGGGGTCTGGGGTGTATTAGGCTGCTGCACAGAGTTTGGGGTGTCAGGGGCAGCTGAGGTAGGTGGGGATGGCATGGGCATACCCCTTCCCGCCATGGTAGCCATTCTGCGGCGCATCATCTGAGCCTGCTGGAGCCTGTGCTGCAACTGCTGCTGGCGGAGTTTGTGCTTGATGTTGAGACAGAAAGGAACAGGACACTTGTTCTCCTGACAGTGCTTGGCGTGATAACAACATAAAGCAATGAGCTGCTTGCACACAGGGCAGCCACCGTTGGTCTTGCGTTTGCAGCCTTTGGTATGTTGAACCACCCTCTTCATCTTCTGGCACGAAGGCAGGGAGCAGTTGGCATTTCGGCACTGGCAAGCGTGGACGAGGGATTGGATGCAGCGCTGGATGCTGAGACGCCGGCTCTCTTGAGGGCTCTTGGACGCCTCTCCTCCCTGACCGTTGCTGTCGTCGTCCAAACCCAGGCCCCACTTCACCATCTTGTGCTCATGGCCCTTGGCGTTGTAGCAGTTGATGCAAAGGTCGTAGTCCTGATAAATAAGGAAGACACCATAAAGATTAAACCAACACTCTTCGCAGCTAATGATTTCAAGACATATCTGGACACGGTTCTTTACCTCGCAGACAGTGCAGTGCCAGCGTGTCTCCACATGATGCTTGCATTCGTTGCAGGTGTACACAAAGCGATCCTGGCCCTGGTTGTGCAGCTCGACCAGCATACACATTGAACTCCATTTGCACCTTCTCAGTGAGCTAAACTCCCAGTGCTTGTCCCTGGCCAAAGTCAGAAAGGCATCACGGCCATCCATCAGGTCGCAGGTCAACAAAGGATCGGGGTCAATGATGGGGGGCAGGGTGTTAATGACTGGCCCGGCATGGAGGTGGATAACGAAAAATACCTGGTAGGAAGAAAGAGGGAAATGTGAGGATTAAAAAGGCCGATTCTTGTTGTATGAACCCAGCAATTATTCATTAAAATATCAAGTGCTGAAGAAACGAATAGTTGTTCAAATATTGTCAGAAACTAAACTTTTAATTATAAATAATAGCCTGTAATTAAGTCTCTCACCTCCTTGTGCCGCTCCAGCGTGGCGTAGAGCTTCTGGGACAGATCGTTTGCAACATTCGGCATCCCAGGCTTTTTCTTACTGGCTCGGCTGACACTGCTCTTGTTTTTGTTGGTTTTCTTGTTATTCTTCTTTTTGGCATTCTTACTGTCCGCCTGAGCCCCCTTGAAGAAAAGATAAACATGAATTTAAAGCAGCGGGGATTGTTGCACAACAGGCAAGATGAAGATTATGCAATTAAGCGGAGTGGTAAAACATCGCTGGAGTCGAAGATAGAAGCTTGTATTTACTGGGCATGTGAAAAATCCGGGGTAAAATAGCGGTCTTTGCTGTCTAGGGCTGTTGATTTTGGCATAATAAGAGCATTCCTACAGAAAAAATACTTCAAACTGCTGGGTCTGCCCATCCATCTCACATACCTCTGGTGTATCAGAAGAGGCAGTGTTCTCCTCCTTCTTTCTCTCCTCCTCCTCCTGCTCCAGCTCCTTGATGCTCTCCTCCAGGACATTAGGCCAAAAGTCGCCCTCAAAGTACGGCAGCTCATTGGCACTGGTCAGCCTGTCTTCTGTCGCCTGCTTGAAAATGTCCTAAAGGCAAGATCCACAGAGTTTAAAGCTAGAAAACATCTGAGAAATACCATGTTCAAACTTGTATTATTGTGCATTTCAAATGGATTTTCAAGTCCATATAAAAAACATGAAACAATTCTTGGAGGTGGAGAAGAACTGTTCCGGCTTTTGGATTTGTTAGTCAAATAAAAGCTGCACTGTTACACCAATGTGCCCTGAAACCACGACTTCAGACCACACTGGTAAGACACAACGATAGAGAACTTCTACCATGAAATCCAGAGTTTAATTTGATCACTTTAAAAGATTAAGTTGTAAAACTTTCAGAGTTTTAACTATATTATGTAGCAGATGCATCGTGAGAGAGTCTTACCTTGTAGTCATGTATGATCCTCTCGGCAAAAGCCTTGTCCAGCATCTTCCTGTACCACTCCTGGAGCCTCTTGGGTTTGGGGATCTTCTGATCAGGAGGGTGACAGTGGAAAATGTAGTCGTCTCCTTCACTGGGTGGGCAGGCCCAGATGTGGCCTGTCACATACCTGAGGGTCAAGAGTTAGCAGTGAGCGCTTGAAGGAATCAGCAGTGAAGCTGAAAAGTGCGACTCGGTGTCCAACTTACCCCATTTTCTTCACATACTCCAGGTAACCTATTAAGATCTCATGGTACACTGCAGTCCTTAGCAAACGTGGTTTGAAGAAGTGAATACTGTCGAGGTATGATATGTAAACCCGTCTGCAAAGTAAACACAATTTGTTTAATGATTTTTTTTTTTTAAAAGAGCCAAATATTAAAACTTTCATGATTGCAGAGATCACGTGTTCATTTTAAAGGTTGGAGATTTACCTTGTGTTTGGAAAGGGGCACTCTGAGCCGTATTCCTGGACGTGCATGCCAAAGAAACAGACATCCACACCGTCTATTTCCTCGAATGCAAAAAGTGCTTTGGTTCTGTAAGGGAAGCCATCTACCATCTCGCCTGAGTCCACAAACCTGGACAAAGAAGCACGATCCAGAAATGTTAGCCACCTGGGAGGTTTAGACTTACTTTTTAAATGGATAATTATCCTGTAGGTAAAATTAGATTAGCATGCAAGCCTGATAATCTACGTAAATTCATAATAGCCTCGCTCTTGAGATGAATGGTGGGAACAGGACATCTACAATAATTATTCTGTTTTTAACACATTTAAATCTATCGAGTTTAAGTGTTGATGAGGCTGGCACATCTTAAGATATCGAGTAAATGATGGTAATGCCATTGGTTCTGATCCAGCTGAGCACTTAAATTGCACCCGCCCTCTCTCTCTATACATTGACTTCATTCACTTTTCGAGACTGAATGCGTATGAAATGCAAAATAATTATCAAAAGAGACAACATAAAGATCCTTTTTCGCGCAGGTTTGAGTCTCACCTTGACTTCATGCCAGGCTTTATCTCCACAGTCTTGTCAGAGCTGGCCACCACTCGCACAAACACCTCACCAGCCTCCGGGTGGTTCTGCCTTTTCAAGTACTTGTTTACTCTTTCCTCAATATACGTCCCCAGCCTTGTAGTTTGCAACCCTGTCAAAAAAGATTAAAACACATCATTAATGATACAAATAAAAGAAGAGACTTTTACAATGTTTAATGAAGGAACTTTACTGTTTGAGAGGACATACTTTTGGCTGAGAACTTGTTGTCCTTTCTTGATTTTCCAGACTTCTTCAGACAGTTATCACAGATAAAGCTAGAAGGAAGAAGATAATACTGTCGTTCGGCATCAACTCTGATTAATTCAAATGCCTCGTGAATCACCACTATTAAGGTCAAACATGGATGGTGTATCTGCTTCGATAAGACTTACCCTGACGGCCAAATGACATCATAGTGCAAAACACAGATCTGGTGCATCTTTCGTCCGCAGTCTTTACATTCAACGAACCTGGAAATAGAAATTGCAGTTTTAATAAACTGGGTTAAATCTGGGTTAAACTGAGTCTTTAACCAAAGTAGTACTCACGGTTCAGAATCCAGCGTGTCATTTTTCTTCTTCTCAAACTGCTCTTTCGATATCATCCTGCACCAAAGGAGATTTAAAACTTTTTTAAAATGGGATGCACTCATGTTGTGAGAATAAAGATGAGAGAGAGATAGTCGAATGATCATCAAGCGGGGGGGTTCGGCCACAGGTTGACTTACGTTTGCGACTGCGCCGGGTCGTCTCCCAGGGTCACGCTGTTGCCCTGGATCTCATTGAAGCACTTTTCGCAGAAGTGATACCTGTCGGCAACAAGGCCATATTTGGGTGAGCTGCAGCCAGCACAGACAGTAGCAGCACAGGAAAACCGGCGTACAGGCGGAAGAATGCAGAGTAAATGGAGGCAAGAAGGACATGGGCAGTGAATGGACGACCCGACACATACGTGCACACACACAGACACACAGGCAGAGGAACAGGTTAGTCAAAACTGAAATGTTCCAGTCACGCTCATTCAAACTGAAACAGAGACAGAGGAAAAAAGGCTGAAAATAAATGTAAACAAAGGCGAATGAAAGTAAACATCAGATGAATGTTCACACTGAAACGACACAATAAACATGCTGATGACAGAACTACATGGAAATGAGAGACGGGACAACTGATGATGCAGATAAAAGTTTGACTCATGCAGGAAAATGTTGGAGTAGTTTTATCCTGATTCAGACATTTTTAAAAAAAAGAGTTTCCAACACCTTTAGACACCTGAGTGAGTGTCTCAGGAGCATGTGCACCTTTTGGATAGTGTTGCATTGGATTGATATTGAGATGCAGTACACAAGTCTGCACAGCAGGGGGAGCTTCTGTGCTGATTCTTCGGCACAACTGACATTTCAGGAGAACACAGGGCTCGATCATTCACATGTGCTCAGCCACCATGTAGAAATATCAGTCCTGTTTCTGGCACCACTTAAAACCTTTAACAGGTTAAATTTTAATATTTTCAGTCTCATGTTATCCTCACAGTTGAAGCTGTGCGCCGTTCTTCCATTAAATCTCTTTTTTAAACCCTTTTACCTCTCAGCAGTTTCAGGAGGAACTTTTACCTGTTCTGGTAGCTGTAGTAGGTGCCGTCCCTGGAGATGGTGCACAACTGTTTGCCATAGCAACACAGCGTCTGAGGTGAAAACTCATACTGTAGAAACATGAGAGAAATTTGGACGCTTTATGGACAAGTTTGATTCAGGTACGCGGGTAAAGATACACATGAGCTGACGAGAGAAATACGCTGTTCGAGATCAGTTTACATCCTGTCCTCTCACCTTCCGACCGCAGCAGTAACCCAGGACCTGCATGACGGGATCGATCTCCGCTTCGAACACCTCTGCCAGTTTGGTGCAATACTTATAGACGCGAGACGTTTTGCGGTTGTACAGCCAAGCGTTGTTGAACATCAGCCACACATCGTCCACATACTGCCACGGCTCCTGGTACTGCCCGGTATCGAGCTTTCGCTTAATGGTGGATAGGTCGATGGGATTCTTCACGATGTCAAAGTAGTCCTATAACCATACATGCAGGAGTAAGTAAACCTCTTCTTAAAGTATAAACAGAAGCTGTTTTAATCACTAAAAAAAAGAAAGTTGAAGTGGTTTTAAATGTCAAAATTAGTCACTTACAGGAATACCCAGAAGCATGGGGTCTACAGGTTGTCTGAAAGGCAGAGACTCTGGACCTTGTCTGTAGAGGGCCTCAAGAGTTGGCATTAGTGCTTGTCTCAGCTCTTCTGGCTTGAAAACTACAAAAAAAATAATCAAAGTAAGAAAAGGAACAAAATACGAAAAGTTTGATTTTCTATTTAAGTCATGGTTGGATTTTTTCACACAGGTAAGATCTGGTCTCACTTTTTTTGCGACTCTGAGCGGTAGAGGAGGCTGACGTGCTGTTGGCCCCATTTTCCTCCTCTTCTTTGGGTTCAGTCTTCATCTCCGGCTTCTTCTCCTCAGTTTCCATTGGTTCTTGCTTTGGCTCTGCTGCATCTGGCTCCTCCTTCTTCACCAGAGGGGGTTTGGTTTCATCATCCTGCTGTACGAACACAACCATGATCAACCAGCTGAGTCAGAAATCCATCAAGTAGCGACTGTGAGTGAGGAGTTCGGGATAAACTTCACCGTCTTTGGAAGAGTTCGTTGTTTGTAGCGGACTGTTATCAACATACCTCCATTTTTACATCGGTCTGCTTCTGTCCAGAGTTGCTCTCGTCTTCTTCATCTTTTACTTCAGTTTTGGCATCAGTGCTGCTCATGTCTGGCAGGGCCTGCTGTGAGCTCAGCTCAGCCTCTGAGGCTGGGGTTGGCACTCTGTTATCTATACTTGCTGCTGCCTGAGACAACTTTTAAAAGAAGAAGAAGAAGAAGAAAAATCTCAGTGATCAAACTGCTGATATGTTTATACATATTTTTAAATATGTTGACGTCATGGGTCAGCATTCATTGGTTCTTTTTTTTGGGTCAGTAGCATGGTAATCTACTACAGGAGCAGGTGAAGCAGCTAGCATAACAAAAGCACCAGGACACATCAGTAGATCCTCACCGGTGTGCTGGGGTGCTGCGCCTGCACTGAAGTGGGCTGCTGCATCTGGCTGGGGGGTTCTGGCTGGGGCTGGATGGGTGTGAGAGGCTGGGAGGGGTCAGGGGTCGAGCTCCTGGCTGAGGGGGGGCCAGGGAGACTATTGGGTATGTGGGTTGGGGTGGTTGAGGGCCCACCCGTGGAGGCAGGGGTGGAGGGCTGCGGTGGGACCTGGGCCTGTGCAGAAGCATGATGCTGCAGCTGTTGCTGCTGCTGCTGAGGCTGCAAGCTGGCAGAGGCATTGGGTGGAGGGGTGGGGCCCAGGGGGGTCTGGACTGAAGTGCCACAGGGCATCTGGGAGCCAAGGGATCCCAGTGAATTCAGTGGGAGGTTAGAGTTCTGCTGCTGGAACAAAGGGGGAGGCACGGTCAGCATACCAATACTCAGTACGCATACAAGAGCAAGTCGAGCACAAATCCTCTCACCTGTGTGACAGCAGGCTGAGTTATGGGCTGGCCCATGCCTACATTCACATTCATGGCTCCACCTGCTGCAGCTGTAAACTGGCCCTGTTGCATGAACTGCCCCTGGTTGGCCGGCTGAGAAACCATGTTGTTAGCATGACTACCCATCATTCCTTGAGCCTGAGGCATCCTTGATGGGGACATACCCATCTGTGAGAAAGAACACAGGAGAACAAAATCAATACGGCAGCAGGCCTCCAGAATTCAACCTCCGATACATGAAATAAACTGAATTGAACACTGAGTCAAGAGCAGGGAGCATTTGCCAAATGGTAAAAAAACTAAGAAAATATAGTCCGCTAAAGACTTTTAAGTGAAGCAGGATCACTAGAGAGATGAACCGGAGAGTGACTGAGAAATAAAAAGCGGAGAAATACAGATGAATAATTTGTGAAATGAAATAATATTAATGCTGACAGAAATGAGAGATACTCAAGATGAAGGCTGAGAGCGTTGGATAAGTGACTGTTTAAAGAGAGAGGAGAGATGGAGGAGAGTGATCGAACCGGTGGGACGGAGCTCATGTTCATCTGCTGTGGATGGTTCATCGGGGAGGGAGCACGCGCTCCCAGTGGTGCCTGAGACATCTGCGCATTTTGCATCGCCATTGGGTTAAACTGGTTCATTCCTGTGGGAGCAGAAACACACAAACACAATTATATACCTGTTTAATATACTTGGGAGTAGTAATTCAATATTCCATCCCCTAATGGGCTCGCTGAGGCCCTGAACCAGCTTCATAGCTTTGCATTCGATTGGTAACATAATGAGGAGGCCCAGCAAACTAAGACTCACTTCATTATTGAAACTGATGAGAACAGAAGAGCGAGTGTGGTGTGTTTTACTGTAGGAGAATAAATAAATAAAGCCTATCATTACTCTTATTTTTTACTATTTCCATCATTAACGTTGTCACGGATACCTTGGGGCACCTGCATTCGGTTCATCATCTGATTTGGCATGTTGGGCATAGGCACAGGTCCATCTGAAACAGCAGTAAAACAGGACAGAGTTTGAACATCCTCAGTGCTTCTCCACATCTATATTTCACAGAAATGACGGTTAAAAGTTCGGCTACTCACTGGGGGGTCGGACGGCCTGTCCCGGGCCCATGGCGTTAGGCTGAGCCATGCCAGGCTGCTGAGGCCCAGGTGTGCCCACCATGCCGGGCTGTTTCTGGAGCCGCGAGCGTCTCTTCTCCTCCAGTTCCTTCTGGATTTTGTAGATTTTCTCTGCCAGGAAGTGGTAATATTCATCCTGTTGAGAAACAACGAAAAGGACTTTATAAAAGACTTGGTTCAAAGGATCAGATTTCATAGTTAAAGTAATCGCTGAAACTAGCCGGTTCAAAAGAACGGTCAAACACAAACCCTGCTGTTGGCTGACTCATACATGTCGCCCTCCACCTTTCGCGCATACGCCACCAGGTTCTCCATCCGCCTGTCCTTCAAGGCTGCAGGGTCTGGGGTGGGGAATATGGCTTGTACACTGAAATCAGAGAAGAAATAAACACTCAGCAATGACTTTGTCGGCCAGTTTCTGATGTTTTTTTTTTGAGTAGTTATTACATAAAGCTGGACTCACAGTTTGTGCACCAGGTGGGTGCGCAGGTCCTGAGTGACGTGTTCGTGCCAGGCCTTTCGTACCCCTGAAGCAGAGAGAGGGGTGGCAGCGGGCATGTTCCCCATGCCACCCGCTACGGACCCATCAGGCATCAGCTGACTAAAGGACAGAGAGAAACAAACGTTATAATATATTAATATGAAATGATAATTCAATGTACAAGACAGTTACAATGAATCAACTCGAATAATCAAGATTACTGAACTTGATTCTGTTTTTATATGATGTTTTCAAAAGCAGAATTCTTACTTGCTGAGTGAGGATGGTAGAGAGGAGTCAGAGTGCATGCCAGACTGGTCTGAAGAGGGGACACCCATGCCTCCTGCCATCTGGTTCATCTGATTAGTGCCTGTTAAAACCCACATTACCATTTACTGGGGTTTATCAGAAAATGGCTTAGCAGCAGATTGATGGTATTTTCAACACTTTGTTTGTAATCCCCTCTAGCAGAAGCAAGTCTCATCTGGTTCTTACCGAGTGGGTTCATGTTTCGTAGCTGCTGGTGCGCCGGACCCTGGGGGTTTTGCTGACCAGGACCCTGTCCTTGGACCTGGCCAGGGGACTGGTTCCCATACGGCAGGCCGAGGGCAGCATAAGCTCTCTGCATGGAGCTGGGGTCGATGTTTGTGGCAGCACTGTTGATGGCTGTGGCGCTGGGCTGGCCGGGACCCACCGTATTGATGGCGTTCTGCAGACTAGCGCCAGGGGAGTTCAACAAGGCTAAACCGGGAGGAAAAGAGAAGAAATGAGTGGTTTGGCAAAGGGAGCGTTTAATCAAATCCTTTTAATGTGCAAAGTAAAAGCCGCATGTCATGTTTTTGTAGATTATCCAACTTAGTAATAACAATTATGAAAACCACCCCACTAAAAAGACCTCAGGTGATAAATCATTCTCAAATAAAAACCATGAAACTCATCTTGACAACAGAAAGTAGGGCTGTTACATTTCTTATAAAAGCAGACTGTTGTCATTCAGCGGTGACTTTCTACACTGCACTGTTACTAACAGAAGTAACACCTCTGAATTAGTCTTATTGTCAGTGGAGTAAAAGACAGACCCTCCACCGCTGAACCAGCTCTATCATTTTCCTCTGGGTGACCATTTATTTGAACTTCAACCAAGAGCTCCAGAACCACCCGTATCTTTCCTCCCCTTGATGCACAGCCGAGCTTTGTCAAGTTTGATCTCTTCTTCAAATCTGAAGTGAGGGTTCTTAACAGCTGACAAGCGTCTGTCCTCCAGGAGCTGCGTACATCTCGCTGTGACGGTTTTCTTCTTCTTTTGGCCCCAAAACTCAAAATAACGGGACTATTTCCGTAAAGTTAACCGTGTTTGCGCTGACATCTCACTCAGGCACTAGTTGGATTAGCTACTAGATTGTTTTTTTTTTGACATGTTATCCCAACACTGTTCGTCTGTCATGTTGTGATATTTTTCAGTCTTGACTTTGTTAAATGATTCATTCATTTTTCAGTCATTTTTATAAACGACACCACCTTTCTTTATAGTCAAATTTGGCTTAAAAAAGTCTATTCTAGAAAAAGTAATTGAGTTATTCTTAAATATGAGACATCACTCATTTTATTTGTATCAATAAAATAATTTTTATCCAAACAGAAAGAGGAACGTCCTCTCTGGAAGGCCGTTATTGTAAAGCCCTGCACTACTCCCTGCTGTGTTGATTGCTGACAGAGAGCACGCTGCCTCTGTGGGGGATTTAAATCCGTCATATGTCCCTTTGACCAATCAGAGCACACTCTGTCCCCAGACCCTGCCCCCACTAATAGCAGACATGGAGCCCCTCCCCTGGGTGTCACATTACAGGCCCAGCCTTTCTGGAGGAATCCTCTCGCTGTGAGAGCGCTCGGAGTCGGCGAGCCAGCACAGAGCTGTGGCGGTGATGCGCGGCCTGCAGGTGGCACCACCTCATCCCACAAGCACTGACTCAAGGCTGCAGCTCGGGCACAACCATCCTGATGTTACAGGTTTAATGCTGTAAACTTTTTACCCCAGAACAATCCATTGTTTGCATTTCTAATGCTCCTACACCTGTACTCATTTTTTATGGTCTGGAGGTATCTACAAAGAGAGGGAGGCTGCAGGTGTAACACCACCATCACTCACGCTGCTGGTTTCTCTTGTCACTGGCGTTCTTTAAAGGCAGGCAGACCGGACAGTCGTGCCGCGTGCAATTCTTCCAGTGAGAGATGATCTGTCTGGATGATGCGCAGTGAGCCACTGAGGAGAAATAAAAACAGGACAGGAAGGACGGGTCAGTATTTCTACAAGTTTCTGGCATTTTGAAAAAATGTTTTGGGGAAAAATAAGAGAGAGAATACACGGATTCAATCAAGACAAAAGTGGTTGTTGTAGTTAAACAAAACCTTCACTTGCTACAGTACAATGAACAAACAGCTGAGTACTGAGAAAGCAATTATACATGCTGTAAAACCATAAAGGAAACCTGGCATTCACTCTACTACGCATATAAACACTATAAATATCAGAGTTCAAAGTTCATTAACCTTGAGTGACCTCACTACTAACAGCTGTCAGAGGGAAGCTGCTTGCCGCCAGGTCTGACAGGAAGGGAAATTACAACCAGCAAGACAATATTCAAGTCCTGTTAGCTGATGTTCAGTCAGAGGAGCATTTCCTTGAGGAGCAGCTCTATTTCAGTGACAAAAACACAAAAACTGAGATTTACATTATTAACCCTTAAATGCCTGAAACAACAAATTATGGCCAGAAAATTGAAAAAATTTTTGGAGCTGAAATGCTCACTTCATTTACTACTGAAAATTAAAAAAAAAAATCTTAATGTCCTTAAAATTTAACAAATATATTTATTTATCTTGTTTGATACATTAGATGTTTCTGGAAAACTGATAAACCACAAGAGGACATTTTTATCATTGATCGGACTGTATTCAGGTGTTTTTTAGTAATTAGTTGATCTTATTGATTTGATAGAAGTATCATAAAAGTATGTATCAAATATGATACAAAAGGCAATAAAGGGTTTAAGAATTAGGTGGTTTTACATAAGAAAGGTAGATCGTTGATCTAAATAAAGGAAAGTAAATCTCGACGCAGATTTCAACCTTCTGAACTCATTAACACGGCAGAAAACTCAGATTTGAAAGTCTGCACGTGTTTGTGTTTATGAATCAATGACAGCAGCATATGTCCCCGCCCATAAACAGCCAATGATCCCTGTAAAAGGAGGTGTGGTTATGTGCTCTCTGTGGATGGCGAGCATGGCGCAGAGAAAAAGGAGAGGGAACGAGTTTGATTCTGTGAGTAGCAGACTTCAAACCAGCCTGGAAACATCCCAGTTATTTTAAAGCACATGAATATGAAGCAGATTTCACTCACCCTGGCAGGACTTGCCGGCCTGGCAGTGGGTCATGTGGTTGAGGACGTTCTTCATGGTGCGACAGTGAGGCAGAGTGCAGGCCCTCACCTCACCGTTGGCCTGCTCCCGCCGCTGGCACTTGTGTGCATGGAGCAACAGGACCAGCTGCTGCTGAATGAGTTTGCGCTTCTCGGGGTCGGCCGTTGGGCCCGCCGACACACCGACAGCCCCGGGGACCATGCCCACTGAAGCTACCTGCTGCTGCATCTGAGACTGCAAAGGGAAGAAACACAAAGAGAGGTGAGGGACGGATCACGATGCCGGAATTCTAACATTTATTTTTGGATAAAGTAACCATATTTGCATTCAGCCAACCAATCAGAAAATATCTAGATAAATTAAGTATGGGCTTTCCGATTTGAAAAGGAAAGAGGCTGATGGGTCATCAGGGAGGACAGAAGGATTGTTAGAAGATGAGTCTAAACCACCAAAAAATAATAGACGACTGGTAATCAAAGAAAACCTGTAAAGTGACATTTTGGAAATCCAGCGGCTGACATTTCCTGCCTTGTGTAAACTATTTCCTGCTTCCTGAGCAAATTTGCATTTTACTGAGCTCTGTTTACTTAGTTCATTGAAAAAAAAAAGATCTACCTCTGTCCTCAACAGTTAGTGTAAGTACACAACAAAAGATCACTCGAGGATCACCTTGAGTCTGGCCCTGGATGCAGTTTTTTTTAACTATTATTTAGTCAAACATTGAGGCAATGTGGTGGTAGGAATATTTGATCAGATAAGCAAAGTGACAGGGTGCATGACGGTGAAGCAGGCAGGTTGGCTTCGAATCTGAAACAACATTTGACTAAACTAGAAATGAGAAGTTTGAGTTTCATTTTATTCACATTTTTCATTCATTCTTTCCTTTTTTCTCCTTTAGCTGCGTGCACATGCCAAGATTATGTTTGAGCCTGGATTTATAAGTTTATTTTCTTGTGTATATTCCTTTGGATTACACAACAAGACTATCATTTAAGTCTGGATCTGTTCAAAGTGTCGGGCTCAAGCTTTGGCAGACATCGCTCGAAACCTTATTGACACGGGGATGGCACACGGATAAAAAAGCCAAATAAAGATCTGAACTACAGCTTCATTCTGCCTTAACTGCTTACAGGACGTTTTTTTTTGGTTAAGTGGTAAAAAGATAAAGTAAAAGCCTGAATAACGACAACAACAATAAACGCCTAAAAGAAAAACTCACATGCATGCTTGTGTAAAAGGAAAGCCCAGAAACGGAGGTCCACTTCTTCTACATTTCATCTCCCTGAATTCATTTATGAACATCGTGTATGTAAATTCTGTTCCTCCGTAGAACAGATGTTGGCTTCATTAAGACCTGAGTGACACTCACCATGTTTGGCACACTCCCAGCTCCTTTCAGCTCACCGGGGAATTGGGGCAGGTTGTTGGGAAGGGCTGTTTTGTTCTGGAGTTGTTGCGTGTTGACCCCTGCTGCCCCCATCTGCTGAACCCCAGCCTGACCATACTGCTGGCCAAATGGAGCTCCTGACATCCCCATCTAGAACAGACAATGAGGACGGAGGCGGAGGGCGGTAAGAACACCGGCATGTCATGAAGCATGGCAGCAAAGGGAGCGATTTTTTAACCTCTCATCAGAGTGAGTTTGATATGAGTGCATAAGGAACCGAACCATTTTCACAAACAACTACATGGGATCAGTGTGGGCTTCAGCATACATGACTCAAAATAAACACAACGAAGAAACAAAGTCAGGTACCTCAGCCAAAAACTCAAAGGTATAAAAACAGCAAACACCAAAATACCCTGAAGTGAAAATGTTAACTAAAAGAAACAACAAAAATAAGCAGGAAGAGAGTTCGCTTCCTTGTTGGTCCGTAAAAGTTCTCCATTCCTGCCTTTGCAAAAACTCTCAGCATGTATTCATCAGCTTACTTTCCTTGCCTCTCACCACAGCGGCCAAAGCAGCAGCCTGTTTTCCTCCGCGGAGGTTCCCCACTGCCGGCAGAGCTCAAGCAGACAGAGCAAGCCCAGCCCAGCAGCGAGAGAGAGAGAGAGAGAGAGAGAAAAGACAGAGAGAAGAGAGAGAGAGAGAAACTGGAGGGGAGAGGCATACGCAGAGGAAGACCAGCTTGCTCAACAGCTGAGCAGAGCACTGCTGCTGCTTGCCCCCTCCCCCCTGCAAAGAAACACTCAGATGCTTGCCTGCCTCCCTCCCATTCACACACAAGCCCTGCCTCATCCTCCCCTCACACACCGCGCTCTCTCTCTCTCTCTCTCTCTCTCTCTCTCTCTCTCGAGCGGCGCTTAAAGCAGAGGAGAGTCACCAGACAGCGCAGCAGCACCGAAAGCCTCTCCTCGTCTCACCACGTCATCTTCTGTTCTTCCCCGCTTCCCCTAACCTGACAGCAACGCGTAAGCCTGCTTTTCAAAATATGATTTACGGCTCAATTAGCGAAGGGCAAAAGCCCCGAGAGACGGGGCGTACGCTGAAGGGAGAAAGAGGAAGACGGAAGAAAAGGGAAATAGTTGAGTCAAGGCTGTAAATAAAGACTAAAGAGTTGAAAAAGAAAGCAGAAAGAAAAGGAGGAAAAAAAGGCATCAGCAGAAGCACCAAAACACAGAGAGGAATCAGGCTTTTTTTTTTCCCTATTCAATATTTTTCAAGCTTGAACAGCAAAAAGTCTGAGTGTAACAGTCCACCAAAGGAAGATTCTCTGATCGACAGGTGAATTTGAGAGGTCGATTCATACCAGAATAGAGCAGTTAAAGCAGCAGAAGTGACGGATATAGTGTTAAAAAAGAACTAAGCAGAGTTTCACTGCGTTTGGGGTCTCCTGCTGTCTGCATGTCAGAGCTTTACAGGGACATACTGATGCACAAACAAGCATGTGCACTAGTTATGCACGATATGAAAAATTTCAACCGATACCGATAACCGATAATTTTCTTCTTCTCATGGCCGATACCGATAACCGATAAATTCATATTTTTACATTTATTATAATCTTCATATAATCTGCAATTTGTGCAGGATGCAGTGATTGAAAACTGATATTTTTGTTGCTCTGGCCTATCTAGAACAACAAACTAAAGTTTTTGGCTCTTCAAATGTTTATTTTTTCCATGTCATCACAAAAATATGTGGTCATTAGCTATAAATAACAATAACAGAGCAAAAAGCAGAACTTCATTTGACCAAAACAGTGCATCCCCTGAACTGTTCAACAGAACTGTAGACTGTAAAGGAGCTATTATGAGACGTTAGGATTAGCATGCTGACCGGACTAACATCTGACGTCCATATATCTGTGGTAAAACTCACGAGTAGTCCGTTCTTGTCGATCAGGTTGTGAATGTATGTGGCGACAATATCATAGAGTGCAGGAAGGGACACATCCGAGGAGAAGCGGCGTCTTGGGAGAGTGTAACGTGGCTCCAAGTGTGCTATGAACTTACGAAAACCCGGGTTCTCAACGACGGAAAAAGGCTGGTCGTCGACTGCTATGAACTCCATCACTTCGTCGTTAATGGCTTTAGCCTTTTCGCTGTCTCTTGAGAAGCTTTTGCAGTTTTCAAACGCCTGCCGAATGGGGACATCGATCCTCCGTAGTGTTGTTGTCTTAGCTTTAGTACCGCTAGCAGCTTCGGCGGCTGTCTCATATTCTTTTAATACCGCTTCGCCGCGATGGCGACTTTTCAGATGAGCTATCAGATTCGTTGTGTTAAAACTTGACGTCTTCATTCCGCCTCTCGGAATCCTCGCTGAACAGGTTTTGCATATAGCAGCTGTTGTCATCTTCTGCCACTGAGAAAAACGACCGTGCTGGTGAAGACATTTTATTATCAGTCAGGTAGTGACAGGGGTCAGGCTTGGGACCTGCGAGTAAGGCGCGACGGGCGGCTACTCCGCCTGCAAACGTTACTCGTAATTTCATTAATATATCGGCTCTTTCTATCGGAAAAATGCACCTATCGGACCGATAAAAAATGACGTAATTTTCCCCCAAATCGGCCGATATTTTATCGGTCCGATAAATATCGTGCATCCCTAATGTGCACACATAAGCACACACAGAACGCCATACTTTTACTACAGTTTACTTCATTGTGTTCCAAGAGATGACACGATCTACGCTCAGTTCATGAGTGCACTCTCCACCAGATCTTAGGAGGACCTTGGATTTGAATAACCTTTAGTTCTGGACATATTTGGATCAGCATGCAGCCCCATTGAAACTGTTTGGTATGAATTAGTTTAATTTTACACCACTAGTAAAAAGGTTTTAAAGCTCAATGTGAAAACCTGTCATGAATGACGTCTGAGACAAACATCCTATTTGTACAAAATGGTTCGAGCCTCAAAAAAATACCACAGAACCAGAATACTCGATTTTATCCTTGATCATATTTTTGCAAAAACACATCACCAGCAGCAACAAAAGCCCTACTTCAGTCCGTCTAAAAGCAGCTCTCATTCCCCTATCACGTCTCTACTAATTCTGTCTCACTGTGAATGAAAGATCGAGCATCAAGGGGCCACATATGTATGAATACCTCAGCTGGGGTTACTTCTGGGTTTTTCTGCATGAAGCCTTGGTTAACGGTATGACTAATCTGGCGAGGGCTGACGTCTCTTGGCGGTAAGCGAGTTTAACCTGTCAAGAATGGAGTTTTTCTTGACCCCAATCCTAACCACATATTGAGACATAATTTGTTGAATGTAAAGCAAAACAGCTCAAGAGTTAGCTCAACCACGACCTAAAACTACCCTGTTTCACTCGATGTGTGAAGAAGAATTATGGATTCATTTCTACACCTTAATTTAATTCTGCCTGAAGGATCACAGTAAGGAGCTCATTAAGAACTTTAGGTACACGATGAAAATTGATCAAATAATTTGTGTCTTATTGGTCGACATAAGTACTATTATTTGAAATCAATTTTTAGGTCTTTTTGTCTCATGACATGGAAGCTATTGAAGAAAATGTTCAAAATTTGCCTTTAAATTTAACACTAAATATTTTAGAGGACAAATTAGGGAAGTGGAGAGGTGTGTCTTAATGTCCAACTTTAGTACTATCATTTGAAATCAATTTTAGGTCTTTTGGTCATGTGAAATGGAAGCTATTGAAGGAAAACAGCCTTTTTCTGAGAACATCAACAGGTAATTTATTGACGGTCCCTTATTTAACACCCGACGTTGACAGCGAGGATGTCGAGTAGATTTAACCGCGCTGCTGTTGTTATTCCCGGTTATGGAGAGTGAGAAGACACCGGCAGATCCGCAGTGAATGTCCATCAGATATCCAACCTAAAACTAACTTCACCGCCGTATTTACATGAAAAAACATTTGTTGACTCGGCTGATTGTTTTTACGCGCACAACTGCCCCTAAATACATTTTACAATTCGCACAAGTCTATATTTAGTCACAAATGCGAGTGAAACGGTCGCAATCTAGCCCTGAATTAGCACGAGGTCATTACGACTGTTTGTCTGAGCTGCTTTCGTCAACAGTGTTGTAAATGTGAAATAACCCAACTGTACTGTCTGTTTTTCACTGTATTCAGAAAATGACGTGTGTGTCCAGTTTTGACGAATTTGGACTCTCACCTTATTCATGTTTCCAGCTTGCTGAGCATTCATCACATTGTGTGCACCCAGCTGTGGCCCTCCTTGTGTAAGTGTCTCTGCCAGCACACTCCCTCCAACTCCAGGTCCAGCCCCCTGCATGCCTTGACTCTGGTACTGCATGCCAGGCCCAGGTCTACCGCGGCCTGCCGGTCCCAGAGTCCCGTTCATTACTTGTCCCGTCTGGCCCATGACTCCGTGGCCTTGCCCGCTATTCATCAGCGCCTGGTTGAAGCCCATGTTTCCATTTCCCTGACCAGCTGCTGCACCTCCTTTCTGGGCCTGGGGAGACTGGTGATTGGTAGCACCTGGCCCCAGCGGGCTTTTACCAAGTACAGTACCAAGTTGGCTTCCCACCATGCCTCCTTGTTGAGAGTTGGCAGAATTGAGACCACCCCCCAAGATGGAGGAACTTCCTGGACGCAAAAGCTCGGACAGCTGCTTGTGTTTTGCAGCTGCATCGGGAACAAGAGAGTTAAGACCAGGACCGCCTCCACCTGGACCGCCGTTGGAGGACATTCCCATTCCCAAGTCTCCATTGGGAATGAGCTCATCTGGGAGGTCATTTTCCAGGTCAAACAGGGACACGAGATCTGAGAAAGACAGAAGAAGAAGTATGAATTAAGCAAACATCGCTCCTTTAAACATTAAAAAGACTGAAAGGAAGAGTTTAAAGTTTTTTTACTTATCATGTGACTTTTCACGTACGAAAATAATCTCATATAAACATTCAACACAGATCTGAGCCAGGATGGTTTGACTGTTGTTAGGGTCTGGGACATACATATTTTGCATGCATGCATCTCTGTAACGGCACGTTATTTCACTATAATGCGGTCTTGATGCACTTTTGACCCGTGTTAAAAATCCAGCTTCTGCAATTCTGATGTCGCACTCGGCCATAAAGAGATCTGAGTAACAGTTTGAATAATTCTGCGGCCACAATTAGGGAGACACAAACGCCACCAAGTTGTTTTGCAGGTTAACCGTACAAGTGTTTGAATACGGTATTTTTCGCATTGTAAGGCGCACTTAATATCCTTTTGTGTATTCTTAACCTCAGCTATCGCTCCAAACAAGCTGGGGCTATACTAGAAAGAGTGAACACAATTAGGAATGATACGATATTGATATCGCTCCGATATCAGCAAAAAAACAAATATCGAATTATATCAGCCTGCATCAAAAATCTCCGATATCAGCAGTCCATTCCAGACTCCGCTCTAGCACCTCTATCTAGCAGCACCCAGGTCCATCATGTAATGCTCATGTAATTACAACAACAGTGTGTACTAAGGGACCGACAAGGTAGCAAAGAGTAGGAGTGATGTTGGCCGTGGTGCAGTATTTTACGTTTAAGTCCGAAAAAGACGTTTCAGCTGAGTGCAAAACTTGGATCAATACTGGTAACAGCCAATACTGAAGGCTACAGTATCGGTATTGTATTGGGAGTTAAAAAGTTGTATTGGGACATCCTGAAACACAATGCACAACACTGCCTCTTTGCATGACTGGGGACTCCATGCATGACCAGAACACCACAATGGTTTGGCTGAGCGGTTCACACTACTACTACTTTGCATCAAGTGACAGGTTTCAACTACACTGGCTCACAATCTATTGTTTTAGTTTTTGTCTTTTCCAACAATCCCATTAATGTTCCCCCTTCAACATCAACACAGAAAACATGGGCTTGCTCTGAAAACAACTCCTCACTGATTTTTGTGTTTTTTTGGGGGAGGGGATTTGGAATCATTCATGGTTTGGATGATTCATGATCTGATCAGTAAGAGTCCTGAGTGGAGGTGCCTCTAATAGTGACTGGATAGACCTACAAGTAATCAGAGGAACACGGTCGATAACGGCGCAGAGCAGCAGAAAAGACCGTCATCAGCTCAGGATTGTTAACAACTTTTCTTGATTTCCCTCAGGTCTCAGAGATAAACTTGCGGTCTCATATTACACTCAGCTATCATGTTAAAGTTAAAACATGTGTTAAACCCTCTGCAATGGCTTTTTTTTTCATTAAGGAGCAATACACAACAGCCACATGCCACCAAATGGGCACAAAGGCTGAGAACTTGTTGCAGCACACAGAGAGATTTCCCACACTCTCAAAGCTGGCACATCGGTCTCTTTGTGCACCAGCAGCTCCAGTACCATTTGACCTGACCATGTGGACATGCTTGAACAAGTAGGCAGGTAACTGGAGGCTGTGAGTCTGAAATATTTCTCTGTTTGCAGTAATTCAACTTTGGTAGTTTGAGCCTCGCTCTACGTGACAGTATACCTGTGAAGATCATCTTTGTGAGCCTGCTCTGCGTGTTGATATTTAGCGTGTGCAACAACTTCTAAGCCTCTGTAAGTTCTGTAGCTTTACAATATCATCAGTTATGTTACTTTGTGACTTTGTCATTGTGAAAATTCTACGATTTAGAGCAAACATGAATATGATCTGGCTGATCTGTGACAGCTGCCATTTTTACCCTGCACATGGGACTGTTTTCCTTCATATGACCGAAGACTGCTGAAACACAACCATCACCTGAAGAAGGGCTCTAATTCTGTCACTCAGAGCTGTGCAGAAAAAGTAAACAAGATTACTCCACAGATACAGAAAAGTAATAAAACATTTATGAAGGTCACAGTCCAAGTCACACATCCACGACAAGGTTCTTCACGTGCAGGTGCAAGCGCGCCTCTGTGTGTAATCACAACAGCCACACCCCTGCACATGCTCAGCTCGACGTCCCAGGATATCTGGATCACAGACAACAGCGTAACCTTTCTATCATTGATTTACGGTGGTTCTTAATATGAGTTTATATGAGCTCTTTAAGCTTATATTAGGGTGAAAGGCTTCAAATAGATTGCCTGAGCATCTGAGGCATTAAAGCGAAAGAGTCCTGGACAGTGAGGGAGCAAGCAGCTGATCCAAGAGAAGAACAGAGGACCCAAACGCAGCCCAAAGAGAAAAGATGCATTCAGCATGGTGATGATTTTTCTCAATAAAAAAAGAGTACGAGCATTTCTGGTACCAAGTTATTGCATCATTTATTGACAATTGAAGCCTCCGCCCAACAGTTGAGTCATACTATTCTCACCTGAAGAAGACACTGGTGATACAACTCATAAAGTCGCCCACAGCTTTTCAGCGGCTACGTGAAACTTTTCAATCAGCCTCTTCAATTTAAGAGGTAATAACAGGCTGTGAATCAGACTCTCTCTACCTCGCCATAAACATAAAAATGAGGAGACAGGCGAAGCAAAATGCTGACCTTCATAATCCCAAAAGAGAAGTGGTTAAGGATCCTTGCATGAGAACTCTCTATCTTCTTATGGGAAACATAACAAGCAATATTAGTCTACATCACGTCAAGACTGCACAATACTTAAGTATTTGTTTAACAAAGTTTGTAAAAAAGATTCTGCTCAGCCACAGGTGGAGAGAAGAGAGCAGGGACAGGCAGGTTAAAGGGATATTCCGGCGTAAAACTAATTTAGGGTCAAACACACCGTAACACTGAGTTAGACACCCCCTCGAGAGATGAATGTTGCCGACAGCTTTCTTCTCTAGTTATACCAACTTGATTATACATTTATATTATAACTTTATTATACCTACTCTCTTCCAGTAGCTGCTTGTTTGTAGTGAGACCTCGGGCCAGTCCATTACAGACTTCAGCGGGGTGACGCAGCTCAAAGAAGAACATTTATAAGCATTTCTTCATGGAAATGCAATCAGATCGAGACGCTAAGGCGGAAGAATTACTGTGTCAGCAGTGCAAAATGATTCATATGGTCATTATTACTTCAAGGAAATGATAAAGAAATTATCATAAATGTTCTTCCTTGAGCTGCGTCATCCCGCAGCAGTCCGTAACGGACTGGCCTGAGGTCTCGCTACAAACAAGCGGCTGCTGGAAGAGAGTAGGTGAGTTGTGTTTAGTCTCTTTGCTAAAGAAATTAGGCAAAGCTAAAAAGATGTTTGGTGGCTAGTACTATGGCTGGGGCTCTTTATGTACTGTTGATGAAGTTAGGTGCTGCTCTGAGCATTATTTGTGGCGTTTTGGTTGAGGTTTGTTTATGGCTCCTCAGACCGCTGTGTATTGCTATTGTGCGGCCGTTACTGAAGTTGATATAACTAGAGTGGTTAGCAACATTCATCTCTCGAGGGGGTGTCTAACTCAGTGTTACGGTGTGTTTGACCCTAAAATAATTTTACGCTGGAATATCCCTTTACTGTGTCTGAAAAGCAGAGGGACCGAGTGAGCACAAGGAGAGAGAGAGAGGCTGCGGCCATCATTAGCTTTCACGAGCATTAACAAGCAGCGAGTGACCCTCATCGTAATAAAATATGAGACTACAGCTCGGAGGTTTCAAGTGGAGGGCTTGAAAAGTCTGAATGATTGGTTAGATGTGCAGCCTGTGATGGCGTACGAGTGGAATAAAGAGCTCAGATCCTTCACTTTCCAACAGCACTGTGTTAAAACACTCCACCACAAGTGTAACTCTTGAACGCAGTTATCAAAATTAGGTCAAAGCTGTTAAAAATGAAGGACTGATGAATAAAATGGTCCATATCAGCACTATTACAAATGTTTTTGTTATATTATTACTGCTGTATTAACGCAATTAGACGGACATCCAGGCTGAAGAAGACAAGTCAGGCGCAATATGTTTATTTTAAAGTGTTCCGAATATTTAAGGGCTGCCAATCTGGAGATACAGATGTTGATTAAATTAATTGTGTTAAATAATCATGATCACAGTATTTATCAAAATCACCATCATTAAGATTTTTCTTCAGCTGATGTATGTGAAGCATGTTAAACAGCAGAGCAGGATCAATATGACGGCACAAAGGCGTGATAATGGAGAACCTGTGTTATGGTGCTGTAACACACTCATAGTATGAAAGGGTCTTTGACTTATATTTTCTGCTTTTACTCAAGAGACGACTTGAATGGCAGTGTGTTTGTCAAACCTTTAATACAGATCTTTATATGAGAAGCTGTTATGACTTCAAGATGTGCAAATTAGAGGCGTGCTACACTTGTAAAGCTGGGGCTGAAGTCATTTGCTGCTCAGTGTTTATGGAAACCACATCTAATCGGAGAAAATGGCAAGAAAAAAAAAAGTGCAAGGCGGCGCAATCTGAGGGCAGAAGACAATGTTTTAATTCAGCTCCTGCAGACAGATACTGAGACATGAATGAACAAGTCCACAGCCACGTTTGGAAGGATGTGAGCATTTCGTGGACATATGAGCCGTTGACTGTTTTGGATGCCATATTTGTTTGCAACCAACCCCAAAACGTCCGAGGCGTCTTTTCCACAAGGCTGAGAATTATGGCCATAAAATATAATCCTGATCACTTTTAATCGGTTAGTATCTCTCCAAATATTTTGATATTTAAGGCTGAGGCAATAGAAGTAGAGATGGGGATTGATAACCGGACACCCTAAATACCCGGTCCTGCCTTTTTCAAAACCTGAAAATCAAGAACAGTTGAGCATATCGAGTCTCAAGATGATGAGATTCAAGACAAACAAATTTCCCTTTGGGGATCAATTAAGTTCTTGTATTAAATTGTGAAGGGGGGCCCAATAACAGTATCAGTATCTGTAAAAATTAACACCCCACATCCCTAATCATGACGAGATGGCTGCGCCCAGTCAGGGCAAGGACCAAGGGGGAAAAAAAGTCATAAACGCTCATCTTGACTTTGGAGTATTTACGCATACACCAAAAAAAACATGGCGCTCTACAAGGTAGAAATGTCTTGTGATGTACTGCTATGGTTGAGCTCTCAAAGTTGCAGCATCCTTGGGCAGCAGGACACATGATTGTTAATCCATCTCTAGTTGATTTCAAGTGTTTGTTCTCATGAACTCTCAACATGGATGTAGGTTTCAAGTGAGTGAGCGTTTCTGATGCTCTGTGGAGGACCCACGGTGCTGGGTGGTGTGAATTTCCCTGTTTCTGATACTATGTAGGCTGGTTGATTCATCCATGCCAAGTGAACTCCCCTTTGTTTGTTACTGTAATCGGTGTAAATCCTTCTCTGATCCTGCAACAGGATTCTCAAGCCCTGCCATGCTTTTGCAACTTTTACACATGAATTTCCCATAGCTGAATATTGCTCACACAGGTGTGGATGATCATACACACAAGCTAAAAAGAAAGAGAAAGCTTGTCAAGTGAGCTCAGGGACGGAAGAGCTGTTGCCCATCTATTAGCTAGTGTGCTGACACGCCCACTTAGCCGTATAAATGAAAACAAGCCTGACACTAGCTAGTGGCCTGAGGTGCAAACACAGAGTGACAAGAGACAATAGCTCCATAAAAACTGTCACACATTAACATAAACATCAGAGATAGATGCTTATCTGTGGCCGTGAGTGATGGCCTGGTTGGAGAGTGGGGTGAAAGTGGCAAAGAAGGAAGGGCACCATCATATGACAACATTTTCTACTTACGTCGATGAGAAAATTAACTATATTCACTTAAAATTGTTTGCTATTCATACCAATTCGGAACACCTTTCACCGAGTACCCTTTAAATTGTAAGAAAACGAGCAGATTTCAGACTGCACCGGCAAGGAGGTGTAAGAGTAAAGGTCCTTTCACACCAGGAGCGTTTTTTTTTGTGCTATTATGTCGGACGTCAATATTTTTTACCGAACCCGAAACCCATCAAAATTCGCCTCTGAATATTTCGTAATTTCGCGTCGTATATTTGCGCCATTCTCGGTGTGTAAGGACCTTAAGGCTGCAAGCTACAGGTTCCTTACAGATTTCCCTCTGAGTTTTCTCAGTATCCGGACTTTTTCAAGTAAAGAAAAAAGAGACAAGGCTTATCCTCCCATCTGCAGCCTGGCACTTAAAATCTCCTCAGTGTTCTTAAGACCTTCAGCTGCATGCAGGACTTCAAAGAGAGCAGGTCTACAAGAGACACTGAGCAAAGTCTTACCAAATACATGCGTTTGTGTGTGTGTGTGTCAACTGTGACAGAGAGTGCTTCTGGCAACAGTGGGGGAGGAGCCCCAGTGTCGGGCTTCTTTATTGCCCAGCGAAAGCTCCTGTCACCCCTCTGAGAAAATGAGCTCCCCTGGCTGAGGACCCGAGGACCGTCAGCTCACCAGATAATACAGCCACCCACGGAAGAGGAGACAGGCTGCACAAAGAAACTTAAAATCTCTCAGCTGTTTGCAAAGGGCAGACAGATGTTTCCGATCTCCACTATGATTCAAAATTAAGCAACTGCGCCATTCTTTATACACTCCCAAGGAAACCAGAGCTAAAGGTGGCTGCAGTGGTGCAATCCCAAACTGAATTCCCTGAAAGAAGATGGCCTGTGCTTTTTTTTCCCCCACAGACTTACAAAACTATGGTCAATTCACAGCAAGAAAACTGCTATTGAGCTTCTGGCTTTTGCACATAGTGAAAATGATGCTACAGATTTAGTGAACACGTTTGTCTGTTGAGGATCATATTTGCAAAAAAATTGAAAATGCATTGTGTTTTGTTGATAATTCAATAAAACGGAAAACTGCCTTGAAAACAAGTTTTTCCATTTGGTCTCTATTTGTGCTTTTGTTTCGGTTTGGGGGTTTTGGACTATAGGATGCACACAAACACATAAAGCCAACAACATGAACCCAAGAAGTTAGAGATGTCTGAATCCTGATCTGATTTTTTAATACTGACTTTTGGTTATAATCGAGCCCTGATATGACGCTTGTATTTGCAGAATAGAATTGCACAGTTTTTTTAATATTTCTGTTTACAAAACTTATTCCAGCTGTATGAGATCCATAAAACTGGTGTGCATGCAACACTACAAGCTCAAACCTGAAAGTAGACACAAGACAGATGTCAAAGCTTCAGATATCTCTCACGATGGAGCGGTCGCATCAGGTTTTAAATCACCTCCTATGTTGTCGTGAACTTTGCGGTAAAGCTCAGGTGAGGCGACGCCTGTGATACCGCGTCAAGACGGTAGGACTAGCCATAAATCCAAAGGCTCCAAACAACTGCAAAAACCTGCATTTTCCACCACAGGGATGAGCCGATTGTCCAATGCCATGAATTCAACACCTTCTCTGAAATACTTTTGGCCTTTTTGCTCACTCAAGGTAATTTATCCCTCATTTTAAATCCAGAGTTTGCTTCTGTAATGATTGTGCTATACATTTCTATATTTGTATTAGATTATTAGGGGTGAATGCAGCTCTACTGCCTTAAAAAGTGATCATATTGCATTTATTACAAATGGCTCTTTAAATATTTTTAACTGTTGATATTTTGGCCCCTGTGTTTTTAATGATAGCTGCACGTTTGTGTTTCCCAAATTGTGATCAGTTTACAGCAGATGACATAAATGATAGGGGGAAGACAACTGGCTCAAACTGCATGTATTCATTACATTACACACACTATTAACATCTTTCCAGACCCAATATGTCTTTGTGAGACAAACAGGAAACCTTAAAAGTTGGGCAAAAGTCTGAAAAAGTTTCATATTTTGCAGAAACAGCAAATATGTAAATTCCTGATGCAAAGTTATGAAACTCATCAACAGAAAAGTTGGAGGAAGTTTTTACAAATGGTATGCCACCTCATGTAATCTCAGATAACCTTTGCATTTCAAGCATTTTGTTGAATGAAAGATGGGTTGAACCCTTCAGTGGCAAGATGACCTAGTGGTAATGGAAATTATCTTGCTATCAGTCACAAGTGTTTGTGCTGTCAAGACCCTGAGAGTCACACACAGGATCCAAACCAACCTCAGGAATACAGAAGAAGCATGTTCTGCACGCACACAGTTTCACTTTATGGGCTCACAACATTTTCATGTCAGCCTGACACAAAGCCAAATGAGACATCCCCAGACCCCTGCATACCTCCTGTCAACATTTGCTCCAACTGTACAGCGGTACAATGGATAAGTCCTAATATGTGAATTCACCTTTAACCCCTTGAGACTATAAGTCAGGTGCATGCTTTTCATGATAGGTGACTCTGTGCGTGCACCTGTCCCCACATTGCAGATGCAGTCAGACAGTCTTACCGGGACTTGATGTACAGTTTTACTGATATATTTGCACAGCACCACTGAGGTGGCCGCTGGGTTTACTTTTCATATGGTGTATGTGCACAGATCTCAGAAAGCATTAAGGCTGCACTGTGTGCAAGTTAATACAAGTTTAAACCTTTAGGTCTTAATTGTGAGACCTTGCCCTTTGCTTACCTGTACCATCCGATCCTGAGAGGGGTGAATTCAGCTTGGGTCGCTTTGCAGTTGGGGGTCCGACATCCAGCAGATTGTCAGCCATCCTCGTCGACAATTTTATGAATGAATGATGTTGCAGAAAAATAACAGCAGAGTCGGTCCAACTTGTCAGCCTCCGGTTCGTCTAATCCGGTCACTTTTTCTTATCCTTACCAGCAAAGCAGCAATTTAACTGTTTTTTTTTTCCTTGACTGGCAGACTGGTGAAATGTTGCCTGGTGTTAAAGGCTCTAAAAAAAAGGCAACAGCGCCACGCTCCGCCACCGAAGCTCACCCCATGATAATCCAACACCCAACACCCACATAATTATCCCTAATAATTACGTCCAAAAATTATTTCAGTTCGAGAAAAATAAATTAAAATCAATCATAAAATATTACACAAGCCGAAAGCTATTCCCTTTCTTCGTGGATCGCCGGTTTCACGTATGTACAGAATCATTTTTTTCTCCGCCGAAACGAGCTGCCATAAAATCTTTCTCGGGCTTAAATAAAAAGAGCAAAATTCAAAAAATATTTTCTATGAGACGATTTTTTTTTCTCGTCGCTGTCTCCCGGTAAATACAGCGTCTCGGGACGGAGATACGGCGAGAAGCGGCGCTCTCTAAAAGGGAAATCAAATATACAGTGGGCTCTCCGGACGATAAAAACCCATGTTTCCATCACATGTCGGCATTAATTCTCATCGGAAGGACTAAAGCTTCGATTTTCTGCACGAAAAAAGCCGTTTGAGCCTGGTCTGGATGGCTCCGGTCGGTTTTTAAAATTAATGCTCCCCCCGAAATCCCGATTCTGAGCCGCGTCAAGATGGCGGCTGTTGATTCCTCCGATACAAAAAAGTTTTTTTTTTCTTCCCAGCTAGACTGTGGGGGGAGGAGGGGGAGGCGTCGCGCTGTGACGCCCTGACGTAAACCGTGTCTAACTGTGCGTCATGGGGACGTACGTAATACTGCCTCTAGGGGAAGAATAACCCAAAAAAAGTGCGGATTACAACATTTACCTGCTTCAAATTTAACAAAAATATAGCAGACACGAGTACAGATAGAAAATGGGAGGAAAAAACGACACATATAATGCAGATCATGCTTGAATTCTCTAAATAAATAAGGGGCTGAACAAAGTTAAAGTAAAGGTAAACTACTGTCTACTTAAACTACAATGCATAACTAAGCAAACAAGCTAGGTAATTTATGAAAACTGGGAATATATGATAGCTAGGTAAAATATGAAAGTGTTAAATACAAACTATTAGGGATAAAACAAATAAAAATGTTATATTGTAATACACCCACTAGACCCATTACATGTAAATGTGTTCAAAAATCTGATTTGTTCTTAATCTATCTGCAAAGATTACCCCCAAAAAGTCACAGTTTGTGTATCCTATCCCCTGATAATTGAGTTAATTCTGATTACTTTTGTCTTTCTACACACTAATATAAATATTTACATCAATTTATCAACAAAAACAGTTTCATTTACTTAATAAAAATAAATCAGATATAGAACAGGCCTAAAAAAAAGCCCGACATTTCTATAGGGGAGGAATAACCCAAAAATAACCCAAATTTAACAAAAATATAGCAGACACGAGTACAGACAGAAAATGGGAGGAAAAAACAACACTTATATTGCAGATAATGCTTGAATTCTTTAAATAAATAAGGGGCTGAACAAAGTAAAAGTAAAAATAAAACTACTGTCTACTTTAACTACTATGCATAACTCAGAAAACAAGCTAGGTGATGAAATATGAAAGTGTTAAATACAAAATATTAGAGATAAAACAAATATTCAATAAGAATGTTATATTGTGATATTACCACTAGACCCATTACAAGTAAATGTGTTTCAAAATATGATTTTTTTTTTAATATATCTGCAAAGATTACCCAAAAAAGTTACTGTTTGTGTATCCTATCCTCTTAAATTTGAATTATAATATGAATATTTCCATCATTTAATCAACCAAAACAATTTCACTTACTGAGGAAAATGAATCAGATATAGAACAGGCTTAAAAAAAAACAGACATTTCCCAGCAACTGATTTTTATTCAACTTAAACCTTCACTTGCATATCTATTAGCGTGCTATGTACAAAACAATTCCAAAAAAGCAACAATTCATTTAAAAATGTAGTTAGAAAGCTACTGAAGGGCTCCCTAAGCTCCATTAGTTAAGCTTATTTAGTATATGAAAAAGAAATATGTAAATGTCTGTTGACTGGAGCCTTATTGTATGTAAAGTCATAGTTTTTGAGATGATAAAATTGGCTAAGATGTCCTTACATTCCTGCAAGATTAGAGCTTCCCTTTTACAAAAACACACAACCTCACAGTTTTTATTATACAAACACTCATACTTATTTTACACACATGCAGAGAAACAGAAACCACAAGTATTATTCCAACTTTGTTAAAATACCCCAGATTTTAAGACCATTTACTTCCTTAGTACATGCACTTACTTTATATAAATAATAGAAAATGCTTAAATACTATACAATAAAAAAGCAAACTGTACAAAAAAAGTGAGTGCCATGTGCAAATGTGTTTTAACAGTGAATCAGTTAATGACTTTTCTTGCACAGCAATTCCTGCAAATTAAGGAGGAGATATCACACACAAAGGTGGTAATGACACTCTTTGGCATCAGGTTTCTTAGCGTTCCCATTCTGCTGGTTAAGACTGTCTCATCTTGATGAATCGAACAAACAATCATTTCTTTTTTGGAATCAAACTGCGCTTGATATGTTTGCAGTTAAAAAAACAAAGGTATAAAGGGGGCGATCAAAGTGAAGAGTTAGCTCTCTTTCCTCAATGATTTTGTGTTCTAAATACAACCCAAACACAGAGAAAGTTTAGACACTGTCTAATTTAAGGACATGAGATGTTAATTTACAAATCATTTAAAGCCTATGTTCATTTGAAAATAGTGCAAAAACTGAATACTGAAAATATTTATACCTATAATCATGTTACAACCTGTTGGTTACTTAAAATTTGCTTTTTTTTTTCAGAAAACAACTGATTTTTTCAGTTACAGCATTTGATTTGTTGGCCTTGCACTATTTTCAGTCAATCCAGGGTCTGAATCATTTAATAAATACAAAATTCTGTGTTTATTTAAAGCATTTTAGCATTTTGTGCAACGTCCTGAATCTTTCAGCACTGGGGTTGTCCAACACTTATAAAGAAAAGAAAAAGGATGAAAAATAGAAACGTGGTTTATACTTGTTAACCCGATACTCAAGCATCATGACTCCTACAAAGCACATAACCTTGCTGGATTATAACAATCACTACTTTAAATGTCTCTTTATTGTAATTTAAAAAACACAAATCATGTTTGTAAAAGGGTTGTGTGCTCATAAGCGTGAAAAAGCAGATTTTCCCTTTTGAACCAGTAAAATTAAGTTCTACTTATTGCAATTAAACAACTTACTCTAACAATGACAACATATAAAGTACACAACTGAAGGCCAAACTAATAGCAATCTTAATATTGCAATAAGGTCAATTAATGTTACATTTGATTAAGAAAAGGCACCGCTCAAAAGTCTCTAACTTTAAAATTAATGTGTTTTTAGCACAAAAGAAAACACCTTTTCTTTGCTTTTGAAGGCAACTAAAAAAAAAAGATCAGGAAAATTGAGTTTAGATAAAAGGCACAAGCTCATAATCACACAGAGCACAAGCAAACCAGCTAAGCAAACATGAAAGAAGTATTAAATGTTCTAGCTAAAACACGATGTGCTCTAACTTATTACTCTACATAACTCATTTACAAAAGGTCATCTAGTGTAAGGTTTTAGCTCAGGATCTTGAAAATCAAACTACCCGGTGTAGATTTGGAAATATTTTTTGCCTTTGAGCACACAATCCTTTTGTGGGAGAAAAGAAGAAATGCAGTTACCATAAATGTTTGACCTAATAGCAGGAAATTTCAAAAGAAAGAGTGAAAAAAAAACACTAAATATGACATACATTTGGTGCACTGCCTTTGCATGTACAGTGCAGTTACATTAAGTTTCATGCCAGTGAAAAAAGCAGTTAGTGCGTTCAGCTGTCTTTCAAATCATAGAAAGTATGATAGGGCACTTCACATGAACAGTTCAAGTTTTGTGTGACAATAAATACAATAAAACACATTTAGTCTAGTTTGGTGACATTCCACTTTGATTATCCATGTCTTAAAAGCACTATAAACTAACACACAGTGTAATCCAATGCAAATCTAGGCATCTAGACACTCTTCAGGTACAGCAGTGTCTTTTAGAAATTACTGAAATACTTGCTGACTCTAATCACAGCTTGAATGCCCACAGGAGGAACCCAGATCATGTGGGACAAACACTATTGAAAGTAAGCCTCATGTGTGGGTGCTGCTGTTTGTAAGCGTGCTGTTTATGTATAACTGAGACCATCTTGACTCAGTACAATACTAAGTTATAAACTGAGGCCAGAGACGAAGCTGCCACATCAGCAACAAGAGGTTTTCTTTTTCAACTGCGTTCCTAAACTATTTGTAATCCTGCAGTTGCACCAAGTCCTTCAACTTCCTCATAATCTGCTCTCCTCATCAAACCCTGCGTGATCTTCGGTATATTCCAGCATGCAAACACTGTTCGCTTCTAAACACACTTGCACCCTATACAGCTTGGACTCATCTGCCCTTAGATTGTATTGATTAGTCTTTCAGGAAGAGCGACCAGGCATTTAAGTTCACATTTTACTCACTCTGATTCTGTGAACGTTGAATGTAAGGTCAGCTTGTTGAGAACTTCTTTGATAAAAGGCAAAATATCATAGCAAAACATAGTTTACTAAGTGAAATAGTAACAAAAGCGAAGCAGTTGTTTCAAAAAAGATTGCTTATTTACACTTTCCCTTTGTGTTATTTCACTCTTACTCAAAAAGGCTTAGTGTACACATTATTCTATTCTAAAGGCACTTAAAAGACATATGAAAGAAATGACTTGAGATTAAAGGTGTACTAATAATCCGGGAAAGGAATGGGAAATGGTGCAATCCATAAAAGGTAAAAGAAGAATAAAAGTCGGCCTTCTTCTTCTCCCATTTTACTGTGTCTTACTGGACGCCAGTCAGGCCACACCATCAGCCAATCAGATATAGGACTCTCTTTTTCTTCTTCTTGAGGTTGGACCAAATGTACAGCAATTCAACAAACGCCATCCGGCGGAAACAAGTGCTTAAAGGGAAGAGGAGCAACGATAAAGCGCCCTTGTTAAAAAATTCCTAAAGTTTCGTGAACTCTCCGACATAAATGTCATAATCATCACACTGGTCCTTCTTGGTGTCTTTCGGGGACTTTATTGTCGAGTCTTGAAGTCTTTCTTGTGGGTCTGAGGATGAGATAATAAGCCGCTTGTTGTTTGCAGGAGCAGGAGGTCCTTCTCTTTTTTTGACGGGTATAGATGGCGTGCCGCTGTGAGACGAAAATCGCCTGACATTGGAGGTATCTGTGGAGTGACGTCTTTTACAGCAATCCATCTCCTTCACCTGGCTAAGTCCTGTGGCAGGAGAGGAACCAGCACTTGCACTGGGTACCAAAGTATTGGTGCTACTTGCATTTATGCTAGTCGCAGGCACCATGCTAGCAATTTCATCGGTTGGCGAACGCCCGATGCTACCATCCACCTGAGCTCGGATCTCTGGCGAGACTGAGAGTTGGTACTGAGGCACAGGGCCACTGTCACTGCTCTTGGGGTACAGGAAGGTCTTCATCTGACCTTTGCCTTTGACGTTAACTGTACCCCGGTAGTCAAACTCATATTCCATACCGCTGAGTACACAATAACTTTCCTCGCTGACCTGGACACGACACTCCACACCTGTTGTATCCATGCGACTGGCGATGTTGACCGTGTCGCCCCAGATATCGTAGAGAAGCTTCGTGGTGCCAATCACCCCGGCTGTAAGAGGCCCGTGATTGAATCCGATGCGTAGCTTGAAGCCGAAGCCCAGCATGTTCTTGTTGAAGTCGTCCACCACGCGCATCATTTCCAGAGCAAATTCAAAAAGAGCCCGAAGGTGAGCATGAGGATGAGCCGCGTCCGCACACTGCTGCGCGTTGAGTCCCGCCGCTGCCATGTACGTGGCGCCGATGGTCTTGATCTTTTCGATGTTTGAGAATGCGGGTTTTCGTAGCAGCTCGTCAAAGTCTCCGATCAGTTCGTTGAGCACGCGATAGCACTCCTTGCCTCCCTCATAACTTTCCTCATAGAACTCACTGAAGTTCACAATGCTGGCAAATATTACGCCCACGTTATCGTGGTTCTTGGAGTAGCTCTGCGTAACCTTCAGCTGCTCGGCCACATGGATGGGGATGATATTGCGTAGCAGCCAGTCAGCCTGGTCCCTCATGTTCTGGATCTTGATGCGGTGCTGATCAGCTTCCACATTGCCATGGTAATGTAGGCGGTAACTGACCTCAAACTCACGATTAAGGAACCAGACCAGGAGAAGGAGCAGAAAAAAGGCTACACAGGCTTCAGGGCCAAGCAGGTCCTGCGGGCTGGCCTGAGAGTCCGGGTCTGCCAGACTCACAGCTCCATCATCGGCTATGATGACGGAGCTGTTGCTGCTGCTGCTATTGCTTTGGTCGTCTGACCTGGAAAAGAAATTAAGTACAAAAACTTCACAGAGATGAAGGATAAATATAACATGCATTTTCAAGTTTACTGTTTCTACCGGGGGGCCAGGAAACGGTGCAGCAAACCCTGATCTTGCTTGCATTTTCACAGCCAACTGTATCCTGGCGCTTCACACAGGAAGTGCATTGGCTGTATGATGGCTCTGATTTTCATTTTGGCGTGCATGTCAAAAAATTAGACTGTTCATACTGCCAGCATAAGCAGAACATCTCACGCCTAAAATCTTGAGAATAGAAAGCTTTTTGATTTTTCTGCAGCTCTTCTTCAAAATTAAGAGTAAAATGACAAGTTGAGGTTTTGTATCAGCTGTTAATGCAATAAGCATGAAAATACGTCTATAACCTGATGTGTATAAAAATGTACATTCAGTAGGGCACATGATTATACTGATCAAATAACATGAGATTAAGTGAGATATGATTCAGCACTATCTTCAGTATGATTTGCTAATTGTGAGCTAAATTACAACAAATTAACGACAGTATTGTACTCACCAGAAATACAGACCTTTAGCAACACTGTAAGAGATAAAACACTTATTAATGCATTAAAAAGAAACAACCTTACCCCACGTGCAAAAAGTTTGTTTCTACATACCTGCAGGGGGAGCTGAAGAGCAAGACGAGCAACACAAGTCCCACCAAAGTTGCCAGTGATGAGCGAACCCAGTAGCTGAGTTGGCAGAAGTTACAGTACTGAATGATGGCGATGATGACAGCACAGCAGAGGAACATGGTGAACTGGGGAAAAGACATGACGCAGAGTCAAAAGAGACCATCAAGATTCCCCATAAATGACACCAACTATAGACTTATCATTATAGTGGATATTTTACAGGCATAGAACCCCAGCAGATGATTCACATTTACTGTCACTGATAGAGAAATGAAGAACAGCATGAAGCTTAAAATGCACCTGGATGGAGATATTCATGTCACAGGTGACATGAGAGTAAACAGCGACTGTGGGCAGCGACACCAAGATGGCTCCAATAATGTGGCGCACGACCCAGCCGGAGAGCACTCTCATCAGCCTCCGAGTGCAGCTCAACACACAGTCCAGGTAGAAAGCCATACTAAAGAGTGGAAGTGAAGACATCTCTGATTGATTTAAAGGTTATTTTCATGTACCAAACTTGTCATTATTTACATCTGATTTAAGAGGTAAACAAGACAAGAGATAAATCATTTTTAATATTCTTGTTAAAGTAGTTTTGGTACCTTGTTAATCATATTTAAGTTTTAGACAAAGCTTTTGGAAATTGTGTTAGCAGCATGATAAATGCCACATGTGATCAGGAGGAGCAGAGCAGGTGCCCCAAGTGCACAGGTCACAGTCCTCATTGTACTGGTAGCAGGATTGATCCCTGATCCTCGCAGAGGTTGGTACATGTCAACCCCACATTTACTTTCTCCAAAGCTGTACTTTCAAAAAAGGGCAAATAACCTTTAAAAATGTCACATGAGAATCTAAGAGATAACTTCTGTTTTAATTTGGCAATTCAATTTTCAAAAGTCACTTGTCTTCTTCGCCTGACCAGATCCTCTACTTTAGATCCTTTCCATTCAACATCAGATCTTACCGTACAGAAAAGAGCAGGGCCAGCGCTTCTATCACAGCGGCTACGCTCGTCGTAATGAGCGGTGGTTTAGACGGACTCTGCTGGGTGACAAGTGGGCGAAGGAAACAGGCCAGGGAGAGGGCCAGAAACACCAAACAGCACAGCAGCATGTCCAGGAAAGAACTGAATGTTGGACTGGCAAAGGTGTGCACTTGTGCTTGGCTTTCCACCTGGAAAAGTAAAAAACAGGAGGGCGGATAATAGACACTATAAATACAGTTACAGTCTCAACTGTGATGCTGCACTTCTGTGGTTGCACCTGCAGAGGGCATCAAAACCTAACACAAAACTACTTTAAAGGTCCTGCAGAGATTTCTCTTTGCCGCAGTCTTGACCGGTCTGGTCATAACACAGTGCGAACAGGCTTCCCAGACAAGACACAGACATGCAGAGAAACACAAACAGGTGGAAAGGTATTCAAAACATCCAACTAGTTTCACACGCAGATGAAGACTGGAGTGTAATGGGATCACTGGAAGCGGATTTGCTGTTTTAACCTGTTAGTTATTAACTCTGATCCGAAAACAACCACAGGACGACCTCAAAGGATACAACGAAGAGGCTTAAAATAATGAAGACATATCTGCATACTATCAGGGATACACACTTTATCATGCCATGCACTGACACAGCACACACACACTCACACACGCACACTTGCATACCTCCTCTTGGTAGCTCGTCCGGTAGGCAGACTCCAGGATCTTCTCCAGGAAGGTGATGCTCAGCTTGTTTATGGGAGGCTTGTAGAAATAGTCCTTCATCAGGCTGTGAGAGGCGAAGTGAATTATGATCAGCAGGATTTTATCTGTAGTACTTTACTAGCTTGAGGGCTCGATGGACATTAACAACTGGGAATGATTTATGGATCACCTGTGCATAGTGTTTGAATTAGACTTGATCCTATGTCATTACGCAGACTGAGAATTCCTATCAATATGTCATTGCACAAAGAGTATTCAGCTATTATGTATGAGTGGCTTTTAATCAGAACAGCAGCCTGCTATATTTATTCATATTAACGCTGCTACAAACAACAAGTGTTTGAAAGAGGAAACAAAGAACTGGCTCAAGGTAATTTATCATGTGATGATAGTACATACAAATATTTAGTCCCCTGCTCCAATTAAGTCCTTACCTGCCAACCTGCTGCTAGCGTAAATGAGCTCATCTTGGTTTAATATCCCCGGGTACAGAGCTGCAGGTGTTTACTATCTATACAGGATCAGTGCGCATCCATGAAGAGTTACATTTTTCTAACAGAGCATGGTGTAACCCCGATTTAAAACAAAAGTTAGAAGGCCGAGTTAAACGTTGAAACACAAACTGGTTTATAAAAATGACATCTGTGTCTAAAAGAGCGCTCAAGAGGCTGAGTTTCTTAGAGATGAAGATGCGGAAAGGATTCAGAAGTTACAAAATAATTTTCCTGTGGATAAAACTGAAGATTTTGGGAGGATTTCATCAACTACAGAAAATTATATCTTAAAAAGATTCAGTGAATTAGGAGAAATCCCTATACATGAGCACAAAGCCAAAAAACTAATCCTGGATGGCTGTCATCTGCATCAAAAACAGACATGACTCTGTAGTAGAAACCACTCAAAATGACTCCCAAAAACATAGTCTGGGGACAGATTTGTAGCTTCATTCACAAATTGCAGTGAGACAGGGAGACAGCAACGATTTCTCTGGGACTGGGGCGACTGGAGTTGTCGATGTTTACTCAGTTTCAGCAAATCTCCAGGTTCTAAACCTGAATGAAAAACCGGACACAAATCATCTCCAGTTTAGATATCTGGGACCTGTCCTGTGTGCATCCTTACCTGTCCTCCTTGATAACATCCACAAAATGAGCATCACTCCTCTCCCTAAAGTTTTTGGAGCGTAGAGGAATGAGCGCTGAGTGATCCATGCCGAGAACTCCTCCACTCCACGTCTTCTTCTCCTTTTCCTGCAGCATCTCACACAGAGAAGTCTGGCTGTTAGTCAAAGCCTCCAGTCGGGGGCTAAGCAGGCCGTTTAGAGCTTTGGGACTGCGCCCCGCGGCAACCGCTGGAGAAAACTTCAGATTTGAAGAGTCCTAGGAGAAGGAGAGGAGACCTGAATTTCCCATAAAAGAAGGTGTAAAAATGGATCTTTGAAAACAGGTCAGCGATAATAAAGAAATACAGCACTTAGAGTCTCAGTCGCGTCACTTTAAATGATTGTGTCTGTGGCACAGTTTATCTGGGACCCATGGAGTCCTACTTCTTCGAACTATTTTTAGTCCTGCTTTTAACTGCTAGGTCGAGTAATTGTAACCACAGTTGTTTTTAAGTGGCCTAATATTTAAAAGAGAACAAAATACACCAGATGAGACGTACACACAGGGTAGGTAAGTCTCATTAGTTTGATCCAGGTAACACAAACATGCTAACCTTGCTGCTGTTCGTCTTGTGGTTGTCATGGCAGCCATTGTGCACCGCTCCTTCCTCCGGAACTGGATCCTCCGCCGGTATCAGAGCCACGCTGCAGGAGGGACAGGGGGACTGCAGGGAGGGACGGTACGGAGGGAGTTGTAACATTTTGAGGAGGCAGGAAAGAAGAAAGAGAATTAATAAATCGAGAGATCAAAGAAGGCCGATGAGTGGCGAGAGCGAACACGAGTCGACAGCAAAGATGGAGTCTAAGACGACAAAAGAGAGATGGTTTAACAGATGCATCGCTGGGAAAGACAACACTCTTTCCTTTGACACAAAGAAGAGCGAACGTGTGAAATCTACCAAGCATCATCCTGTGATTTTTAACAGAATAACTCCATTTTCAGCGAGTACAAAGCTAGAAAGTGACAGGGACTGGTAAGAGACAATGGAGGGTAAACAAGAGGCGTCAAAAAAAAAAGTCTGCAAGGACCCGAGTCTGCTGTTCGTATCCCGCTCATCACTTCAAAGAGAGCTTAAAGTGTGCGCGTATGTCGACAAGAGAGAGATCTCATACCCTGAAATGATGAAAGAAAGCTGAGAAGGCACGGTTACCCGCTGAACACGCAAACATTTATTCCTACACCGATCCTGTGACTCCATCCTCTCACTCAGATGTGATTACTTCGCAGATCCCTGAGTGCGATCCCTCCCTATAAGCCTCATCTGTATCAGTTTGAGGGCCGTAAATGGAGGAGTAATCAGTGGAAAGCAGAAAGACCTGAGAGCTTCCAATCTCTCCACCTGAGTTCGCTCATTATCATATCCAAAACCCCAACTGACCCCCCCTGCCTCCCAGTATCAGCTTCTTCCTGTTTTTACCCCTCCCCTCTCCACTTAGCCTTGCAGGGAGCTGTGAGATCTGTCGAGGGATCATGGGGTGCACATATGTGCCGAGAACGAGGAGTTATTCGGGTGAGGATAAAACACAGTGGTGCGAGGTTTTAAGAATAACTATGAAGGAATAATGAGTCACAAGGAGTCTATGACCTAGTGGACCAATTTGGAAGCAAATGAGAAATTTCCCTTGAAGGCAGAGCTAAGGAGGACACATTGGATGGACATGCTTTTAATTGAAGAGCGGAACATGATAGACTGGCTGTTATGTGGACCGCCTACTGTGGGGAACAGCTATTTTCATTGCATTATTAATATATAACCGTCCTAACACGAGTTAGTATGCAGCTCAACATACTGATAGAAAACAGAAATTGATGGTTTTGGAATACTTAAAACGCTGCTACAAATGGTGCAAAGACGATATTTCAAATGTTGAAATGTGAGGCTCTTAATGTCTCATAGATAAGGTTTGTGCTCGTTTATAATTTGATGCCAGAAACACCTTTAAAAACAGTCCATTGAGAAAGTTGGAAAAGCTGAAAAAACATCTCCCATCTAATGAGAAGACTTTAAAACAGGTTAGTAATGTGACTGTGCAGGGCCGGCTGCTGGATCTTGGTGGCCCTAAGCAAGATTTTGTTTGGTGGCCCCCCAAAAAACTCCCTGTGCATCCCACAAATAAAACGCGGAAGGAGTAGGGATGTGACGCCCCCACCTATTAGTTGAGGTTTGGGTGGGGATGTGATGGAGCCCCCAATATTGGTTGTGACTTCTAGATCGTCTAGAGTCTAGACAGGTGGTGAGCAACTTTGATGATGGTGAGAGCCACTATACTTCCACACTCAGTCCAGGGGGCCACATTACATGTACTGTCGGTCCATTCGATGTCACACAAAAGTTGCAAAAATTGCCGATCTACAAGCTCCCTGGGCTGCCAGTTACCCATGTAGGTTTTAGAACTAGCTAGCCAGTTATTTATGTCTTCCTTATTTTTTTTTTTTATTTTTTTTTTTTTTTTTTTGGGGGGGGGGGGGGGGCTGATGTTTTTTATTTTTAAAAGTTATTTTTAAAAGTTATTACGGGGTTCATGATTTCTATGATTGACACTCGATAGATTGTGTAGCTCACCCGGGGGATACGCTGTTTGAGCCGAGCGTCATCACAGCGACTCTCGGCGACTCTCTTGCCGAATGCGTACAACGCTACTGCGCAATGTTGGTTCCAGGAAATGGACAAAAATCACAGATATACAGAGAGCTTTTCAGCTTCAAATCCGTACACTGGCGGAAGGCGGAACCAAGTATTCCATAGTAAAGATGGAAAGAGGTTCAATAATCTCTGTGAGGGACTGCGAGAGCAAATAAGCTCAGCGATTCCAGAATAATGATCCTCTGTGTAAAATTGATGACTCTGCAGTGGAAATCTAAACTACTGTCTGTAAACACAATGTCAGGTTAAAAGTGCGCCATACAATGAAGAAATCATATATAAAGATGGAAACAAAATCAGCTAAAGCTTCAGATACAGACACATAGAAATAAAAGTGTATATTCACCTGTCTGGAGGCACTGTCTGGAGGCACGTGACAGGCAGACGGAGCTCCATCAGGTGTGTTCATCCTGGAAGTGGGACACTGAGAATCTGCATGCTCCGGTCCAGCCAACCCCAGCTGAGAGCAGCTACAGTGAGAGAGAAGCTCCACTTTCCTCCCTGAGATCAGGTAGGTCTTGAGCCCTGCAGGAAACAGAAACACAGAAAAGAGGATTTCAGCTCTCACCCTGGAAGAAAATGAATCAAGCTTGAGATCAGGTTTTGCCATCCCTGTGTACATGAGGGTATGAGTGTTTGCGGAGTTGTTTTAGGATGCAGCAGAGGCTCGGTCCTCTGCGGGATACATTCCCTCTGAGAATTGTATCAGAGGGTGCTGGCATGAAACTAGAATCCAGAGAAGGAAAAGCAGTGAATATCAGTTTCTCCCACTTGAAAAGCCGAGGTCATATACATGAGTCATCCTCATTTCCATAAATACATACATAAACAAAAAGTGCAAACATATGTGCCGCGTTTCTGCCGAGTAACAGAGTGTAAGAGACTAATTCACCTCTGTTTTATATTTTACTTCTCAATTCATCTACTTTTTCTTTTTTTTACTAAAGGTTTTAACCCACGTGAATCTCTGAGAAGAGTTCATGTATGTGAGGTTCTCACCATGACCATGAGACTGTAACAGCTTCAGACACATCAAGCCAGGGCCAAATATTTGAACACCTGCGTACTCCCACTTTTATCAACATGTTTTCATTTCTATCACTCCTATGAGGAATGCGTGCGCTTGTGTGTGCGTGTGTGCCTGTTTGCGTGTGAGCGCGTTTGTGCAACCTTTAGCTCTCAACTCAGCCTTTCAAGGTGAACAGTTTGCCCATAAAAGCGATGACATGTGGCGACAAGAAAGTGCGTTTTTTTTTTGTTCCCATGAATACAGGCCAAAGCGAGGCCCATCCAGCTTCATGCCTACCTCAATCAGACTCATTAACGCCTGAGCTAGTTGGCGAAACTCTTGGCGCCTGCTGGCCCTCTTATTTGTTTATGCACTCATGAACAACTTTACACTCACTCATCACTGCAATATACCCTCATTATTAAAACCGCACCGGCATGCTGTAAACTTTTGTTTTTAGTCGTTTTAGTCGTTTTAGTTATCTGAAATAAACTCTTTGTAACTACACAAGCCTGCGTGTTTCACACTCATAGTAAGATTGTTTTCTTTTATTATAAATAGTGTTAGACTGCTGGATCCCTGCAATGCTCCCACAGTGCAAATTTTCATCGCTATGCAGACATATGGCCTTCTTCCTGTTTTGGTCCTTCGCTGCCAGCTCTGTTTCTGAGGTGAGTTACACAATAAATACTGAGCCGTTAGACCAATAAAGGGAAAATTTCATAGTTATTTTTATTAGGATGATAAAACAACTATACAGCTGCTTTCATTGAGCGTATACAATTCCACACAGCAGGTGGCAGTATGCAAACTCACAGCCTGTGTCTGCAGAATGAAGAGCAGCTGTTTTAGGACCGACAATCTTAAGACTCAAGATGGGGGTTTGAACACTAGATTATGATTTTTAACTCACAGGATTTGATCAAAAGTTCGGCTGAAGAGGAGGATGGCAACCCTGCAGCAGCAGCCAGAGTTGACAGAGCTGTTTGAAGCCACAGAGAGTCAAAGGTACATCATTTTGGCTTGATTTAAATCACACTGCTGATGTGCTTGACCATCGAGGTTGCTTCCCCCTTTGCAAAAAAATGATTTTGCCACAAAAAGTCCAATTTGCTTCATCAAGCTAGTATTTGATATTCAGGTTTAGAAAACTGCAGATGGAACCAGATCTCCAAAAATGACACTGAAAAAATGCAGCTAGACACTAACAGATCCTCCTGATCTGTTGACACATGCTACTCTAACAAGCTGACAAAAGAGCAAAAAGCGGCATCACTGTGTGGATGTTTTTCATGGTTTCTGATAAAATTACAACTTAAAAACATGAGCTATGAGTATTTTGGTTGGAAGAAAAAATCTGTCACTTTTAAATCTTTTCAGTCACCTGGAAAGTTTTTATTGAAGCAAAGTCGTACAGAAGAAATACGAAGCTGCAGCAACTTGAGCTAGCATAAGCATAAAATAGCTAATGTTTCAGTCCAATCAAACGGCATTTGAGAATCAGAAAGTCTACAGAAGAAATTATGGGCGATGACGTCATCTAGCAACTTCTAGCTACTTTTACGACAGCCACTACCAACTTTCCTTACTGAGGAGTTGGCAACAGTGCCTTCTTGTGCAGAGCTCCAGTAGCTCATTAGCACTTAGCCTCTGAGTCGTGGGTGCAGACAGCGCTGCTCTGCACACTCCTCTTCACGCTAGATTAAAGCCTAGCATTCCTGGTGTCGTAGCAGAAGCAGGTCACATCAGCGCTATTCAGCTCTCAGACACTAATGTCTTTAGAGGCATGATGAAAGTTAATATCATAATTAGCTTTCCTACGAGCATTTCAATCCGCTAACGCACACGCTTGATCCATGACTGTCATCTATTTCTCAGAGTCTGGCCTTTATAGCAAGGTTATAGGAAATCTCACTTTATGTGAGTCTGCCGTTTGGGTCCGATTACTCGAGTAATCGATGGATTATTCGGTAGAATACTCGATTACTAAAATATTCGATAGCTACAGCCTTAAAAAAAATTAGTCCAATCTACGACGAAGCAAAAAGCCTGTCAAAGTTTAGGATGGAGGGGTAGGGAGGCCTTGGGGTAAGGGCACCCCCTTTTTACACCCTAAATCCGCCCCTGACACCCACGTCTCTCCTTTTTTGGCAACCCCGTGATGTGAAGTTTCTCTTTTTATAATTATGTTTTTCCTCAGGCTGACCATATGTAATGATATTTGCTGCTTTTCATCCTTATACACGCGCCTCTTCAGAGCTTATTTGTATCTGACCTCCTGTTCATATTCCCCTCTTGGCCTGCCTGCACGGTGTAAGGACAAGGCACAAATGCATTGACAGATAACTGCGTGTATGTCAGCAGCATAAGTAAGTACCTGTGACCGTGTGCTCAGCCACATAATTCAACTGTCAGTAAAGCCACAACCCCGGGCCCTAAGCATTGTCTGCCTAAGTACTTCAGACAGGCCTGCCACCCGCCTCGCCTGTGCCGAAGCACCCTGGGGCTGCACTCTCTGACACACACACACACACTCTCATGCAGAGACCACACATATGACACACTGTTCTATTTGCAGGGATACACAAGCAGGAACTAATCTCATGGGGGGAAATGCTGAAATAAGCAACACAAGAGGAGGGCAGGGAAAAATAAGAAAGCATGCACACAAAAGGACTCATGTACATACAACTGCAATTATAAGACACTGAAAAAAAAAAAGAAAACACCCACTCTCACCACCTACACATCCAGTCAAACACATATACACACATCAAGCGGGGGTGTAGATGGACGGCTTCACTGTAGCTGGGTCGATAGCCAGGTGGATGAGGAATCAGGGATAGGAAACGAGGGCGGTAAACAGCAGTAACAAAGAACTAATTCCCCGCACCAGTGATGCAGAATGGCGCAGCGGCAAGAAGAGGCAGCAGGAAACTGAGAGAGCTCCTGAGAACGTGTGAGATTGACACACAAATGTACACACACATACACACACACACATGCTGGGATGACTGATTTCATTAGTTCGCTAATCAAATCTCTCCCGGCCTTCCCTTCATGACATAACCGGACTTCTGCTTCTGCTCACAGGTCAACGCGGTTACTGGTCCCCCTCCCTCTCATGGTGTCATTTCTTCTTCTTTATTCATCCTCCACTTTTTACTTAACCTGCACAGGAACCTCTAAAAACGCTGTATGTAAGGCAACACAGAAATGTCAAACGATGCCTCATAGCTGTGGGTAGATATTCAGCGTGAACGTCTCCTTCTCTATTCACCGAGATTTCTCCAGGCCAGATTGGGAACATTTGACTCAAAGAGACAGTCATGTCCATCGCAGCTGCAACACCACTGAAGTATGTGAGTCACGCTGTATGATTGATTAAAACGTTTACAGTCACAGCGAATTCAGACCTCGCTGTAAAAGTGACAATTCCTGCTGCTGAAGAATAATAAAACTTCACAAGACAGGGACGGAGCAGAAACAGAAATCGCTGGACCATTCAGCCTCTATTCCCTAACACTGTAATAGCTCATTAAAGATAATGAAACGTTTGAAGCCAGATAATATGCCCATCAGAAAGGGTAAAAAGGCGAAGACGGCGGAGAGGATTCGATAGTGGGGGAAAGAATAATGACTTGGTATGAGAGGACCCACTTGTAAAAGGCAATTAAAAACAAGAAGCTGTGCAGGAATACTAAACTGGAGTAGAGGTGAACATGACGTTAAAAAAAAGTTGGTCAAAATCCAAAAACAAAACCGTAAAAGTTGAGGGGATTGAAATGAAGATGTCAGCTGAGGTTAAGAGGAGGCGACGGAAGATCAGCTGCGGCCTGCCCTCTCCTTCTCTTTGATTTATGTCAGATTTAACGCGCCGTGCTGGCCTGAGTTCAGACGTTTTCAGCGCCCTTGTCTTTGTCAGACTCAAGGAGAGAACCGTGCCTCGAGGCTGAAATCCACGGCCATCACTCCGAAAGGTTAACGAGGATGTGTGTTAGATTGATCCCTTCCTGCGGTTGGACAGCTTGTTTCAGGAAATCACTTCACATGACAGACAGAGAGGGGCGAGATAGATGGACTGCAGGGGCATGCAGCGCTGCACAGTACGGTAAATGCGTGTGTTTGGAGAAAGGTTACGCGAGTTCAAGTGTCTCCAGATGTTTGTGCGCCTGTTCCTGGATGCTCTAGGACAGTTTTGCATTTTTAAGATCCAACCTTGTGGCAGCTGAAAGTGCAGTGTTCTCTTCTCAGGCAGTAAACCGAGGCTCTGATAAACTGGCCCGGCCACAGCTGGCTCACCGCACTCATCTCAACAGGGTCCAACATCATCAGAACGCAGCTGTGCGCTAAAGTCCTCGCAGCGGGAGAAAGGTCATGAAAACTCATTCTTTCCATGAAAGTGTGTATGACTATCAATCAGTCATTTTGTGCACATCTGTTTTATAATCAATGACTCAGTTGACCCTGTGATAATTGAAGAGCATCATTACCAGAAGGTCCTGGGGTACAAGTGGACATAATGAGTCCTGTCCTGTACTGTCTGCTGAAAGGAAAGCACCACGAGAGCCCCCCCTCTAAAACTGTGGCTGTGAAGTCTCACTGTTCAAACTAAATGTGAAATGCTCTGTTTAATGTCAAGTACCAAATGATGAACGTATAATGTAATACATGTAAACGTTACATAAAGTTAAATGTAATTTTTTATGTGTACTGCAAATGTTAGAGAAAATGTAAACGTACAATATGAAGATGTGGCTTATAAGAATATATGTTGAATACAGAATTGCAATTGTTAAATGTTGTGTATTAAAGGTTAAAGAAAATGAATGAATGAATGACGTTTATTCATTTTGAATTTGTTCAAAAGAGAAAAAAATTCAGAATGAAAATGAGAAGGGAAAAAAGGAACATACAAGATATTCCAAAAGGAGTGAAAGGAAGTAAAACTTACCAAGTCCCACCCCTTCTCCATCAGCTATTCTACAAAAGTGCTTCCAAATATAAATATATATATTCTCATACTAATAAAAACAGTTTATACGCCATAATTCAGTGGTCTTTTCAAAAAACAAAATAAACAAACAACAAAAGCCAACATAATTCTTAATTTGGTGCCATACCTTCTGTTTCAACCCTATATCCACTGAATATTGTATTTTATGAATTTTTTAAATTTCCTCTGTTTCATATATAAACACCACATCGTGAAACACAAAAACTTTTCATTGTTGTGCGTGTTAATCAGTTAACAGTTAAACGGTAAATGTGAAAAATAAATAATAAAATCGAAATTTTAAGATTAAAATGAAAAGGTAATATTAAGTATAAAAAATATTGAACATAGCATGTAATTATCAAATGTTTAATATTTGGTGTTAAATGTAAAATGTGAAACAGATGTTTAAATGTTGAGCCTAAATTCATGATGTTAAAAATTAAAATGGTAATATTTAATGTGAAATGTGATTGTAAAATGTAAATATCGAATAATATTGAATAATAAATGTAAATGTAAGTGATATTAAGACTGTAAAGGGTAAATGTGAAACACAAGTCTTAGAATCTGAATTCAGATGTGTGGTATGAAAAATAAAACTCTTAAATGTAAAGTGGAAAAAGTAATTGTTAAATCTAGACATTTGATGTTAACTGTTAAATATTAAAAATGCAAATATTAAATGTGATGTGAAACGGGAGATTTTAGGTATAATTTGAATGTTAAATGAAGATTAAAATTAAACATTAATTAGACATACTGTTATAATTGTTTTTGTTTAATGTGAATATTAAATGTTAAATGTGCTCTAGAGTCTTCACAGCAGGGGAAAAGGTTATGAAACTTAATCCTTCATTTTAAAATTATTTTAAATGTAATTTTATGACAATCAAACTTTTACTCCTGACAATCAGATGACCCTGTGCTAATTGAAGAGCACCATCACTGGGAGGTTCTGGGCGTTATTGGACTTGAAGTGTCCCGTCCTGTGCTATCAGCTGACAGGGAACAGTAGATAACCTTTCCTCATGAGAGCCCAGTCACATTATCTCCCTCTCCAAACCCCTTTGTTCAGGACAGAAGAGAGTGACACGAGAAAAGCACTTTGCAAACAAATAACACCATCAACTCCTCTCCTCCCTCTCGCCTCCTCATAGCACGTCTGAGCTCTTCTGGGACAATGGCCGCCCCTGAACTCCTCTTTGAATGATGCTTAAAGGGGCTCAGTGCAGAAGGATGGTGGTACAAAATAAACATACAAAGGAAAAAGGGTTTATGCAAGCAAAGTCGTGATTGCAGTGGTCACTCCGTCGCAGCTGCATAACCCCCAAATGGTCAAATGGTTACTACACCTTTTCGATGCATAAAAGTCCATCAGAAAATGCAAGAAGGTTTGCTCCAAACTACCTCATTTCCTCATTGTTTAAACATGAACTCAGTCAAAATTGAGCATCATTTATTCAACATAATTAAGCACAGGATCACCCGTCTGTGGGTGGACATTTGTCTGTCTCGCGTGGCTAACATTAGCAGAGCTAGCACCACCACCCTTGGGACCTCCTCATAGGTCAACATCCACATGCATGTGCTCTGGTTATGCAATGCTCTGGTGAAGGACTCATGCTCCAGTCTGACTCAAGTGCTGATACCAGAAGTCATGACTCAACTAGCACTGATGACTCAGATTTGGACACCAAAGATGGAGAGACGGCGTCAGACTTATTTATCAATGGATCCAGACTTAGACTTGAGGTTTGGTGACTTGACCACAACACTGGTTGTCCACAAACCAATTTTACTCTTTGTATCACCTTTTAAAACCCCCTTAACAACCCAAGTGGGACTGAGCAGCCAACGTTAATGTCCTGGGGAGATTTACTGAAAGCAGTAGAACACAGAGGGCGACCAAGAGTGAAGGGGAGTCGGCAAATATGCTTAGATCAGCACCAACACACACACAAAAAAACCCATAAGCAGATCAAGTGCCTTATCTCCCGTTAATGACAGGTTTGCCTTTCAGGGCCAGGTATCCGAGCAGGAGGGCAGTGGAGCAGGTGGCACAGAGAAAGTAACACTGCTAGGCTGGGCAGATCTTCATGCCAGCTGGCAGTGCCAGCAAGCAGCCCCCACCTTCTCCTTCCTCTGCGTCCCCATCCTGGGATACACTGTACATCCTGTCCCTGTCATGGGGGAAAAGGGCAGGAGGAGCAGGAGGACACCTGTCCAATATGACAGGCTGGTTAGAAAGACTTCATTACTGCAGCATGGCTCCCAGGGGACAGGAGGGAGAGATCAGAGGAGGAGATGACAGAGATTTGGGGTAAAATTCCAGTAGGAAAAGACTGGGCGAAGGAAAGAAAAAGAGGCAGGATTGAGGCGTAGAGGTGGGGTGAAATCTTTTGTGTGCTCTGTCTGAGAGTGAACCCATTCAGTCAGAAAACATGAAAGGCACTTGTGCATTTTTCATAAGGAATCACCAAGGGAGTCGCACTGTCATTTCTGACAGTAAAGGAGAAGCACAGAGAGAAAGTATGTGTGTGTCTCCAGAGCTGTAGACGGCTTGGAGTGGGGGGAGGGCGAGCGCTGACCTTCCTTTTTTACAGCTGAACACTTCTGCTGAGCCGTGGTTACTTCAGGGGCGACTAACAGCATTCAAGAAGGTGAGCAGAATTACCCACATCTTCAGACTAGAGAGGACTGTCTCCTTAAAGTGGGTGTCAAACAGACTTTGTCTTCAACAGACGGTGTTATGAATAATAAAGAGGAGAAGATGTTTCACAGTTCCTCCATTCACTACAAAGATAAACAAGCACGAGGAATCAGACTCTGATTGGAGTTTACACCAACACTAGACACTTTATCATTGCCAAGCATTATGATTTATTCAAGCAACAGATTTGAGAAGCAAAAAATTTATTTAAAAATTCTGCAAATTTTTATATTTGATGCATTTTAGCAACTCCTTTTTGTCAACTTAGGTGAAGTAGGACATTATGAGTAAATTTGAGATGTGTTTATCATCCTAAAACTCATTCCTATTTGGCTGCTTTGTCTAATGGATTCACAATTTTATTTTCATGGCAGAGTTCCATTAACAGGGGGACATTAAATCCTCCAAAACAGTATTTATCTTTTTCCTACAAGTTCTTTGTCTGTCCTGATGTCCCCTGTTACAGTTTTTAAGTAAGATGCATATTTGCACAATGTTATACAAAACAGTCAATGCAGACTTAATGGAAAGAGATTTCAAGCAGACAACCTCCTGCTGGTAATTAAACTCAACATAACGACTCCCTTGAGAATAAGATCTTGGCGTATTGCAGGTATAGTAATTTCAGATTAAAGCACAGCTCCTGCTGCTTTGCATAGATAAATATGCAGGGTAGACTTTATTCAGTGAATTGACTTTTCAGTAATACACTGTCACAGCTTTAGGGCCTCAAATGAGGCGTACTATACCAGCTAAAACTCATTTTCAAGCTGTTACATTTGTTTTCTTCAAAATGTTCATTTGCTCTCCTATGATGATTCACTGGCTTCTGGTACACTGATAGAAATAAACACTTAAGCATTGATACTGTTATTAAAAGCTTATTGCATGACTGTGCAAATAGCAGACCGTTGCTGTGAAGAACAGACTGTTGCTAAGGATGCAGACCTAGTAAGGAGCAACTGTAATCTGTTTAATGTACAGTCTCATATTAATATGTTTTCATTCTCTAACCTTGCGAACCTCATGTTATAAAAGCTTATTGCATCACTGTGTTAAGCAATTCATAAGAATTTTCTGATACATTTTTTATAGAAGACTGTTGCTATGAAGAACAGACTGTTGCTAAGGAGGCACCTTCAGTCAGAAGCAACTGTAATCTGTTTAATGCAAGTCTTGTGTTGATATGTTTCCTATTCTCTAACCTTGGGAACCTCATGTTATAAAAAACTTATTGCATGACTGTAAAAAAAAAATTAACAAGGATTTTCTGATACATTTTTTAATAGAAGACTGTTGCTATGAAGAACAGACTGTTGCTAAGGAGGCACCTTCAGTCAGGAACAACTGTAATCTGTTTAATGCCCAGTCTGGTATTGATATGTTTTGTTTTCTCTAACCTTTGGAACCTCATGTTATTAAAGCTTATTGCGTGACTGTGTAAAGCAATTCATTAGGAATTTCTGATACATTTTCAATAGCAGACTGTTGCTATGAAGAACAGACTGTTGCTAAGGACGCAACTCCAATCAGGAACAACTCTAATCTTATCAATGCCTATGTTTCTTCTTCTCTAACCTTATGGGTCACATGATTTAACGTCAATAAGATTTGCTGCTATGCTCTCACTTGATCTCAAACAGACTTAAACCTAAAGTGACGCCAGGGGGCTTCAACTGTTTCTGTTCACACATGATACTCCTGAGTAATTTAGGCATGTGTGAAAAGAGTATTTTGAATAAATTTTAAATAAGCAAATATTATAAAACAAGGTGTCCAGCTACAGCCAGTTACACTCCAACCATTACAGAGCTGCAGATAACCTACAGTGACCTTTTAGCTTGAATTATATAAGCCAGCGTTCATGAAAAGAAACGCCAAGTCTGGGCTTTCTCGGGCCATTTGCTCTCCAGGTCTTTAAACTGTGAATGACGTCAGAATACGACTCAGTTTACACACAAACAAACTGTTCCAGCACAGCAAGTCTTTCTAAGGTCTCTCTTCCTATTGCAATCAACAAAATCTGTCAGTATCCTTCCTCTCATTGCTGTAAACAGAAGTAACACCAAACAAAACTTCCACATTTGGCCCGTGCGTTTTAATTTTTTCCTGGACTCAATCCGACCTCTTCCCATAACTCTCTGAAAGACAAAAGGAACACTTGACATCCCTCCAAAGTCTGTAGCTCTGGCTCGGCTGTGTCTGTCTCATACATACTCATTTTGTATTCTGGGCTTCTGATCCCGTCATCCTTGACAGGCTCATGCTGCCATGGTCTGCTGGCAGAACAACAGATACAGTTGACATCCCTCCAAAATCTTTAACAACCAACCCCCTCTCCTGCTTTTGCTCAGTGGCCTGTAAGCCCTCGCTTTTTGTCAATCACTGTAACTCACTGTCTGTCTGTCTCTCCAAATCCCACTCTCCTCCCTTCTTCTTTTGTGTCCAAGCCGATATTCATTTGCCTCATCACAGCACAGGCTTTACAGGCTCCTCTCTTCTGCCAAGTGTTGCCACGGCTGACATCATCCCAGAAGCTCAAACTCACTTTGCATCTCGTCTTTTTTACACCATCCTCCTCTCTCCTGTCAAGTCCTTCACCCATGCGCGCTCCTCTGCATACTAATCCTCTCCGCCCGCTTCTCCTCTAATGGTGTCCATATGGCTTCATATGAAATTCAGCACACCTGTGCAGTGAACTTCTTCCACAGATTTCATGAATTACTTTGCTTTCAGCGGTTATCTTGCATCGCTAAGTGTGAACCCCTTTGGAGTTTAGTACAGCGTGACGGGGTAAACTCCAAGTTAACAAGCACTGACATGGTAGGGGAAATTTCTCTCCCTGTTGCACGTCAAGATTTCATGAGCTTTGAAATAACACAATGTTTTCAGCTTTGTGAACATGAATTTTTCAGATAATATCATGAGCCTTTTTTATTTCTCTATCCATAAATGATTACTCCAAACTTCAGGCATTAGATAATGGATTCAGACCTCACTAAAAATTTATTGTAGGATGTCTCTTTTTATGTCTTCATCCTGTGCACCCTTCTGTTTCAATCTTTCAATCACTTTATAATAGATGTCACATCAAAAGAAAAATATGGTTGATTTGTTCTCCTTTGTGAAAGAAAGCTCCCATGAGCTGCTTTTTGACACAAAAAATTCATATTGATGCATGTCTATGGCGTCAAAGACCAAACAAGACCATCGGCGACAACATGGACACTTTGATTTTTAATGCCTGAAACTGCTGCGAGGGACTAGAAGCCAGTCGAGCAGCTTAAAAAAAAACTGCCCTCACATTCAGGGATGGGAATCTAGAATCAGTTTATGTGGAGAACTGGTTCGAAATAGTCCAATCCATCGACATTATTTACATTTTATCTTAATGATTCCTTTAACGATCCTTGAAAAACAGTCTTGTGAGAGCCAGTCTATGTGAACGAAAACAGAGACTTGGAGGAAAAAAACATGGCGAGTGGTACGAAAAGTCGGCAGAAACGATCTAAAGCGTGGCTTCATCTTACTAAGATAGACAAAAATGGGGTTTTGTATGGAAGTTTAGAGTTTGTGTACCGTGGACTAACTGAAGTAAAAGCGCATTAAAAACATTCAAAAATTTTGCATGCGACTCCGCCCTGCGTAGTTGTGTTCTCTTATTGGGGATCAAGAATATGGTCACCATAATTTGACTTAGTACCGACTGAAGTAAATGCTGTACAAATTGTTTGTCGTTTGATTATTTTTAGACTCTCGCTGAAGGCAGCATACATCTTTGTCTTTTATCAGAGACCTAATAAAATTTTGGGTAAACACTGAAAACCTATAGTCTACATTTTTTTAAAGGAAGGGAATCGTTAAAGAATTGAATCAATAAGCACAATTGATAAAGGCATCGATATTGATAAAATCTTATCTATTCCTATCCCTACTTACATCAAAGATAAATAACAACAACTGATAGATGTGACGATCAAATTTCTAAAGATAAACAGAGGCTGCTTTGTCCACAGGGGGCGCCAAAACTGGCACAAATTGAAAGTTCCTTTCAGGAGCTTTAACTTGTTTCTGTCTTTATTGTTCTTAAAGGGATAGTACCTTTTTCTGGTGTGCAAGCAGCGGGAGATGTCAGCTAGCTTTGCCACTTTGTTGAGAAAGCATCCAGAAAAGCCAATGCTGAGGCTTAGCTAATAATGGCCAACTAAAGACCTGGACATTTATAATTACAGTCTAGATTAACACTAAATCTAAGTGTACGGTCAATGTGGAAATTTCTCAGGGCCTCCACAGCCATGACTGTGTTAGTCTGATGATTCAAAACACCAAATACTGGAGATTATCTCAAACTGAACGAGTTATGTTCTGATATTTTTCGCACTGGTTCATTTGAAGCGATGCAAAAATCCCTGCTAGGAAAATTCCATATTCAAAAAGCCAAATTTAGTCACTCAAATCTTTATATATAGAGCTTTTTAAATGGATTTATTTAAGGAATACCCCTCACTCTGTTCTCAGCTTGTTTTTACATGAATTAACAACTTAATATGTTTTAATAAAGCTGCCAACATCCTCTGTGGCTCACACACCATGTACATCGCAAAACTCCACTAAAAAAAGAGGAACTATCCCTTTAATGCATGTCCACCTAGGAGTTGAAACAGAGCAAACGGACATATCTTCTGAGACACTCTCGCATCTGAGTGAAATTAACTTTCGTCCCATGCTGAATTATCTCACACTACGGTGCTATTGACCTGTAGTTATGAGCGGCGCGCCCTCCGATTAAAGAGTGACTGAGTTTGAGGCTCTGAGTAAATGATCAAGGCAAACAGCTTATGCTCCACCTTTTATCCCCCCCCTCTGCTTTAATACCACAGACTCTGCTTGCTCAACATTTTGAGTAATGGCATCTTCAGCGGGGGATTGATGATGAAAAAGTGCTGGATCTTCCGCTGAGCGCTGCGCCACTCCCTGAGGACTCTTTATCTAAAGCAGGCCAGTGATACACCGAGTGTAAAAGAGGACGCTGACGACAAGCTCCGACACAAAAGCTCTGAAGTACATTCCGCCTCTGAGACACAGGAACAAGCTGTGCATATGCTGATGGGTGTTTGCACTGCTGACCTGTCTCCTCCTGAAAAGCAAAAATGACCGTCTCATCCTGTCTCATGGTCAAGCGCAGAAAGAAGGACGGAAAACAGTGTAATATGCAGCCAGTGGAGATAAACATCCCCGTATTGTTTGTTGATAAAGGTGTCATTTACAACACAGCAGAGGCAGCTCTCTGACTCAACAGCAACAAAATGAGACAGCAGCAAGATGGAGGGCAGGAAAATAACAATAAACAGGAAAAAGCAGAAAGGAGGAGTGACACAAAGAGACGGATTGAAAGTGATAAAAGGAAGGGGAATGACCTCTGTTGGGAATATATCTGGTACCTTGCACAAATACACGCGCACAAGAGCAGTAAATCAGAAAATGGCCTTAAGAGGCGACAGCACGGTATGAGGGGGGGGACTCTCGGGGCTGTAAAGTACAGAGATGGAGGTGCAGCTGACAACTACGGGGAGATAGGAGGGATGTCCCTCAGTGAAGCCAATCTGAGGAGCCGCTGAGCCGGAGGCAGGGAGATCTGTTCAGCCGCAGCGGATCATAAAGCCTGTCTGATGCAAACTTGTGTCAATTACTTTGTGATATGTCAGCCTGCATCGCTCTAGAGGGGTTTACACCACAGCTTAAGGTGCCAATTAGAGCTGTGATGATACCAGATTATTGTGGCCATAGAATTCCATTATTATGGGGTTTATGCTGCAGCCAATCAAGTGCAGTATGCCTTTGCCTCTAGGAACACCACAGACTGTATATAGAATGGACGCCGTCTGCCTCCTCGCTGGGTGAAGCCACTCCGAGAACAGCACCCTCTGTTGACCCGCTGCAGTACAGGTCATAAATCCCACAAACTTTAGAAATTTATTGCTCAGAATTTACATTTTTCTCCCCCTTGATTGTGATGTTGACATGTAGTTATTGTAAGACTGGTTTGTGTTCAAGTCCTCTTTTTTTCTGTACAGCTCCGTTTTTAAAAGTTATTAGGGGGTTTGTGTTTTCTTTGATTGACACCTGATACAGCCTATTAGCGTTCAGGGATTGCGTAGCTCACCCTGGGATAAGCTGTTTGAGCCGAGCGTCATCACAGCGACTCTTCCACCGAATGTGCACAACGCTACTGCGCAGCGCTGGTTTCAGGAAATGAAGAAAAATGACGGAAATACCGGGCGCTTTTTGGCTTCAAATCCGTATACAGGCAGGAGGCAGAACCAAGTTGTCCATAGTATATACAGTCTATGAGGAACATGTTCAAATCCAAATCATGATTGAAACTCTCTCCCCAGTTTTCTTCTCTGACTCAAAATAGAAACACCGGACATAAATAAAACTGTTTGAGTGAGTGAATTACGTGTAGAACGACATGAATAGCTACGTTTGCTAATCCATGAAAAATCAGAACTCCAGGAAATCACAGTGGAGGTTCAATCATCTGGTAAATAGAAGACAAACTGATGGTAACGGTGCTATGCTATGCTGAGATTTACGGTAGGACATCAGACAACGGGAACAAAAATAAGTTTGCACGGAGGAAAGTGAGTGAGGAGGTCGTATTATCTTTTAAGTTGTGCAAACCCAACAAATTCTTGCACCATGTCTGTAGAACTTTCCAGCAGCCATCCTCATCCTTCTTTTTTCAAACATCATTTGTGAGCAATCGTCAGGACTGGTACGCCGTGTCGGTGGGTGATGTTTGTGAAGTGCTGTTCTATGGATATTTATGAATTTGTGTTACGTCATTGATAGTTAAACGTGTATTTTTGTGTTTGTTGCAGGTTTACAAACTACTAGTCTCTCGGCTAATCATAACTACAAAGCTGTAGCAGGCATCTATTGTGTGTGTGTGTGTGTGAGTTAGCAACAATAAAACAATATAAAAGACACTTGAGTTTTTTGCCATACTGTTTACTGGAGAAGCTCAGAAAAAATCTTGACAACGTTTGACGTAAACAGACCCACAAGACATGAAGGAACCTCCCCCCTGTTATATTAATTCACGTGTTCGGGCACTTCTGGCGAGAGAAGGTCAATCAGTAAACAAAAAACACTCAATTACACGCAAATTAAGCCAGTCAATATTTTCATCACATACCGTAACGGTCAGATTCAAGACTGAAACACTCCCTGACTCACCCCTCTGCAGTATAAGCTGAAGCTGCAGTCATGTCAGAACTTAAATTGCATCCATATTAAGGTGTTTTTTTTACACGGATTAGCATAATTATTAATATTATATTCCATCTCTATCAAGTCTAAATATTGTGTGCGTTACTGTGAGACCATCAGTCGATACCGCAACTCAAAGAGGGCCACTTGCCGTCATGGTTTTCCAGCGAATCGTTGATGTGTTTACTTTAATTATCCCAGTAAATGGAACTGACACCCATAAATATTCTGTTCACTGACTGATTGATTCATTGACTTACTGTTTGAGCTCCACTACACGCACACAAACACACACAAACACACACACTCTCTTTCTCTCGCAGTACATCGGGCCATTTAAGAACAAATGACACATTACGAATGGTAAGTGCATTAACATGACGGGAATGTGGGTTTATAAAAGATTACTAGAAAGAGAAAAGACAAAAACTGACTCAATATTTAAGCATCAAACAGAGAGAGGATGTGCTAGACGAGCATTTCTAAAAAGACCCGTGTCATTCTAGCAGCAGGAGGCAAACGAAAGCTGTATTTCACAGCCTGCGGTGCTAATAATAAAGTACTGAGGTATGCATAATGGACACAAATATACACAAAAATTTCAAAGGAGAGGGGGGGGCACACTTCTGCTGTACATTACACATACACACAGTCAATCTGCACCGGCTGAGTGCTGTGTAGTGCTTCAGGGTGGACTGGCTCCCCGTCATCTCCCCTCATTCATTATTCACACAGCCATTTATCACACACACACTCTCCTGCTGCGCACACTAACGAGTGACTGCAGCCCAAAACCATGGCCTGAGTGTGGATGCGTGAGTGGCTGTTTGCATTTCCACCGAGAGAAAATGCAAAAAGCAATTCTGTGCGAGCGAGCATGTGCAGCTAGGAAGACGGGTGGCGAGGGGGGTTATTGTGGGTGTCACCTCGAGAGTGAGCTGTTCATCTGTCAATGTCAGCGCAGGCTGGTGTGTGTGTGTCCGTAAGAAGAGGAGGAGTGCTGGTATTTTCTATACCCTTGATCACAAAGGAGAAAAGCTTAGGATGCATCAGTGAGTCATGATAGCGATTTATCATCCGATGTCTGCACAGCAGCCGGGAGAAAAAGCTCAATCCCATACTCAGCTTGAGTCAGAGTTACCTGCAGATTTACAAACAAAGGAATTTAGAAAAAAGTTGAATTTTTTTTTCACTTTTACCAGGTTTAAGCCATGAAAACACAGCGTGAGTGTAGGTGTTCCTTACGGCTGCTGTGAGGAATCTCTGCTTGGCTTTTACCACCGCATCCCAGATGAACGGAGTCGATTGCCCCCCTTTCTCCTCGTCATCGCACCAGTCCCTCCATCTAAAAAAAGCCTCCAGTCTCCAGCTGACCCTCGCCCTATTCATTTGCCCGTTGCCATGGTAATTAGCCTTGGCAGGCCCAGGATGCAAAGCTTGAGTAAGTGTGTGTTGCTGCAGATGGGAGACGTCTTCTCCCATGTGTTATGCGGAGGCCGGTGTTATGACTGCGAGCCAGGTGGAGCCCTGAACGGGATGAATGTGAGGGTCCATCTTTCTGTCTCCATCTGTTTTCATCTGTTTCTCTCCTTTTTCCCAGAACACCTTTCTTCTTTAGACTCAGTTTGTCCATATTTTTTCCTTATTTGCAAGAGAGGCAGAAAAAGTAGATTTTCTCATTACATTTCCATATGTGCGACTCCGCTGGTGTTTGGTTACAGATTAGCTCGCCATATGCAACAAAAGGCGTCTGCAGCAAGAAGATCTCTTGACAAACTCAGGCTGTGCCGAAGTGTGTTAGCACTACAGTGAAACATTAAATAAGAGTTTTGTTCCTCCACAGAGTCATGCCTGTTTTTAATCCAGTTCTGCGTCCCTTATACCTAAGGGTTATTTGTACGACAGAGGATTAGGGCCACAAGTGGAGAAAAAAATAATAACAGGAGGGAGATTTTTAATATTTCCATTTCGAGATTGAAGTTGAAATTTAAAAAGTCTAGATTAAAAAATCTAAATTGACCTCGGGTCCTGGACTGTGTCACTTAATGCTAGTTGTAGAAGTCCTGCAAACTTTGTGTTTGCTGGTAGTCTGTTGGCATCTACAGTAGCACCAATGCTTTTTATTTTCACCTTGACTGGGCCTCATTTGTAATTATCTAAAGTATTTATCTGCATTATATCTGAATTTAATTGAAACGTTACAAGCGAGCAGGAGCGTCTGTTTGTGGGCGGGGCTTGCTGGACCAGAGAGTGAGGGGAAAGGAGGAGCTAAGGGGAAAACTGGTCGAGAGGGGTATAGTTTACATTCAAGATTTCTCCCCAAAACGGGCACTTCCTCAGATCCTGTCTACCCCACCTTTAATCTCTTTCTTTCTCTTCATGTGGCCCTAATCCTTTTTCTTTGATACGGTGGCTTTGCAGTGGTACACTTTTATTAAATAAACCTTATGAAGTGCTGTTTCATTAAAAAGACTTTTCACTTTAAGACAACAAGTGACAGGAAAGGTGGGTGGACAATGGTACTAGAAGGAGCTACACAGCTGCATGGAAAAGTCACATTGCTGACTGCATTTAAAGTCTTCACAGAGGGAAAAGTTAAACCCTCTCAAAACCGTCTGTGTCATAAACACCAACAAGACCTATATCCTAGATTTTACAGTCAATATTATACACCTACAGTCACTACAAGACTCAAAATTACAGTGTTAAACCATGACGTCTGATCATGATATTATCACAGCATTATTTACGCTACCTCTACTTCATTGACGGTGGCTTTCAAAACCGACTTTGATATGCTGTATGAAAATACGTCCATCTTCACGCCACTTTCATGTCCCCTAAACATAACCTTCCCTCAGCATGCCTTTGGTATTGATTTGTGTTCTTTCCTTATTAGATTAAAAGGCTAGAAGCTGTGTGTTGCTGTTGATGTTCTACCCCACATGCCACTTGCGTCGTGTTTGCTCTGCAGGCTCAGCTATGATAGCAGCTTACACGTGTGCCTCCTTATCAGACAGACTGTGTTCGCGGCGATACGTCCATGTAGATTCTCATTCATCCAGGTCATGGTTATCTTGAAGACTTAAAAACAGGCAACTGGACTGTGTAGAGTTAAGAAGACGTTTCGCCTCTTATCCAAGAAGCTTCTTCAGTTCTAAAAGTGCTAGTGTCAGGAGCAGATATTTATCTTTATCTTTATATTCTTATATATATATATATATATATATATATATATATATATATATATATATTATATATTATATATTATTATATTCTTTATATTTATCCTTTTCAACTCCTCCCAGTCGTTACTGTCCCTCTTCGCGGCGATACCAAACTCTCACCCTGGGTAATCTCTGTCACACTAGGTGGAGGAAGGACCCCTTTACCACTGAACCAGTAGGACAGCTGTCCCTTAAAGCGGCCCTGCAAAGTGTGCAGGGTACACTGACACTTGTCAGGATTAAGTGGTGCACATCAGGATACCTATCTGGCCAGAGGAAAATCTTTAAACAGTATCAGCTCAGTGGAAATATCCCTGGGCCGTGTGGATAAGATCAATTGCGGTCCTTTGGAATAATACGCTTTCTGCTTTTCTGCTCTTGATCCAGAGAGTCATTACACCCCCTGTGTGTACTAATCTGTTTTTGCTTGCTGGGTCAAAGCAAGCACTACCCTTGCTGTACAAGTCCTCCTGAACAAGTGGAGGTAGTCTGATCCTGCAGCGTAAAAGTGTGACACAGCAGATAACCAAAATGACTGCAGCTAGGAGATCCAGCTAATCGCCACATCGCAGACCTTCAATAACCTCGCCACAGCGGCCTGATGTTTGCAGAGTCTGACAAGAAATCTTGAAGCTCTGCAGACTTGCTTAGTATGATAAGGCCAAAAATGATTAATAGAGAGATTGTTTTGCTGCAGGCTACAATGACATGCTGTGCTGAACCATAATACGCACTGCCGGACGATACAGTAAAATGCAGTGTGATGTATTATGCCATTACTCTCTTGGCAGAGCTGTAATCTACCATGCAGAGCCAAGGTGTTCCAAGCAGCGCTCGGTCACTGCGATACAATACAACAGCTTAGAGTCCCCCCAGTCTCTTCTGTTCCTCTGGCTGCCTCTGGAGAGTCCCTTCCCAGACTCCAGATGAGAGGCATACAAATCTCAGTCTGCCTTGCAAAAGTAATCCAGGGTTTTTTTTTCCTCATCAATGACTTTACAAAGCGTCAAAACAGCTGCATCCTCAGCCTTACAATGCAATAGCTCCATGTCTGCCTTTCATCCCCTCATAGTAGAAAGCCACTCCACTCAGGGATCCCCACTTCACTGTTGACCCTGCTGTCTCTCTGCAGCGAGGCTGAATGATGTGTGTGCATAATGAGTTGGGTTCAAAGAGTCCAGACGAAAATTAGTCTAGGTGTTGATTTCTGGCTGGAGGAAAAGACAGCTGTGTATTATTTATACCGAGGTGAGGAAGTCAAACAGTTTAGCTTGTGGTTAGGTAATGCAGTGAGGACACACACTCACACACACACACACATGCGCAGCCTCTCTGTCTGTCTTCCTTTGTGGGTAAAAAGTTCATGTCTGTTACGAAAGACAAATCCCACAAACTCTAACTGCTTGTTTGATATCTGATATAAACATAGAAACCAGTGTGCACATTAGAGCTGGTCGTTTCCCTGATTAATGGGCTGAAGCTGTAATGACTGCTCTGCTCTTATCCAACGATGTCCTTTATTTCATTAAGTTCATAAATGAATACAACAAACAGCTCCCACACCGACAAGCCCCAAATCACTGCAGTAAAAAATAACACCCTATTTAATTAGGTTTTTATAAAGTCCACTCTCTGTCATTATCTTAAACATGCAGTTAAAGTTTGCAGCGCAGTGATTAGGGATGCTCCAAAGTGACTAATTTCCTGCTTGTTTGAACAAAAGTTTGAAACCCACTCGAATAAAAGAGAGAGATAACTCACAAAAAAGTCGGTAACACTTTACAATTACCACAACTTATATATAGACCATTTATAAATGGTAAGCAGATAGTTTATTAATCATCATTTATTGAATAGCATATAGACCATTAATAAATTGTAAATTTTACCATTTTAAAAACCTAACCCTAACTTTACCATAACCATCTATGTAATGTTTAAAGGTAGTTTATAAATAGGGCCAAACCGATATGGATTTTTTGGGGCCGATGCCAATAGTGAATATTAGGGGGGAAAAAAATCTGATTACTGATTAATTGGCCGATTTTTTTAATTTTTTATGAAGTTATAAGAAAATATATATATACATACACTGTAGATATACTGTAGGCTCCTGCTCTTCACGCTGACAGGAAGACCGACTGATCAAACTCGGACCAGAAGAGTGTTCGCTGCGCCATCTACTGGATAAGTGGGGGGATCTTTTCAAATGGCGGAACATTTTCAAAGTGAAACGGAATCTTATTCTCCGTATTTTATTTCTGAAAATATCGGCGAAAATCGGCGAGTTTTGGCCGATTACCGATTAGTCTCAAACGGGCTAAAATTAGACGATTTAATCGGCTCGCTGTTAAATTGGTCAGGCCCTATTTATAAAGCACTTATTAATCATTTACAAAGTAGTACAAACATCAGTAACCATCTAAGTAATGTTTATAGATGGTTTAAAAACCAAATATTACAACCAATATTTAAACCCTATATAAAACTGGACTATAAAAAAGTCCATTAATAATCAATGAAAATTATCAATCATACTTTCATTGCTTGTTAATGGTAAAGTTACTTTTAACTTACATCTATTTGCCATTTATAATTGGTCTATTTGCTGTTTTTAAATGATGATTAAACAATAATAAACTATTTACCATTTATAAATTCTGGTTATTGTAAAGTGTAACCAAAAAGTCAAATTGGTCGTCCAACCAAAGATGTAGTCATTATTTGTGGCATAGTCGGAGGAAAAAAACAGTTCAGTGGAAGTTCAGTGTTAGTCCTCTGATCTGGACTTACTGGATGCAAGCTTGAAATATTGAGATTTACAACACATGGTACAATGCCAACTTTCATCGGTGCTTGTTTGCATCCGGGTAGTAGGTCGTTATTGCACAAGGAGCGACAGCCCCAGCTAGCGTCAGGTGGCTGTGCTTAAAAACAGCATATATCAAACGGCAAATATTTCAGGTTTAAAATAAGAGAAATATTTAACTGATAAGTAATTCTGGTGCAAACTAACAAGCACCAAACAGGCAGTAATTGGAGGCAGTAACAAGAGATATGAAACCACTGTAAAAATACCACAACAGGTATGAAAGCACCTCCTCTTACAGCAAACACGGAGCACAGCTCGGGCCAATTCATCTGCTTGTCTTCTTCGCTCTCCCTTTTGTTTCTTCACACCCGATTCTTTAAGTACAACCTCAAACGCAGCCTCATTTATCGTAGCCAAGGTCACATTTAACCCAAGTCTCCACCGAGCCTGGGGCAAACGCTGCACATTTTGCTGACTGACAGAACATCCCTTGCGAATAGCATTCACATGGAAAATGGAGGGAGGTGTGAGTGTAAAACGTGCGTGAGCATGTGAGTCGCCCCCAACAGAACAAATGGCTCTCAGTCTCCAGATAGATATATAGATAGATAGATAGATAATGGATCTCGACTCGAGACGAAGAACGTTTATCAAATTTGTTATTTGCCGCTGAGTTCTGCTTTTTGCTGAAATCAATCAAAATGTGGTTTATCAATTATCCTTCTGTAGGCCTCAAAGTGGACAAGAGATTTGTAAAAAGTGGTATCGCCTACCAGGGTACATGCGTCTGATTTTCCCCCACATCTTTGATATCCATGTGATAAAACAGCTGCTTGCGGGGCTGATGTGTTCGGGGTCAGGATCGAGTGTGGGAAGATATGACGAGGGAAAATTACTGACATTAATCACTAATCACAAAGAGATTACCCAGCCTTGCTTTGCTGGATATCTCTCAGAGGGCACAAAGAGGAAAGAAAGAGCAGGTCAGAGAGGGATATATGGTGTGCAGCTGGCAAGCACAGCTTTGCTCCCCAGTTAAGTAAGTAAAGGTCAAGCACACAATTCCAGCTGATGCGATATCATGCTTTACTCGAGGCAGCTGGTTACTGAGAGCCTTGTTTAGAGTAAGTACCAGGAAGGAGAAAGAGGCATGGGAAATTATACCAAAGAGCTGTCAGTAGTTGAAATGAATGAAAGTGTTCTTTAGATGATCAAAGTGGGGCAGCAAGCATTCATTTAGATTACGTTGGTCTTTCAAACTGTGATACAGCAGCGACAGCCTGGATGATTCACAGTAGGACACAGAGGAGAGGGGCAAACAAACCAGGATCACACTCAAAAGCAAGAACACGCACTAGTTAAGGCTTATGGTAATACAGCGCCTGATTTAAGGGTTTGACTCCCACCCTGTCCTTTTATCTTCACTCTCTTTACTGTTCTTTCTCCTTAAAAAGCCCAGAAGACAATAGTTAAGTATGACAGCAAGATCTGTCTTTTATATCTATATTATGCAATTTTATTGTCCACTAAGGGTTAATAGAATCAAGTTGCAACCACAGCAATGACCTACCATAACTAACAGGGCTGTTGAAAAGTCTATAGCATTTACCGTCTCTGTCTTTTCTATCTTTTAAAATAACTAATCATACAGCTATTTTACTCTTGTATATCATATTAAACAGGACGTTATCTCAGTAATGTAGATTAAAGCTTTGTGACATGACAGTGGTTTCAATATTAGAAATGCTGGTTTACAGTGATCCAGCAAGATCTAAAGGGGTGGAGTCGAGGGTGGCCTTAAAGGGATATTCCTGCATAAAATTAATTTCGGGTCAAACACACATTAGCGAAAAGACTAAACACAACTCACCTACTCTCTTCCAGCAGCCCTTTGTTTGTAGTGAACTGTAGTGAGAACTCAGGCCAGTCCATTACGGACTACTGCGGGGTGACGCAGCTCAAGGAGGAACATTTATGATCACAGTCTCTTTGCTAAAGAAATTAGGCAAAGTTAAAAAGATGTTTGGTGCCTAGTACTATGTCTGTGACCCTATATGTCCTGTTGATGAAGTTAGGTGCTGTTCTGAGCATTATTTGTGGCTATAGAGTGGTGTTTTGGTTGAGGTTTGTTTATGGCTCCTCAGACCACTGTGTTTTGCTATTGTGCGGTCGTTACTGAAGTTGGTATAACTAGAGAAGCAAGCAGTCGGCAACATTTATCTCCAGTATGTATGTACCGTATGTGTAATTTGATGCCAAATTTAACGTCTTTTTAACTCCTAGAAATAACATCTTGCTTCCCATCTGCTCAACGCTCCAACATCTCGTACAGTAAGTTTCAAAATGTGTGTCTCTTCTCTTTTGTGCTGTGCGGTGCACTTTTTCAAGCTTTTTTTTTTTTTTTTCTACACTGAAACGAGCTTCCTGCTGTGAGTGAAAACAATGCAATGAGATCTGTGATAGGGAGCCAAATTTAGATTCAGGTGATAACTCCTTGCAGATTAATCTCTACGAGCTACATCATTCACTCGGTCTGCTTGTTTCTAAACTGTCAGTTCACAAACCGCTAATAAAAAGCAGTAGCCTTGCACTGACACTAAGACTTGAATCAGCTGTTGTGTCAATCTCGAAAACACTACAGTGTGACTGATCGAACTAGTATTGACCGATCACAACAGCTTCCACACTCTCTCTGTAACATCCAACCTTCAGCCAGTAGCTTGCCCACGACCTAAGAGGCAAAAACGACCATCTCTGTGTCTCTGTGGTGCTTCTGTCATCAGCAGGAAGATAATAGGACCACATTGGCAGTCTCCTCCAAAGGGATAATCTTCTGCAGGTGCCATCACTCTGCATTAGGCACAAAGGAAGGACATGGACGGGTATTTTCCAGGGAAACGGAGCCAAATATAGCTCCCACTTCCAGTAAGGAAAACGCTCAACAAAACAAGCCCCGGCCTCACGTACAGCCCCTTTAAGAGATAAACAAAGAGCGCCTCAAGGGCTTCACTGATTAGATAATCCCAACCTGTCTTAGGGTGTGCTGTCTTGGGGTTTAAGATGCATTTCATTATTGATTGATCAGTCAATTAATCTCAATTAATTAATTCAGTTGTAAAATGTCAGGGTGGTGCTGTCATTTTGATCGATTAAGTAACCGGCAGAAAAATCAATTCATAAGTATTTAGTCGACTGATTAATCATTCGTGTAAATATTTGAGCCAAAACAAACGACTTCCAGAATCTCCGCCGTGAAAGTTTGATTTATGTAATTTTTCTCTTTAAATTTGATTAAATCCACACTAACTGTACATGAATATGGACGACGTGCCCTCTCTTACTCTCGTTGGAAAAAGTGAAGCCAAAATACCACCAATAGCGTACAGCGCTGGTGACATTCTGGTGCCGAGGCAGGTGATCGTGGCTGATAAAGCAGCAGAGTTGCACCAAACTTATTCATGGCTCATGCATCAAACAGTAAGATTCCTCAGGTTGGTACAGCAGAACAGATTCTTGTGTGTATCTGAAGCACTTACTGCTCACATTTATGTAAGGTTCAACGACTCCTTTGTTATGTGTTTGTCATGTGTCCTTTCTTTACTTTGATAATTAGGGATGCAGGCTGCGTTAGCTGTCAATCATGATTTGTCATTCCCTTTTTTTAAAAATCACAAATTAATAAGTGACCTCCTGAAAACGAACACTTGACCTCACATAAATCACAATCACAAGAGCTGTCATAACAGAAAGCAAGTCTGGGGAAGTTTAATTGAGGTGAATTCTGGTTAATTTATGATCATTTCTTTATCATTTTCTTGAAGTAAAAATCACCATATGAATCATTTTGCACTGCAGATGCGGTAGTTCTTCTACCTAAGGGTCTCGGTCTGATTGCATTTCCATGAAGAAATTATCGTAAATGTTCTTCCTTGAGCTGCATAACCCCGCAGCAGTCCGTACTGGACTGTCCTGAGGTCTCGCGACAAACAAGCAGCTGCTGGAAGAGAGTAGAAACAGGAAGAGTAGAGTAGTAGAGTTGTGTTTAGTCTCTTTGCTAAAGAAATCAGGCAGAGGGGGTATCAAACTCCGTGGACAGTCACCAGGGGGAGCTCTACATGCTTTAGCTTCATTATCAGGGAGTTTGTTCCTTGTATAGTCTTTGTTAAAAACTGAAAACCCTTGAAAAACTGCTATTGAGTATTTACTAATGTTTTGTATCAATCTCTATAGACTAGGTGCGCGCGCAACCATGGGGCAAAAGCCGGCTTCAGAGTGAACTGATATCAATAAAGATGCCGTATTGTTTGCAAGTTCTCCCTGACATGATCGCAATAAAATGTTATTTCATTGAAAAATCACTTTGTCTTTCATTGCATTAAAATCAGAAAAAACACTTATATACTGAAATATCCATAATTTCACTCAATTTACCAGGTTGTGATGTTGTTTTAGATGTTTCTAATATCAGGAGCAGGGTCGTAATGTTTGCTGATTGTTTGTTTTGCCAATTCGTGCAGTTTACAGCACAACAGCTCCTTGTCATTTTCTTTCTCCCTTTACTCCGCTAGTAAACAAATAAGAAATGTCCTACTTTCTGCCCCAAGGCTGCCTGCACATACCTGTGATGACATTGCACAGAAACCTGTCCGTCTCTATATTAATACGAGAAAATACAGGCTGCTTGTATGCAAGAGAAAACTGACCTCCTGCCAAGTTATCCAGGTATATTAGTCTGACTATGAGAAGTTTGATTTCAGTCGGACTAGCGTGTTTAAATGGGTTTTAAAAGTCCAGTTTCAGTCTGATTGTTATTTTCCACTATGACTAAAATACCATCACACAACAAAATACCTCTCTTTGCACTTAAACACGAGCTTTACACTCCCATTGGTGTTCAGTAATGGAAGCAGCCAACTTTTTAGATGATCCAAAAGGTATAAAAAGTGCAGCTTGTGCATAGATTTTATTATAAATTCAATTTTGAAGACTAAACACATAACTAATTCATCACTAAATGTACTGTAGACTAAGCAGACGATCACTGAGCGGACTGTATATCATCAAACTGTCATATATAAACCTGACAACAGCTATCCACTGGGGTATAAACTCAGACACAACATCTGTGTGTCAGAAGTGAAGAGCTGACAGGATGCAGTTGGCCACATGTGGCTGCACTTCAGTGTTAACCTCTAATACAACGAGCCACAGACAGCTATGAGTGAGAAAATACGGACTCCTGAACTTGCAAACTACAGGATAACACTTGAAACCTGTTTGCAAAAACATGAATAAAAGATATTGTACTAACTCAAAAAGGAAAAACACTAACATAGATGACAGCTGCAGATCTCTCTAGAGCTCTCAGTGCAATTTACCCCTGAAGAAGGCAACAGGGACCAGTATCCATGCCTGTCTGCGATGTTTCCCAAGTGATTAACACAGACTGAGCCAGACAGTGGAGCAAGTTTTACATCACTGGAGAACAACTCTCTCCTGACAGCCAGCTCTTTCACTGGCACAACAGATCTGGAGAGAGAGCATAAATCTTGGGAGGGGACCTGAATACATGATGGAGGCAAGAAAGGCGAGGAGGAGAGGGAGGAGGCTGGGTGATAACACTGCAGGTACCACATTTATCCTTTACAACAAAGAAGAAAAACAGAGGAGTACGAGTAAGAGTGGGATAGTCACTCATTAATCTGACGGATGAGGAAGAAATGCAGGAACATAAATCTTTTCCCGCGAGCTCGTAAACAAGAAGCACTCTCACCGGATGCTGTTTCTTGACAACAGACTTCTGCAGGGAGCACATGCTGGTGTGTGCACCTGATTTGCTTATTTATGAATTGCCAGTGCATATTAATCCATGCCTAAACTGAACGCTGCAAAATCAGACATGCAGCCTCCAGGGAAGCATATTCAGCGTCTATTGAAACAAAAATAAACCTGAAATGCTAATTTGAAGGGGCAGATGAACGCCATCTGCAATACCTTAGTCAGACACCGTCACCTCACTCACACTGAGTGATTATGGATCAGAAAGCCTCAAAAGAGCCATTAAGCTAACATTTAGTTTCACGAGGGTGATTTGCATAGATGTATCAAATAAAAGCAGCAGCCATGTATTTAAGAGGCAATGAAAAGAGAGGACAAGATAAAGAGGTGAGAGATGATAAACCTGCAAGCAAATTTCTATTAGGAGGGGCCGCATTAAGTTGTAAAGCAATCGTTGGGGTTCAGAGTGAGGTAAAGAGAACAGGACACATTGAGGACGTCTGGAAGGCAATCTAATTGAACAAGAGAACAGAGAGTTGGTAGGGACAGGGAGGAGGGGAGGACAGGAAGAAAGATGGCGTCTGGCTGTGATACAATCATATAATACTAACACCACAGAGGGCACAGACAACTGACTCAGACCTTTGCAAACAGTCGGCGCTGCATAAGATACATAATGCAAAAATCCTGATGACATTCATAAGCAATGCATACGCTCCCCCCGCCAATGACCTGAGGGTAAGAGACACATTACAGGACATTAGCCCAAGAGACGAAAATAATGTGTCAGCTGATTGGGGGTAATAGACCTTACTCTCCCAGTGGCCATCTTCATGTGACGTCTCACTCAGAGTGGGAAGCTACGATGTTATCACGTCTCACCTCAAGCGTTTCAGGCCGCGAGTCACAAAAACATCAGAAACCTTTCAAAGAGTGGTCATTTCACAGCTTCGTGTTTGATCCGCAGTCACAAAGACGTTAGAAAGTGAGAGTGAGAGGAGACATCTGGCCAAGTTGGACAAGGATTTGTTTCTTGTTTTTTTAACATGAAAATTTTGAATTAAAGCAAAACTTTTATTCATTTTGATGTTGGTCTCAAATGGCAAAATGACAAAACAAGCTTTGAATTTCAAAATAAAAGCCCATAGAGAAGATGGATAAAAAGATGGCTAGATGGTTAGAGAGATAGAAAAAAATGTGGACAACCTAAATGCATATTTCCTTAAATATAATCATGATGACTACTTCCACTCCTAAGAATAATAATGATAATACTAATAATAACAATATATTTGTAGTGACCTTGTTCACAGGCGACCTTCTGTCTTGCATGAAAGTTGGCGAGAAACAACAGTCTGTCCATAAGAAATCATAACACCAGTGGTCTTACCATCATCATCATCATCATCATCATCAGGTCTACAAGCCTCAACTAGTGCACCAGCAATTTCTTCCTGTGGCTTCCCATCAATCAGAGAGCTGTGAAATTACCACAGCTTGTCCGATTATCAACATGAATAATCCATAATAACATTATCTGAGTTTTGCACCATGAGCATGACATCACACAAAGATACTCTTGTACCTTTCGAGGTTGCTACTACAGCTGATATTGAAGCTTTTTGCTTTTCATTAATAAGACTAGGTGTGTAATTTTAGCAAAAAGAGGTATAACACATCTTCTAGGCATTGTCATCTTGGTCATAATTTCCCAAAAGCACTTACCTTTGAGCTGGTCAGCCACCACACTCTGTCCTATCCTCTCGATGACTTGTCCGCTCTCATGCTGGTAGCGATCATCCAGGAAGTTGGCGGTGGCCTGTGATAGGTGAACCTTCCCGGCCACGCCCAGCTGCTCCATGAGGTTGGCTAGGTTCACGTCATTTGACCAAACATCAAACTTGAAGCGCTTCATTCCCAGAATACCACAAAGCACCGTGCCAGTGTGGACACCCACCCTCATGTTGACCATCTCCCTCTTCTCCTGGCAGAACTGTTCGATAGCTTGGATCATGCCCAGGCCCATCTCCACACAGCAGTAGGCATGATCTGGCCGGGGTTCAGGGCAACCAGCCACGCAGTAGTAACAGTCTCCCAGAGTGCTGATCTTTTCACAGCCAGTGAGCTCGCAAAGTCGATCAAAACGCCCAAACAAGTCATTCAGAAGGCCAACAAGGGCGTGAGCAGATTTGTTAGCGGACATCTTTGTGAAGCCGACGATGTCTGCAAAGAGGATGCTGACAGGTTCCATCCGTTTCATGTTAAAGGGTCTAAAGATGATCTGGCCTCGAGGGATCGATGTTTTCTTACGCTTATTATTCTTAGGGCTGGAGATGGCGGCTGCTGCACCACTGGTGGAGTACCGTTTTACAGAATTGTCCCCTATCTCCTCATCGCCCTGCTTCATCAGTTCATCGGCCACGACTCTGGGCATGACAGAGTGGATCATTCGCTCCTTCAAGGCTTTCTCCACCTCCAGATCTTTGCCGTGCATGATTGCTTGCCCCACTTTGAGAAAGGTGCTGCGTGACCGCACCTCAGACATGATGAACAGGTGAATGCCGATAGCGTGAGCACAGAGGTGGAGTAGAGCTTTAGCTGGGCCTAGCCAAGTTAAAGTGTCCAGGTCTGGCTGATAGGTTAAGTTCCACGTATTCCCTGTTCGTGTCAGGTGCAGCCAGCCCAAACCCTCGAAAAAAACAGAGTATAGGAAGCCGAGTAGGACAGAGGCATAGAGGCGCACATGGAGAACGCTGTAGAGCAACAGAAGAACCTCGATGCAGAGGGAGAAGGTGCCTACAGGAGACACACAAGGGGACCAGGTGTCACCTCCCACAAGCTTGTCATAGGACATGTTGTATGTGGGTCCCATGCCGCTGAATTCTTCCAGCTCAAGTGCCGGTGTAGGAGTCTCCGGTTCACTGTAGCTGGGTTTCTGAATCTGTGTTGCCAGTGTAAGGATGAAGGTCACAAAGATGAGCAGAAGAGACACGTGGTTGTAGCAGCGAGAGTAGAACTTTGTAAAAGTTAAGAGGAGGAGCAGGAGGCAGAAAATGAGGAAGGACGCAGTGGGAATCAGAAAGGCAGTCCTGTCACAGCGGGAGGGGTTTGCAGCAAAGTACAATCCCCAAAGAAGGCCCGCGGCAACCAGGTAAAAGAGCACATATCGGAAACGCCGCTGGGTCTGAGGGAAACAACGTTCTCTACAAGCCTCCTCCAGAATTGAAGAGTCAAACTTTGGGTCCCAGAAATGACCAGCGGATCTCTCGAAAAGCTGAGGCATCTTTCTTTGTGTACGAAAGCTCTTCACGGCAGGCCTCCTGACACCAGACTCTCCGGAGCTGCAGCTCGAGGAGATACTGTACTTGCAGTGTTTGGATCCCCCTATGAAACCTCCCCCAATTGAACCCAGCGGCCCGCCTCCGTGCTTGTGTTTGACACCGCTGCCAATCCTCACTGAGACGCCTCCATCTCCACTTGAGTCACAGCTGACTTCTGTGTTGTGAGGCAGCAGTTGTTGATGTTGGGGGGACGCCATGGTGCTTTTTAATGTATAACAAATCAAAGACTTCGCAGGAGAGACGGTTATTCTTAAGACAAATTAGATTAGCATCTAAGGCAACTTATGGGGTCACAGTAAAACTACCACCAGGTGATGTTATTTACTGAAAAAGCGCAAAAAAGGAAGTTTATTAGAGAAAATTCCACTGAGTTAGGAGAGTAGTGGCTCTTGGAGGCCGAACAGTCCTTTCAAAGACTTTGACCGTCCATTATTGCCCTCTTGACGTCAATCCCTGCATTCCTCTACATTCCCCTCTGTTTTGACGCACTTGAGACTCCTAGGATCAGATGCAGCCTGCTCTGCTCCAGTCCAAGTCCACTTAGCTGCTTGCACACTGCTTCACTCATTGGGGGAAAAAAACGCATGCAAAAGCTCACAGAAATGCCCAAATGTGGCGCTTAAAGGGAAATGCTTTGAAAGAAATTCAAAGAGAAGAAAGAGCTTTAAAGGGTGTTATTGAGGAGCATGAGTGTAGAATATCAAATCCAGCTGAGTGATTTTGTGAAGCACGGTGCACTCAGTGAACCTCCTTCACTCCTGGTGTACGCCAATTTCGTGTATCCATTCAGGTTTCCGTTCCACTGATTTCCACTGGAAGAAAATATTCATGCACTCAGAAACCTCCACAGTCCCTCTAAAGACCTGAGATCTGCAGTTTACCTGTGTTGTCTAAAAAGGACCATGACGGAAACATGGACACACGAGCTGCCATGGGAGCTTTAACAAACTCACACCCCTGCACTCCTGGCTGCAGGGCCTAAATGCGTCTTTTTCTTTCCCCCTGGACTGAGCCCCGTCCTTTCCTTACTTTCTGCTCCGGAGTGTCCACGGCTACTGTGTCTCCATTCCCTGAGGAGAGTCTTCAGGAGGTCTGCAGGAAACATGCATGAGCAGTGGGCACACACAAAAACACGCTACTTCTTATTGCAATAGCTTGGAAATGAATGAGGCGACTCTCAAGGAAGGAGAGTCGCTTCGAGAGGGTACACTGCCAGACTTTCTCCAGTCACGCCAAATATCGCCAATTCATTGTCACTTCGCGCCCCGAGAAAATATCCACCGGTCCAGAGATCCTGACCACGCCGGTTCTCCTGTTCACGCAGTCCAGAGAAAGTGTAGTTGAGTCCTCCTTCGTGTCTCTGAAGTAAAGTTTGCCCACGGCAGATCTGCTCTCCTCTAAATGGCAGACAACGAAACCCGGAGAGAGTGAGGCTAATTGAAAGGTCTCCACCTCCGCTCCACGCCCCCCCACACCAGCAGTCCCACAGGTTAGAGCAAAGTGCCGCCCTGATCCCTCCACTTTAATTGAATTGCACGAAACACACAAGAGATTATCTTCACACCTCTGGATATTTCCGCTCTAATCCAAGACAATTGAAATGGATTACGGCTGCTGTTGCTGCTCCGTCCAGCCTTTCCATCACCTGATCGTCCAGAGTGAGATGAGATTGTCTTTTTTTTTTCTGTTATCTGGACATAATTTGGCGCGCAACAGCAGCGTCGATCCCGGCAGAGGAATGTTGTTTGGCGCTATCCTGGCGCGGTGGGCAAAGCAGTGGCCGCAGCCGCCACCATCTTCTGCGCGCTGACAGGCGTCCAGCCGCGGAAAGCGCGCGTGTGTATGTGTGTGAGTGAGTGTGAAGGCAGCCAGAATCTAAATACAGCTTCCGGGTTTACCTTTCAAAATAAAATTATTTTGAATTTTAATTTCTAAATCAGAATTTTTCAGACTTTGAATTTCAAAACCATCGAATTTCACGCAGGCATTTTTATTTTTCACATTAATTTTTTTTACAATGATGAAATAAATTAATTGTAAAAAAAAATCAGTCTCTTAAAATATTTGTGTAGTAAAAATTCAAATAAAAAATGTGTAAAAAAAATAATAATTTCAGCGTCAAATAATTCTGTGTCAAAAAAATTTGTGTAAAACAGACCGACTCGACACCAGGGAGAAGCCATCCATTCCTCAATCTTCCACTGGGGTCGGTGCCACATGACCAATCTAGCATTATTTGATTGGTTGGAAGATGGATGATTGAGCCAGATTGCTCTCTGTGGAAGTAAATCACTCTCTTAAAATATTTATGTAGTGTAAATTCAAATTTAAAAAACTGTGTAAAAAAAAACAAAAAAAAAAACAAATAAATTTCAGTGTCAAATTATTCGTCTTCGTGGGGGCAGCAGCTTCAGGATGGAAGCCCAGACGGCCCTCACCCCAGCCACTTCCACCAGCTTCTCCGGGGGGGATTCCCAGGAATATAATCCCTCCACCTGGTCCTGGGCCGGCCACGAGGTCGCCTCCTGGTGGGACATGTCCGGAACACCTCTAAGTGAGTGATTCGTTCACTGAGTGTTTAGAAGAATTCACATTGAACATGCACCGTTCCCTCGCAAACTGCTGCTATGATAGGATGCTGTGAGTTTAATGCACTACTTGTTACATGCTGTGTCCTATGGTATGCAAGTTGTTGTGGTGGCAATTTAGCAGCGGAAAAAAAAGGTAGTTGTGTCTGACAAAAATGATTCCAGAGAGTTTAGTTCAATGCGTGATTCGTTCACCAAGTGATTCAGGTGTCGGTACATGCGGTCCCTCGTTCGCCGGCTGCTGGCCTGGCAATGCTGTTTCTCGCTTCAGCTCAACTGAAGTGAGAAACGAATGAATCACTCAAGGAATTGATTCGGTATGTTAACTTAAAAGATTTGGTTCTTCCGAATGAATCGTTCATAAACGACACAACACTTGATGGCAATTAAATCGAATTTAACGTAACATAAAATCACATTTTTACATTATGGGCACACTATTGGTGATAACAGCTACAGCACTGAACCTGCAGCTGGTTTGACGGTTCTCTCTACTCATTAAATTGGTTGATAGTGTTTTGTTGGAGGACGTTTTCCTGTTTACCCGGCGGAAAATAGTCAGATAAATGGGTTTAACATTCTTAACATAAAAAGTCTCAGGAAACGACTTCTTTCTGCACGTTCATCTCTGGATCTTGCAGACATTTGGAGTTAGCCTTAAAGCTGTTCAACTCGAAAATTGTATTTTATTTTGAAATTTCTTCACGTTTCCGTTTCGGTGGTTACCGTCAGCTTGGCGCTGCTGTCTGTCTGGAGCGAGTCGAGGGAAGGAGAGAGGGGCCGACCGCTGATGGGAGGGGTAGAAAGAGAGAGGTACGTGCACGCACTCGGTTAGGACTCCTAGGTAACGAGCACGTGTTTTGGCAAGGGTGGGGACGTCTGTTTTTGACCGCATTGAATGAGCACCCTTCGAGACCCCTTCCCCAATCCTCATGTCTGTTCCTCGTCCATGCCCTTTTAATTTTTAACCAACTATTGTGTTATTTCAGAGGAGAGCAAACGTTCGTCTTTGGGTGGTTGCAGAGGAAAAGAAACTTACTGAAGGTGTGTATTTTAGGGAAAAGTATCCAAAAATACAAAGCCCCTCAGATAGGAATAACTGATTATATTGCAGATGCTAAAAGGGATATAAAAAGGCATTGCGGCTTATTTGAGCCCCCTAAGGATGATGAAGTGTGTCATAATTCAGTGGTGAGATCTTAAATCCAACATTATGCACATCACACCTTAGACGAACCCAGATTCACCTCAAATGCTTCATCCCTTTGTCCTCAGAAAAGTAACAAACAGCAACCCCCAGTGGTTTCACAGTCCAACAGTGTAAAGCAGCGAACCCCAGGAGCCAATGTGAACACTTTTCTGCAAAACTGTGTCCTCAAAAGAAAGAACAAACAGATCCCCCTTACTTTACCGCCACTGTGGGATTTACGCAATCAAGTTTTGTCATTCGTTTGTTGTCATTGCATTGAGAATTCGGAGTCTAAAAAGTTCCTTTGCAGACAAAAAAAGTCAAAACATGTATCATTTGCAGCATTTATAATCCGTCTTTGCATGATTGTGCACTTTCTATGTTAATATTCTGAATTAAATTATAACGAGTTGCAAGAAATTCCAGATTATTTCAGTGAAAATCACTAAAAAAAAAAGAGCAATGGCTGATTTTTCTATTAAGAAGTCAAGATATTTCTAATAAAACTTCTTTAAAGGTGCTTACTAACACTCTAGCCCTTTAAGCTGCTAAATTAAATTAACTTTAAACCCTATTTTCTAAATGTGCAAATGAACATCTTTAGAATAGGCTACTTGCAGAATAAAATAAATGCTCACAGACACTTTTTCGGATCAAGTTAGTGTTTTTAGTGGGGAATACTGGTGCAGAAATCTAAACTAGAGCAGATTTCTATGTATACAAATCCACCACACACACACACACCCCTCCCCATTTCCAGTCACGACAAGTTGTTGGTGCATTGCAGCTCCAGAATCAAACCATCCTTTAAAGTCTAAAAGCAGAGACTGGATCCCTCAGAGTGTTCAGACTTTTGACCACAAGGTTCAACAGAGAGTAAATAAGCAGGGGCACGAATGTGGGCAGAGTCGAGGCATAGAGTCGCCATGGAAGCAACAGAGAGAGGAAGAAAGAGAGTAATATCTGCATGTAATAAGATTTCCTCTTGTCCTAATTGAATCTCCCTGATATAACATTTTTAAAAAAGCACAAAATGTCGCTATCTCGTCGATCAGAAATCTTTATTCATGATCAAACTTCCAAAATTGGGTGAAGATTAACTTAAATTTTATACCAAAACAAAAACAGTAAATAACCAACTTCTTTTATGGGACACACATCCATTCCAGATCGTATTCACAGATAAATTAAGATAACTGATAACCAAAAGCACAACCACACAGCGTCATGAGCCCAAGCTATCATCCCACTACAACTGTTGCCATGATGGGTGTCAGTCAGTGGACTGTATAACTTTTTACACAGCACTCTCTAGTGGGCAACTTCTGGATCTGCAGTGTAAACTTACTAAACACATCCAGTGGAGCACATACACTGAAATAAACAAAAACAAAAAAACGTAAATTAAGCAAATGTGAAATGTTTCCTGTCAGGTGTTTTCTTTTCTTTCCCTTTAATTCAGATTGTAGCGGGGGGTTAGTGAGGGACGACAGAGAGGGAACTGGAAGTGAGTTTGTCCATGAATGATTATTTTCTTCTTAGTACTTACCTGATTATTAAGGACTCTATATTTGCTGTTACAGTTTGACATTTTGGAAGATTATAATCACTGTCATGCCTGTGTGGCGCTATAAATAGCTAGAGCCAGCAGCCAGTTAGCTAAAACTGAAAATAAGGAGGAAACAGCTGTAGCCTGAGTGGTCCGAATGCTTGAAAGTCTGCTTACCTGTCAAGCTGTCTGTAGTTAGCGCATGATATGATGTTTGCCTGGTTGGTGCAAGAAAGAAAAATCTGCTTCGTCTCATTTCAGACACTCTTGTCCTCTCTTTTCTGGTTTTAAGAATGAAAACATGCCTCCAAAACTCCACGAAAAAAATCAATTTCCAGCCTACAGGCAACAGGACGGAGGAGTGAGGAGACGAGGAGGCACAGACTTTGAAAAGAACTGAAGTCGTCTGGTTTCAAGTTTCCAAAATGTCAAACTATTTCCAGCAATTTTACCCTGCCATACTCTGGGAAGTTCGCTGAGGTAGGCTTGCATAAGAACTTGCAGCTATGACATGTTTCAAACCATTATGGATGTTAAGGTCAGGATTTGGGGCTTCCTTCTTTCCACAGAGGTCAGGGGTCAACTCATGAGTCCTCTAATCACATTTACCTCCAGCCCACTTTTACATCAGCCTTATTTTTGGGAGGTTCACACAAAAAAAAATCCATATATATCTTTCTAGCCTGCAGAAGAAATGGCTACAGACATCTATAATCACAACACATTCATCGTAAAGTTTTTTTAATCATCATTTAGCTTAAAAAACTGGGAAGCTTATCTGCACAGTGTTGAATTTTTGCAAACAGAAACTGAAAAATCACGTAAGAAACGAGCAGATTTACCACACCCACCTCACTCCGCAGACTCTGACCCTTGAACCCTGACCTCTGCTTCCATAACAGTGCTCATTTCACAGGTTGTCAACAACCCGGACTGACGAGCGTATAAAACTTCAAAAAAAAAAATAGGCCTCGTGTGTTGCATGGTAGGTTTCGGAAGTATTACATCAACTGCATGTTGAAAGGAAATGCATGCATGTATAAAAAGGAGATGTGATGTCTGACATGCAACGTTGATGTTAGTCTATGTGAAAGTTTGGATGATCAGCTGTTTATAGCACCCAAAAAAAAAACAAAAAAAAAACAGCCCATGGAAATGATTTTCTGCAACGCAATTCTCAAGATAACAACAAAAATCTGCAACTTCCTGTTAGATTCACATACAAAGGAGCTATTTGACTGTGTAAGTTTCATGATTTTCAATTTTTATTTGCGCTTACTTTTTATTTAAATATTTCTTCACATCATCACTTCCCCAGCCCCCCCCCCCCCAAAAACCAAGACAGTCCACTGTGATTGTGCAAGAGAGAGAGAGAGAGAGAGAGGAGGGCGTGTGTGTGTAACAAACTCTGTGATCAGCGGCATCTTCTTTCCCCTTTTAGATCTTGTGTCTTTAAGCTGCCTATTCAAACAATGACCCATCCCTCTGAATATCTGCCTCGCTCCCACAGTCCTTAAATACTCCTGAGGAAATAAGCAAACACTAAAATCATCTCATATCTGTCTCCTCATTCTGACTAACTCAGGCCCCGGCTTCCACCAGACCTCCTCTCCTCTTCTTACTTCCCCCACTCAAGTTATTTTGTTTCCTCAGTTCTTCCGGTAGCGGTTCTTTGGCTTTTCACCGCAGCCCGTGGCCTCGCAGGAGGACAGGCCGGGCTGCTTGCCAGAGTTAATGCTGCTCAGAAGGGCAGGCAGCTCATTGGTGATTGCCTTCTCAATCTTTTCCAGCAGACATCCCCCCATGTAGGAGCACTGGGCCGACAGAGGCTTAAAGTTGTTGATCGGGTTGATGCCAAAGAAGTCACGGTAAGCATCGCGGTTGGGCAGGTCAAACTTGCTGACGTTCGTCTTGGCTAGGATGGACTTGAAAATGTAGAACTTGTCTGGGTCGTCCACAATCTCTTTGAAGACCAGCTCGGGGTCGCTGAAGAAGCTCATCTTCTCCTTGAAGGTCTGGACGTAGCGATCTACCAGCAGGCCGTGGATACGCACACGGATTCCATGTTGACGGATGAAGGCGATTTTGTTCTCCATGCGGTTCTCGATCACCTGGTTCAGATCTTCCAGGAGGGAAATCTCCTCTCGCTTGAAGAGTTCGCGGCTGGTGTCAGGAGCGTAGTCGTACGGCCAGAAGGAGCTGACGTAGACACGAGGGGGTTCGGTCACATTGATGAGGGGGGCTAAGCTCCAAAACAGAGCGCCGTAGACTCTCATCAAGTCCTGAGTGGCCAGGTTGTCGGCCTTGTTGAGGATGATGCGGATCTGAGATTCACGACCCTTCAGCTGACGGAAGAGCATCTCCAGCTCCAAACCCACGTCCAGCTTTGTGGGGTCAAACACCACGAAGATCAGGTCAGCGCGGTCAATGAACCACTGGCAGACATCATTGAAAGGATAGCCTGGACAGATAAAAGACCAGACAAACCATTAAACTTAGAGTAACCTCTTCATAAACACACAAACCGATATCAGAAGTCTCGTTTTACCTCTCTCCTGCTGCTTCCTGTTCTCGATAATTCCGGGCGTGTCCACGAAAGTCACACGTTCCAGCAGCTTGTGCGGCATCTCGATACCGATCAGCTTTTCGAGGAAGTTTTGGCCAAACTTCTCCAGGGGGGAGAAGGAGCGGGAGCTGTCTGCCGCCATCACGATACCCTCAACAGAGCGGATCTTCTCCCCGTGCATGATGACGGTGAACTCGGAGGTAGTCGGCTCGGCTCCTGAAAAACAGCCAAGCCATCTCAGACGGTGTTTTCATCCACAGTGGAAGAATAAAAGTCTGGTGTTAATTCCACTTTAAACCCACCTGTGTAGAGCTGATAGGGGCTGTCGTGCATGCCCAGCAGGTAGTTGATCATGGAGGACTTTCCTACACTCCAGGGCCCCAGGAACAGCACCATGGGCTTCGATGTGATCTCTCCGTCTGTTGGTCAGAAAAGTAAAACATTAAGTAACACCTCGGCTGAATGTCTCAATAAAAAAATGATTAAAATTGTAATAAAAAGTGGTTAAGTCATGGTTTGAGCTCAGAGTTTGTTTGCAGCTGGTAAGAAAAGTGTCAAGACTTGAGCGGTTCATCGTTATTATGTTTAGAGAAGACGCCGCTCTGCTTTTTGCCTCTGAAAAGGAGAGTTTGTTTTTGAGACGAACTGCACTTCAAGTCTGACAGACACCAAAAGCATATCAGAGTAGAGCTGTCATTCTCCATCCAGAGCACAGACAGAAACTCCGCAGAGCCAGAAAACAATAAAAAAAGAAAGACAAGCGAAGAAAAGTGTTGGGTTTGAGCACAGACTGTACAAAAAGATGGATTATGTGAAAGATTCTGCTCCATTTAGCTGACTGAAAGGTCATTTAAGCTCCTATAAAGAGTTTTTTATGCTTATGAAAGAGACTGAAATTCATATTTATGTCTTTTCCTGATATTTAAAAGCAAACAAGATCATCAGCATCAGGATTGGTAGTTTTTATATCCTTATTTTTAACAAAACCTGAAATCAGTGTGGGGCCGGAGAGGCCGTTTTTAACAACTTTCCACATGAAATATTCACGATAAATGACTCATTTGACTGTCAAAATTCAGCGGTGGCGATCTGTTGTCAAAAGTCACTTCTCGAAGACTGCTTTGCCCACAGGGGGGCGCCAAAATTGGCACAAATTGGAAACTTTGAAATGAAAAATATGCTGATTAATTCTTGTAGTTAATTATTTGATGCTAAAAAACAAGAGGAGCTACAAACACAAGGACGGTTCACTGTAAACTCTGCTGACCTAAAGGATCCTTAATTAACATTGTGGCTCCAGGACCTAATTTCTATTATGCAGACTCAGACTTTGGATTTTTGGCATCACTTTTGCAGTATGAAAAGGTGTGGACGTGTCATCCGTCCTGATGTACAGTCAGCGGGTTAAAGCTGCAGCCATATCTCAGTGATGAAGAACACAGCAGAAGCTCTCACAGCAGGCCGTGTGTGTCAGAAGAAGCTGCTTTGTGTGTTGTGAGTGGACATGGTGTCGGGGTGGTAGGGCAGAGGTATGTTGTGTTACATTCCACTGATCCGAATCTGTCTTAATTTAGAGGAAGATGGGGATGAAAAGGTTCCTGACAGCATTTGAAGAAGAGGGGAAATCATCTTAAAATCTGGAGTTATTTTAATGACAAAACATCAGTTACTGGACTCCTCGCTGTAAACTCACCACCCTTTCCCACCAGTGTCCCCTCCTCAAACCTGCACGTCTTCTGCTAAAGCTGCACATGCAACCCCCTCAAAATTTAGGTGACGTTTCATTTCATTAAAGTCACTTTAGATTGAGTTTTGTGATTCTTTTTCTGAAATTTTGATCTCTATGATTCACAAGGACAAATGAGGGGGCGGGAGGAGGGGCGGAGCACTTCAGGCAGTGACATGCACAGGTAAGCCCGGCCCACACCCACCTGTGGCTGAGTCCCCCAGGGTTCGTCCGGGGTAGGCTGTTAGATGAGGGGAGTGGGGGAAGGGAGGAGGGAGGGAGAGGTTGGAGTACAGAGAAGTGAAGGGAGGAGAGTGAGGAGTGAGGGTGAGAGGTTTCTAGAAGCAACATGTAGGGGTAGAGTGACAATGTGCGAGGGGGAGGGTGGGAGACCCGGTCTCATATTTGACCACCTGATGTGTCAAATATGTCTGTGTACAAGAAATGGTTTGCCCTCAGGGTCGGGTTTGAAACTTCATTTACTGGTTGGATAGTTTTTACTCATGAAATGAGTGAATGAGTTTGTTATACGACTGCTCTGGTCCTGATTGCAGCGGAGACAGTGAGTGCATCTACATTAAAGGTACAGTATGTAGTTTTTAGCAGCATTTAGCAGAACAGACGGAGTAGTAGGAGCGCCTTCTGATGTGACCACGATCTGCTCCAGACTTCTGACCACGTGGACATCTACATTTTTCATTTGCATCCAGTTATATTATTAATATAAATGTGTGATTTATAGTCCCTATTTGATGTTTGAGATACAGGAAAAATATATTTTGAAAAATATTTATTTTGTTTAGTTAGTTTAGTTTATTTGTTTGTTCGAACAGGTTAAAAGAAAAACAAAATAAATACAATATACAAAACGATTAAAGAGACAGCTCTGTAGCAACATAGATAATCATACTTTGTTCGAAGGGGTGTAGGATGAAGTTGATCAAACTTATCTAGTCCTACCTCTTTATTGTCGTGTTACTGTAATTTAATCAGTCAGAGCATGTGTAGAAATAACAACACAGAAGAAAGAAAATATATCAGATAAAAAGGCATGTTGCACATTGTTATAAATTCATGTTTCTGTTTCTCTCTTATATCCACTCAGAATGTGGTTTATAAAAATAAGTTTGAACTCGCTCAGCGATCTGCAGGTTTTCATTTCTTCGCTGCAGCTGCTCCACAGATTAACTCCTTTGACTGTGTTTGTACGTACAGGTTGTTTTTTTTAAAATGCATATTCCCCTGAGATTATATTTGTTTTCTCTTATTTAAAACAACTTTTGGATGCCCTGTGGTAACTGATTCTTTTTTGCTTCGTACATGATCTGAATTGTTTTGACGTCGACCAAATCCTTAAACTTTAGTGCCTTCAGTTTGATGAAGAGTGGGTTTGATGGTTCTCTACTTTTATTTACTATATTTTTGCTCTTTTTTGGAGTTTGTATATTGTTCCTGTGTTTGTTTTGTGTGTGTTCCTCCACACTTCCACACAGTAGGTGCTTTAGACGGGTTTAGAAGATATTTGACTTTAAGTAGTATTGCAATTGACTTTGCTATTTTTGCTGTAATGTACTGTAAAGGTGGCTTTCAGGATAATTTGCTGTCAATTATGACTCCAAGAAACTTTATTTCATTCACTCTCTCTGTTTCTATGTTATTTATCATGAGTTTCTTTTGTGAGTTATTTATCCTATTTCCAAATATTGTGAATTTAGTTTTGATTAGATTTAGTGTTTTGGGAAACAATTGTCTTCAAAAAGTCTAAACATGAACATTTCTCTGCATGAAAGCTTCACATCACCTCTGATGCTATTTTTTCCAACCAAAAATAATCAACAGATTTGACCTTAGTGATGATCACACAGCTAAATCTCTTCAGACAGACCTTTCTTTGTGTATTTTAATGTGGCGTGAGGATGATTTGTGTGTGCAAACAGGTCAAAAATCAAAGCAGTCCAAACAGAAAAACCGCACACATCAGAGCAGAGCGCAGCTGAAGCCGAAGCCTCGGAGGTACCTGAGATCTCATGCTGCCTCAGTTCATTGTACTTGTAGGCCTGTTCCATGGGTTTGATGGATGTGTGGTAGATCTTTCGCAACCTCTCGATAGCCGCTGGAAGGAAAGAAGAAACAGATATGGTGTTTATAAGGTGCAAGGCCAGGACAGAAGTGGGAATTATTGAAGAGAAAATTACACTTCACCCCAGATTCTCACCTGCATAATCTCCCGCTTTTTCCGCAGCTGCAAGCCGCAGCGTCTCATCAATGTGAGATCTGTCTCTGAGGGTGGTGGTGACATCTTCTTCTGTAAAGACATCATAAAAAGTTAAAGCTCCTGTGAGGAGTTTTTGACAGGTTGTGAAATAGCCTGAAATTAACAGTGAGATGAAAAAAAAAAAGCAAACAAGATCGAAGGTTTTTATGTTGTCAATCTTGATACTCATTTATAGCTCAAATTTTCACTTTGCTCTCAAATTCTTGAAATTCTCAGAGGATGTATTTGATCGTAAAAGAGCTCTGGAGGTGGATCGAGGTGGCCTGCAAACTTCTGTCTCAGTTCATGGCGATGGGGCTGTCATGGATTCATTTTAATGCTATACTACAGAGGCTGGTGATGCATTATCACTGGCAACACACCCTGCCGACCATCCAGCACTGAGAAGTTAGGGGTAACACACAGATGATACAGTCCAGACATGGCTAATGTGTGAAACACTCGCATGATCTAAAGCCTCAGACCTGAACCTTCACTACATCTGCAGCAGGACTGTCGTTATATACTTATACTGATGATTACTGTCCTTTCAAAGTATGAAATATTAATGGTGTGTTCAAAATGAGTCAATAGGGGGCAGTAGAAGTGTGATACCGCCTGCCATAACGCAGAGGGAAAGAAGCAGCAGCTGCAGGCGCTACTAGCTAGCAGTAACAGCTCTCGAAAAGAAGTCTGAACCTTTAAAAAGTTATGTTCACAGATTGTTTTGTGAGTCTAGAGTAGTGGTGTACATATTATTTCAAAATAAAAGCATGTTTTTTTTTCAATACAGCAAAATAGGCAAATCCAAGACAGTCAGCAAGTCAAATATAAACATAAAAAAAAGATCATTTTATGAAGCAGTCAGTCTGTTCTCTAAAGACGTTCCTGTCTGATAAAACATCATTTTGAACATCTTTAGAAAGGGATCATCATGTAAGTACGTCAGTTGTATTTATCAATACGAGTTTACGAGTTACAACATCATTGTTCGCCTTCTCTTAAATGGCCGATTGTGTTATTTTATTCAAATTTAATGTCCTTTCACACCAGGAGCGTTTTTTTCATGCGATTATTTCAGACGTCAGTATTTTTTCTAACCCGTATCCTGTCAATACAAGTGTTCACATCAGCGACATTTTCTGTCCTGCGATATTGCAGCATTTATTTTTTCGTACCACAATTGAATATTCTAAAGTTTCGCATACTGTGTGTCCACTTCTGACCAATCAGATTTCTTGTTGTTGCGACGTCAGATTCACCGACATTTTTTTTATAGTCACAATAATCATAACAGGAAAATGCGATAGAGCCCCAATCTGCAGCATTGTGTCAGTGAATATTTGTTTCATATGTCTGATAAGTATGACAATTAGACGTGCATATAAAACTAAAACTTACTGGTCGTCACAGTCTGGTAAATGTCTTTTACTGATTTTTTAAAATTTTAATATATAACAGCTAAAAACGTAAAAGCGAGCCACAGTTAGATTCAGTTGTCTTCTTTCTCGCTTGCAAATTAAACAATAAACTTACAAAAGCAATATTTTTCTGCTCTCTTACTTTGCATCCCAAAACGCATTTGCCTGTCCTATTACTCATCCCCTATAATCTGTGTATGTGTGTAACAATCTGAGAGAGCTTACTGTGTGTCATGCCCACTTTTGAACATACTGGATAGCTGAGATCACAGCTGCCATTACAATCAGCTCTTAATTTAGAAAGCAAACACTGAAAATAACCAGACAAAGACATTTGTTTGGCATCACCATGGGCTTTATAACAACAGCAGCAAAGAGAGACAGAGAGGGGGGACTTCCCCGGTTAACTAACAGCCGCTGGACTGAGTGTTCCCATCAGTAAAATACGCTATGAGACAATGATGTGCAATCCTCGGTCTTTTCTCTTCTATATTTACCCACCTATCACAGACTTATAACGCTCTGAAGCTTGTCCTTGTGTGCCCAGGCCTCAGAACTGGCCTCCCACACAGTCCTGCCACAGGCAAACCCGCCACAGCTATGAGTTATAAATAGTAGCAGATGGGAAGTCTTCCTGGTTCACACTTCCATGTCCTGGGGGGGTTTAGATACGACTATCCACCGACATAACACTTCCCATAAAGTTGTTTGGGAATTTCAAGTATTTACAACATGTTTGTGGAATATTAAAGCTGATCGCTGCAGTGTAACAGCAGGCGTTTGGTTGTTAATTCGGATTATCTGCATACTTCCTGTCAGCACAGCCCAGGAATCATATTAACATAATAAAGGTTTCACTTGATTTGATATTTATAAATGCCAGACTTCTGATTGCATACTCAAACACGCATCATAATAAAAGGGTGACTGAAACCACGCTGCGCCATGCTTCATCACCGTCTGCGCGAGGATATAAATAGTAAATAGTTCAAGAAAACTCCACCTTTACAGTGGGCAGTGCCGCCATGGCGTCCTGCTGCTCCATAACCTGGAGTACAGCCACTGACCATGTGGTCCATGACTCCACATGACTCAGGCCAAGACTGAGAGTGGCTTTGGCTAAAGTGTTACTGCATCAAATGACAAATAAAATCAAGATAGGAGTAAATAAAGATGTCTGACAACTACATGATTCGTTAAAAAAATGGGGATATATTTAAATTATGCAAAAAACATGTAAAGGAAACACAAAACCCCACACGGTGACATGTGGTGTGAACCATGCATTAATTGAGAGCCCAACAGTTGCTCCTTTGCAGTGTTGCAGCGGTGACACACGCCGCCGTTAAAGCACGGCTGATTCTCCCCGAGTCAACCTGCTAAAAATAAAGCTGTGTAATGTCGCTCCCAGCGCGGTGCAAGAATAAGAGAGGCTAAAGGTTAGCATCCAGAATAAAAGGAGGATACCAATGATCCCACAGTCTCTAAAAAGATTTAAAAACTAATCAGACGTGTTAATGAGTGTGTTTCATGTCATTCTCGAGGAGGTTGGATGGGATATGATTAGGGTTTAGATTCTGAGTCGGAAACTATTTGTTTAAAAATACAAATAAAGACACCTGGACCTATTTAGTCTGCCATCTCTTATTTGAAAGGTTGAAGGTTTGATCCCAGCTCCTATAATCCAAATTCAGATCATCCTTGAGTGACAGAGGTGTATCCAGAAGGGTGGCCAAAGGTGGAAACGCCCCCCTTGAAATTTAGTTGGCATCCATTTGTCCAGTCAGATGCAGGACTTTTGTCAAAATCAACTATTTGGGATGTTTTAACAGGCTGTGAGTGCTTACTTTACATTTGCATGTGGCACATTTTACTTTTTGGTGCCTTTAAGAAATAAGCGAAGAAGACTCATAAGTCAAGCAGATACAAAACAGCGTGTGATAGCCAAAGTATTTCAAGGATAGAGGCGAAAGGCTGAGAGGATTTTTGTTTCCGCTCTGTTGCGCTGTCAAAACATCACTCACAGGAATATAACAACTCCTACTGAGCTTTTTTTGGTCTAAAAGAGGTCTAATGTAGCCTAGACAACTGGTCTAAAATCAGGCGACCACAAGTCTAAAAACCAAGTAGACCAAGTTTAAATCTGGGCTATATCTATACTGCACTGTTTATTGCTCAACGGCTATCATAATTATTTTGGTTAAGTACTTTGAGATCAGTTATGCAACTCACAGTTGCGTTTTGAAAAAATAGTGATCGAATAATGGGTTTAAGTTATGGAAGTAAATCTGTGCCATCTGATTTTGATTTTGAATTTCTAAAGCTGATTTTTTTTTTGCATCAAAATCAGACTTTGAATTTCAAAACTATTGAATTTCAAGCAGCCATTTTTATTTCTGACACTTATTTTTTTGTAATGATGAAATAAATTCGGTGTAAAAAAATCAGTCTCTCCCAGTAGAAGATTGAGGAATCGATTGCTTCTCCCTGATTACCTGGATGTCGAGTTGGTCTGTTTTAAACTAAATTCTTTGCCACTGAAATTTTTTAACAGTTCAATTTATTTTATGTTTTATTTTTTTTATTTATTTATTTTTTTACACAGTTTTTTATTTTTATTTGAGTTTGTACTACACTAATATTTCGAGATATTAAACAATCAATTTATTTCGTCATTGTTAAAAAATAAGTGTAAGGAATAAAAATGCGTGCTTGAAATTTGATGGTTTTAAAATTCAAAGTCTGATTTTGATGCAAAAATAAATTCAGCTTTGAAAATTCAAATTCAAAATCAGGCACAGATTTACTTCCATACTAAGTGTAACGTCTAATTTCCATCTAAAAATATACAGAATCTAGACGGTTAAAATCAGGTCTAAAAACAAAACTAGGCGTCTAACAGCCGTCTATTGCTCAGTGGGATTTATCATACTAAAATGATAGTTGTTCAGGTAGAGGGTAAATGTTTTGTATTTGACATAGGCCACCCCTGCTCGTGTCTGTATCCGAGCTGGGCCACCCCAGTCAAAAAGTTTGGACACACCCCTGCTGAATTGTGACACTGACATGCCATAAGTGTAATTCAAGTAATTCATCATTTAGTCCTTTATATTGGTAAGTCTGATAGTTGTAGTTTGAATTTTGGAGGTATTCCAGCTTTTAATGATCCTGTAGCTCTCCAAGATTACTCAAGCCTCTGTAATGTGAGTCATCACTCAGAAGACTTGTGTCTTTTAACACCACCCTCTTGAGTGGGCCTTAACTGCTGCGAACGTGTTAACACCTTCCAATTCAGTCGAGCCCGGATGGAGGCCTTTCAATCGAGGTCTGCAAAGATCAGAGAGGTAGTGTTGCCTGCGCAGGGCGGGCCTTGCATCAGTGCTCAAAATTAACCCTGCAGGCGCCAGGGGAGTTGAAGCCCGGACATCTGCCTCTGTGAGCCCGTTGCCCCACAACCCTCCCTCAGTTTAGAGAAACATTCTGGTGGCATCGGCACATCCAGGAGGAATGTTGGGGATTTAAGCCCACCACAGCCTCAGCAGCTGGGTAAGTCATGCCTCCGCTATAGATCCTTTTGCGGAGGCTATTTATCATCATCAGAAAGAATGCCAATCCACCACTGCAGAAAGGAACATTTTGTACAAGTATCTTTTAAATGAGTGAACTCCAAATACTGTGGAAACGATTAAAAATTCACCTGCCAGTGAAGGAGTCCAAAGGATGCTTATACATCCTACTCCAACAAAGCAAAAAATTATCATTAAAATGGTCAAATAATCGACTAAAATGATCACAAGAACATGAATATACCTTCATTTATGTGCACTTACACTCAACCCCAGGATCATGTTCTGCTTGCTTCACAGAGAGCGTAATAGAATTAAGCAGAACATGAGGAGGGTGGCAGGCCTGACACTCCCCCTCCAGAGGATTTATCCCGGGCAAAGGTGGATTCAGGCTACATTAAGTAAAGGCCAGGGGGTCCAATGGAGAAAAAGAGCCATGCACAGGCAGGATTTTCTACATAACCAGATGCAACTAATGCAGCCAAAAGCAAATTCATATCCTCTAACTTTTAAGACCAAAACCTGATAAATTAATTATAAATGTGCAGGATTCTCCCACAACGCAAGGGTCAGAGGTGTGATGGCAGTCAGCAGAGCCTGTGCAGGGCATGGTGAGGAGAGGCCACGAATGGCAACAGGTGGCACAGCTTGTGGAGCTAGTACTCCCCCAAAGTCAAAAATAGACCCACAATGGGTCAGAGGATGGACAGAGGAGGGGGCAGAACGGCCGCCTCCTATTTTAGGGTTTCGACCGATAGCCAGTGTGGAGACTCAGAGACATTCACATCCCTTAAATATGACTGGAATATACAAGCCGATAAATTAAGACCTATTTGATAACAAAACATGCTTTTTGGTGAGATTTATATGAATTGGTGAAATCGTTCTGTCCTTAAATTCTCATATTGGTTTATTTATTCCACAGTGAAAATCTTACTTCACAAGGGCTGTCACATCCTCTAAGAACCATCGTATGTGGGCCACATTCGGGTTGCAAATCCTCAAAGAGGTGACTTTAACGTCACATGAAGTTGAGTGACAGGTCTCGAAGCAAGGCGCACTAGCGGAGACACTTCGCCCTGAGGTGTCGATCTGTTACCTCTATCCCTGCTCTCCTGTTTGAAAGCCGGGGAAGGACGTCAGGTGCCCTTGGGCCCTGGGAGGGCTTGTCTTAAGGAGGGGCGTGTAATAGGGCTGTCGAGTCTGACTGACGTGTCCCCTCTTCTACTACTACAAGCGTAGGGATGTCCCAGACATGCCACATGCCAACAGAGGGGATCACATGCAGACAGAGCGCTTTTACGTTTTTACAAAGTGAGGAGGCTAAATATGTTTTTAATGTGTCAAGACTGGATAGAGTTACCGTTTAAGTATAAACGCAGTGATGTAAAGCTCTAATCAGGATCCAAAAGAGGCGGGGGGACATCTATCTATAAAAAGTCGAGTCTAAACTCGTCTCTGCTGCAGTTTCACCATATGCTGTAATGACATTTGCATTAATGACTTTAATATAGTGCTTTAACAGCTTTCTCAAATCCCTTTCTTAAAGCCCACAGATGACTCTGGATACTATACACTGCTTGGTTAGTGTTGAGTTTCTTGCAACCTTATTATAACCCAACAGTTACTATAGCGACATCTGTATGTTTACGGCTACATGACTGAGCAGAACCATAGATATGAGTCCATGTAACATTTCCACCGATAAAAACAGTTTTTACTGATCAATACCTTCTTCAAAAGACTGATTATTGACCAGGCGATGGGTTTGTCATTCAGCTAAAGTCTGGCGGATGCTCCACACCTCAGGTTGCGGCGTGATCGTCTCTTCGGATCAGAGACACGCTCAAGAATTGTGGGTACAATTTCACAACAACAAGACGGTGCCAGTGCGCCAAATCATGCTGCAATAAATTACACAAATAATCGTCTAAATTTCAGTGGCAGGATAAACAAATGAGTCTTTGCTTTTGAAGAAGGAAATCCGGACATTGATTATTTTACTTTCCATTAAAAAGAGTGTATCTTTTTGCAGTTAGATACCATGATGGAGGTCCTGACTCTAAGTGAGGAGCTCATGTTCTTAGAGAGTTTTGGACTCATAGTTCGCCGGTACTTGACACCAAAGGATGTCAATGAATTGGCACAATCAGATATTTGAAGACCACGGAAAGACACCTGCACAGGACTCCAAGATGAAGTTATAACTTGCGGCCAAAGCCCGGCCCCTCCTGCCTGGAGAATGCATGTCCCTATAAGGCCAACTGCTGGGAATAAATTGCGATTGTGACAGTGCAGAGTGACAGCAGCTGTGCAGAGTATCTAAAGGGAAGCACGGGAGAGGGAGGGGTGAGGAGTCAGGAGGGGAAGGGGAGAGGGAGGTAGGAAGCGTAGTGACCAGTGTTGGGTTTCAGGAGGCCTTCCAATCTTAGACACCTGACAGCGGCCTGGAATATGGAGGCCTGGGCCCGATCTGCGGAGCTGAACGCCACTCCAAGGACGGACAAGGGTGACAGACAAGGGTAATGCCAGAAGCTCCGGTCCGTACTCAGACACCAGTCCACATTTTTAGAATGGGTAATCTGGGAGAGGTTGTTGTCACTATGACATTGAACTACATGAGCGCCATGTGATCGCATTTACTGTGGGATTGACGTGATGCTCTGGACTGTCATCACAAAAATCTCGCCCCGTATTTCACCCAGAGAGTAAACTATCCAAAACAAGTTGAAACTAAAGCTCGGAGATCACATCTCTGAGCGCAGGCCAGAAAGTGACAAAACGCTCAGTCCTCTATTCAAGCTCTTTCCTCCTTGGTTAGAGCGAGACTTTCCATCAGCTGGTGCCATGCGTTACGACAGCTGCCGTGCTGTCAGTCCAGAGGAAAGGCTTAGGAAAAGTTTGAACAAACCTCACCTTTTAAAGCCACGAAAAAAGAAGTTGATAAACACTCATTTATTCTCCAAATCAATGCTGCATTTGTTGTGATTTTATCCTTGTAAAGAAAAGTAAGAGCCCCCTAAATGTGTTGATTATTATTCCTGGGCACTGACACATCAAATATAAACTCTGACAGAGTTTAAATAGCTGCGCTTGGTGGGAAAGAAAGACCTGGATAGCATTTCTATCCTCAGCTGGTGTCACCATGACTGTCACTATCCCAGCAAACTGTGCCACTAGCTGCTAATCCTGATCCAGCTGCCCCGGTACAGGACACAGAAACAAACTAACGCTCGCTGCTTTTCCACAACACATCCATGATCGCTTTTTCATTCAAATCAAAGTTCCCTGAAACGCCGCTGTGTGATCAAGCTAACAGAGAAATCAAGCCTTCATGTAAGAGCTTCAAACTTACACCACATCCTTCCTTCATTCATTCAGCAGTAGCACTAATCTGTCATATCTCCACAGTGCACCACCCTGAAGTAAAACGAGAACCATCCTCCAAAGATTTCATCAAACTCCTCACCAAAAGCCTTACCTGCTGTGGCCTGCAAAAGCAGCAGGGAGAGGAAACAGCAGATCAAGACCGTACCCTTCATGATGGCTGCCAGGAGAACTCTGATAGGCACACAGGCTATATATACCAAGGCAGGAAGGTTAAAGGGCGCGCAGAGAGAAGAGGCGGGGCCCACAGAGGGCCAGCTGGTGGAGGGGCCTGGGATGGAGGTGTTGCAGGAGTCACTGCATGCCACAGGGACTCTACGTGTACCAGCAGCTGACTCTCATTTTTAGAGAGGTCGCAAACTGGGCCCGGGCATCAGCGCGCCACGACCTGACTGAAATCCTCCGCTCAATCACTTAACTTCTCATGAGAAGTTGAGTAGATGTGTGTCAGAGAGCAGGTAAAGGTGAGCGTTTCTAAAACATTTCAGATTAGCTTTTAGCCTTTTTTTTTGGCTTGTTTTGGTTACGAGGACTAGTATCATTCAGATGCTGCAGAGCAAGAGCCTACACTAACTAAACAAGCAAGTCACTGTGAGATTAGGAAAGTTTAAAGGTGTTTGTTTTGGCAGATTTTGGAAATTCAGCTCTTTATCGCCCTGTTCTCAGTCTTAAGGCCCAACTAAGAGAATTACTCCAGCTTCATACTTTGCACCATAAACTGAATAAATGTGGATGTAGCCACAGTGCCATCATTCATGGGATTCTTAAGTGGAGTTTTGAAGCCTTTTGACCATGGTTACAATCATGGTGACGATCGATCCTCAATCGCGTTATCTCGGTGTGTTCGTCCGACAATGAAAAGTTCAATTTAGTGTGATATCAGTCGGACTAACTTGTTAAAATTTATTCTAAAAGAGAGAAATAAACCTTTTAGACCAGTATCGTTGTTTATGTACCAAGCTGTGAGCAGTCATATTGACACTGGAAAGATCAGGCTTATTTGAATGGATGTGTATGTGGCTTCCAAGGTTAAAGGAGCCGGCCTCAAGTGGACACTAGAGGAACTGCAGCTTTAAGCATTTCCATGATGGCTTAATTTCTTAAGACTTTCTTTTTTTTCTTGGGATGCAACATCAACATCCATGTTAAAAAGCCCATTTTGACGACTGAAACATGACTGCAGCCAAGTTCAAAAAGCAGTTTTTGTCATACTAGCACATTTCTCTCTTAGACACATGTGACTCTTTAAAACTCATCCATTTTTATGACACTAAAGGTCAGAGTTCTGCAGAAATGTGCATAATTTAAGATGTGGTATACTTGGCATTAATTTATACAGTCTATGGTTGTGATTTGCCTCGTTCTCTTACAACACAGTGGTAAAGCTAAATAAACTAAGATGCATGCATGTCCTAATGCGGGTTATACGGTGTGTTTCTTTGCATTTTACTTGTAAAATATCGAAGAGATGCCGCTTGGCAAATAATTTATAATAGAGCCAGACTGTCAGTGTGCCAAGATCACCTAGTTAGGATTTGCCTCCTTTGCAGTGAGCCACAACAGTCGCTTTGTGCTGCACTTCATGATGAATAAACAACAGCTTTGCCTTCTTTCATTTTACATTACTAACAGTGAGTGTGTCTGACGTAGATGAGGGCCTGTCGACCCCGTTTCTAGTAAGGATGCTCCCTCGGCTGCCGTGTTTTCACCGTCACAAGACTGTTTGTCAGAGAGAGAGAGAGAGAGGGATGAGAGCCGAGGAGAGGCAAGGTCTGCAACATAAAGACCCCCGAGTCAACCCAGAATCCCTAACACAGCGAAACGCTAGGCGGATTACAGTTTTATCATTCTGAAACAGACACACTGTGCCGCACATAATCCCACAATTCCTCGGGAATCAACATCTCAACTGTAAATTAATCTCCAAATATGGCAGGAGTGTCTTGCTGGAGCATGTCCGTCCCATATGACTTCAGGAGGCATGTCCAAACAATACATCATGTTCAATTTGGTGCGTAAAACCGCCTCAATCCAGAGGACAGTGCTCAGCAGGATTGTTCATGAGGAAGTCTGTGCTTCTGAGGAGCTGTTTTTGAATTCTGGTTAACACCAACTCTTTGTTAATTACAAGTGACAGCCACCGGCTTAAGTCACGGTGAAAGTTTAGCTGAACCTTTGAACCTTCAAACTGTCACTGTCAAACGAAAACCACCTTAGATATTAAATCCCCTTATTACCAGGAGAGCACAGAGGTTATAAATTTAATGTCTTCAGCGGCTTCAAATCTGCTAATGGATGATATTAATGCTGTCATTTTCAAACTAATGTTTTCACTAAAGTTAACTACCAACCATGAGAGAACGATTTTAAGCATCAACACTTCTTTCATTTGAGTTAAATACTACAGTATGCGCCTCTTGCTGTGCTACTTCAGATGTTGTTGGTTTACAGAAGCTTTATCATATCCAGCACTGGCATATAATGTGCATGTACATACATATAAATTAAATACATGAATTATCCTTTCTTTTTACACCAACCATATCTTCTACCATCTTGCATCCTAATGTTTCTACAGTAGCACAGAACAGACAAACTAGTATCTTATGCATAATTACACTTGCAAAATGCACTGGCTGAAAAATAGAGAAGTTCTGTGCAAGAATATGTATTGATAAATCTTTCTGATGTGAAAACTTATTCATACTCACCATGCATTGTCCTCAAAGGCCACTGTTGATTCACTGGTGGGAGGGGTGAGCAAGGGCGCGTTTCAGTCGAAGAATTTGACGGCGAGATACGACTGAATATCCCAGTTTCTTCAAACTGGACCTTAAAGAGGAAAGAGTCTCGCAAATGTTGTATCCCTTTAAGATGACTGTATTCTGAATCCCCAAAAAGAGGACACGGGGCGGAGTCACAAAGTCATGTGTGGTAAATTTTGAGAGTTTTTCAGGTCGAGTTGAGCGTTTTTACGCGCTTTAACTCATTTAGTCCATACAAAACCCCGGACATCTAAAGGATTTTATAAACTTCCCCGGACAGTCCCCTAAAAAAGAGGACATGTCCGGGTAAAAGAGGACACATGGTCACCCAAATTCCTTAAAATTTTTTGTTTACTTAAAGAAGTCTTGATAGTTAAATTTAGCACAAACTACACCTCCAATAAGACAAATATACAACCATTGTTTGGGGCTTTAGGGGGACGCCTGTGGTGACCTGTTAGAGGTGACATGTAAGAGAAAGATTTGATTTTAAGATTGCAGGAATAACTTTTTGAGCACTTTAGAGTAAAATTAGAACAAATCAGTAATCTCAATCAAGCCAATTTGTACATTTCCAGAGCTTAAAGAGGAGTGTGCTCTTCATCAGAGCCTTCAGTTTTGGTAAGACGTGAAGTTTAAACTCTTAGAAAACTCCTATAATCAGCTGAAATGCGACAGTTTTTTTTAATATATTGTATTCACTTTTTTGTTGCCATATTTTTGGCACTATAAGGCACACTTAAAATCCTTTTGGCTTGTCGGGGCACTGCAGCTACCGTAGCATCACAGAGTTATTGGATGAGTTAAAGTTTGAATTATCTGACTGTTTTGTTTGGCTTAATGCGCTTTATAATCCAGTGCGCTTTATAATCCGGTGCGCTTTTCTATTCTAAATCATAATTCTGTCCTCTCTTGACTGTGTTTTCTTGTTTTATCTTCTTGTGTCAGTTCGGCGCCCCCTGTGGACAAAGTGATACCTCTTGATCTCACCCTGTGTGTGTGAAAGTAGTTTCTTCACACAAAGACCTCATCTTATGGTTGATTAAAAGTAAATACATCAGTCGCTCTGAGCATGTGCCACAGAAAATAAATTAAGCAGGCTATTTGTTAAGCTAGCTGTCAATCATCTGGTCTGAAACCCGCCCCTTCAAATGCAGATGGTCTCAACCTCTTCAAAACCCCTTATAGTACCTTTAAACCTTATCTGTACTGTGTGTGATTTTCTTTCGCATTAAATCAGTGGACTCCAAAGTCTGAGGTATTTCTGAATGAACGTGTTAAGGTGTGAACCGGTGGCTCGGAATGAATAAATGTGTGTAATCAGATGAGGGCGTGAGATGCCACCTACTGTCCCTGGTGAACATTTTAACTGTCAGAGAAGGTGGTCAGTCTTAATTTAGCAACGAGCTGCTGACCAGGAGAGGGAGGGGGCGAAATCCCCGACCACCAATCAGGAAAAGACACTTGTGCATCAACTGTACTACTCGAGTGACCAATGGAGGGGTTGGTGGTGTCCAGTCTGGCTGTTACTACCTCAGAGAAAGTCGATGTCTAGAGAGGAAATCAACAGAAATACTGAAAAAAAGACTTACCCTTGAGGCCAAATGCGTAAAAAACAAAGTACAAACTTTATTATTCTGTCTTTACAAAGGCACAAGCCTCTTTATCCCCAAAACTTTTCTCTTATAAAACAAAAAACAAAATAGCTTCTTGATGACCATATGCACAGACTGGTCTGACAAAAAAAAAAAAGAAAAGGTTACAGAGAACAGACAAAAGAAAAGGGAGGAGAAACGGCTTTAAAAATGAAATAAAATAAAAAAACAACATATAAGGGTCAAAAAAGAACAAGATGGAGGATTGGACATGGGGTAAAGGGAGATACACAGCTGTGCGGTTTCTACGCATAACCTCAAGAGCTTCAGCTGAGGAGATGCCCCTTCATACAAAAAGAGAGGCAGACTCCTGTAGAGTACAGTAAGTGCTTTGTTATCTTGACCCCGTTGAATGATCCCCAGGCCCACCCCACTCCGCTAACAATCTGATATGTCCACGTTACATTTCCTAACACACAGAACAGACCGTTAAACACAGATGGAAATCAAAAACGTCCTGGACTTTAACGGGAAAATGTCCAAATGTAGAAACTTATTAAAAAAAAAGAAGAAGGGGGTCTCTACAGATGAAGAAATCGCAAACCGAGACTTGTGATTATCCAGGAATCCCTTTCCTTTGGCGACAAGTACTGGGAGGATGTCTCATGATTGAATTCGACAGAAATGTCACTTATCTCAGTGCAGCTGACATCAACAGTTTCTTAAAGGGAAGTTAAAACGGCGAAATTCATGGTAGCCGAGGCGTGTTCAGGTGAACACATTATCTGTCCAGCAGTTGAAAGCGGGAGTTTATCACAGAGTACAGTTTTAAAATAGCAGTGACGTGTCAAAAAGCTCTAAATGTGAATGCAAATCTCTTTATAAACCAGGTGAAGCTCAGAGAAGTTACCTGATATGAAATCAGGAGTAAAAGCTAATGGAATGTCAACGTCGCATGTGGAGTTTCTTCCCACATTTTTCCTTTTGTAGTGCACATGAAGGGGGCGAAAACGGGTTGCAAATGAACGAATACAGTGCAACCAGAAGTCAGTATTCAGATACAGTTTGAATACTAAGAGGGGAAGAGTACGAGGAGCGTTTGTTATAATACAAAAACCAGCAACCTGTTCGTTCCTGGGGCAAACATATGAGAGTGAACATAAGAGGAAAAAGACAAAATAACTTGGAACATGTAATCGAACACGCCCCGGGTGTTTGGAAAGGATTCCTGTAGCCACCCAAACGGCACAGATCAAGTGTTCAGGTACATCTCTCAGGACCCAGGGCTGTGTTAAGGCTGGCTTTACAGTGCCTCCCTGCGCCCACGGGCTACCAGTAAGGCGAGCTGCCGCCACTCTCAGCTACATGTCGTAAATCCTGTCCGTCAACCATCACTTTCAGGCAAAAATAAAAAGTATAATCTAGGCAAAAGCGCACGCAAGGACAAATGATCTATGTAAGGAGATGCATAGAGCATATTTAGCCGACCTGCGTGACACATTCAAACTTTCACACAGGGCGTTTTCCATCAGTTTGAAGTGTACTCTAAGAGCTAGGTAAATCCAGCCCTTACGATTTAGCGAACAAGTGATTGTATGTCAGTCGTTTTTCAAATGCGAGTGCTTGATTTCAAGGCAGAGCAGCGGTCTTGCAGACTGCCAGAGTCTAAGACGCCACTCGGCCCTGCTGGTTTGAAGGGAAACACACGCAAACACACACACCAGAGGAAGTCATTCAAGATTAGCTTATTTCACAAGCCAGGTGCTTTCATATCGGAGAGGGGAGAATGTAAAAAAAAGAAAAAAAATGCCGAAGCATTTTTTCAGGCCATGAACAGAAAAGGGGATTACTGGGAACCCAGCCCAGTAAAAGAATGGCAACGAACATGAAACAAACAAAATAGAAAAAATAGTTGTGAACCAGTCAGCAAGTTTTTTTTTTTCCTTCTGAGCTTTGCTTCCTTAGAGCACCTTTAAACAAAAACGAGAAGCTTTTTTTTTTCCAGTACAATCACTTTAACTTGCGGGCTGAGGGAGCAATTAAAAAGAAAAGAAAAAAAAAAAAGCATAAAATAGTCGACTTCACAAGAGGAAAATAAAAAAAGAATCTCTCATCCAGAAGCCAAGAAGGTGGAACTTGAAAACAAGCCAGTCTTGTTAGCTCACAGTGTCCAACAGCTCAGAGGAGGTTTAAAGGATGTTTAACAGAGACGCTCTGCGCTGGGTGGTGACGGCGCCGCGCCTCTGGGCTTTTGCGCAGACTTTTTCTCCTGTTTCAGATCAGTCACATGGCTTTGAGGCCAATAACAAAAGAAGAGAGTAGTCCCCGGATGATTAATGGTGATGTTTAGCAGACAATATGAAGATCTAGTTTCCAGTATTAACAAGTCAATCAGTGAAGCAGTTGCTCTAAAAACCTTTCTATCGATTAATAAACAGACATGAGTTTGTGAGAGCTAGAGAGAAGCAGAGAAAAGACGCAGAAGAGGCTGCGTGTATGCGTGTCTAAGTGTAAACCTACTCGGGCGGCCTATCACGGTACATCATGTTTGAGTGTGTGCAGAAAAAGAGACAAAAAAAAAAGACAAAAAACAAAAAACGAGTGCTTCAATCTGTCTACCAGCCCGATAAATGTTCACTGAACAAGAGTGCTGTGGGTTTGTAGCATGAAGTAGCCCCGGTCAGCTTGGGCCTTTTGATTCTAAGTGTTTGTGTGTGTGTGTTTGTGTGTAAGTGTGCGTATACGACGCCAGAGTTGGACTCAGGGCAGTGAGCAGTCGTCGGGTCCGTCGCTGTTCGATGCCGTGTCTGAGCCGGCCGCGTCGGAGAGGACGCGACCTGAAGTGACGATGACCGCCCTCCGCTGCTCCTCCTCCCCGATGCCACCCTTGCCCTGGTTTCCCTCGATGTGCTGGATTGCCTGAAGGGAGAAGAAGAGAGATGAGCGATGTCAGGGACGACAGCACCCTCTAGTGTTCGCATACAGAAACACTTCCAGTCAGAAATGAATCACAGGTTTGTGTCTCACTTGAACGATGGTGTCCAGGTTCTGTCGAGATGTAGACACCGTATTGATAACAGATGTTTGTCCTATGGTTACCACGGTGACGTGATGGGGCTGAGGAGGCTGGACAGGCGCAGGGACGATGACTGTAGCATGGTGTGTGGGTGCAGGAGGTGTAGCTGGGGCCAGCACCTGCTGAAAAAAGAGCTCTTGTTAGAGTCTCATTCACTGTGCCGGTTTATTATCTGTAAATATACTTATAAACCTGCTAAATAATCCTTTCATTATAAGAATCAAACAGTCGAAAAGATGGCCTCCACACACACGCACTAACATGGAGAGTAACAGGAAACAGCTGGGCAGCATCCTGAGGTTCAGCCTGACCAGATGTTGGCAATTTCTCAAAGAGCCGTGTTTTCTTTAGTCCTTTAGTCTTGGGAAAGCTGTTTTTTTTTCTCTAGGCTTGTTTACGGGCCGGTTAATTCCCCACTTCAGTGCAACAAGACAATGATTGTAAGATACTCAGATATGCTCATAATTAAAATAATGTATGATTATGGTTCGTTTGTTATTCCCACTTGTGCATTTTCGACCTTGGAAACAGCTGCAACCAAAACCAAACAAGAGGATCCGACACTTCACTATCACCGAGGCGTTTCTTTGGCAGTTTTCAGGAGCATTCCTGTCGTTATCAGACAGACCAGGTGCAGAAAGACACGTTTTTGCACGGTGCTTGAATAATGAGACAAGACAGGAAGTCCAATCAAATAGTCTAATCTAACTTTAGTAAATCTAAGTTTTTGTGCAAGTGTACTGAATGGTGCAAATGAAAGCTCTTGAAAAGTTAGAGCGAAACTTTTCTTTGTCGTTTGGTCAGACTTTGGAGTCAGAAGGGCTGGTAGGTGATCACATGCACAGAATCCCCTCTCTGAGACAACAAAGATAGTTTGAATCTGACTTTAAGTGATATTCTTTTACTAATTTTTAAGTAATTTATAGGATCATTGATTTGAGGTCGTATAGCTCAGCTCTTCCCTGGGAGCATCACATGACTGGATCACACTGTCTCAGCCATCTATCACTCTGCCTGGAGTTGCGGATGGCCGACAGCACAGGCCGATTGATTTGGCATCATGTTCAGTGAGGGTTAGCCTGCAGAAACAGGATACCGCGGCTGTCAGAGCAGGAGACAGGCACAGCAGAGCCGTGAGAGCTGCTCATTTAACACATTGTAAATGCGTCTCGGCTGTTGACAGCTCTAACTCTGGACATGGAGGAGACTGTCATGTGCGACTGACCGTGTGACATCTACACTATGATGTAAGATTAGTTCAGGTGTGTGGACAGAGGACAGCAATTCCGTGCGAGCCATGATGAATTTAGACTAAGTCGTCAATGATATGTAGAGCTGATTTAACATTAAAAATTGTTACTGAACATGTTTGATTAAAAACTCACTCTAGATGCAACAAATTTCAAATTGTTCCAGTCCACAACAACATGTAAATTATCTGCAGATAGACAAAATCTCATTTCCAACCTGTGGGCTGTGGGCTGGAGTTAGGTCCCTCTCCAGCTGCTTGTGCTGCTGCAGGTGAATGAGGCCTTGTGTTTGGGCCTGCTGCTCCTGGACCAGCTGGGCGATTGCCTTCAGCTTCTCAGGGTACAACTGTGCATCAAGGGAACGCATCTAAAACAAACAAACAAGCAAAAAAAAACAAGGTAAAAATGTGAAAAAGCAACTTAAAACAATGTCAGTGGCTGATTTTTTACGGCATACGCAACAACAAAATAGAAAACATTGAAGTGCCAGGACTGCAGTTTCTTGAATGGCCACTTGGGGGTGGCTCTTTAAGTAAATAAATCGCTAAAAGGTGCAGTTTGCAGTTAGCTGTGTTTGCAAGTATGTTTAAAACCAGGGTATGATCACGTATATCTGGAAAAACTAAGGAGCAGGTCCGTCTACAGTAGCACCAAACAGACAAACTTGTAACATATGCATTTTTAATGTAGCGGAGGGCCACGTGAAGCGCATTGGTTGTCGTATTGGTGGATGTTTTGACAGTTAAACTTGACAAAAGGAGGATTATACGCATCATACATCACAGGAGCTTATTGTCCTTGAAGGCCATCGTCACCTAACTGATGAGAGGGGCGAGCAAGGGAGCGTTTGGGTGAAGAGTTCAACTGTAAGATCACTGAATATGTATGAATGAATATCTTTTACTTATTTCCCATTTATGACAACTGTCCAAGATCTGAATCTAATAAAAAATTACTAGCTTAAAGTCAAGTTGTGGTTGAAAATAATGAATATTTCAGACAGAGACAGTCAGCTAATGCAGCCTCAGCCCATTTTCTAATGGAGTTGATGCGCTTTTAAAAACTGTTTTAGGCTAACATCAATAAAATATGACTCGCTGCAGAGTCATCTGTGCTTATTCAGACTAAAACTAGCATCAATTAGCATTAATTAGCAAGTATATGTCCCTGTGCTCACCTTACCAAGCTTATAAGATTAGCTAACTAATAAGGCAGCTTCTGAATCAGGCTTTGGCACAGACGGTTTTATCGTCATAGTCTTATATTTGCTAACTCCTCTCTCCTCTTCAGTTTCACTACTCCAGAAAACAAACCCGCGGAGTCAAAACAGCAGCCCACAACCAAAGGAGTGACATCATGGTGGCTGTGTTGATCATTATGTTACACTCTGTGGTCTCGTCGTGGTTTCGGATTTCAGAAACAGTCTGGATCCTCACCTGATCTTCCAGCATCATCCTGACTGAGCGCTCTTTCTCCAGCTGCTGCCTTAGCTCAATCATCTCCCTCCTTAAGTCCTCAGTCTTCTCCTCCTCCAGGATGTCTGGTGAGCCAATCCCTTCATCCTTCTCCTCTGCACGCCTCCTTTTAGGAGAGGAGCCGCTTAACTCCTGAGACAGTCAACAGAAACGGGACACTTTTAGTTAAACGGCAGATCTGATAATTCTGACCGTAACAAGAATATCGATAATAAGAATGTTTTGACAGGTTTGGATGAGTTTTGCTTTACTTGTATGATTCGTTTGAGCTGACTGTTCTGCTGCAATAGCCGTGTCTTCTCCTGCTCCAAAGTAAAAATGTACTCAGCTGTCTGTTGCAGGATTGCAGCCTGGAGAGAGAAAAAGAGAGGAGCAAAACAAAGTTAGAGCGCTTTCGGGAAGGTGAGCCCACACCTGTGTAATCTAACTCATCGCCTGATTAAAATCTCTCCGGGTGACCCACCTTACTGAGCTTCTCTCCATCGCTGTGTGGGATGAGTGTTTTAAGTGACTGAAAACCAGCATTGATGCTCTGCATACGCCGACGCTCGTTGCTGTTGGCAATCTCCCTGCGAATTCGCCTCTCTTGGTCCCGGGCAGTTTCTGGGGTTAGAGGAATGTTGGCCAAACTGGAGAGAGGACAAAAGGGGGAGGAGAGAAATCAGTCCGACAAACAGAGATACGATAACTGAGATGATTAAAAGTCTCAAACTTTGACTTCAAAATTCAAAACTCATGGCTGTATCCAATAAAATGTTACACAACTATTTTTTCTTTACAAATGAGTCATCCAGATTTATAAAAATAAAACATTATCTGTATGGGCATCAATTACTGCCTTCTTAACACATCTATACTCATGGGATAATGACTCCTTTTTCTCCAAATCTCACCAAAATATTAAAGATGTTCAGGTTATAGTTCCTCCACAGACTGAGTATCATGCCGCTAATTTGAGGGGAAACTTCCTTTTCATTTCCTCTGATATGAGAAGTGACTGTTTTCAACCAAAGCTGAGTATACAGATGTTAATGCAGCATCCCTGTCATCATACATATCTTAAAACTTCATCTTTTTTTTTATTGTCAGTGTCTTTCCTCTCCAAATCTGACAAACTGGCTTTAGGCATTTCACTGGAATAAGTACACAGCTGAGGGGGCAAAAACAGCAAGGTCTGCGCATTATCTATGATGACGCATTGCTGCTGAGTTTTTAATCACCTCCACTGTAATGAGGTTGCAGCAGAATCATGGCCAGAATGTGTGGTTTGGATCAAATGATGTTTAAATCATTAATATTGATACAAATGACAGAAAACTTCGCTTTTTACCATGAGTGCAACTGTCTTTTGAGTCTATCAATTAGTATCATCGAGTAGGACAGCTCTCGTAAAAATGAGCCATTGCTTTCAAGCTGAAAATGTCCCATCAATTTGTTTGATTCACACTCTAAAATACAATTTTAATGGATTTTAGGTTTTACGTTCCAGCCAATTAGGTCTTGGAGAGCTCATAAGATCCACACTGTGAAAAAGGTCCATTTCTCTGTTAACTCCAGTTCAGCTTTTGTAGGATTTACTTGAACCAATTAATTTTTATAAGCTCAAACTGTGATGAAACCACATTATATACTACAGAGTGTAAATCAGTTAAGGGGAAATTCTAAGCCAACTTCCTCTAACATCCACTGTGTATCAAGCCCAGTATCTCTGGGACCCTCTCTAGCCAAGCCCTTATCTGTACTGACTCAGCTGCCCCAGTGCAAACACGGGGAACAATTGTGCAGACACAGATGAGAAAACGAGTGTGTGCGGACACACACACTCACTCGCACACAGGGAGCACATGGACCAACACCGCAGTGGCACATCCAGCAAAAACCACCCACTGCCAAAACTTGACCAAATGAGCAAGAACCAAACTACACAAACCCAAACCAGGGCAAGGACACACACCAAGCCCCAGCTTTAAACTTTAAACAAGGGTCGAGTTTAACCAGCTGGTTAACCTGAAGATATCGCAGAAATACTTGATCAAATTAAGGTCATTTTTCTAATAAACAGACTGTTTTAGTCCTCTTAAATCAGTGTAAAAATACCTGTAAGGAACTTTCTGTTTGTGTCGATTTTGGCTCCCTCTGTTATCAAAATGATCCTACCCTGTACATTTCCAAGTTGTGTTTTCTGACAGGAAATCTCACCCTGTTTTCTTTACACATCAAATTTAACACTCATTGTGAATATTGATTGTTGTTTAAGTATAAATCTGTAAATCCAATCATCTGACACTAATCCTCTCACATTGATTACAGACATTACAAACTACCAGAAATTGTCAATCATTTGCTAGTTGTCTGATTTGATGTGCTCAACACAAATAAGCATCATTGTTGTCTTCAGCCTGTTTAATATCAAGTTGAAACTTAACGTTAGGTAAATATTATTAGCTAATTAAGTTCTAGTGGTGGCATTTAGCTTTAGAGTTTCTTTTGGAAGTTGGGACACTAACTGGTTGTAAAAATGGTTATGGTCCTTTATAGTATTCCCAAATATCAGTTTTCAGTTCTTTCTAAAAGCAACGATAACCTAACGGCGTCAAGACAGACACGAAACTAATCATTAAAACACCGTTAAACGTGCCAGCTGTGGTACTTTTCACATCAATTGGCATCACTGATGTCCTTGGTCTGTTTAATATCCAGTTAAAACTTCAGGTTAGCTTAAAATTTTGGAGTTTTTTTTGAAAGTTGGGACACTAACTGGTCGTAAAAATGGTTATGGTCCTTTGTAGTATTCCCAAATATCAGTTTTCAGTACTTTCTAACATTTAAAAGGATATAATGAAAACAGAAACAGAAAGATAGAAAAAAATCAAAGCAACGATAACCTAACAGCGACGACAGACACGACACTAATCATTAAAACACCGTTAAACGTCCCCGTTTTGGTACTTTTCACATCAAAGATAAGATTAAACAGTAACTGAAGACAAAAAAATGGAAGAATATCCGCATTTTTCCGTTTAATACATGTTTAATAAGTATTTATTTAAAAATCAAAAGGGACTTCATTTCCCAGACTGCCCTTGTCCCCACGAGCAGCCAGCAGCAACAGCAGTAGATCCCTCCGCCTCCCTCTTCAAACAAGTCTGCGGACGTATCGAGGGGCCTTCCGCGACATACACACCCCCCTGATTAAAAACAACACTTTTAATTTTTCTGCCTCCTAGCCGAAGCCAAATGCTTCCCCACCGGGTATATCTGGGTAATGAATTAATAATACCCCCAAAAGAGCCATTTTTAATCATGGTACCAGCCACCACCTCCGTGCTCCGAGCAGACTTTTCGTGTCCTCCGCCATTATAACAATGCGGCAGGCAGCATGGCAGAGGTGCGGGATGAAAAGACGCAGTGGAGGCGGCTCGGTAGCGCGAACAAGACGCCCGAAAACGCCTGAAAAACTGTCGCCACGTCGAGTAGGGGCGATTTTGGCCGCGGTGTTGTGCTTTCTCGTGGAAAGTAACGGTAAACAAGGCGCCATAAACAGGAAACAAACGCCAGACCCCCTCATCACGTTAAGCACAAGCCACAAGCATGGCCGCACTACCCACAATAACTTCGGATCGCTCTGAGCGAATTCGGCGACCCTAACGATGTGAACGGCAGAAAATAGACCCTTTCACGTCGTATGACACCCGCTAGTGTAACCGTACCCTTTCTTATGCAAATCACGCCACCTTAATGTAACACTGAGGGGTAATTTGAGGATAAATAGAGCAGGATGCGCTCTGGAGAGGGATAGCAGCGTGGTGTGCAGGGAACCACGTGGTTTATGTTTGTTAGCCACAAAATACACATTTTTCGCATCTAAATGTTGGAAATAACCACATGAGGAGATTGTTAAGATATTCACACGTCCCTCTGTCTGCTCGGACGCTATTTAGTCATTTATTTAGTTGGTTATTAAGGCTCTCAGCTGCTCGTGAGTGGGTCGTGTACACAATAACAGATCAGATGAAGCATGTTGCCTCACCGCCGTCGCTAAGTGCGTGTACTCCAAACAGACGCCTTTTAATAATCACAACAATGATCGCACACGCGGCACGGGTGGATGAAGCGCAGGTGTTCTTACCTACAAAGACCTCCGATCACTTCTTTCTCCGTTTTCCTGAAATGTTGCAAAGAGGGCACCTTCTGAGCTGGTACCATGAAATACTCCATGCTCGCCTCTCGCCAGTTTTTTGGTCCCCCCCTTCCCACCTCCAAAAAAAAAAATAAATTAAAATACAGCAAACAGTCTGAAGAAAAATGATGGCGTTACGGAGCAAAAAAAGGGGAAAACTCGTGAACAGACAGGGGGTTTGTCCTCAGAGAAGATATGGATCCCTCGTCTGTGCAATGTAGTAGTTTGAGGCTGCTGAGAGTTGTAATGTTACTCGACTTCCAGCTGATGGGGTTCCCTCGTTGTGTGTGGCGCTCTACCTCTCTCTCTCTCTCTCTCTTTCTCCCTCCCTCCCTTCTCTTTGCTTTCTCTCTGCATTACCGTATGTGTGTGTGTGCGTGTGTGTATGTGTGTGTGTGTGTGCAGCTGATCGGATGGCTTTCAAGGCGGGAAACAGCTGGTAGGAGTCACACTGCACTACCAAAAAAAGCCTCCTTCCGCAGAGACGAGGGACTGCATGTAAACAAAGGACTATTTGGTGCAGAAATACAGCAGCGAAATAAGGACTTTGAAGGAAATCCGTGGTTTTAATTTGACTTTTAAGAAAATAGACAGATGTGTTATAGTTTAAAATGCAGATTTATGTTACATTGCTTCAATAAAAATCACTCCCCTTTTTTATTCTTGCTTTACAAAAATGATTAATCGCATTTTTGTATCTTTCCAAACAGGTGGGGAAACTATAACAACGCCACAGGAGATATTTACAATGATTTGAGGTTAGTAACCACAATGCAGCTGATAGTAAATAAAGAGTGGGACTAGTCTACTACAGGGGCGGATACTCCGACAGCTGCGATAAGCGAACAAGAGAGGGATCAGCTGACGGCTTGGCAGAGCTGCTGCACAGCAACAGCGCACCGGGGAGGAGGGCTTCTGGGGACAGACTGCCGCCTGACTGACACAACACGGTCTGGCGCGGATTCTTTTTTCTACCGTTTTGGGTGTAACAGTGGTTGTAAGGACGGATTAAGTACAGTAACCACATTTAATAGGTTTAATTAGAGGCTGCTATGAGCGTGCGGCGGAACCAGACACAACACAGGCGCAGTGATTTGGATTTCGCAATCGTTAAAAAGCTGCAGGTGTAGCCCGCATGTCTCTATGGAGGCTCATGCACAGATTAGCGTCATTATTGCCTGTTCGAGCCGTGAATTATCTAACATTTAAATTTACATTAAAAAAAGTCAGAAAAGTAAAGCCCAACAGTGTGTGTAAAGGGTTGCTCTACGGTGGCCGAGAACAGCCAGTGCTGCAAATAAAAATAAACATAAAAAAAAAAAAGAACGCCACTGCTGCAGATAAAAAGAATGCAAAAAAAGGAAACCGAAACCTGCTGCAAAAAAACTAAACAAAACAAAAAAAACATTAAAATAAACAGTGCATATGAAAAAAAATATTAAAAAACACACAACGGAACTTAATGACGCAAAAGAAGTTGTGATGAGGAAAAAAAAAAGGATGCCACTGCTGCAAATAAAAAAGAATGCCAAAAAAAAAGAAACTACAGTGAAAGTTACTGATGCAAAAAAAAAGAAAATAAAAAAAACCCCAAGCTTGCTGCAAATAAAAAAAAGAAACTGCAGAAAACAAAAACAAGAACAAAAATAAAAAACCACAATGGAATTTAATGATGCAAAAAAAAAAAAAGTTTCATACTGCGAAAAAATTTCGCCTTCGTCTTCTGTGCCTAGATCGTAAAACACCGGTGCATCATCATTTTTGGTCCCCGGCAGCTCTCTTCCACTGTGGCTTTTTTATTTGCATCCTTTTATTTTCTCAGTAACTTTATTTTTTCCATCGCCTTTTTTTTTTTTGTGTGTCGTTAATTTGTGCTGTGGCTTTTTTATCTGCACCGTTTCTTTTTTTATTTGCAGTGGGCTTAATTTTCTTTTTTTCGCACCAGTAACCTCCATTGTGCATCCTTTTTTTATTTGCAGCAGTGGCAGTTCTCGGCCACCGTCCACCAACCACCGTCAAACCAAGTATGACATCACTAAAACTAAATAAAAACTAAATAACTATATCTATTAAAACTGAGTTAAACATATCATGTTTGCATGCATTCATGCTTTTATGATATGCACTTTTAATTAGATTTTAATTTTTGTTTAAAACACTTTGAGTTTTCGTTTTTGTGATAAGTTGCAATACAAATGCATTTTGATGAAATACAAATTACCAATACATGCAATAGTGGACTAAAATGTCCACTGTGCCTCTCATCTGTGTTGAAATGAATCTCCTGTAAATACGGATATTTAACAATGCCTTCAAATTAGAAACACATTACATCATAAACATTGATATTCATCCCAGTTAATATGTATTACTTGTCTTAAACTGAGCTGCATTTATGTGTTATGTTTTGTCACCCATCCTCATGTGGACCTGAACCCTTCAAAAAGCAGCTACAGCAGCAGCGAGGACACAAAATGTGCAACTCTATCATTAATTTTAAAGATGAACAAGCTTCAAGTCAATGTTAGTCCATACATGGTTGAATTTCAGGAAAGGCCTCTAAATAGGTTCAATTTTTAGCCTTGTTAGGGTTGTCTTTGGCCCTGTAATTGGACACGTCCCATATCAGTATATTCAAGTTTTTTATTACCTTAGTTTTATACTAAATGAGGGATTTTCTAGAACTTAATCACAAGTTTTGATTTATCTGTTTTGTTAAGAAATGACTGAAATCTCTAAGGGCTCAAGTGTTGTGTAAGTTTTTAAAGGTAGTTTAACGCCCTCTAGTGGTGGCATGGAGAAAAGGTGAAGCAGTGCATCTGAGGATCAGTGAGGACAAAAATAGAGATATCACACAATAAAATACAGCTTTGTCACCATCACAGCAGGAATTTAAGTGAATTAAAAAGACATAACCACAAGGCCAACTTGTTATAGATAATAAACCTAATGATACCCTGAAGTCAGCCCTAGTTTCCCCTCTACATTGTTCATGGTTTTAAATCACACTCTTTCTCTTTTATAGCCTTTAAGATAATATGTACAACCCCTAATAACACAGACGACTTTCTGTTGAACGTCCTTACAGTCAGGGCCTTTGTGAAGTTGAAAAGTTTGCTCTCTCTGGATGATCATTGTGTCTCTGTGATGACATTTAAACAATCTGTTGAGATCACTGTATTTTATTTTAATAGTATGACTTTCTTGTTTAAGAAAGGAACTGAAATTTTTGCAACAACCACAGCATCCTGTACACTAAGACCAGGGTCTTCCCCCTCAAACCCGTAAATACAGGAATAGAAAAGAACAGAGTAGACTTCACTGTCTGCTTTGTGTATGTAACATGTTAGAGCTGAGTGCAGGACCAAGAATTTGTGAAAGTTTCCTTTCCTTCTACTAAGAAAAATGTAAAATATTTTTAATTTTTTTGCATGTACAGAAATGCTTTCTGTATGATAGAATATATATTATCGTAAAAATAAACTAAATTAAAAACATTTTAGTGCTATTAAACATATTTTATCGACGATAGTGTACAAATGTGGACGTCATTTTAACGTCTAAAAGAGGTCCAATAATGACGTCTAAATCTTGGATCCATTTTGCATGCTGTGCTGACGTCTAGATTTGGTCTTCAGATGACATTCAAATTTTAAACGTCAGAGCGACATCTAAAAAAGGTCCAATTTGGACGTCGAAATTTCTAACCTATTTTGCACGTCACACTGTCGCCTAGGTGTGGTCTTTGAACATAGACTGTATATAGAATGGACAGAGTCTGCCTCCTCGCTGGGTGAAGCCACTCCGAGAACAGCACCCTCTGTTGACGGGCTGCAGTATAGGTCATAAATCCTGCCTCCTTCAGCAAAGATTAAGTCCTCTTTTTTTCTGTACAGCTCAGTTTTTTAAAGTTATTAGGGTTTCAAGTTTTCTATGATTGACACCTGATACAGCCTATTGGCGTTCAGGGATTGCATAGCTCACCCGGGGGATACATTGTTTGAGCCGAGCATCATCACAGCGACGTACAACACTACTGCGCAATGTTGGTTTCAGGAAATTTAGAAAAATCGCTGAAATACCGAGAGCTTTTGGCTTCAAATCCGTATACAGGCGGGAGGCAGAACCAAGTTGTCCATAATACATACAGTCTAAGGCTACGTTCACACTGCAGGTTATGATGCACAATTCGGATTTTCTGTTAAATCCGATCTTTTTATGCGGTCATTCACATTACAACAACAAATGCAGCATCTAATGTGAACAGAATGCGTCCGTGAAGTGACCCGCATGCCCACAACTGGCTGTTTTTGTAGAACAATGGTAACGTTTGTCGCATATTGATGACGTATAGGTCATATGAACGCGACCTGAGCGTCCACACTGCAGTCACATCGGATACATATCCGATTTATATCCACATACAAAAGAGGCCTGGGTCGGATTTGAAAAAAATCAGATGTGCACTGTTCAGATATGTGTCACTTATAGTTAAAAAATCGGGATTGACCTGCAGTGTGAACATAGCCTATGTGTGGCACCCTGAACATCATTCATCAGTCATTCATTGGTATTATTTAAGTTATTACCTAGGCCACCCCCTTAAACGTGTAAAGACATGTCAGGCGCACTAACTTTATACTGTAGTAGGTGTGTGAACGATCAACAATCAGTATTATTGGCTGAAATAGAGGGCCCCCAATATCAAATTTTGCTCAGGGCCCCATTGAGACTTCGGCCGGCTCTGCTCCTCATGATTCATGTTGGAGAAAATGTAGTGATCTTTTTTAGCTGTCCCTGTTTGTGACAGCAGAAGTCCACTAAACTCCACAGAAGTAAACATAGAGTCGAGTTTTCCTTAGAGGCCTGTTGATGTGGGGGATCAGAGACAGAGAGATGACCATGAGGACTCAGAGAGACTGGAGAGAGAGAGAGAGGGAGAGAGAGGGAGAGTTTGGAGAGAAGCCGGGGACTGCCCATGGTGGAGGGGCGGAGCAGTAAGCATGCGCTGAGCTGGCAGACTCAGAGCTGGTCCTGACGGGCTGGCTGGGCTCCGGGCGGCTGTCTGTGCGCTTCAGACGCTGGTGGTGGAGACTACCATCTACACTCGGCGTGTCCTCGAGTGCTCAGGAGAAAAAAAAGAGTCACGGGGATAACTGCAGGAAAAAAAAAAAGGAAAAGAAAGCAAACAGCCCCACCTCGGCATCTGGAAAAGCACCGAAGAGAGAAGAAGGAGAAGGAGACGAACCTCCCCTTCTAACCCACACCCCGTCGCCAACCCGCCCTATCCACCCGACCCACCAGTTCGTGCCATCCCTCTGGTCCGGACCGCCCTCCCACCCCGCCAGGAGAACCACGACCACCCATAGGAAACCCCCACTTGACCAGCGTTGCCATTGAGCGATGCGCTTTGAATCTGAGGAAACCACCTCTGCGTTTTTGATGCACTACACAACCAGTGGTCTTCGTTTTTCCACAGCGGGAACACTTGAGGCTACGGATCTGGGTGTTTACACTTTTTGACGGGTTTCCAGTGACATGATACCATGCAGAGAGTATCATCCTACGGCAACAGACAAGGCTGTCACTCCTTAGATTAGTCTTTATTTCAACAACCAGCTGTCACACACGCTGCGTTTGAGCTTAATGTTTGCTTTTCCATGCTTAGAAATATTCCTGACAATGGTCTGGGAACGGACCGCCTCTCTAGACACCTAGAAATATTTTCTCAAGGCGCATCAGCTCCGCGTTTTGTTTTTGTGGGAGAAAAAGCGACAAATTGACGGAGGAGTCATTTGACACCGACGCCGCTCGAGCCGTATAGGACTTTGCGTGCGAAGTTTGCACCGGGAAGAGGGGGGCCAAGTCGGAGATATCACCGCCATATCCACGGCATTTTCTCCTGTAAAAGGTAAGAAAGCGACTACACTTCCCCTTCGTGTCAGTGCTTTGCATTGTGCGTGCTGTCATGTGTGTCCACGCTGGCCAGAGTGCGCGGCTTGAATGTGAAAAAATCGCACGAGTTCAAACAGGGTAGTGACCTATTTTTCAGAGTCTCTCTCCAGCGGTGCGTCCAGACCCCGCAGCCTGGACTCCCCGCACTGTCACTCTCAAGGCCGGGCAGTGGCGGACGTGCCTTCACCGGCGTTTGTGCCATTTACGCAGACAGCCATTTAAGGTTACTCCGTTTCAACAAGGGGAGCGACGGTTTCCGCGTGTCTGCATCCTCGCCCTCCTCAACCCCCGTGAGACATTTTCAGAGCACAATCCACAGACCCTGCTCTTTACATAGAGGGGCGTTCATCACAGCGCAGCCAGCTGTTGTGCAAGATGCTGAGCTGTCTGATGTTCTGTCACAACATCTGATAAAGAGTTCAACGTCTAGAGGCTGCTGTGGCACTAAACAAGTATTGGTAAACAAAGAGATGGCTAATGTGTGACCATGTGGGGAAAACACCCGACAAAAAACCCTATTTATGATCTGATTTCCACGAGAATGGAGGCTGAGTTTGCAGTTCTGTGTGCATTTTATGAAACCATCAACAGTCTGCAGCCAGCCATTAAATATTTATGCTTAATAACCTCCTCGGCATGCTTCATTTACTGAGTAATCGCTGGAGCCAGTGACATCTTTGTCTTGTCATTTCATAAATTTTGTTTTGACCAACTCAAAGTGAGTTGGGGCCAAGTATGTAGCGCAGGGGGCAAGGATGAGCACAGGCACAGAGGCCTGGATAAAGAGCTATTTTCCTCCAATTAAGCAATTCCACTGTCCCTAAGCCTAATTGTGCGCACACTGGGACTCAGTTTGGGATGGACCTTCTCCCCATTGGCTGCCTCCCATGGGCCCATTGTTCCAGAAGATGCCAGGGGAAAGAGCAGAGCCCTGCCAAGGCAGACCTAACAAGCCCCTGTGCTGGAGTGGAATAAGGCCTGATCATTAAAAAGCATTAGGCCGCAATGCACATCGAGGCACACTCAGGGGGCTGCAGTTGCATTCAGGGTCAGAGTAAGATGTCTGTGTATTTCAGAGGTGACTGTGAGTGGCGCAGTGGGAGAAAATGACAGAGTAACTGTGGCGCAGATATCACAGGAGTCTGGAGGAGGTCTGGCCGCGCTCCCACTGGACCTCTCTCCAAGTATGTGGGGAAGGGGAGCAGTGAAAGAGGCCGTGCCGGCTTTGTGCGGAGGGAGGACTTTGACTCTCCCTCCTTCCTCCCTCTTCCAGGCCCCTGCTATTTAATCCATAACCCCTCTCTGAACTGTGAGCACAGGTGCTTCCCACATCCACCGCCTGCATTGTTTATTCAATCAGCTGATGATCAGTTCAGCCTCAGGTCAACCATAACATCCATCTGACAGTCGTAGAGGCATCCATCACCATCGGCACACTTGGTAGAAGGTGAAGCTCCAGAAAGGGACTCGGCTCCTCCAGATGTCTGCTGGGGTCCAGCTGTGCATCCCTGTGGTGGCATTCCACACTCACAGGATGTGTTTTTGCGCGCGGCCTTTTTTAGCTGTACATTTTCTCGTCCTGACTGCATGCTTGGCCAGATGTAGACTTGCGGACAGCTGCGAGGAGCAACAGCTTGCGCAGAGTTTGGACACCGACTTGCTTCACCTGCTGAAACCAGTTCCCAAGAAGCACATCAAGCATGAAAAGCTTCCCATGGTGCTGCATGGCGTCTAAAATCAAATCACATGCCTGGTTGTCGCCTCCTCTCTTGAAATTTTCCTGCGATTTGAGATTTTTGCACCACACGACCACAAGCGTGTGACATCATGAAGTCCCAAACTTGCGAGGGAAAAGCAGCTGCTTTATGGTGGAAAAGGTGGACCCTAATGGCTTATTCCTGCGTCAGAGAGCAACCGCTTGGCATGTGGTGGAAGGACGGCGGGAACCCACAGTGCACTTGTACTTAATGCCTGAAACCAGGATAATAAAAGTGCGACCACATTTGATACAAAGAGGGAAAAGTTTGCTGGTTCTTGCATTGTGAGTTTGGCTCAACAAAGACGCTCTAAACTTCCCGGATCACAGGAGGAAGTTTGGTATTTTTGGCGTGCTGTAGAGTCGCTAAAATATGCCTGCCACTCAAGCAGAAAACTTGGAGGGGGGTGGCGAGGGCTGCTTTCAGTAAGTGGGTGGGATATAAGTGGCAGAATCTACCCAGGGAGAGGCAGCGTGAGAGTTTGAATTGATATCACAGCGGGGTGCCATAGCTGCTGGGGATTACAGTCAAGCTGAAAGGCAACTGAGCAGCAGGGGACGGAGGATTACAGTGGTCAGTGAATGAGGCGGCGTGCGGGGAAGACAAGGCACCTGATACACACTTGAATTTATCTCCACGGGGATAAGAGACACTTTATTACAGATTCCCATGACAGATGCGGTAGTTCCTCTTTGGTTACACTTTCAAAGGAAATCCCTGCAGCACTTAATCAAGTTTTAAGTCAAACAGTGTCGGGTTCATCCATTAAAGCAGCTCAACCAATCAAATGCAGTCATGCTGCGTTGAAGAGGAATGCATATCACATCTCCTCTTGACCTTAGGTTGATCTTTGAAACTTCTGAGGAGATGCATGATGCAGCAAAAAGAGATAACCATGGGCTGTATGTCTGCAGAGCTGGAGGCTGCAGTTTCAGGACTTTTGTTAAAACAGGTAGGTTAGGGTTCAGGTCAGACTCTAAAAATGTGGTCTCTGGTGTTCCTGTGTAATTTGGGGTGCTGTCATAGACAACCAGAGCTACACAGAGATGTAAACTATAGTTATATTTAAGATGTTCTCTCACATGGAGATGGACAGTCTGCAAAGACAATAAGACGATTCTTTTACTGTGTTTATAAATGCTTTTAAATGCAAAATGAAGATTTTGTTTCACTGTATTCTTGTTGTTTTTGTACTCACACCTGTTGAAGAATACCTCCAAGCTCAGGCATTTGGTGATCATCAACAGGTGCTTTATACCAAAATCATACCGACATACCAACCTGGTATTCAGATTTCTGCATTTTCACTCATTTTTGCAGATCTGTCTGTTTGGAAGTTAAGGTCCTTACACACCGGAAGGGACGCAAGTATACGATGCGAAATTAACAAAATATTCGGAGGCGAATTTTGAGGCGCCTGACTATACACATTGAGCGCAATGCGATTTTGCAAGTGTTTTTTGATAAAAGGACTTTTACTCTCACAAGGTTGTCATATAAAGGTGGGTTTTTTCGAAATGCAAAAAAGAGAATTTTTCTATTTTTTAACAAGGCCTTGGACCATAAATGCAGTCCTAAACCTGCAGCCTCTGGGTCTGCAGACATGTGCAACTCATGAAAAGAGGACACCTGAGACAATCTGGAAAGGTAAATGTAGGGTCCATCTTCAGATATGGATGAATCTTTTCAGATCCCAAAGGAAACTAGATTTACTTGCGTGTTAGGGTGACAATATTCTGACTTCCCAAAAAGAGGACACAACTACAAGGGGGCACTCGATTTTTGGGTCGGATTGAGTGTCTTTTGCGAGCTTCTATCTCAGTAAGTCCACGTGACACAAAATCGAAACGTAAGTACAAAACGCAAAACCTTTTCTGAACTGAATAGTCAGAAAGGATTTTATAAACTCCCTTAGACAAACCCGGACAGCCCCCCAAAAAGAGGACATGTCCTGGTAAAAAAGGGTGTATGGTCACCCTATTGTATGTCAGCTCTGAAACATCCCAGAGTTTCTTGATTTGTGCAGGGAAGTCAATGATTCGTCTGCACAGTTTTCCGTCTTGTATCCACAATCCACCTGTTTTTGCAAACTGCTTGGATTGAGTTTTTGGCAAATTCTTGACTATTTTGCAGCTCATATCATTCACAGTGAGAGGTACAAGGTGGCAAACACTCTTCTGAATAGTCAGAGCTGAACTAGAAATAGCCTCAGTTTGATGGCTCTCCACTCATATCGTTGCACTCCAGCTGTGTGTACTTTTTTCCATGAAGAATCTTATCACTAACCATTTCCATGTGTGCAGCAGTGGAGGTGACACATTCATACTCCGGAGTGCTACAGTGTGATGTGTCCGTGCCGAGTGACAACCAGACTCCTGAATCTGTAAGTTAAGAATAGACGAAGCGGATACAGATCTTGACTCACCCCGGTTTGTAAAACTGAAGGGGACCGGCGCATACCGCCCTGCTCCCTGGCTGGCTGAGCTCACGGGCCGTGCATTTTTCTCCAGTTAAACTGTAACCACTAATCACCTCCCGGCCTCACTGTTTCCTCCTGAAGCAGACCATTCCTGGGTCCCTAGTGTAGGTTAAAATGCCCCTTAACAGAATGTATATGGTCTATCCTTGGTTAAATCACCTGTGTGGGACTCCCTAAATGAGCGCCGGACTCTTGCCCTTCCTGCAAGTATCTGCCTCGGTGAAGTTTAGGGGTCAGTTCCTCTGCTGCGAGTCTGCAGGCCTGCATTTCCAAAATAAACACAGACAACTCAGTGCCTCACTCCAGCTACCCCACCCTACCTCTTCTCATTCTCTTAAACTCTCCGCTCGGTGTTTCTATCGTGAGAGAATTTTCAGCTCGCCGAGGCCCCGCAGACAATACGCAGACCGTGTCTGGGGCAGGGCGCACTTGATGAGGAAAAGTTAAAGAAAGAATACCGGAGTAAAGCCAAGACTTGAAAGAATAACAGCAATGCAAAGAGGCTGTCACAGAAGGAGCAGAGGGAATAAAGGAAAGACTGTTTGGGTTCATATCTGCCAACATACTCAATATTTCACTTATAAATAATACAAAACTTGGATCTAGATGGAGCTTTCAGATGTCTAGGGTCTCATTTCAAGGAGCTGTGAGTTGTACAGTAATATGCTCACAGCAATTCAGTTTAAGTAAAGACACAGCTGGTTTGTATTATTATTTACTTGCTTGGCCAACACCCTGAATTCCCCAGTATACCCTCAATAGCGCAGCAGCAGCTCAGTAGGACTGAGGTATGTATGTATGTGTGTGTGTGTGTGTGTGTGTGTGTGTTTGCTTGTTTGAAGAGAAAAGAAAAGAAGGAGTTGGATAAGAAGGGCTGAGGATGAGGAAAAACATGCTGGGGAGGCACAGACACACGGGGAAGGGATCGATGGTGTGCTCTGTTTTTTTATTTTTATTTTAAAGAAGAGGTTGAAGGAGAGACGCGTGAGGTATTTCTGAGACTCACATAAGGCTCTCATGTCTGGGCCTGGGCCTGGCTCCCTGTCTGGGCATATCCAGTCCTGTCAGCTAGCTTCCAGACTTTGCCCCCTTCAACCCTGCACCCCCCCTCCTCCTCTTCCTCCCTCCATCGCAGGACTCTCTATGGGACTCCATCTCCTCCTCTGCCTCTGTTCCCTTGTTGTCCCTCCTTCATTGCGTCTTTCATCTCCCACTTTCCATGAGCCCACAGCTTCATATGTGACGCTTACATTATATAAGACCTTCTCCATCATGTACATGCAGTGAAACAGAGCGAGGGAGGGGGGGAAAAGTTTGGCTGGTTAAGTGTTTACCTTCTCTGTGGTGTTGTGGAGATGTTGCCAGCACTAATTCAGTTCATATGTAGCATGGCTGTTTTTTAATGGGGGAGCCTTATGGATTTGGTCTTATACCGGGCCCTTGAAGTCCCAAAAGTTAAATCTTAATGCGTAAAAAAATAACTTCTGCGCAAAAAAGTGAACTTGTTCTCCTTAGATTATTGTATTCTTTGGGAATAAGTAAATAACAAGCTACAACTTTATGCTCATTAGTGGTAGATGAGCCATTTGCTGCACACTTTATAATTTGTTAAGGAGGAGATTAATGATCTTGCATGCACTCAATAACTATCTTGCATGCACAAGATCATTGTCTCATAAGAATGAGTTATTTCTGTGTGCATGCAGCATTTAATTTGTGCACACCACAGAGGGAATGAATGACTATTTTCTATCCGTGCGCGCAAGATAATTTTTATGATTATTATTTGGTCCACACAAGACAAATGTGTGCACAAGTTAATATCTTGTGAGTCCAAGATAAATACCCTGCAGGATCAAATTACTATCTTGTATGCACACAAATGATCATCAACTTGTTTCTGCAGGATACTTAATTTGCACGCCCAAGATATCATGTGGGAATAAGTTAACTATCGCACACGCGCAAGATAATGATGTAAGTCACTAGTTTGTGCATATAAGTCAATATCTTGAGCTCATTAGTTCATATATTGTTTAACAAGATAATTATTAGGGGTGGGAGAAAAAGTCGATACAGTATAGTATCGCGATGTTCTGTCTGGTGATTTATCGTGTCGTCTCATTTACCAAGTATCGATTTTTCAAATTAATTGGTAATATGAAGTCAAATCTATTATAATGGAAAAATAAAGTCAACTGTTTGTCCAGTGAGGTTGGCAGAGGTGACATGTTAGAGCAGGAGAAAGTTAGTACAACAAGTAAATATTTATATAAGGTTTGCAAGATGTCCAACGTGAAAATAAAATACAGAGTAAATAAGACAAACATAAAGGAAAGATAAATGCTAAATTAGCTGAACAGTTGAAAAATATTGTACTAATCGTAATATATTGAATCGCAATATTCACTGTGTTGCAAAATGTTAAAAATCGCAATAATATTGTATCGTGGCCCAAGTATCGTGATAATACCATATCATGGGGCCACTAGTGATTCCCACCCCTAATGATTATCTTGTTTGTAAAGGTCATCTACAACATACAGTGGGTTTACATGCACAGTTTAATCGGACTAAACTCATAATTCGTTTTGTTCGCCAAATATTGACGTGAACGTGTCCTCCTCTCCAAAACTAGGGGGAAATAGAGGTGTTTTCAGAGGCTCTGTTTCCGATTGACCCCATACAACTTTCAACAACAACTGCAGGTCTGTGATGTCAGAAGTGGCTACAACTACTGGAGCATCGTACAGCGTTGTTTTTGTCGTACATGATGTACGCGCTACTTTTTCTGCAGATGAGGTGCACGCTACTCCTCTTCTCTGGTGTTTTTGTTCTGGGGTTACGGGGTGTAGCGCACACGCACACGCATTGTCCGATCATACCTGACTACACTGGTTACATGGTAGAGAAAATCGAATTCCAATCACATTATCTGGGGGTCTTAATTGGAGTTCTCAAACTGCGATTATCATCGGACTATGGTGTTTTTATGCACTTCAGTAGTCGGGTCTTAATCGCAGTAAGGCATGAACATGTACTGATACTCACAGTAACTTTGTCTGCAAGAGACCATTTTGTTAGCGCAAGATAATATCTTTGTGCATCTGTGGAAACAAGTTAATATTTTGAGCTCACAAATTATTACAATGTGCACAGGATATAATCTTGTTTTGTGCGCATAACTTATATTATGGGAACATAATATGTTACCTGTAATAATGATAATAACTCGTTCGCTTCACTGCTTCAACACTGTGAGCATCACTTCACCTGATTCCCTATCTTTGCTCTGAATAGCTGTCAGACGCCGTGAGCGAGGCCATGTCCTAATTGATTTTAAAGTCAGTATTGATTCAGGACAGAAGAGTTTTCAAGAGCATGAATATTACCCTGACCTTCTGCATTAATTGAGATCCTCTATTAGACTCAGTCTTTCTGAGCCTGCGGAAAGAAATCACAAGTTTGTGTTCGTACAAAGCGCATTCATTAGCCCTGGCTGAGCATCGAGTTTTGCCAAATGCAAAAAGAGGAACCAGCTCCAGATCTTTTTGAGGCTTCTTTCTGTCAGATCGTGCACATCGGACGTGCCAGCAAATTTAAATCAAGAGTTGAGTGCTTCTCCATTTTACAGCATTATGCTCAACTCTGTCTGTCGCCATCTCAGTCGCCCTCCATCTGTCCCTTTGCATCTGTCTCACTGCTCTTCTTTTTTTTCGGCGTCTCTCTTGGATGGAGCCGCAAAAAGATAAAAGCTGTAGGGTGGAGCCTGTCACTTAGTTGAGCTCGAACACAGAGAGAAAAAGGAGAGGGAGGGAAATAAAGAGAGAAAAGGCTGTCATATTGACCTTGTCTTATTGCCAGCCATGGTGGGAGGAGGAGGTTGGGGGGGCACAGGGCGGAGGGTTACACGGAGAGAACAGGCGCTCCGTGCGAGGAGGGAGAACACAGAGCTGCCGTTAAGTTGGCACAGCCTCAGAAGGAAAAGACAACACCAGCTTTGTGCGTACGTATATGTGAGATCACCGGGGAGGGAGGCAGAAGGGCCCAAATGGAGGTATATAGGAGACACTATGGGGGCACGCCCAAATTTAAAGAAGCAGGAGCTCGCCCTCCAACGCGCACACAAACACACATCACGTCACTTTGTCTGCTAATTGCTCGCTGCTGTTTTGTATTTCTCCCTCTTCCTGTTTTCTTCCCCTTTGGTTTTGGAAGCCGAGCCCCTGCCCTGTTCCTCCTCCTTCACTCTGTACATAAACACTCTTATATATACGCACATATAGCTAACAAACACACACTAATGCGGACCCTCCCTGTCCGGAGCACGCACATCTGGCTCTGTGTGGGCCACCTTTTGCAGCACGGCTGGTGCACAGGTGTCACCCAGACCTCTTTAGGGGGCAGGGATTCTGGGGTGAGGAATCAGACATGATAGACATTCCCGATAAGGCCTCATCCACGCCACCAGAGAGAAAGAGAGCACCCACCAATCATGCTTTGCCCCCATCCTCTCAGAGGCCGCGTTGCATGAAGCTGTTATTGGGATCATATTACCTTGGCTATTGAATAAGGAGACTTGCTTCCCAGAGAGTTCACTATGTGCCGCTGGCTTATTGAGTTGCAGGCAAATGAAAGAGACTGGGGTCAGTGTGCAAAGGGGTTTGTTTCTCATGCGTGTGGTGCCATAATATTCCCGTCCAGGAAATGACTGTGAGACAGGCACACCCCTCCCAAAGCTGGAGCGGTACCACAGCACTCTGAACTGGTCTGAACTCCGCAGCACAGCCAGCCTGCTGTGCCGCGCTGCTGAATGTGTACGAGAGTCCGTACAGTCAGAGTGTTTTTGTGTGGATTTATTGTATTACTCCTACCCTCCTTTTCTTCCATCCTCAGAGTTGTCACTAGGAGTTTGGACCACATTGGCCCAGCAACTGGTACTGAATCGCAGCCCGGGTTTTGCTGCTTATCGTACCGCAGTTTCCATACCCATGTCACCCCTGTTAATCCGCCTTTTACTGTGTGTGGGAGAGGAGAGAGAAAGGAAAAGATTCCTGGATATCCTCCCATTCCCTCCTACCCAGTGGCTCAGGACTGGTGCTGGGCTTTTGCCAGTGAGGCTATATAACATACATCTCCTGTTGAGTTTAACCGCAGCTGCTCCGCTCGCTCAGTTGTGTGTTTGAAAGGAAGTTAAAGCTGAGCGATCATGGCAGAAATCTCAATCATGATTGTTTGAATCATATCAAGATGAAGATTAATCTGCAGTTCATGATTTACGAAACCTAAAAACACTTAAAGCTCCTCTAAGGAATTTTTAATTTATGTTGATTTTGGCACCCCCTGTGGACAAAAATGGTACTTCTCATTTCTTTGCAAATTTTGTCCTGTTTTTATGTGGAAATAAGGTGTTTATTTTAAATAAATCTCATCCTACATAGCTTTTCACTTCCACATGATGGTTTGTATTGCTCTATCATAACATGTTAGGGTGAATCCCCCAAAAAGAGGACAAGACTATGCGGGGGCGGAGTCACAGAGTTAATTTTGTGCATACTTAATCTTGAGAGTTTTTCGGGTCGGATTGACTGTTTTTTTTTAACCATTCAAGGTAATGTGTCAATATCCACCAGCTTCTTTCCGTTCCACAGCTGATCACTAGAGTACTTTTTTTTCCGGATGCTGGAGCATGCCAGATAAATTCAGCACCGTGCAGGAAAGGAAGTCGGGGAGAGACACAAAATAAAACATCCGGCTTCTTTTCAAAATAAAATACGTGTTTCCGGTGGATCGTATTTCACACCATGCATACGGGCGGAGACGAACAAGTGAAAGGTTTATAGACAGCCTTTCTATATTCTGAATTCTCAAAAAGAGGACACGAGGTGGAGTCACAGAGGCGCGCATAGTTAATTCTGAGTTTTTTGGGTTGGATCGAGTGTCTTTTACGCGCTTCTAACTCAGTAAGTCCATGCGACACAAACTTAAAACTTCCATACAAAACCCATTTAAAGGATTTTATAAACTCCCCCGAACAGGTCGGACAGCCCCCCATAAAGACGACTTGTCTGGGTAAAAGAGGACGTATGGACACCCTATAACATGTTGACAAAAAAAGGGTCCCCACTTAACGCATTTTGCATCTGCAACTTCTCTGCACTCCCAAACTTTGTTGCACATAAACCTGAGCCCCCTGACGGTGACATATAAGAGTCTACCAGCCCCTGGATGCTTCAGCCCACCAGGAAGATGCCCTGGCTCCCGCTCCTCCTCACTCACACGCTCGTTTGTGCGTTGGTGACAGAGATCTGGAGGCACGAGGTTTTGTCTGCTGTAAGGATGCTGCATTTGAATTTAAAATTGAAGACAAACTGTGCAAAGAAAAAAAAATCCTCTTTCTGCACTTTTTTGGTGAGAAGATAAAGATTTTATAGAGGGAGCTTAAAGGGACAAAGGTTGGGCTGCACACCTGCATTCCTCATTTGGAGCTGGAGTCATTTTTAAAGGCCTAAAAGCTGCCTGGAGTTTGAGGGAGTGGCCACCAGCAGCTTTTTGTTTGTGTGCATGTGCCTGGCGTTTTAAAGATTTAGGCAGGTGTCGCTGCGTTTGCATTCCTGACTTAACCTTGTGGTCATTGCTGCTGCCTTTAGGGGAGGTCTGCAGGGGCGTGTCTCATGCAAGTGTGTGCACTCGCTTTAAAATCACACCTTTAGATCGTTCATGCCTGTGTGCGCTGTGTCTGATAACATCACACTTTGCATGCACGCATCTGTAAGGAGATATTCTTTCAGTCCTGACATGTTACCTGCAAGAGGAGATTCAGATAATTGAGATTTTTGTTACAAGTGGGAAAAAAAATGTTAAATGGCAGATCATGTAACCCCCATACTTGAATTTTATACCGCCAGTGAAGCGGTAAGAATAATGCTAATGTTGGTGTGAGTCAGCTGGAACGACAGCATTTAGTGTGGGAGTAGCAAAGCGCCATCACTTCCGAAACAGAGGCCTCATCCAGCAGCCCTATCTAAACGGACACAGCTGGTTAGTGGGCTGATGGGAGGACACTGAGCTGGGATGTTGTGCCGTTTTAGTTGGTCGGTCCTTCCAAAAACAGATTCATTCACAAGTTCGAACACATCTCACCTCGCAGTCACGTTAACCCCGAGCTCGGTTTTGATTGTGCCAAACTGTTAAACAGAGCTGTTAACTTTTATCGCCATACTTTTTCCTCTATCACCCACCAGCAGCTCCAAAAGCCTCAGACTGTTTTTCTTCTCTCTCTCTCATTGGCTTCATTCCTTCTCTCTCTCTCTCTCTCTCTCTCCCCCTCCTCACCTCTTTTCTTTCCTCTCCTGTTGCTTTCCTACTGAGCGTGGTGTGGTGACGCCCCTGCTTGGCTGGCGAGCCCGACTCCAGACCCTGTGATTGCGCGCAGGAGTCGGAGGATTGCATCACTGCCTGTGGGGAGCGGCCACAGGAATGGACTGAAGAGAGAGGGAAGAGGGGAGAGAGAGGAAAGCACGGAGTAGAGAGAGGAAGAGGCTTAAGAGGGGTCGACGAAGGAGATGAAGAGGAGGGAGTGATGAGAGATGATGGAGATAGAGGTGGAGGAAGTGAGGAGGAAGTAGAGTGAGGGTTGGAGAGGCGGGGAATCAGTCGACTGTAGGAGGTAGAGAGACCCAGCAGAGTTAGTGGGAGGTCAAAGTAGACAGGGTGGGGATGTCGATCAAGTCTCCGGAGTGCAAAGACAAACACATACTTCTACTCCTCTTTTTTCCCTCTCTTCTTTTCACGGATGGAGGTATGCCTCCCGCTGCGTTCATTGGTTCCTGCCTCCCTTCGCTCCGCTATGAAACTGCTATGTTGTGAAATGCCCCACGTTATTGTAAGATTACTCACCACCCTTCAAAGCCTACAGTACTGTTGTGTGAAGTGCCTCAAGCATTAGCGTTGGGTCGCTTTACTGCTTCAACACTGAGTCATCGACCCCGGGAGGGATTATCTGTTTACCCGTGATTGCTGGCCTGATAGCCCAGTATAGATTAAAACTGGCCTCGCTGATTAAAAACTTATGTCCCGTCTGATTTTGAATTAAAGTAAGTGGAAGAAAAACTAACCAGAGACAGGAAACACATGCTGCTGCACGTGGGCCTTCATTCTCATCCTGTTCATGTCATATAGCAGCTACTAGGCAGGCTAATAAATTGACTGCAGCTTTGGAGAAGTTTCCTAACCACATGCCAACATGAAGCAGCAGCTCTCTCCTCCTATACCTGCCTGTGCACTTTTTATTTAATCTGTCAAACGACTTCACATAATTTGCAGATTTTTAAATGACATTTATACTCAGGATTTTGCGGGTGTTTGATTTTTATTACATTATTTTATGACGCTTTAAAGATTAAGGCAAGCTTTACTTTACCGATCTGACAATACAGGCTTCCCCTGCAAAAACCCCAAACATCAGTCTCTGTCAATCCCCTTCCAGACCAAGCAAAGAGTCGAGTCAGGTCACTGTGCCGTGCGATAATCCCGGGTTTAGCGGTCTGTAAGGCTCTCCAACACAATGTGAAATCTCAGTCAGATGGCTGTTTATAGATCATTTCGTAGCCTAATCTCACTATACGGCCAGACTAAGTGAAATTGCTGTTGTGTTGTGTTGTTTTGGTCTGTCTGAGTGTTTTTTCTCGTATTAAAATATTACATCACTTGTTCTTTTTTTCCCTCTCTCGGTGATGGATTAGGCTTGGTCTGCTTCTCCTTTTCCTTTTAGTTATTCAAATCACTCAACGGGGGTCTGGTCTACAGGTTTACAATAAATTACAGCAATCTTGAACAACTATTTCAGACAGTTTCTCACTTAAAGCACAGTGCTGTAAACCTTTAGAGGGTTGACATCTAGAAAGTAAACAGGTTACAAATGGAGGATCACACTAATCATGACTCACAAGAGCTTTTCGGTCTTAAAGGGATATTCCGGCGTAAAATTAATTTAGGGTCAAACACACCATAACACCGAGTGAGACACCCCCTCGAGAGATGAATGTTTCTGACCGCTTGCTTCTCTAGTTATACCAACTTCAGTAACGGCCGTACGATAGCAATAAACAGCAGTCTGAGGAGCCATAAACAAACCTCAACCAAACCGCCACGCCACAAATAATGCTCAGAACAGCACCTAACTTCATCAACAGGACATATAGGGTCCCAGCCATAGTACCAGCCACCAAACATCTTTTTTACTTGTCTAATTTCTTCAGCAAATAGACTAAACACAACTCACCTACTCTCTTCCAGCAGCTGCTTATTTGTAGCGAGACCTCAGGCCAGTCCATTATGGAATACAGCGGGGTGACGCAGCTCAAGGAAGAACATTTATGATCATTACTTTATCATTTTCTTGAAGTGATTTTTGCAGACATGGTAGTTCTTCCGCCTTAGCATCTCAGTCTGATTGCATTTCCATGCAGAAATTATCACAAATGTTCTATCTTGAGCTGCGAAACTCCGCTGCAGTCCGTAATGGGCTGGCCCGAGCTCTCGAGTGGCGTTTTGGTTGAGGTTTGTTTATGGCTCCTTGGTATAACTAGAGAAGCAAGTGGTTGGCAACGTTCATTTCTCGAGGGGGTTTCTAACTCGGTGTTCCGCTGTGTTTGACCCTAAATTAATTTAATGCCGGAATATCCCTTTAAAGGCCACCATTACTCTGTTAATAGGCGGGCTGAGCAAGGGGGCGTCTTAATCTAGAAACTAACTACAAGATATTACAAACTGTTCCTATTTCTACACGCTGCAACTTTAAAGCTCCTGTAAGTAACTTTAGTTTTGGCCGTTTTGGCGCCCCCTGTGGACACAGAGGTACATTAGACCTCTTTGCTGATTTTATCCTATACATAGTTAAGTGCTTTAATATAACTATAAAAAAACTAATCAGCCTTCTTCCTAATAGTCTCGTTTGCTCATTTTGCATTATCAGTCTGTTTGATAACGAGCTTAAAACTCCTGACAGGAGCTTTAAGTTTTGAAAACTCTATAATAAGATAAGTGCTTTTTCATACCCTAAATAAGCCAGTTTTTTAGAGGGTTCAACTCTTAATGTTTTTGTCTCTGAATACAGATTTTTAAAGCATGAGTGTGCGGTTAAAATTCCTCCTGATTCAACTGTTTATAGCAATCAACGAAAAGTTACACAAACTGATCAAACAGCTGAAGTTTGAAAACAACCCCAGAGAGAGAGAGAGAGAGAGAGAGAGAGAGAGAGAGAGAGAGGGAGATCAGTGTTAGCGCGTGCTCTTCTTTTTTCACGGAGGAGTCCTCTTTGACAACAAACCACAAGTGCGCCCCGCCCTCCTGGTTCTGTGCCTCCTTCCTTCCCTCCCTCCTTCCCTCCCTCCCTCCTGGCACCTTCCCTCCCTGCCTGCCTGCCCTCTGCCTGGAATTCTTCAGTGTCTGAACGCTCTGGCTGGAGGCCATCGGTAGCTCGCTGAGAAGCTTCCTGTTGCACTCTCTCCCTCCTTCAATCCGTCTATCCCTCTGTGCTTTTTCCTTCCTGAACTCACTCCTTTCTCTCCATCTTATCAAACTTCTCCCGACCTCCCTGATTCTGTAATTTAATCTCGCACTTCGCATGCTTTCACTCTCAATGAATCGCGTTGAATAGAGCTGGATGTTGTCTCATCCCCTTTAAAACTCGACTGGAACAAGAGGCAGTCCTGTGCGTCCTTCTCTCTGTGCTGAAGTGTTCGAAAGCACGTGTCCGTCTGTGTCTGTTTTGCAGCCGTCTTGACTCCGGCGCTCCAACAACTGCCTCCTTCCTCAATAGCCCTTCCCAAATGGCTCCATGCATGCTGCTATTACATAACACTGTGTACAATCCTGAGGGCCGTCTTGCAACAGGGAAAAAAGAAAAGACGTTTGTATCAGTTAAAGAAAGAGATGGAATTTGTTTTCCTGACTTTCATTTATTTGAAGAAATGGTGCGAATTGGGTAAATAATGTGGCGCTTATCAAACCAGGGAGGGGTGCAGGAGAAAGTGAGAGAGGGAAAATAAACTAAAGGAGCTCAGAGATTAATGAATGTAACATAAAAACAGCAAAGAGCAAAGCAAAGAGAAAGAGAAAGAGGGAATGTAAGGCCCAGAAGAGGAGGAGGAGGAGGAGGAGGAGTGGAAAGTGAGGTTTCCTGTCTGAGGAGGCGGCTGGCTGAGGAGGACAGAGGCAGAGGGGGAAAAAAAATCTCTCAGCTGTGTGTGTTTGTGTGTTGAGCGATCCATCAGGGGTGAGGGGCGGAGGGTGTGCGCGCGGGATTGTGGTTCGGGTGTGTATGTGTCAGCAGAGGTGGGGTCACTCCCGGCTATTACCTCAAGAAAACGTCAGCGGTGACAGAAGAGGGAGCGAAGAACGTGACCATGTTTGGGCCTGTTTTCTCATGAGTCCCAATAAGGAACAAATATACTCAAAAATCACCAATAACGCCTACCTGTATCAGCTTACTTCATTTGCTTCATCTGAAAGTGTTTGAAACTGTCCGCGTCTGACTAATCTTATCTGACTCTGACAGGATTCTGTAGAAATCTGGCTATTAAGATAAACTGCAAATCACTTTGCAGCCGCTTTGATCACTTAAATCCGATTAAACAGACAGTAATATCTAAGTATTACTCATCCCAACATGCAAAATTTGTTAATTCCTCTGAGTTGTTTTTCAGCCTTAGTTACAGATGTAAAACCCAACTGTAAGAGGTCAGAGGTCACGTCACTCCCTCACCCAAGCCGGTCCCCTTTGACCCCGTCCTGCCCACCTGGTGGATGGAAAAACCAGCAGGTCTAGACATGCTGCAGCTGCAGGTCTTTACACATCACTGCCTGACCACAAAGCCTGATGGAAAGGTGTTCACTGAACCTGGTGGTGGTTTTTCTGGAGTGTTGTAATGCAGCTTTAACATGGCAGGAGAGTTCATCCTTATTTTTCGGACTCACTTTCCTGAAAACTCTCTGAGGAGATTTACACAACTGAGGTGGGAAAGAGGCGACAAGGCCAAAAAACAAAAACACACCAGTAGTAACCTAATAATGACATCAATGTACACCGTTTGTCCATAGGGGGCGCCAAAATCAACACAAACTAATGCTGTCACAATACGATATTGATATTGGTCTAATATCAGCCAAAAAATATTAGATTGTATGGGCCTGCATGTAAAACCTCCGATATCAGCACTCTGACACATGCAGTCCATTCCAGACTCCACTCCGGCACCTCTAGCTAACAGCGTCTTAAACCAGCATGCAGAGCCCACGTAAACACAACAATAGTGTGGCTTTAACACAGCAGTGCACTATGTTCTTATTTTTTCTGACTCACTTTCACAAAATTAATGCCAACTCACAAAAATACACCAGTAGCAACCTAATAATGACATAAATGTACACTTTTTGTCCACAGGGGGCGCCAAAATCAACACAAACTAATGGTAGTACTCAGGCTGTCCCGATATGATATTGATATCAGATATCGGTCTAATATCAGCCCAAAAAAAATATCGGATTATATCGGCCTGTATCTAAAATCTTCTATATCAGTACTCCGATACGAGCAGTCCATTCCAGACTCCACTCCGGCACCTTTAGCTAGCAGCGCCCTAAACCAGAATGCAGAGCAGACATAAACATTAGCAAGCAGCAAGGAGTAGGAGTGAGGTGTGGCAGTATTTTTCGTTAAAGTCGGAAAAAGACGTTGCAGCTGAGTGCAAAACTTGTACCAATATCGGATCAATTTTCGGTATCGGCCGATACTGAAGGCTACAATAAAGGTATTATATCAGAAGTAAAAAAGTTGTATCAGGACACCTCTAGGTGGTACAATTTGGTCTGATTAACCCTGATTATACTTGCATCTTCATCTACCCTGGTCTTTCATGCAAGGAACATACTGGCTGCAACACAGCAGCGCTAGTGTTTTAAGCATTATCAAAATTTCAATCTAAAAATATGTTTTTTTTATGCAATTTGCATCATGAAATTTGCAGCGTTCAGCCCTCTTGCATGTTGATCATATTGTAGCGTCATTTTAGGGTTTTTAAAAACGACACGTTTGGCACTTAAGCTGGAGTTTTTAGGAGTTCCCACCACTTTTCCTTCGATCTTTCTTGTGCGAGAGTGTGTGTTTGTGTGTTCGAGTGAAAAATAGAGAGCGCAAAGAGCCCCGGGGAGAGATGGCTTGCCTCCTACAGACCACCTCCCAGGGTCACAGCGGGAGGGAGATTAAGTTACAGCCAACCTCAGAGGGGGTCACACAAGACGTGAACACACACACACACACACGCATTCTTTCGCTCCCTGAAAACCTCTCAGAAAACCAAATATTACTCTGAGCGATTGAATTTATCTGATTCTGCGGGGATCCTAAATACTCTGAATCTTAATCTTGGCTCGCACGCACCATCGGGACGAGCGGACTCGTCCCTCCAGATCAGATCAGGCTGAAGATCAATCGTTTGAAGCGGGGTGAAAGGTCAGCGCTGATCCCTTTGAGCCTTGAGGTGTTGAACCACATAGCCTTCCTCTGACCTGCATCGGCCTGCGCGACTCCCAACCTGGAGCACACCTCTTCAAAGGGCGGCGTCCTAATGCAGCGCCGTGGATTTGGGTCTCGGGTGTAAAAGGGTCACACAGGGGGGGCAGCTTAAGAGGACACACAAACCTCTCTTTCAGGATTCCTCTTCCTCCTGCACTTCCTCCTCACCCTCATGTATCCTCACTGTGGCCCCTTTGGTCATCCCTCCTCTCCTCTCCTCTCCTCTCCTCTTCTCTTTCTCTCTCTTTCTCTCGCCCAGTCAGCTGCTGTTTACTCTGCGAGAGAGAGCGAGGGCCCAGAGAGGGGACAATGCCGTCTTTCAGAGAGACCGTCGACCCCACGCCTGAGCGAGGAAGTCTGCATGGGGGCCAGCCAACACCCCTTCCACAAACTTCACAGCCATCCGCCATCGAGCTGCACACACACACTCGCTTATCACACACCACATCCAACCCTCTCCGTATCATCCCTTCACTCAGTCGCCTTCTTTCTTTGTCTCACATTTCCCACAAGCCCCCTCTCAGTGACCGTGGCTGTTCAGGGGGGGGGGATACAGTCCAGATCCCGTAACTTTATTCCAAGAAACACACTCGGTGAGTCACTTCGAATGCTTCTCCACCGCGACAGAATCACGAGGGTGGGCTGCACTGGACTCCACTGGAAACACATTAGTGCGGTATACTTCGCCCCGGGTGGAGTTGGTATTGTAGATATTAATGGCCCGTGGAGCTTCTCAGAAATCCAGGATGGATTCGAGGGAATTTGGTTTTCTTCTTTTTTTTTTTCATCATTTCTGGTTCTTTGCTGAAAGTTATTTGAGAGTGAACACGCACGAGAGTGCAGGGAAGTCCGAGGTCTCATACAAAACCTGGACACAAATTTTTGATACCTATGAAAATAAAAACATGGAAGTCTTTTCTAGTACATTACGCCTAATAATCAATCATTTAATCTTTATAAAAGTGGTGTCTCCTCCTTATGAAGTTATTAATTCATCAATCATGTCAGAAATAGATCACTGTAAAAACAATATGGATAGGTGCCACCAGGGATTTAACAGCCTCACTACTTTAATACTTCAAATGTTATATTTTCATGAACACCCTATTTATATATAATAAAAATCACTCCCTTGTTGGCTCTCAATCTTTGTTTATGAATGTAAAAATGGTGCCAACCAGAGTCACCACCTGCAGCTATAAGGCTGTGAGCACACTGCCGGTACAAACAACACGTTTTTTTTTTTTAGTCTGTTTTTGGGGCATTTTTGACTTTATTAGACAGGACAGCTGAAGAGAGACAGGAAATGTAGGGAGAGAGAAGAGGGACGAGGATGACATGCTCCAAATCAAGACTGGGAATTGACAGAGGTAGTCTTTATGTAAGTGGACACTATTGTGAAGTATTTAAAGTCCCACTCCGATCATTTTTAGTGGTCTTTAAATTCTGATTATGAAGTTTTTAGCCAAAATCACATTGCCTGTGTCATTTTCAAGGTCTTTTCTTCTGCAGAGCTCCAGTAGCTCATTAACAATTCGCCTTTGCGTTGTGGGCGGAGACAGAGCTGCTCTGCACACTCCTCTTAATTGCCGGTGTAGTAGAAGTAGCAGGTAACATAGGAGCTCCTTATCTCTCGGACACTAATGTCTTTAATTGGACATGATGAAAGTTAATATCATAATTAGCTTTATTACGAGAATTTCAATCCGCTAACGCACACGCTTCTTCTGCGATCGTCCTCTCTATTTCTCCGATCGTGGCCTTCATAGTGGGCTCCAGGGGGCGGAGCTTGGATTTGTGACGTAGGAAATCTCACTGAATCTGAACTGCCATTTGGGTCTGTCAGAGATTCACAGTGATTTGACTGCAGAAATACTCAGAAATGCAATTTCACACTCATTTTTCTGATGATATGTCCTGTAGCATCAGAAAAATGCGATATGAACATGTAGACAACAAGAAAAACATGATTTTCATCGGAGTGGGTCTTTAAGGCGTCATGATGTTGGAGAGGGTTTGAGAATTCTTAATATTTAACTTATTCCTCCAGTATTTACTGCATTTTAAAATCCAAGTGAAATGTTTTCCACTATACGTATACGCAGACATACCCCATTTTTGTGCTTTTAAATCTGCAGCTTGTGTCCAAAACAAACAAAAAATGACTGATCATAATCTTGAAAGAAGCTGAGATTGAGTATTTGGTAAAAATGATCATCTAAAGGAGGAAACAGTTCATCTCAGCTGCCATTTCTCTTCCTCCAGCATGTAATAAACTGGATGGTATCAACAATGCTCTTCATTATATCAGCTAAAAGGACACTTTTTCCACAGGACAAGCTGTTGTTTGAGAGCGGTGAGATGGCTCTCGAGGTTTAATAAATTGGAGAAGATGAGCTATACGGCTTATTATAGAGATAAAGTAACGATTTGCACGTGAAGGAGCTCCCTGAAAGCAGCTTTTGTGCGTGGAGACCCCCTTAAGTGTCTCTCTGCGGGCTCTCACAGTGAGAGATGTAGGATCATGTGATTTAAAGTGCCAGATTGATTTATATTCCTGGGTTATATATGGATCCAAAAGTTCCATATCTGTTCTTCGGCTTTATTGCGTGGATTATGGCACTGATGGACGGCCAGGTCTGTGTTTGGATGGATGAGAGAAGGATTGTAAAAAAAAAAAAAGGTTAAGCTGATTCCTGGTCTGTGCCTCGGGGTAAAGGGGGCTTTACTCAGTTAAAGTGGATGACAGGCGATTTTCTGCTATTTTAGCCAAACAAAAAAGCCCAAACTCTAGGCGGTCTGTGCGGTAGGAGTTACAGTAAGTTAGTCCAAAGAGAGAGAGAGGAGGAGGAGACAAAAGAGATGTGGTATGAACCGCAGCTCGTATCACATCCACTCCGACTGATCTGAACATGTTTATTTTCACCGTTAATGGCTTTGTTGAGCCACATAACTCACTTTCGGTTTGTCATGTGCCTCTCAGTTAAAAAACTGCTGGTTATTTGTCCCACAGTGTGTCTTTCTGGGCATGTGAGGAGCATCAGTGTGTGTGTGTATATATATTCATCAGGACAGAAAGATCTCACTGACGACGCCATAATGCTGCTCTGTGTGCATCTTCATACACTATGTTCCTCTGCTCCCGTCAGTACATGTGTGTATCATCATCTTATCTATGGCTGATTGAGTCTCTACACCCCCAGTACACCCCCCTGGCTGACTCTGTGTGTGTGTGTGTGTGTGTGTGTGTGTGTGTGTGTGTGTGTGTGTGTGTGTGTGTATGAGCTGGTGGCCTTCCCTGGCAGGGCCGCTGAACCTGGTGACCTCTTTGCTCCGTGCCTCCCAGACACAAGAGCTTCTCATGTGGCCTCTGGCCAGCCGCTCTCAAAGCCCACCATTCACCACCGACCACGGCTCCTGTGAGTGTGTGTGTGTATGTGTGTGTGTGTGTGAGAGTGCGTGTGTGTGGGAGAAGAAGAGTGAATTTGTTGAAATTACAGTTTGATTAATTACTTTTGTGCGCTAGTGTGTGTGTGTGTGTGCATGTATCTGTGTGGGTGTACACGCACACTGGATGCTGTGCTACATAAAGTCCTAATGGAATATAGGACACCAATCAAATATGTGTGTGTGTTTGTGCGTGTGTGTTTGTGTGTGTGTGTAAAACTTTGTGTGAAGGAGCAGTGAACCCTAACATATTGTGTTGAATGGAGAGCTTGGCTATAAACCAGCGGTACAGTACTAACACCGCCTGCATGTGTGAAGCTGTACCTGCTGGATGGAGAACAATAGTCTCAACTTCATCCAAGTGTCTGTGCGTATTTATTATTAAAGTTACATTTTTGTACAACAGTCAAATTAGGAGAGGTTAAACCAGGATGGAGGAACACAATCTTCATCATCGAACACAACAGGTGTTCGGAGTCATGATTTGTTTGTGTTACCGGCTCTGTCTGTGACGGAAACTTCAAATTAGACTTCTTCTGCATGTGATTCAGAGACTTATGATGTTTAAAAACAATCACTTTTTTAAAGAAAGAAAGACAGAAAGAAAAGCCTTAAACTAGTTTTTATGCAGGTGGATTCCCTTCTCCTCTGACGTGATGCAACAGAAGCCGCAGTAAAGGCTGGGTCGCTAGCTAGATACTGAGTCCTCTTTCACTGCTGCTGCTTCTGCTACGACTGTGAACAAACTCTGAGAACCAGGCAAAGCGGTGGAGCTGAGTCGGGTTTCTACTTTGACCATATTTTGATAACCAAAAACCAGGACGTGGTCTGGTAATGAGATATTTTATGTCTTTAGTTTTCTTCTTCATCCTGGTGGCCAAAAACAATGAAAACCAGGACATTTTCATCTCTTTATATAAAAAACAACAACAACCAGGACATAAAAACAAGACATGTGGTCACCCTACTATAATGTCCCCCTGTCAGTCAACTTAGCTGAATCTGTAAATATGGTTGTTTTTGCTTGACTCCAAGCATTTTAATAAACTTATTCCCCGCACAGTGGATACCAACATAAAAATGAGCTACAGACCAAAAACGCCTTCGAACCAGGCTGACTCAGACTCAGCCTCAAGTGGACACTCCAGGAACTACAGTTTTTTTTACTTCAACAGTAGCTGTACTTAGACTGTATTTAGGTTCGTCTGCAGCCATGGGTTAAAAAAAATGCAAATGCTAAAATGAAAGAGTTGACATATCTACCCCCTGTTTCTGTCAAAAACACACTATACCTATCATAATATTCTCATATAAATCTCCTACATTAACCTTAAAGCGAGTCTTAATGTGTCGAATTAGATCCACATAAAAAGGTCTATAAATGCATCAAAGCTAAATCAACGAGCTTCACAAACTCAAGGACTATTAAACACAGACCGTAGGGGATAAAAGTAAATGAAAATCCTCAGGAAGTGTACAGAAACCTGGTGAGTCTCCGTATATTCAGGAGCAAATCTTACTTCCTGCCTCAGTCAGGTCAGTCTGGTGGCAGCGAGACTAAAACTGGAACTGAAAATGACATCTAAACGAAGCGGCCTGCCCACAGCCCCGAGGCGGGGTCCAGAGGTCAGAGTGTTTAGAGGAAGGAGGAGGAGAGTGCTGCGGTGCAGCTGGACTCGAAGGCCTGGAGGGCTGCCGGTGGGGTCTCAAAGGTCCATGGGGTCCGAAGGTGCACTCTGTGGGGGTGGAGGTGGAGGTGACTTGACGGGACGCAAGGGCCGGTGAGTGGCTGTGGGCTGGGGTGAAGCGGGGCTGGTGGTTAAGGTGACCATATGGATTGGATTGTAGACATTCCTCAGGAGGAGAGTGTGTGCAAAGGTCAGTGCGGAAAAAGAGGAGGGGGTCACACAGATCTGTGCGTGTGTGTGTGTTTATTTTTCTTCGGCTTACTCAGTGTTTCAGTTTACGATTGTGGATGGTTTTCCATTGTTGGGCTGAGTATTTTTTACCCACTGGGGTTGTGGAATGTGAGATACTTTAAACAACTTTCACATGGGAAATGTTGCAGGTGTGAGGATCTTTCTTCTGCCGTTTGTCACAAAGGAATTCAGCGTCTTGTTGTAAATGTTGTTCTGTGAAAACAAAGCGATTCTTCTCCGGCTCCTCTCAGCTTAACTCTGTCTCTCTTTGTGCTGTTTGTGCAGGTGGGAGGTCAGCAGGTCGCGGTCATGCTGTCCTTGGATGAACCTCTGGACCTGAAGCTCCCTCGAAGGGCCAATGGGCGGGACAAAGGGGCACGCTCGCCCCCGCTTTCCCCGCTGCACCCCAAGCGAGCTCGCCAGCTTCGCATGGCAGATGACGGCACTGCGGTCATTGAGCCGGCCTCACCGGCGTCTCCACATACAGGTGGGTAACAAAGCAGCAGCTAAGACTCTGCTAGGGAGCCGGATCAATCCAATTTACAATGAAAAAATCTTAAAAGAGTTTTTGGCTTATTTTGTTAAAGGGATATTCCGGCGTAAAATTAATTTAGGGTCAAACACACCATAACACAGAGTTAGACACCCCCGCAGAGAGATGAATGTTGCCGACTGCTTGCTTTTCTAGTTATACCAACATAAGTAACAACCACACGATACCAATACACAGCGGTCTGAAGAGTCACTGCAGAGACAGTCGCTTCTTTTAAGTCAATTTTAAAAACTCACTTTTACAGACTTGCCTTTATGTGATGCCATCTTTCATCTTTTATTGCCTTTTACCGTTTTTATTTTTCTCCTTTTTCTTTTACCTCTTTCACCTCTTTCTTATTTAGACTTACTGCCTTTTTAGCCTTTGTTTTACTTATAATCTTTTTATTGATTTTAATGTTTTCATTTTCCTTTATTTTATATATATATATTTAATTCCACTTTATCATTTATATTACCATCATTTTATTTTATTATGATTTTATTATTATTATTAATATCCTCTTTTATACTTACTAGCCTGTTTTCTTCCCTCCTTCTTTTTTTTTTTTTTTTTTTTTTCTTTTGTTTTGGTCCTCATGGTCCCATTTATTTTGTAGGGTTCTTGTATTGCCTGGGTTTCTTACGAAAAGTGAAACAGGCCTACAATTCAGAGGCCTGTTTTTAACTGAGCTTTTGTTTTTATGTGTTTTTATTTTCAATGTGCTGATTGAAAATGTGCCCTTGCTCTGTGCTTACAACTTTTGTCTAAGCACTTTGTAAACTTCTGTTTTTAAAGGTGCTATATAAATAAAATTATTATTATTATTATTATAAACAAATTTCAACCAAAACGCCACTCTATAGCCACAAATAATGCTCAGAACAGCACCTAACTTCATCAACAGTACATACAGGGTCCCAGGAATAGCACTAGTCACCAAACATCTTTATGACTTTATGACACAACAGCTCAAGGAAGAACATTTATGATCATTTCTTCATGGAAAAACAATCAGACCGAGACGCTAAAGCAGAAGAACTACCGTGTCTGCAGAGCAAAATGAGTATTATGATGATTATTACTTCAAGGAAATGATGAAGAAATGATCATAAATGTTCTTCCTTGAGCTGCGTCACCCCGCTGTAGTCTGTAATGGACTGGCCTGAGGTCTCGCTACAAACAAACAGCTGCTGGAAGAGAGTAGGTGAGTTGTGTTTAGTCTCTTTGCTAAAGAAATCAGTCAAAGTTAAAAAGATATTTGGTGTCTAGTGCTATTCCTGGGACTCTATATGTCCTGTTGATGAAGTTAGGTGCTGTTCTGAGCATTATTTGTGGCTATAGAGTGGCTTTTAGGTTGAGTTTTGTAAATGGCTCCTGAGACCGCTGTGTATTGCTTTTGAGCGGTCGTTACTAAAGTTGGTATAACTAGAGAAGCAAGCGGTCGGCAACATTCACCTCTCGAGGGGGTGTCTAACTCTGTGTTATGGTGTGTTTGACCCTAAATTAATTTTACGCAGGAATATCCCTTTAAAAGGAGCATTTTTGTCTAATTTTGTTCATTTGCAACAGGTAAGTAGTCGGACTCTGTAGTGGAAATCACTGCTAATGCTCAAAATCACCACAGTCTGCACACTGTTTAATATCCAGTATCTGTGAGGGTTTAGACAATGGCTTTTTTCAGAGAAGTGACACTGAAAAAAACACATTCTTTACACATTACAGCAGCAAGGCTCGTTAGTTAAAGAGTCTGAGAGCCAATATGGCCTCCCTGCAAGTCTGACCTTCCACCCGTTGAAACATTTGTCATATTGTGAAGCAGAAACTATAAGAGAGGAGATCTTGGACTGTCCAGCAAAGGGACTAAATCCAAGAGTTCATCCTCTGAATGTCAGGAAGTTCATTCATTAGCCATCAAAAGATTTCAGTCTAAGGTGGATTAACTGACTGAGCAGCTGGAAAACAAATATGTGGGACACTCTGAGACCAGCGTCCTAACATCAGGGTCACCTTAGCAGGTCTTAATATGCGTGTCTGTCTTTTCTCAGGTGTGCAAGTGGTCCCTCATGATCGAACAGACACCCCCACTCCCCCTGCAGTGGACCTGAGTATGTCTCCCTCCTCTCGGCACACCCCTAGCTCTCCAGAAATGACAAACGGCAACTACGTCCCCTCAGGGGTGAGTAAGACTGGGTTTAGACACACACGCACAAACTGTCACGCCACCGCTCGTGTCCTACTTTAAATTCACTCGAGTCTATTTCGCTCACCTTTACCTGCACACCTCGTCTTTTTCCTTTCCTGTATTTTCTATAAATCACAGACAGAGTACTTCAGTTTTTCGCAGGACTGAGTGGCCTGCACTTTTCTGTCCTCAGCAGAGTGAGTCAGCCTGCTGGGGTCAGCAAATCAGGAACAACATGGGTTGTGTCAGACTCTCCATAAGGGAATCAGACTATATACACAGTGTGGGAGGCCTGTGTGCATGTGTGAGTGAGGTGGTGGTGGTGGTGGGGGGGGACTCTTATCAAACACCTCTTGTGTCCCCAACAAGTGCCTCTGTCTGCACTCAGTGGCCTCGCTGGCATGACGTGTGTACGAGTGTTTGGTACATGTATAATCGGATTTAAGTCAAGGTACAGCCACGCAGACCTCACGCCGCCTAATTCAATTCCCTCCCAATTGAATAAAGACACACAGGCCGGGATCATTTAGCCCCCCCATCAGTCCGAGATAGCCTCTGACCTCCCTGAGATACACGCACTATTATACACTGTGGATGCAGACTGCTCAAACATTGTCTCTCTCAGGAACAGCTGCACACACTCACACTCACATGTTCTCTCCCCTACAGCAGCAGCTCACAAAGCAGCTCACATAGTTTTGCATGCAGAGGCAGAGCCAAGCGCAGGGGATTGGTCTCATTTTATGAAATTTGTCAGATACACATTTCTGACATAGCTGAAGATGAGGAGACAGCCACGTTATTGTGATCCGTTTACACCCTTATTTCCTGTCTCTGTGCATTCACACACCGGCGAGGCGGCTCAGACTCGTGTGTCATCTATTCTCAATTCTACTTTACATCACAACTCTGCTGTTTTCAAGTTACACTGTGTGTGTCTGAGAGTGTGTTACCTCTCTGAGCCCCAGCAGCGTTTCAGTGACTCTTAAAGCTCTCACGCCGAGCTCAGGGATGTAGGGAGGTTTGTAGCTCTCAGCAGGGGGGCTGTGCGAGGAAAAAAAGAGTAGATTTTTGTAGCGGCTTTGCTCTTCATTGACAAAAGGAGAGTTTGTATCAACGATGTACACTGAGAGGTTTTACCTTTTAGCTCGTGCTTGCTTCTTCTTCATCGTCTTCTTCTTCTTCTTTTCCTGTGCACTGGATGGGTAACCGTGGCGCTCTGTTTTTCTGCTCTTCTGTCTTGTTGATCAGAACTCTCACATCTCACAGGCCTTTCAGTTTTTCGTGCCAATCGGAGCTGGTACGGGACTCCACCTGCCGTCCTCCATGTTCATAGGACAGACAACCGACAAGAGAGCCTCTCCTGACCTCTCGGCAGATGAACAGCTGGCCTGTCGCTGGAAAAAGGTAAAACCCAGAAAGAGAAACAAACTTTTGAATGATTCATATCATATTGTCACGAGAATACGTTTAGAAATTCTCCGTGTTCTCCCTTTTCCTAGTGCCATCTGCTCTTTGACTCCCTGCAAGACCTGGTGGATCATGTCAATGACTTCCATGTGAAACCGGAAAAAGATTCTGGGTACTGCTGCCATTGGGAGGGCTGTGCTCGCAAAGGGAGAGGCTTCAACGCAAGGTGAGAATGAGAGATGAAGAAGAAGAAGAAGAAGTTAGTTAACTAGCTGTAGCAGCCCTCTGAAAACCATTCCCACACTTTTAAAACTGATGATGAACAGTTTGTTGTGAATCCACCTCAGGGTTGAACTCTTGTAATCTCTTACTGCCTTTGTCTGCTTTGACCATGTGTGTGTTTCATAAATGTCATATGATTTTATGCGTTTCTTGGACTGCAGGTACAAGATGCTCATCCACATCCGCACCCACACCAACGAGAAGCCCCACCGCTGTCCCACCTGTAACAAGAGCTTCTCACGCCTGGAGAACCTCAAAATACACAACAGGTCTCACACAGGTCAGTGGTGGATGGGTCTAAGTTAAAGAGATGTTCCGGCGTAAAATTAATTTAGGGTCAAACACGCCGAAACACCGAGTTAGACACCCCCTCGAGAGATGAATGTTGCCGACCACTTGCTTCTAGTTATATCCAATTTTAGTAACGACCGCAGAATACCAATATACAGCGATCTGAGGAGCCATAAACAAACCTCAACCAAAACGCCACTCTATAGCCACAAATAATGCTCAGAACAGCACCTAACTTCATCAACAGGACATATAGGGTCCCAGTCATAGTACTAGCCACCAAACATCTTTTTAACTTTGCCTGATTTCTTTAGCAAAGAGACTAAACACAACTCACCTACTCTCTTCCAGCAGCCCCTTACTTGTAGTGAGACCTCAGGCCAGTCCATCATGAAATACAGCGGGGTGTCGCAGCTCAGGGAAGAACATTTATGATCATTACTCTATCATTTCCTTGAAGTAATAATCACCATATTAATCATTTTGCACTGCAGACGCGGTAGCTCTTCTAACTTAGGGTCTCAGTCTGATCGCATTTCCATGAAGAAATGATCATAGATGTTCTTCCTTGAGCTGCGCCACCCCACAGCAGTCCGCAATGGACAAGCCTGAGGTCCCCTTAGACCGCTGTGTATTCCTATCCTGCGATCGTTACTAAAGTTGGTATAACTCAAGAAGCAAGTGGTCGGCAACATTTATCTCTCGAGGGGTCGTCTAACTCAGGTTTACAGTGTGTTTGAACCTAAATTAATTTTACATCTGAATATCCCTTTAAGGTTAAAAAATCACAAAGTTTTGATTGGAAATACTTATTCTGCATTTCAAGGCTAAATCACTTCGATTCTTCTTGATTTAAGACAGTAAATGTCTTTGTGTGAATGAATGCTGGCTCTTCTCTGCAGGTGAGAAGCCCTACATTTGTCCATATGAGGGTTGCAACAAGCGGTACTCCAACTCCAGCGACCGCTTCAAGCACACGCGCACGCACTACGTGGACAAGCCCTACTACTGCAAGATGGTGGGCTGCCTAAAGCGCTACACAGATCCCAGCTCTCTCCGCAAGCACATCAAGGCCCACGGGCACTTTGTGGCCCAGGAGCAGGGCTCTCCGGGTGGGGTGGGCTCCCTGCTGAAAGGGAGTCAGAGTGGAGGGCTCGCCAACGAGGTGGGGAAAGATTCAGAGATGTCCTACGTCAGCGCAGCACACATCATCATCCCAGGGGCGGCGGCTGCTCTCCTGGGAGGTCATGCTCTGCAGGGCCTCGGCGGTGGCCTGCCCATGTCCCCACTCAGTCCTCGACCCCTGGACCTCAGCACACTGGGTTGCCCCAGCTCACCTCCAGGCAGCCTTGGGGGCACGCCCATCCTGTCCTTCAACGGCTCCCCGCTGGGCCTGGCCAAGTCCCCTTTGCTCTCCCCAGGGTTCCCCTCCTCGGCCCTCGGCCTGTCCATGGTGCCCATGATGGGGGCCTCGTCTGAGCGAAGGGTCCAGAGCCAGCAAGGCAAGAAGGGCCGAGGGGAGGAGGCCAAGAACGAGGTGACTGGTGGGGTCCTGAACCTCTCCACAGGAGGGTCTCATGATCCTCTGTCCTGGGTGGTCATCCCTCCAGGCACTGTGGTGCTTAAGCCAGCTGTGGTCAACTGATACACACACACACACACACACACACACACACACACATGCCGGCACACAATCACATATGAACAGACACACACACACACACACACACATACACACATTCCAAAAGAGCTCAGGGGGTTGGGATGAGAGGATGAACGCCATAGGGGGGGTATAGGCGGTCAAAGGTGATGAGGATCGGCTCGCACAATCATATCCAGGCAACAAATTTCAGAGAGGAGTTTGGAAAAGGGGAAATCTATCAAGCAACAATTTTAAAGAGACGTTTCAGAGTTTTTGGAGGGAGACTGTATGAGTTATGTGTTTAGTCCACAAGTCGTGAATCCTGATAGCAAGTCTCTCAAAATTCGCTCAGAGTCGGCCTCGCCTGCAGAAAACTAAAGCATAACTTGTGCTCTGTTTCTACTGGTGGTTTCCTCTTAACTCATACGACCTCACTGCAGAAATACTGAAATATCCCTTTAAATCAGCTGAACAATTTCTAACACCACACCTCACAAGAACTAAGTATACAACGCAAGCCTCTTGTTTGCTGGGAAACTAAACTTGGGGCCCAAGAACTCTCTAAAGGACCAAACAGATTACGGTTCTGTATTTCTTTCTATCACAAGGCCTGACATCGGGCTCCTCTTGACTCTTGATATTTTATACTTCACTCATTCCTTTTTGCTGGTTCTGTGGACAGGGACCATGAAGGTGACAGTCTTAGTGCTCTGTGTTCTCACAAAAGTCCTCAACGACGAGTATTTATACGTGTACTTCAACGACAGTGTGCCTCTAGCTTAGCAGTGAGATAGACACACCATGAAACTCAACGACGCTCTCACCGTCTGCTAACGTGCACATAATAGGAAGATTCTCCACGCTTGATTTTTAAAGTTATGACCTATTTTTCACAGGCTGCTGTGATTAATAAGATTCAGACGGGCTTGCCAAACCAAAGCAAGTGAACTCCGACTGTCCTGGCTTTACAGCTCCGAGACAGTTCAGCTGAACAGAGCACTTATAGTGTCGACTGGTTATAGTATTGAAACCTCAAACCTGCTGCTAACCTCTCAGCTCCTCCAGTGTAACATAAACTGGGAGGGAGCACTTTTGACAATCTGTCCCCGGTCTGGGGAGGGTGACCAACAAGAATGTGTGTGAGGAGCTTTTTGGGCACAGAGCAAACCGAGGACTTCACACAGACAAATGGTGTTACATCACCTGGCAATGACAAATCCTCCTCTTCTTCTTTAACACAAGTGAATTGGTGGCATGAGTGCACACGGCTCCCCCCTCTGGCGGATACACGATACACACCATCCAGCTTGTGGCACTGTTTTACCCTCGGATTGTCCGGCTGCTTTTCCCGTAATTGAATCAACACGACCGGTTTGTGTGTGAAAGGGCCACTGTGGCGATAAACACTAGTGTCTTGTGTTTAAAAAAAGTGACCAAACCACTCGGTCATCTAGCTGAAGCCCAACTTAGCCATTCGGGGTTTGAGTTTGGCCACAAGAAACACCTTGAGAAAGCGAAAGAGGGATGGATGTATCGTGGCACAGAGAGAGGGGCAAATGTGATGCACTCGTCGCCTCTTACAGCTGGACTGACTAGGAAGCCACACTATCCCAAACTGCCTCATTTTACTCTGTCCAAAGGGGCAAAAAGAAAAAAAAAAAAAGAAGACTCATTTGACGTCTGGGAAAACTTTTCTCAAGGTTCGATTAAGCAGTTAAGATGCACTTGCCGCACACTTTATTTCTTACACGCTCGACGCGACGTTACTGCCAACTCATTGATCCTCTGTAGAGATTTTTTACTCTTATTTCATCCTTTTTGCAATTTCGCTGTGGGGGTCCCTCCAAGCTTGTGTTGCTCAACACTAATGCATGCGTGATGTTGACTGCACAGAGAGAGGAGAGGTCAGGGAGCAGGAGAGGGTCGCCAACACAAGGAACATTCCCTCAAGAGACTCTCTCACACACACACACAAACACAAACACACACTCTTTACTATTCCCTCCATCTCTCCTCTACTTTTCCATCTTCCAGTCTTAGGAATAATCAGTTATTGCTGTTTATATCGTCTTCTTCTTATTTGTTGTTGATGCTGTTGTTCAGACGAGACATTTTTTCTGATGTTGAAGTTGCTTCTTGTTTTCTGAGACGGCTGCTCTGCGCTCAGCTTCCTGCTGTCGAGGACGAGACTTTCAAGGAGAGGGAAGAGGAGGAGGCAATACGGCGGCAGAAGTTTGCATGCGTCTGTAGGGCAGTGGTTTACGAGTCTGGGGGTCTGTGGTCCATTTGTGGAGACACAAGCAGATAATGTTGAATGAGAAAAAGGCAATGTGTGGTCCGACTAAGGATGTCCAAAAACATGACTAGATTTAGGGTGTGATTTGATACCCTTAATGACCTTCATTAACATTGATTTGCAAAAACCAGTGTGGTCTAGAGTGAGAGTGCTGAAGCGTCTAAGAATTGTCCTTACCTGTTTCAGTTTACACCAGAGTACCTGAAACAAACCCACCCAAGTTGGATTCAGACTAATAATCTTGCAGGAAATCAGGAAAAACAACATCAGGGGCGACTAATGACTTACGCCCCAACTACACGAATGCGGATATATTTCAAACTGCACATATTTATGTCCGATTAGGCCTCCGTACCACACCAAAACGGGAGTTTGGAACACTCAAACCGGATAAATCTGAATCCGAAAAAACAAGTGGAGAAATAAAAAAATGTCCGTATAAGTGGATTCGTGTGGTTGAACTTTTACGGATCGATGACGTCAAACCGCAGCTCGCGCGTGCGAATTAAAAAGAAAAACAACAACAACGATGGCGGACATACAGGGTATTCTTCACGTTTGTTTTGCTCTTTTGGGGCTAATTTCAGCCTTGCAAGTGAACCTTGTTTTATACAATTGTAAGAGCCGCCACACCGTCACATGGACCCGACGCAATAGCGTAGCTTCCGCAAACAATGCATGACGCATCACGCTGTTACGATTCATCGGCCAATCAGGTAGCTTTGTTCCTGAATTTCGTTTAAGCGGCACCATATAGGGTTGAGTTTGAAGGCTACGTGTGGACGCAGATATTTTTGAGAACTAACACGTGTGGACAGATACATTTATCTAGACGAGAGTACAAAAATATCCTGATAAATAAATATCTATATACGTGTAATTAGGGCCTTAATTAAGGGAAGGTGTGTGATTAGTTCAGTTGTGTTTGGAGACACTCGCATAAAAATTGAAATAACTAACCACCAAAGCTGCTTCTTAAGAGTAAATATCTCATCATGACTTAGTTCATAAGTGTATTAATTGGCTAAGTTAATAATAAAATATCTCTATAATGAGTTTTTCAAAGATATTGATGTGAAAATCTGATATTATCATGAGTGATTTTTCCCTTCTAGGTGGTAAAACACCCAAAATGTTTTGGTTAATTGCTGAAAAAATCATGTTCAAACATTAAATGATCACAGACCAACCAGGTTGGGAACCACTGCTCTATAGATAAAACTGTGAGGAGGTAATATTGGACCAAATGACATTACATTCCTATATGACAATCACATTTGTGCACAGGGGTGATTTAAGGAGGTGTACGCATAAGAAACATGTCTGAAACGTCGAAACCTAAAATATATCTCAAGCTATGAGACGTTTCTCTTATCTTTGTACCGACTCTGCCTGGCAGTCAAGAAAAGGGAAAGCATAAAGGACTATGATTGGATTGTGAATTGGCAGGGAGCGTCGGGAGAGAGTGATAGCAGAAAGAAAAGGGATTGCCTGGATGAGTTAATGAATGGACAGGGGGATATGCAGAGATGAGAGGGGAGGCTGTGTGCCAGCGGAGGAAAAAAAAAAAGCAGAGGAGATCTGCGCTGTGCGGCCGCCGTCCATCTGGCCACCTAGCCGCCAAACGCTCTTTCAGCTCTGAAGTCACTGGCTCTGCTGCGCCCAATGTGGCAGCCAGTCACAGGCGTACCAGCCTGAAGAAAACTAGGCCACTGAACTCTGTCTGCCCCCTGTGTTTTTCCTCCTTTTTTTATAGATTAAACCCAAAAGGCTCAACTCCCCCTCTTCCTGGCCACAAAGCATTTTTTCCAGAGATGCAGAAGAGTAAACACAAACAACCTCCCATGTTTGAGGAGGAGTCTGTGTCAGAGGACGCAGAGCAAAATTAACTTCCTTCATATGGATGTTTCTGCTTCACCAATTCTTAGTCATCATTATCCAAAGCAAACCCCCCCACCCCTCTCATCTCTCGTCTCTCACACTCAGCCGGCCCTGTCTCTGGGTTCAGGTCGGGTACCGAAGAGAATCTCCCGCTCTGAGTGGACCATCCTGGCCTGTGATGTCATCAGAAACAGGTGTTAAGTAGGCTAGACATGGTTTCCGTGGCAACAGTGAAACCCACAGATGCAGCAGCAGCAGCAGCTCTCCTCCTCCTCCTCCTCCTTCCTTCCTCCCTCCCTGTCTGTCTGTCTCTCCTCTGCAGGGTGAACAGGGGACAAAACTCAGCACGACAGCAGAAAGCTGAAAACATGACACGGATCCTGTCAGGGTCCACAACTTTTCCATTTTAAATAAGCTGTATGATCCATTAACCCTTTGAGCTCAGTCTGTAAAAAAAAAAAAAACAAACAAACTGCACTTTTGTTCCCCTCATAGCGTGTGTAGATACGGGGATGCTACCACATCCTTTCTCAGCAAATATCCTCATACATCACTTGTTTTGGGAACCAAGAATAATTGTACAAATCCTCCTCAGTTGCTTAAATTGTCGAATTTAAAGTCTTATATTTTTGAACTTTTTAAGAAACGGTACTTGCTCCTGGAGATTGTAAAGTAACTCTCACCTAAAGCTATGAGAAGTGGGGCTGAAAACCGAGGGCACAGAATTCGTGTTAGCTAGCTAGTTCAGAGTCAGTGTAAAGGGGTGCCATTGACTGAAGTGCCACAGTGTTGCACAAAGGGTTAATGCTAAGACTAAGGCCATACAAGGCCTGATCCAAGTTATGTTTTTGCACATTTGTGAGATATTATTGTCAGTATTTTAATTTTTCCAAGTGCCTTTTTATTATAGGGTAAAATATAGAAGTTATACACTATATGAAAAAAAGGATTATAAGAAAATATATTTTTTCCTGGCATCATGTTCTGTGGTTGAACATGCAGAATTTTAGAGTTGTAAAAGTCTCCAATTGGTACAACATAGCGGTGTTCTCCTGTTTTAGAGGAATTTTATTACGATATTGATAATAATGTCAATGAAAAGAAAATGTTTAATAAAGTTGTATTTGATAAATCTCGTCTTCTCATTCTTGTCCCAATGCTGTAAATGCTGTTGATGATAGTATTTGATATGATGCTGTAAATTAATAAGACCAATCATCCAGATAATGTCACAAACTCAAGGGTAAAGAAAAAAGAGAAGGATTTTATTGGGTTATAATTTACAGAGGATGGGGACGGGGCAGGTATCATTCTGGTTTTCATGTTTCTGGGCTTTTCTCTGATTGTTGCTTATTTTCTGACTCGATATTTAGTTCTTCGTCTAGACGTTCTTTAGCTCTCACCACCTGCAAACAAACGCAAAGAGAATAATAAATGACAGCTGTAAGACAGGAGGACACTAAAAGGACACTAAAGGACACTAAAGGACACTTCAGTGACGATGACAACTTCAGACATGAGGAGAAACGGAACACAAAAGGGACTGAGGGCACTAATGGGCATCTGTTATCTATGATGGACACACTCTTGTACCAGGCACTTCACACAATCCTCCTTTTGCTTACATTTAAGACTCCTTAAAGATGTTACAATACAGACTTACTCACCATATTTTAATATGAGGCTGTATTTATGTAAAATGTGCTTCTATTATCTCAAAATTGAAACCGATCTGCAGTATAAGTTGCCAGTAAAGCTGTATAATCGCTTCTTTCAAAGATGAGTGTGATGTGCCCTTAATTGCCCACTTTCAGACCATTTCTTTTCAAATCAATTGTATAACCATCTCAACCAGAGTGCATACAGCTCAGTTAAATATCTTATGAATCTCCTCTCAAGTGCAGAGTACTCACTTTTGATTGCAGGTAAAATGAACCGCCCACGGCCTTGTCATTGACTTTAAAAAGGTGCTCGTAGTTCTGGAAGAGATGAACATTTTAATGTCAGTGTTTCGGGACAGCAGAGAGATACAAACACACAAAGGTTTCAAAGTTTGTTTTAAAGTTTAAGGCTATAATCGAAGTCATTTCTTCTGCACTTAAAGGAGCATATTTAAGGTGATGAAATATCCTTGGAGTTGTGGTGCCTTCAAATAATGTTCACAAAAAGAAAACCACTCTTATGGCATCATAAGGGGAATTTTTCTGACAGCTTTGAGCTTGAGAGTTTATACGCGTCTGAAGATATTTGTCAGAAATGGTGGAAATATGGAATTCAGTCCATGTTTGCAGTGAATGATGAGTCAGTATATTTACTCATTTTCTCTGTAATTCCGTTGTGTGAAAGTAAAAACTGTTTTGCATTTCCTACAACCTTTCTTTGGTCACATCGATTTAACTAAATTTGCAGCCAAAATGACTGATCTTTCAGTATCCATGCTGCCGTTACCTAACAATGTCACATGTTGTAGTTCTATTGTAATGACAGTGACTGTCGACCTTAAAGACGAGCTGGACCTCTGTGTCCAGTATGAGACCAGCGGGCCTAACCCTAAGTGAACCTTTAATTTTAAGATTTACATGCAAACAAATCAGATCAGGGTAATAAACTATTACTTGTTCAGTTTCTTTAAATAAGAATTATGTCTTTATACAATAAGCTTTTAAGACAATTTTTCTTTCTTTATTTCTTATTGGCAGATTATTTGACTCATCACAACAATCCATACCTTACTTTAAGCAAGTAATGTTATGAAATTAGCCGTTAATCTTGTAAAGTCAATGTTGATGAAAAATATAATTTTAAAAGATTTTCTTATCAGGAATCAGCTAAACGTCTGCTTAGTTTGTTGTGAGGAGAGGCCAAACTCTCAAACATTCTCATCCAGAGTGTGTTTTTGTACCTTCTGAATCTCTTCAGGGCTAAGTGTGGAAATATTGAGGATCTGCTGCGCCTCTTGCAGACTCATCCCGGTGATGCTAGAGGCTGCGGCAGACTGCTGACCTGAACGGCTCCTGGCCTTCGCCGCTGCTTGACTGGCTGTGATAGAAAGCAACACACCACATATTTACATTTACACAGGCAACCACAGTTCAGCGTCAACTTAAAATTTAACACATATGGGGGCAAAAATAATTTCATTTCATTCACAGTGATGATTGATAATGTCATACCTGCATATTCTTGCTGTAAAGCTCGAGCAAAGGCACGACCCACCACCTGGGCTCCCATTACAATGATCTGTGCAAGGTACTTCGCCTACAGGGATAATAATAATAGTAATAATAATCATAATAATAATAACCATAATAATAATAATCATAATCATCATAATAATAACTGTCAGAGCCATTTGTGCACTACTGATAATTTGACAGATAATCAATAATTTTTGTTATTTATCCTGATCAGAATTCTGAGAGACTGAACAGTTGTAAAGTTTTACTTTAAAGTTTAATTCAAGCCGATTACTACTGCAGCTCTCCTATTGGAAGAGACATGTAATATGAGACCTGCTGGATTTTCTTGGGTGATTAGTGAAGCTGTGGGTCTTTAAAGGCACAATAGTTTTTGACCGTGTTTACATCGGGTCTCGATTTCGTCATTTTTATTTGTAAAAAGTATCAATTTGTTATGTAAAGTAAACCTTCAAGTAAATTCAAGACAGGAAAAATCAACGACTTTGGTGTTTTATTATGGAAATATGCGTCATCTACATGCGCTGGTTCGACACCTCAGAGGGTCTTCAGTCCTTAGACGGAGCTGCGCTCACAATAACTTAATTTTTACAACACATTTAAAAACAGAAGTTTACAAAGTGCTTTGACAAACAGTCGTAAAGTACAGAACGTCAGCACATGAAAATAAAAACAAATTAAAAAACTAAAGTTCAGTTAAAATCAAAGCCTCTAATTGAAGGTCAGTTTCATTTGTCATAAGGAACCCAGACAAAACAAGAGCCCTACAACATAAAATGAGACCATGAGGACCAAAATAAAAACATAAAATAGGTAAGAAGAAGAAGGACTGTAATAAAAAAGGGGGGAAGAAAGCAGAAACAGGATATATTTGTATATATACAGCTTTTATCATATTAGGCAGCTCGGCTGGATTACTGTAACGCACTTTACTTTAAAGTCAGCCGGTCCTCCCTCTCAAGTCTCATGTTAGTACAAAACGCAGCCACTCGGCTCTTCACTGGAGTACGTAAGAGGGAGCAGGTTACTCCCACCCTGGCCTCCCTCCACTGGTTACCTGTGCATTTTAGAATTCATTTTAAGATTCTTTTATTACATCTTTAAATGGTCTGACTCCATCTTAAATCTCTGAGGTTCTCCACCTCTACACCCCTGCTCAGTGTCTCAGGGGATAGATCTTTACTCCTCTTAAAACCCATTTTTATTCACTGGCTTTCAACCCTGCATGAGGCTCCTGTTTTAGTGTTTTATGTTTTTTTCTTAGTTATTTGTTCCTATGTTTTTAAAAACACTGAAACTACATTTTACTTTTTAATATCTGCTTTTTGTTTGTGGATGTCTGTGTTGTTTTGTCTGTTTATGTACAGCCCTTTGTTCAACTGTGGTTGTTTGAAAGTTGAGTTAAAGTGAGCAGTCAGGTCTCATTGTGTCTCAGAAATCAACCCAAACATGTTAAGCCTTTAGTCAGACTGAGATGGTTTGAGTCTCTGCAGGTGTGGATACAAGAATCAGCCTGTTAGAAACATCTGTTAACAACGTGACAGCGGTTATATTTACATCCTAACCTGTCCAGATATGAATAAACCTTTAGTACAACCCTAACCTGAGTACTTCCATTCACAGTAGGTCCCCTTGTAAGTATGAAGCAGCTGTCTTATATAACAGTGATGATAAAAAGGTTCAATGCTAACGCTAACCCTCCTCTGACTCTCTAACGTCTCTAACAAATCTACAGAGGACTGTTATAAGTTTAATACTCACCATTTTGTAAAACTATTCAGGTCCGTCGTGCCGTGAACCGTCTGTTATCA